ATATGATCGATAAGGTAATTTTAATTTCTTCGAATCGATTCTTGTATTGATAGCATTTACATTGTGAGACATACTTATAATTAATGGTCGAATTCGGATGTGAACCGTTTCTGCCATGAGCTAGTAACATGTGCTGTAGTAAGGGCATGGTATGCGGTGCTTGTTCGTCAAATCGATTAATTTTTTCCTCTTTGATAATTTTAATTCAATGAATGTGTTGTGTTGGTTTGTTTTCAGGTTTTCAATCCGAATCCTCTAGTCCGTACGCGTTCAGCTGATTCAGGGAAGATCGAGACAGCCCTGCGCACCATTCAACATGAATTGGAAGAGCAGCTTAAAAGGATGAATGCGGCTGGAAGATACCTTCAGCTGCTCATCATTGCTATTGTGATGGCTATGTTAGCAAAGGAATGTATCGTCAAATGGCTAATAAATTTCTCGTTTCTTTACAGGGAAGATTAAGCGCATCTGCGAAACGGATCTTGGGATCGTGTCGCAGTGTTGCCAGCCGAAGCAGGCAATGAAATACAATAAGCACTACATGGAGAACGTTTCGCTCAAGATAAATGTCAATGTTTTGTCGAACACTAAACAATTTCTTCTCGACATTTCTTTAGTACGCCAAGTGTTCTTATTTTTTGTACAACGATGTGGTCAAGAAGTGATGAAAACCTTCTTACCAGCATTGCACTGTCTGTATCTTAAAGAAACATTATGCGCACGATAAAATCACTAATATCGATCCGTACTCGTAATGAAGAGATGAACAATCAATCTTTTCAGGAATACTATTTTACCTTTTCTTGGAGGGTATGGCATCTTTCTCTTTGATTTTATTGCAAGAGTCGTCTATTGTACTGATGAAACTTGTTAATCTTTTTACCAATAATCATACATCGAATAGTCTCAAGTTATATTTAAAAGAAAAAATTCATTTTTTACAGAAATATCAATTAGAGAAATAAATTAGATATAAAATTGCATTATTATTTTATCCATAACTAAAATAGAGATTTATAAATAATAGAGACTCGGTAGACTTAAACTTAACGGATTAAACCAAAATATAAAACGGCTAAATCCAATCTAAATCTAAATAAATAAAATATCTCGACACAAATAAATTACTAGTATTTAAATTAATATGAGTAACCAAACATGTATAATTTCATTAAATAATATAATTGTGGTTATTTGAATTTTGGTTGTATTATAATAATACCATCGTTTTAAATTTCAAAAAATCTGACTGAAACAATTTATTTACTATATTTGTAGATCCAAACATTGTTTAATCAGTATATGTTGTTACTAATTTTTTTTTTCAAAAATATTAAATTAATTTTTATTTTTATTTAAATATTATATATATAATAATTATCTTTATATTAACAAGCCAAAAAAAAAATTAAAATGTTAGGTACCATGTTTCAAATACATTGGGTGCGTTTGAGTTCTATTTGAAATCAAAATTATTAGTACTACTTTTTAACCCATTAGATTTTCAATAAATAAAAATATATTATTACTTTTTTCACAAAATATTATTTAAATTTAAACTTAAATTAATATTTTAGTTCCAAACTATAGCCAAACCAACCCAATAATTGTTTTAAAAATGAAAAAAAAAAAAAAAAAACATATATATTATATTCTTTGTAGTTAAAAGTAATATAAAGATAATTTTATTTTTTCTTTTTTTTAAAAAAAATAATAATGTTATGGTAAAATGGGGGTACTTTCAGAAAATATATATATTTAATAAAATGACTACTTTATAATTGGACAATCCAAATGTCCCCTTAGTCCCAGGTTATCATTTTTTATTTTCGTCCGTCCCTAAACAAAATTACAATTTTCTAATTTAGTAATTGTACTATCTACCTACCATAATAAATATCTTTCAAACTTACAATATATTACACAAATGTCATTATTTTTATATTACACAATACTAATAAAGATATTTTTATCTTTTTTACTATAATCCAATATAATATTCATATTTAAAAATCTACGTATGAAAAGCAAACGGCAATGTTTTACTGGAACGAAAGAGTATATATATTGTGAGTGGACGAAAAAAAAAATTAAATAATATTACGTCGTTTCACAATTTTTTCTACTAGTTCTAATTTAAAATGTCGGAAAAAAAATTGTAATTTTATTAAATATATAAGTGTGGTTAAGTGTTTTTTACTACTCCCTCCGTCCCATAACAAAGTATCCATTTTTCCATTTTAGTCCGTCTTATAACAAAGTATTCATTTTCTTTTTTAGTAACTGTACTATCCACCTAACATTACAAATAACCTTATAACTTACAATATATTACACAAATATCATTACCTTTATATCACACATAGTAATAAGGTTATTTTAGTCATTTCTATTTTATTTCTACTATATTCCAATATAATACTAATATTTTTAAAACTACGTAAAAAAAATAAATGAAAATATAGTGTCGGGACGGAGAGAGTATTATTATCTTTTTTTAGTTTCAAAAAGTCTCATAAGAATAATCTATTCATTGTGTTTGAAAATATAAACACGGTTTAATTTTTATTTTTTAATTTTTTTTCCACAATTATCATATTTTTCTCTTAGTTCTAGATATAGCGTTATGGTTATTGTATACAGAAGAAATATAATTAGGGTGTTTGTCTGGGAATTGGATTTTGAATTTACGCTATTCATTTAATTTTTTTCTCAAAAAATATCAAATTAAATACTTATTTTTTATTTTTTATATTATACTAAAAATCAATTTTACATTCAAAATATCACATCAACATCTATTTATATCACATCATGCAACTATTCAAATTCAAAATTTTTACTATTCAAATCTCAACTCAAAATCCAAACCCCAAAACAAACACACCCTTAGGCCATCTCCAATCCTCCACCCTATTTTTAAAAATGCAGTTGATCTACAGTAATTTTACTCCGACCGTAAACTTCAATTTTTACTTTTAAAAAGTATATTCCCTGTATATTCCTCTTTTATATTATTTTATATAACTTTTCATATTTATAAATTACACCCCAATTTTAATTTATTTTTACATTAAATCCATACATATATAATTTATATTACTTTTCAACAGTAAAATTACATATCAATTTAGAAAATAAAATTATACATTATTTTTTAAAAAAATAAAATTATATCACTTTTCAAAAACTAAAATTATATCACTTTTAAAAATAAAATTATACATTATTTCTCAAAAAAATAAAATTACATACAACTTTTTAAAATATAAAATTATATATTATCTACTAAAAAATTAAAATTACACAATACACCCAAAAAATACCAAAAATATAAAAAACACCACAAAAACTCCACTCCAAAAATGGAGTGGAGTAACATTTTTTTTTTGTAGAATGCAGTGAGTTGGAGATGATCTTAGGGTGTGTTTGTTTGGGGGATTGGATTTTAATTCCACTATTCATCCTATTTTTCTCCCCAAAAAACATCAAATCAAACACCTATTTTTTTATTTTTTTATACATACTAAAAATCAATTTTACATTCAAAACATCACATCAACACCTAATTATATCACATCATACCACTATTCAAATTCAAAATTTTTACTATTCAAATTCTAACTCAAAATCCAAACCCAGACAAACACACCCTATGTAAATAATTAAAAAAATTATTAATAAAAGTAATTACAATATAAATAATCAAAATATATACGGTGAATTTGTTTTGTATTTTTAGATTAATGCACTTTTTTATTATTTTAAATATAAAAAATTGTGTCGTCAAAGTAAAAGTAATAGTATTTTGTATTTAATTATTAATTTTGTATAAATAAAATATATTGTAAAACAATAGATGAACATACTCAATACTTTAATAATGTTTCATAGTAATAATTAACAATAAAAATCTAAAAAAATAAACAATTAAAAAACAACCAAAACCTTACAAAACTTGCATTTTACTTATGATTTGAATTTAAATATTAATTTTTATAAAAAGAATAATAATTTTAATTTAAAATTAAAATCATACACTATCTTCCATAAATATTAGAAAATATACTTGAATATGGGGTTTTAATTTTTTTATTCTATTTATTTATTTATTAATATATAATTAAAATAAAAAAGTAAAATCCATCTTAACATACTGCTTAAAGAATAGAATATGTTTCTTTAGTCAATTTTTTTAAAATTTTATTATTTGAATTCTATATTCTTAGAGAAAAAATATTATTTTTTTATAAAATATTACATTAAACATTATTTTTATATTAAATTCATATCAAATTTTTTCCAAAGTTATAAAAAAACACACCCTAAGTTGTGGACGTCTACAAATTATTTATTACACAACGAATCAATGAGTTGAAAGGTTTACCATTAGACAACACCATTATTCAATAATAATAATAATAATAATAATAATAATAATAAATTACTATTTTCATTGATTCTAAGTTCATCTCATTTTTATTAATTTTTTAATATTAATTATTATATTAAAATATAATAAAAAAAATTTATAAAAAAATATAAATATAAAAATATTTTATTATTAAATAGAATGATCGGAAAAAAATAAATGTCAACCAACGGAAGGAGAAAGGAATTATTCTCTCCGTCGCATCTAATTTGTCCCTATTTTTTATTTTTTGTCCCGCATAAGTTGTTCTTTCTATTTTTGAAAATATAATTATACACTTTAATCGCATTTTAAATTTTAAATTTTATAATTTTTTTAATTTTAATTAAACTATTTATTTATCTTAATTTTAATCTATAATTATTTTTACTAAATAATAATTATTTTTACTAATACACTCTTTAATTACTTACTAATTATACTTTACCTAAATTGTCGTGTGTCTACAGTAGTACACCCATATTACATGGGACTTAGGAAATATTAATCTATAATTTTTTTTATTATTATTATTTTTTAAAAAAGGTGAGTATAAAATATAACGTCACTACAACTGCTGGCTGGACTCTTCCATTTGAATTAAAGGTAAAAAAAACCCTAATTTCACTCTCGCCTGCCTGCGTCTGTGGCACGGAGGCGAGACGAGAGGATTCTGGTACACGCCTTTCGAGATCTCACTTTGAATCTGCTCCAGATTTAGATTCATGGCGGCGGCGGAGGTGGAGGCGGAGTTGCTATCTGAGGACTTCAATAATGGTAACGATCGGACTGAGTCAAGTGACTGCACATCGGAAGATGAGGGCACCGAGGAATACCGCCGCGGTGGCTACCACGCCGTGCGGATCGGAGACACCTTCAAGCATGGGAGATATGTTGTTCAGAGCAAGCTCGGCTGGGGTCACTTCTCCACCGTCTGGCTGGGCTGGGACACTCATAAATCTGTGAGTTCTATTTCTAGAAAATTCTGCTGCCTTTGAATTTGTTCGGATAGGTTTTCGATTCTGGAAAATCTCTTATGACTGTGACTTTTGGTTTGTATTTGTTCGAGCTGTTCGCCGCTGATGTTATGAATTACTTCTTATGACGAGTTGTTGGATTTATGAAGAGTTTTTGGCATCTTTGTAGAGATTTGTAGGTCGAAGTCTACAATCAAGAATTTGAAACACTGAAAATAGGAAATCTTTGAGCTTTGTTTTTGGATTCAATACCTGCAGTTGGGACTTCTTGAAATTAGGAATTGCATTTATTTGGTATGCTCTTCATATAAATAACGCCCTTTTCATATATATTATATATATATATATATATATAAAACAATATGAGTTACAAAGGATGGCAATGGCGTGGGCATCTACACTCCAATCTGTGCGCTATTCCATAATAATGCTGGATACAAAAAATTGTTTTGTGAAAAGTTTTGGTTTTTGCAAAATAGAAATTGCAAATAATTTAGAAGTCTTTCGTATGCTGACGTTTATGAAACTAGTAAATATGACAATTTTATATCGATTACTATCATTAACGTAATATATATATACCTTTGTGCGATGTAGATTCTCAATGTTCAGTTATAAGCTCATTTAAGTTTATATAAATTTATGACGAGTTTATAATTTAGTTTTTTGTTCAGCATATATGATGTCTTAATAAATTTCAATAGTATGTGTGTGTGTGTGTGAGAATAGAATGCATGGGAGGAAGTGGAAATGGGGCGGGGGGTATGCCCTGTCTGCCCTCAGTTCAAAGTGGAGCAAAAGTATGCCCCTTCGCCCATCTATCCACCCATAGCTAACATCCATCCCATTATCTCCCCTGTGGCGCAGGTGTTCGTGAGTGCCCACTCTGCTGCCATCCCTAGAATTACCCCTATACAACGAGATGTGTATATTCTTCCACACCATCACTTCATTTCCCAGTTTATATATAGAATTTCTGTATTAACTTATCTTCTTTATACCATATTGTTAGAATGAAAGTTTGCGTATTTGATCTTTACAAAGCAAGTTTATATATCTAGATATCTACATGTGATTTTGATTCTTTGACTAAATTCTGTGTTTCTAACTTCCCATTTTCTCATTTATTTTCTATTTGATTCTAACATAAATGTTTTTATATTGATACAGAAATAAGTAATATGTTTCTTGATAGGATAGGGTATTATAATTTAAACACATTATATAAATTGTACACGAAAATACCTAATTTTATGAATTAAACTTGGTCTGATATGATTTATATCTCTTTTCATAAGTTGCGTACTGACCAAGTATGCAGAATTGCCAGTATATTATAGAGAAAACTAATTCTGGTTTAAAATATGTATTTGAATATATCTGGGAAATAGACGAAGATAGGTTTACAACATACTGAAAACATAATGAAACAAGCTCTTAACAGTTTGCTTTTTACAACTAATTTTACCTTAAAAACAAAAAACACAAACTAACACATCCTACAATTGTGCTGCATAAAACTGTCACACCACAAAAAATTATTCTCTAATTCTACATTCGGTTTAGCTTTCCCGACCTTTTACCAATCATTGTTATTTTATAGTTTCCCTGAAGTAGATGAGATGCATACAATTGATTTGTCAATCTTTTATTTTATATTTAAAATTACAACATGAAGTAGTTCTGTAACTATACACATCCTTAAAGTGCCATAGTGTTATTCTTCAATGGTTTAGCTTCACCCTATGCTCTTTCTCTCACGTTGAAAGAAAGATTCTTCGAAAATATTAAAGTGAAATTGAAATAGTTTGCTAACTTGGCATTACGTTTCAAAGAATTGTTGAGTTGTTTATACTATGTCTTTTGTTTAGGTTGTACTCGAACAGTATGTTTACATTTCGGTGAATGTCTAGCAGAATTTCATTGCATGTGTAACAATAACACTTTTTAGTCGAAGTAAGAACCAAAATTCTTATGTAGTAGGTTATTGGTGTAGGAAGAGCTAAAGAAACACATACTTTGAGCAAGAAAGGAAGTCTTTTTTACCATAAATGTTTGAACAGTTAAACAACAGTGGTTTTTGTCTGAATAGTATTTTTTTATTTTGCTTGGTCATTGTGTATTTACATACGAATCACTATAACCTATTTAGATTTTTGCAACAATTAAAGTGTATGATCCAACTATCTATTGTAATAAAAATTGTTGATTCTTTCCCTTTTTCATATATGTTTGTAGATCTATGTAGCTCTGAAAATCCAAAAGAGTGCACAACACTACACAGAAGCAGCAATGGATGAAATTACCATCTTAAAGCAGTTAGCCGAGGGCGATTTGGAAGATAAAAAATGTGTGGTGAAGCTTCTAGATCACTTCAAGCATTCAGGGCCAAACGGGCATCACGTATGTATGGTTTTTGAGTACTTGGGCGATAATCTTTTGACCCTTATCAAGTATTCGGACTACAGAGGGATTCCCCTTCACATGGTTAGAGAAATTTGTTTCCACATTTTGGTCGGATTGGATTATCTGCATCGACAGTTATCAATCATACACACAGACCTGAAACCTGAGAACGTACTCCTTTTGTCGATGATCGATCCAGCAAAAGATCCAAGGAAATCAGGCGCACCCCTTATTCTTCCATCTAGTAGAAACAAGATTGTGACAGAAGCTTCTCGAGATGGTAAGAGCCCGTACAGAGATCTAACTAAGAACCAGAAAAAGAAAATCCGGAAAAAGGCGAAACGAGCAGCTCAGAGATTTGTTGGGAAGGAGGAAATCGATCAAGATGATGAAATAAGTGAACCTGAAGATTCTCATCAGGGTGATAAGCCGAACGTTGGGGTAATTGAAGAGCCGGATAGTGTTTCTGCTACTAAAGCCACGAGTAGCCGTAAAGCAGACAACGAATTTGAAGAAAGTCGGGGCCACAAGAGGGGTAGCCGATCATTGAGACGGAAGCTCTTGGCTGAAGTTGAACTGAAATGTAAACTAGTTGATTTCGGAAATGCTTGCTGGACATACAAACAATTCACCTCTGAGATTCAAACACGACAGTACAGGTGCCCCGAGGTAATTATAGGATCCAAGTACTCCACGTCCGCAGATATGTGGTCGTTTGCTTGCATTTGCTTCGAGCTTGCGACGGGCGAAGTTCTATTCGATCCACATAGCGGCGGTAAATATTCCCGGGATGAGGTACGCTGTAATGTTCGTGTCACTCTATGTGTTTGTTTGGGAGTTTGGATTTTGAATTTAGATTTAAATTATAAAAAATTTTGAATTGGAATAGTTGTATGATTCGATATAAGTAGTTGATGTGATGTTTTGAATGTGAAATTGATTTTTAGTATTATACTCTCTCCGTCCCAGCTAATTTGTCCCTTTTAGCTTAGGCACGGAGATGACTAAATAGTTTAATTAAAATAATAAAATTATAAATTATGAATTTTAAAATGTGATTAAATTGTATAATTATATTTCTAGGGACGGATGGAAATAGAAAGAATTGACAAATTAAGTGGGATTGAGGGAGTATAAAAAATAAAAAATAGGTGTTTGATTTGATGTTTTTGGGAGAAAAAAAATTTAATGAATCGTAAATTTTGGGGAAAATTTTGTAAACGAACACACCCTTAACTTCCTTATCTTCAATGTTCTATTGTTGGCCTTAAAATTCATTCGTAATATGCATATCTACTTGCTTTCCTCTATGATTTTAGTTGATTGTTTTTCTCTATGTTTTCCGAAGGATCACTTGGCCTTGATGATGGAGCTTCTCGGCCCGATGCCTAAGAAGGTGAGAAATAACTTATATCTATTTATTACAAAAAAATCGAGTTCCTCCCGTATTGAAAAGAAACTTCAAATCATTACAGCAGGTTGCCTTGGTCGGGCGCCATTCACCTTTACTGTTCAATAAATATGGAGATTTGAGGCATATCCGACGATTAAGATTCTGGCCTCTCGATAAGGTTCTTATGGAAAAATACAATTTCTGCGAACAAGAAGCTACCAGAATGTCCGATTTCCTCGTTCAAATACTCGACTTCTACCCCAACAAAAGGCTGACGGCAGCCCAGTGCCTTAACCACCCATGGATGGTAGCTATCCCTCAGCAGGTACCACCCCCCCCTCCAAGAAAACTCCATTTAGACGGCGCCAAAAGTTCAAAAAATTCCGATAGGGACGAGAGGGAGGCGATGGAAGTCAGAGTCAGTAACATGGTGATCGACTGTAAGAAAGAGCCTTTCGCGGAAGATAAACTTCCGGCGAGTGTTACGCCCGTGAAGCAACGGATGGCTGAGAACCATTGACCTGGTAATTGTGCTTTGGCTCGCTCGTTCGATTGTTTTGACAAATTCATTTTTCGATTGTTGCGACTCGAACAGGGAAGCGAATAGAGTTACGGATGAACAACGCTAACACACGACAACGACGGGACGGCGGAGTCGATTTGTGATCAGGTATGTGTATGTGTTCTTGTTCTATTGGAAATTTTACAGTTGGATCAATACTTGTTGGGTAGTGATATTTGCTGTGATGTGTGAATTTTTTGAACCCTTTTTAAAACTGTAATCAGAGACTTGCATTCGACTCTTTTAACTTCGATCTTTGTGGGTTCATAATATTCTTCTTACAATTTATTTCCCTTTTTTTTATGATCTTTGTGGGCAAGTACGGGTATTTGCATATATGAAGATATTTGGTATTTGAATCGACCCGAAAATTTCTGATAATATTTCGAATCGAATTGAAATAAAAAAATAAAATACATTAAAGTAATTAAAATTTAATTAAATAACAATATTTGCAAATATTCTGATAGGCTGAATCGAAATCGAACATAATATAATAATTAATAGAAATTTTAGTTCATTCTACTTAACAATTAAAATTTTTTTATATTTGTACAATTTTTACTTTTTTTTTTTGGTACAAATGTTTTTCTATTAGTATTATAAGACATTAACAGAAGTATTTTTGTAATTTTTTTTTACTGTGTTTTGATATAGTAAATGAGATTTTTAGAACAAGACAGAGGTAATATAAATCTATTCGGATCGATTAACTGAAATCGTACCGAAAAATATCAAAAATTGAAATTGAATTGAACTGTATTTGTAATCAAATCGAATTTTTTCTGTTAATAAAAATGATTCGAAAGTTAAGGTTTGATTTCTTTGTCCACCCCTAATTGTTGTTGGGGGTATTCATTTAATTTGCCTAAATTTGTTGAATTATTTGCAGCAGTTTTTAAAGGCTTGTTTGGTTTAATTAATGAAGTCTCAAATTGGTATTTAGGGGGTGTATTCAATATAAATTTTTGTAGAATTTTATTGGACTTTCAAAATCCGGGTGTAGATTTTTAAAATTTTTTTTAAAATCTAGAGGTATTCAATTGAGACTTTTAAAAATCTTTTAAAATCCTGAGAGACTTTGAAAGTCTGAATTTTAATGGATTTTTGTGAAAATTTTGTATAGGAAAGAATCTCTTTTTTTTTTTTCATATATTCTTAAAATTATTATTATTATTATTATTATTATTATTATTATTATTATTATTATTATTATTATTATTGTTGTTGTTGTATATGTGATTAATAATATGATAATATTTATTACTATTATTATAATTTTTAATAAAAATAATAATTTAAAACTAAAATATATTAGCAAATTATTATGAATTTTTTTTAAATATATATTTTTATATTATAAATATAATTTTAAAAAATATTATTATCAAAATAATGTATTATTGTCGTCTTTTCTTTTCAATTATCGAATACACTGTATTATCATTACGATAATCGTGAAATAGATATTTAAATATATATTTTTTGTTGAACCGTTAGTTAATATTTATTTATTTATTTTAATATTTTTTCTTTAAATTGTAAATTATTTATTTTAATATAACCTTTTTATATAAAAAGTAAATACGTATATATTATTTATTAATACTTATATACTCCCTCCGTCCCGAAACTAAATATTTTGCTTTTTGCACGTAGTTTTAAAAATATTAGTATTATATTGGGATATGGTAGGAATAAAGTAGAAATGACTAAAATAACCTATGTATTATATAAAGGTAATGACATTTGTGTAATATATTGGAAGCGGGTATTTGTAATGTTAGGTAGAAGTAGAGTTACTAAAAAATAAATGGATACTTTGTTATGAGACGAACTAAAATGGAAAAATAGATATTTTATTATGGAACGGAGGAAGTATTATTTATTAATATTATATATTATCTTATTAATAATTATTTATTATATTTATAAAATTTGTTGTTTGATATAAATTTATATAATTAATATATATTCACAAAAAAATTATTTTACAATCCATAAAAAATTCATCAAATTCAAAAAAATTCATTAAAATCTCGCCTTAATGTTTTTTTACTCAAACATATATAAGTATGAATCAATTTGTCTCATTCCAACCAATCAAATTGAATTTTCAATCTGAAAAAAATAAATAAAAATTAAAAAATGATATAAACAGGCCCATTCTAGAGTTGGGTTTTTATTATTGCGTTCGAGTTGGGCCCATATGAAGGCATAGAATCAAGCCCAGGCCCAAATTTGATATTAAAATAGTCTTGTGTGTTCCTTTTGACTATTTGACTAAAAATTGAATTTTTATTTTTTGAAATAAAAAAATAGAGAAACTAAGTATTCTTTTATTAAAGAAAACGAAAAATATGAATGACGGGAATAATATTTAATATAATATTTTATAAGAGAATATATTTTTTTGATAAAGTGTAAATAATATACTTTGTATGTTTTATTTTTTATTTTTTATTTTCGTCTGTTTTATTTTTTATTTTTTAAAAAATTATTATATATTTTAATAATATTTAAATTTTCAATTTTCTAATTATAATTAAAAAATTTAATTATTTTGATCGTAATTTATAATTATTTTTACTATATAAATTATTATATAAACATATTTTTTTTTTATTAAAAAAGAATTATGTGGGAAATGATCTATACGCGCCTGATGCGCGTGGGGGGCGCTGTCGGTGGCTGGCAATGATCTGAAAATTTTTAATTAGCTACCGCCGGTGGGGTCCACACGTCGAATCTCATGAACCAACGGTGTGGATTTATCTGGACTTGAGGTCCCACCACAATCATTTAAGTTTAAGGTTTAAATCCTTACATTTGCTAAATAGGGCTAAATATAAAACTATTTCTTCCTGCTCAAAAGCACAAATATATTTTTTTTATTTTGTTTTTTAAAATTCACTATAATAATTTTAAATTTAAAAATAATTAATTATGGGTGTATTTTTTTTTTTGATGAATTTGAAAAAAATTTGATTTGAGTTTGATACGAAAATAATTTTTTTCGAAAAGTTCAGAGTCCAAATAGTAAAATTTGAAAAAATTATGCTAAAAAAATATACCCTATATAAATACATTTCATTATACCTATCACATCACTCAAATAAAAAAATTATATATACATTTTTCCCTCGAATTATATCATTTAATTTTCAAATTATTTTAAATTGCCTCACTTAATACCACCCAGCTAAATTTATGTGTCGAACTCAACTTTTACGCGATTTTTGGAACGGAGGGAGTACTAGATACTCGGCTCTTCCCATAAGAATGATCCTTTTGGTTAGAGATAAGGTATGATAGTGTAAATTATTCTCTCCGTCTAGTTATTTTCTCTCATTTAGCTTAAGTACAGAGTTTTATATATTGTATAATTAGTATGTAATTAAAATGTGTATTAGTGAAAATAATTATGATTTAATAAAAATAATTATAGATAAAATTTACATGACTAAATAGTTTAATTAAAATAAAAAATTATGAATTATGAATTTTAAAATATAATTAAAGTGTATAATTATATTTTCAAAGGAAATGACAAATTATGTGGGACGGACGGAAATAGAAAGAATGAACGAATTAAGTGAGACGAAGAGAATAATAAGTTATGATATTATTTTATTATTTTTTTATATGAGTAGTGTTGTTGATATATAAATACTTTTAGGGTTATATCTTAATAAAATATATGCAAGATGAATATTATTTTGTAGATAATAAAATTTTATATAATATAAATAAATAAAAATATATATTTATTTATAATTAATTTAAAACTAATTTTTTTTAAAAAAAATAGAAGTTTTATAATGAAAATATTTGTTTATTGAAGAAAGATATAGAAATAAAAGAGTTTTGAATAACTGATATGCTTAAGAAGTTAGAAATTTTAATTAAATTGATTTATATCTGTTAATTATGTTTAAGATGAATAAATATACTAATAATATATATGAATCATCTTTTACTGGACAAATAAAAAAAAATAAATCATTTATGGCGGGACAGAAAACCATGAATAATATGAATAAAAAAAATAGAAATGATAACGAATATGATCATATTCAAAACAGAACCGTGAATATAATCTAGAATATGATCATGTTGAGAACAAAGTCGTAAATATAGGTAGAAATACGAAACATGAGCAGAAACACAACCATGTTTAGAATATGAAGATGAACAAGAGCATGGACACAATCGTATTTATTTCTGTCAAATATTATGATACTAAAATTAATAAATTTTAATTTAAATAAAACCAATTTCGATAAAATATATATATATTAATTATACTAAAATTGATAATTATGTAATACAATGTACTAAAAATCTAATTAAATGCAAGTTGGGAGTGGACAGAGCAAAATGCAGGTGGAGATGACTAATCAAACACATCTGTATTGATTCATTTTGCTTAGCTGTCACCTATGCAAACTCCAAACCAAGCTATTGCCTACGCCTACATTATTGCTTCCTCCATTTTGTTTTTAATTGTTTTATAAAATTAGTTCACTTTTTTTTTTTAGTAATAATTAATAACTAATACTTCTAATTAAAAAAATTTAACTATATTTTATTAACTTACTAATATCTTTAATTTTATTATTTGTTAATTGTAAATTTAGAAGTTTGACTAAAATTTTAAATAATAAAAATAATAAATATTTAATATTATATATATAAATATTCATTTAATTTTAAAATTAAATTTTAATGTAATATATAATAAAATTTTATATTTGATTTAAAAATTTATGACTGAAAAATTAATTATAAATAAGATTTGATATTATTTTTTTTCTTTGTTCAAAAAAAAAGAACTTATTTATAAAGCTAAATTATAAACTTATTTTTAATTTCGGTATTTGACGTAAAATATTATATTCTAATACTGTGTATATAATTCAGTTAGAGATGATTTGAGATAGTATACCGAAAATATCGAAATAATTGTTTACCGTACCAAATTTTTTAATTTATTAAAAAAATATCGATATTGTATCAAATAATCAGTATATACAAAAATACCAATTTTTTTAATTATCTATATACACTGAAAATATCTTATTGTATATCGTTATCATACAAAAAAAAATCATATTGTATCAAAATTTTGAAATTTTTTCAATATATTTTTTTTTACGAGTATGCATGTTATTTCCGTAATTTAGTATTTTTTAATCACAAATTCGGTATACCAAAATATTTGTACGGTATGGTAAAATATCATACCAAAAATTTTGTACCGTATGTATGCAATGTGATATTAAATTTGGTATATCATAACGAACTATCTCTAACAACAACCAAATTCGAAAATTTTTATGTAATGTTTATATAATTTTTTTTATTACAATTTTTTATTGTATAAATTATATTTAAGTTATTAAAATTATTATTATTATTTTTTTTATCTAAATACATGTATTGATTTACAATAAATACAATTATTATTATTTTTTTAAATAATATCAGTAAATAAAAATTTCAATATTTAAAAATTAAAATAAAAAATATTTTAACTTTTAATTTAACATTTTATCAAATAAAAAATATTTAATATAACATTTTATTACATCCATTAATCAAACTAATTAACTACTAACACAATATTTTTTAAACTGCATACCCAAAAGAAACTGGACTAATTTCATGGGACGAGTATTATTATTATTATTATTATTATTATATAAATTTATTTTCTAGTGTTTTAGTTTGGTTTTTTTATATGATATATAGAAAATTATGTCGATAATTTTAAAAGTATTTTATTTGTCACACATAATAATGACAAGATGTGACTACTGCTCAACGAAATGATACTCGGTTTTTTTACTTTGCAATAACTCGGGATTTAATCCTGTAGGGATGATAAATCTCCGTCTGTAAATTCAACTTTGTTGTATAGAGAGATTTAGTTTGATCCACACAAAAGGAAAATAGCCCGATCCCTCCGTCACCTCAGAATAAAGGGGTTGATCTCATAGTTATTGGTCTGTGAAGATGCGTGTATTATCGTAATAGGCCTCTCTATTTGGGCATTTTTTTCTCTTTGTTTAGCTTCCCTTTCATAGTTCAATATCCGCGTCTTCAGAAGTGGATGTGTTTGATTGAATTTCATCTAAAAGATAGAGGATGCATAGAGTTTTTCGATCAAACTTTCAATGAGATTCATAGTTGCATTACTTATAGCTTTCTTATCCGTAAATAAAGCTAATAAGATCTCGAACCAGCACCTCTGGGAGGAAAAAAAGGTATGTTGATAAAAAAATATCACTTCAAATAATCTCATAAAAAAAACACACCCTTATTATAGCAATTTCACAATTTTCTATACCTACATAAAAATACCACTTCAAATAATTTCACAAAACAAACACACCCTTATTATAGTAATATTCTTACTAATAAAGCAACGGCTGAATTGCCCAAAATTTACATGTATTTTGAAAAAACTCTATCCAATTCTATTATGTGATTTACAAATTGCGTGATACCTCTAATCTTTTCTAAAATGTGCATCAAACTCTCACACATTTAACAAAATGTATACGACATGCACCAATAATAGATAAAATATGTTAATTTTAAAATTTACATTATTAACGATCTTGTGTACACTCTACTTTCTTAAGGGTAGATCATAGAAAAAAATTAATACTCCTCTTCCCATAAAGAGAGTAACTTTTATTTTTTGCATGCAAATTTTTAAATATTAGTATTATATTATATTATACAAATGATATTTGTATAATATTTTGAAAGTTGAAAGAGTATTTATTATGTTATGTATATAATACAATTACTAAATTAGAAAATAATATCTTTATTTTGGGATGAAAATGAAAATAAAACATTTCCTATGGGAACAATAGTCATTTCATCATTTTTGTTCATCTTAAAACAATAATCTTATTTTCATTTTTAGTAACCAACCCCCAGTTTGAACTCATGACCTCACGGTCACAAATCTAACCCCTATATCACCAGGTCATTCCTTACGGATCACGAAACAAATATATTAAAAAAATGAACAAGTGTAACACTACAAGAAAACATTAAATGAAAATTTTGAATTATTAAGAATTTGGGCTAAAAGACATTACTTTCACATCTAAAACAAATATATTAAAAATATGAACGAGTATAACACTACAAGAAAAAATTAAGGGTGTATTTGTTTTGGAGAATTGATTGGATTTACATTATTTATTTCATTTTTTTTTTTTCAAAAATATCAAATCAAGCACTTATTTTTTATTTTTTATATTATACTAAAAATTAATTTTCCATTCAAAATATCACATTAACACCTATTTATATCACATCATATAATTATTCAAATTTATAATTTTTACTATCCAAATTCCAACTCAAAATCCAAACAAATACACCATAAGTGAAAAGTTTGAATTATTGAGAATTTGGGCTAAAAAACACTACTTTCCCATCCAACTCACCCTTACCATAAACTTGGAAGTCCACGTGGCATCAGCAGAGGGCGCGTGACGCGAAAAGCACAGTGCACTGCGCGTAGGAAATAGAAATGGAAAGCAGTACGGCCACAGCTTCTGCCTTCCTGCCAAATCTCTTTCTCTCTCTATCTCTTTCTCTCTCAACAATTTCCTTCGCAACTTGCCGTCGTCGTCATCATCATTATACATATAAGTAGAGGACGCCACTATCCTCTCCTCTCTGCGCCACTGAAATCTCCATCCAATTCACCAATCCACACGCAAATCGCAGATTCTCTCAGGCTGAAAATCTGATACCAAAATCGGAAAAATGGCGACCGGGAGAGTAGATCTGGACGGGAATCCGATCAAGCCGATAACCATATGCATGATTGGCGCTGGGGGTTTCATCGGCTCGCATCTCTGTGAGAAGCTCATGGAGGAGACGGAGCACAAGGTGTTTGCCGTCGACGTCTATAACGACAAGATTCGTCACCTTCTCGAACCTTCCTCCTTGCCTTGGGCCGACCGCATCCAGTTCCACCGCCTTAACATCAAGAACGACTCTCGCCTCGAAGGCCTGATCCGCATGGCGGATCTTGTGAGTTTTCTGATATTCTTCTCATTTTTCCTGCATTTCACTTGCTTTCGGTAGAAATTGTGGTTTCGGATCTGGATTTTGTGCTTCCTTTTTGTTTGTTCTGATTTTAGGTTTTCCTGCTTTCGAATCGATGTTATGTCGTCTGGAGTTTTATGCAATAATCGTAATCGGATTTCTAAGAATTCATAGTTCCTTATTTAGATCCTGATTTGAAGTTGTGGATCTTTATGGATCTTACCTTGATGCTTATAGCTTAGCTTATGAAAAACCTACTCTGTTTATCTTCAATTTGGTTTGTTTATATGCAACGGATTCGTCGACAGTGATTCATTTTCTAAACTATATGATTTTTAAATGTCTTTATCAGTATGATTAATGTTGATTTGGACTGAATCTGGAGTTTTCCTTTGACTTAGACCATAAATCTTGCTGCTATATGCACTCCGGCAGATTACAACACTCGGCCATTGGACACAATCTACAGCAACTTCATTGATGCTCTTCCTGTGGTAAGTGGTGGTGCTTCTGAATTACAAGTCTTAAGTTTTCCGTCGTTTTCGATTTGATAAATTGATCGGTTACCTTTAATTCGCATGTGGTTTAGGTTAAATATTGTTCGGAAAATAGGAAAAGGCTCATTCATTTCTCCACTTGTGAAGTTTATGGGAAAACAATTGGTAGCTTTTTGCCCAAAGATAGTCCATTGCGGCAGGTGAGACTCTGCTTTCAATTTTCTATAGTTTTCTTGATTAGATTTGATTCTCCAGCTTGAGGATCTAATTTTCTTGATTTGGCATGACTTTATACACAGCTGTCAATTTCTGACATTGACCTCTTTGTGATGTGGTGGTTTGATATAGAGACAAATGTTTATTGATTTTTTATACTCACCTTAGCAATCTTGTTCTTGCTATTAAATTTGATTTTTTAATTGGTATTTTTCGTGCATCTGAGTGTTTTTTGAAGTTACTTTGGAGCCTGAATTTTGAGGCTTTGTAGGTGCATCAGCATGTTTAGTTCTTGTGCATCGATATTTATGCAGGATTCATGTCTCTTTCGTGGCTTGAAAGTTATCGCTGCCTATGAATCTTGTTAGTTTAGTTGAGTTTGCTATCATGTATCTAATACCTTCACGGCTCCACAGAGCATGGGGATTGCTAATTTCAACATTTAAGGAATGCAAAATTTGTCAATAATTTAGAAATGATTTTCTTCAAGCTCTTTCTGATCAGGTTGAGGAATCTAATTCTTCTCCAGAGAACCATGTAGATGTCGAGGAACTGAAACTAATATGTTTTGTGTTATTTCATCGTTTTCCATTCGATGGGTTAAGAACTAAACTGTCATTGACCAATTTTTATGTCATTTTATTTTCTTTATACATCATATGCAAAAGCGGTTTCTTTTCTTGAATTTCTAATGTGTTTGGGATAGTCGACTAGATTTTAACTTATATTTCTCTTTGATTCAGTTAGCCTGTTTTGTGATTTTGATATCTGAATGATAATTTGTTATCTTGCATCAGGACCCCAATTATTACATTCTTAAGGAAGATGCCTCCCCTTGTATATTTGGTCCCATCGAGAAGCAGCGGTGGTCATATGCATGTGCAAAGCAGTTGATTGAGAGATTAGTATATGGTGAGTTCGTCGTCTTTCATTTATAGGCATTTATGGTCCACTGTCCATTAACTTCATCGATCTTGCATTACATTGTAATAATCTAATTTCTCTCTATTACAGCCGAGGGTGCTGAAAATGGGCTTGAATTTACGATCGTGAGGCCCTTCAACTGGATTGGTCCCAGAATGGATTTCATCCCCGGAATCGACGGTCCAAGTGAGGGTGTTCCACGAGTCCTTGCTTGCTTCAGCAACGTAAAACCAATCTTGCGCTCATTTCAATTATCAACAAACAGCTCATTCCGACTTAATTTGAATTTGTTTACCTTTGTAGAATCTTCTACGTGGAGAACCCTTGAAGCTCGTTGACGGTGGTCAGTCGCAGAGAACCTTTGTTTACATTAAAGATGCCATTGAAGCTGTTCTTTTGATGATTGTAAGTTTTTCCGAATTTGTTCATCCGAACAACCGTTGTTTGATCCGACAATGGGTCGATTCGTGCCGGGTTGAATATTTTAAACGAGTTAAATTACTCAACTCTAACCCGACCCGTTTATTGTCGTGTCGGGTTCGTGTTGACCCGTATACATAATTAAGTCGAAATCGTTGATTCAGATTAAATTAATTTTTGTTGTGTCGTTGTATTATGTTAGTTTTTATTGGTTCTAACGTAATGTATACGATGAATTAGGTTTGAGCTTAGTTAGTTTAATGAGTAAATTATTAAATTATTATTATTTTACATATATAATTAATACATTAATCACTATTAATGTATTAGAATCAGGTTGTCGTGTCGGGTTCGAGTCGATAATTTCAACCTTAACCTGACCCGTTTATTATCGTGTCGGGTTTGTGTCAACCCGTATACATAATCGGGTTGAAATCTTTAACCTAAATCCAATTATTTCGTGTCGGGTTCGTGTCGAGTTAGTTTTTGCCGGCTTTAGACTTTGATCCCAATCCTTTGATCCACAACTTGAGAGAGTTTTTATTTAACTCAGGATAACCCAGCTAGAGCTAACGGACATATATTTAACGTCGGTAATCCCAACAACGAAGTTACTGTCAAACAGCTCGCTGAAATGATGGTTCAGGTGTGATTCAAATACATCTTTACCTACAATATTTTAACCTTTTACCGTTCTTAATATTTACCCCCCTGTTTTGGCAGATTTACGGTAAGGTCTCTGGAGAATCATTACTGGATAAACCCACCATCGATGTAAGCTCTAAAGAATTTTACGGCGAAGGATACGACGATAGTGACAAGAGGATTCCAGACATGACCATAATCAACAGGCAGCTCGGTAAAAATCAGACATCGTTCGCCCAACTATGTTATTACATTATAACAAAAAAATATTTCTTCCGACAAATATCTGTACTGTAAAATTTTCAGGTTGGGATCCAAAGACATCGCTGTGGGACTTGCTCGAATCGACTCTTACTTACCAACACAGAACGTACGCCGAAGCCATCAAGAAGACGATTTCCAAGCCTTTGGCAAGTTGATGACAGAGAAGGGATTTATATTACATTCTGCCGTTTCCCTGTAAGGATGTTTTGAGGTACACGATTGGTTTTGATTCCTTTCTTTTCTTTTATTTTCTTTTCGGCATATTATATTCGCGCACACTATTTTTTTTTTTTGTTTAGTATTGATTGCTAACTGCTAGTCGATGAGCAAAGATGTAATAGTACTTACGTGTTGTCTACCTGCCTTCATAATTTGCTGTAATGATCTGCTCTACTTTTGGGTTAAAATGGGTATCTCATTGATTTTGCTTATGGTAAAAACCTTTCATTTGTGGTTTTTATTTTTGTTTACGGTTGAGAATAGTTACGGTGCTGATTAAAGCTTACGGAAAATGGATTCGATAAAATAGTATGCTCCGAAAATTTAGACATTCTATGTGTGCTGTATAAATATATTTTTTGTGCTGATGTCAATAGTAATGTCCGTAGTGTGGGCTATTATCATATGTTGTCTCTTCGTATTAATGCGAAATTTGTGTGGCTGAGTTATACTTAAATAATATTCCCTCTGTCCCGCTGCTGCAAAGTTGCTATTGACTTTTTATATGTTAATTATATTAATACATAGTACAAATAAAGAGAAAAGTAGAATTAAGCAAAAATCAAATGACAGCTGTGCTGCGAGACGAATGGAGCAGTATTTTTTTTATATATCGATGAAAGTTTAAGATTTCAATTTTTTGCCCATGTAAATACTATAAATATTTTTGTAAGAGTCCATGGGCATTTTTTTTTATTTATAAATATATGAATTATTTTTATTATAATAAGAAATAAATATTTTTTATTAAAACAAATAAAAAAAAGGACATTAAGCTGAAATGGAAGGTAGCTAATGATAGGTAATGTTTAAGAGTACTGTCTAATAAATTTTTCATAATATTTTAATATTATTTTTATCTATTTTATTTTATATTAATATATTTTTTTTTTTAAAAAATAAAAATTTCATGTTCAAATAATATGGTATAATGAGTATGGATGGAGAGAGAATAATCCACGTTGTCGATTCTGTCCGTCGTACATACTATGTTTTTTTTTTTTTTTAAAAATGATTATGCACTTTAATTTTATTTTAAAATTTTTAATTTTATTTTTTTAAATTTTAATTAAACTAATTAGTTATCTTAATCTTAATTTATAATTATTTATATTATCGAATAATTATTTTTTACTAATACATTTTTAATTATCTACTAATTACACATTTCTGTCTACAATGTAGCATATGTGGGACGGAGGGAGTATATTGTTATTATTTTTTATTAATCAAAAAAAATTGCAGTATTATTTTTTATATAATGTTTTCCTATAAAAAGTAGAAAGTAATTAAAAGTAACATTTTTATTTTAATATTGATTTATAAATATTATGGTATGGCCCAATATTGATTAGGGATTATTTCTTGGCTAAATTGGATCCGGATTAAGTAGGCTTGGCCCGGCCAACATGGGCAACTTGAATTGATAGTTAATTTTACAACTAGTAATGCTAATTATATCAATTATTTTTATAATTTAGGTAGTACCATTTTTAATAAAAATATATTATTTTTATTATAAAATATTATTAAAAAAAATTTAAATTCAAATATAAACCAAATAAATTTTTTAGATGTGTTTATTTGGAAATTGAGCGGGTTGATAGTTTTTTAATTTTCTTTTAAAAAATTTTTAATTGCAAAACAAATCCTTAATATTTTATATAATTATTTTTTTTTATAATTAATAATATTTTATATAAAATATTGTGTTACTTATTTTATTTTATTTTATTTGATCAAATGTCACATTAAAATGAAAAACTCAAGTGTCCAATATATATTAGATTTGTTTGTTTTTAATTTTAAATCCCAAATACTTTAGAATCACTACTATTCATACATACAGGGGCGGAACTACATTCAACCCTCAAAATATATGTATTTTTTTTATGTAAAAATAATAAAATTATATATTTTATAGTAATTTGTCTCTCTTAATTTTTTATTTTGTAATGTAAAAAATCATAAAAATTTTATCCGTTTATTGATTTATACTTTTAATCTTTAAATTTTATTTTTTATAGTTAAAAAAATATTAAATTTTATGTAATTTTATTGAATTTTTTTTAAACATTTAAATTTTTCAATTTTTTAATTTTTTGCCGTGGTGTACTATGAATAAAAAAAAAACAACATTAAATCGATTAAAAAAAAAATCGATTTTATCCCCTCGAACTTTTACCGCTAGTTCGTCACTGCATAGATATATCCATTTTCGAAAATTACTACCATTAAGTTTGTTATTTTATTTTTATACTATTTTTAATCAATAAAATATATATATAAAAGAGTGACCAGACAATAACGCCTCCCCTTTCACTATTATGAAAATATTCAATTTTTAAAATCTCAAATTATTATTTAAATTTTATTCAAAATATCAATTAAACACTAATTTTATTTTATTTTTATTATTTTTATTTCCAAATGTCAAATGTCAAATTGATAAATAAATAAAAATAAAACCTTAAAGTAACACACCTGAAGATTCTTGTCCTCTAATGAGAGGAAAAAACAGTTTCAAGTTGGAGTGGCTTACACGTCTATCTTTGATCTTTAATTATTCAACACATTTCCCATTTCATATATAAGTATAATTTCACAAATATTGCAATTAAACTCATAGTCATCATTTTATGCTATTATTATTCTTTACTTTGACATGTTTCTTTGTCATATAATTTTTAGATATCTTTTTATATATATAAAAAATTATTTTCAATAAATTATTTAGATAATACTATAAAATTCACTAAATAAATACACTGATTCAAAGAAATCAATAATTGACATTTATTTACCATGATGTCAATTAGGAATAAATACAAAAAAAAACATTGTGTTCATTAATAGTTTTTTAAAAATACCAATTAATATTATATATATATATATATAAACATATGCATATATCTACATAATATATATACCCTATCTATTAAAAAAAAAAAAAACAATTCAAAATAAAATCTTATTTTTTATATTACTAAAGATGTTTTTATATTATTGATTATAACATAATTATATAATACATTCTATATAAAAAAAAAAATTAATAGCACATACTTTCAACTAATACAATACTTATCTTGTATTTGCTTTGGTTAGGGTGTTTATTGAAAATTTATTAGCACCATACTGATTACCCTAATCAATATATAAAAATATTATAAATGACATATGAAAATATAATAAATTGTCCATATTATATAAAATATTTCTCCCTCCATCGTGCAAATGTGTGTTCATTTGATCGGGTGCAAGTTTTAATAAAAGTGAGGAATAATTGTTATTTTTTTATTTTATGGTAAAAAAAAAGTACAAAAATGTAATAATTTTTTACTTAAAAAGGTAACAAGAATATTTTTTAATAACAACCCAAAAAAGAAAGTGAACACAGATTTGAACGATGGAGGGAATAGTATGTATTGTCATTTCTATTTTATATGTGAGGTATAAATTTATATCTTCATGTGTTGTTTAATATATACTCCATCCGTTCATTTTCTAATATCCTATTTGATATTTACACGCATTTTTAAGCAATTAGGGTTTTTGTTATAAAATGACAAATTTGTCCTTAATCTTTTGTATAGAAAATGAAAGAGTAAATAAAGTAAGGATAAAAGAGTAAATTTTGTGTATAAAAATAGAAAGATGACAATAATTGTTGGACATTTCAAATAAAAAAGTAGGACGTAAGTTTGTGGACGGAGGGAGTATTATTATATTATCATCATGATACTGATTATATTTAATTAGCACCGTATTATATTTAATAACACCGACATCTTATATTAATTGAAACAATGTCTTGTCTACCTATTTATAAATCGCCACGTTAACCTATATATATATATAAGGAAATGGTTACGGTGAAATATAGAGCAATGAAGTTTGTTCATGATACAAATATGTGTTATTTGTTCATAATTACAACGTATAATGTCATACACTAAAATAAATTATTACATGTATTGTATGAGATTATATTATATATTTTATATTATATTTATATAAATAATATGCTGTCAATAGTAATATCATATGTTATTTAACTCAATTTTAAATTCAGCACTACAATATGTGCCATATATATATATATATACTATTCCAACACATAAAACTCATTTTTGTATTACTCTAAAATAAAACTAATACATTTCAAATTAAATACTCCTTCTTCACCGATCTATCTATTTTGTCATTTTAGTCTGTCCATCGCAAATGTATCTATTTTTTTTAGTAAATTTATCTTCCACTAAAATATAAAATTACCCTACTCTTTATATAATATTACACAAATGTCATCAAATAACACCACTTAATACCATAAATGTTAAAGGGTATAATAGTCTTTATGTATATCAATTATACTACATATCAATATAATATTAATATACTAAAATCTACGTGTAAAAAGTAAACTGATACGGCGGCGGAGGGAGTATATATTTTTAATTAAATTTAAATTTAATTTATTTTTAAAATATTATACTACTACATCATACAATAGTTGAGATTTAAAATTTAAACCCAATTCCAAACAAACACAACATAACGTTGTACGTCGATCGATTTTGACAGTCAGCGGTGGGTTGTCACTTTAAATTCGCCTACAAATTCTCGCGTCCGACAATAAGAAATTTCAAGTCACTCCAGGGACCTCAACTCCCGAAAGATCCAAACCGTTCATATCACAAGATCCCGGAGTATCCTACAAATAAAGAAATGATATCTTCATTCACACAGAATACACATCTTCTTCACGATCTCTTCTCCTCTCTCATTCAATTCCATCGAGCTCCTCCCCGAAGAGCAAAATAATAAAAATATATCATAATAATAGAATAAATTAGATTAGATTAAAATTAGGTGCGTAGGGCATTTAATAATTAATACAGGTGATGAACACCAGCTGTTCGACGAAATTCCTGAAAGAAGAAATGGGTGAAGATTCAGCGATGAGGTGGATTTTAGATTGGACAGATGGGGTCCAATTTGTGAGGAATTTAGGGATCCGATGTCTGAGTTTGGGCGTTTACGTGTGCTTGGCCTTGTCGGGGCTGCTGTTCCTGGAATGGATTCACGTCATGTTTCTGGCGACCATGGCGAAGGCTGTCGGAATAAAGCCTCGGGAAAGGTACAAATGGGAGGATCTTGACGACGGGGATTATGGTTTTCCTATGGTTCTTGTTCAGATTCCTATTTACAATGAAATTGAGGTTAGTACTTTTTATTATTTTCGATGTATACTTTTGGTTATTTATTACTCCCCCTTTTCGGCTAGAAAATATATATATTTTTATTTTGGATTCTCAAATTACAAAATAATTATTTTTTTAAATACCTTGTATTTTTACCAATACTCTTACTTTACATCGTATGTTTTATAAAAAAATGTAAAGGTAAAAATATTTTTAATATGCTCATATAATTTGGATACAAGTTTTAATAAATACTTAATGGTTGATCATCATATAAAATAAAAGCATTTTAGGAATGAGTTAAGGAGGTAATAAAATTTTTTGGATAAATTGAATGCGTAGAATTTAATGACATATATTTAAATAAGTAAAATATTGAACAATATAAATTACGGAATATTTAAGATTTATTTATTATAAATAAAAGATACATAGGAGTATTTTTTTTTTTTTTTGTAAAAAAAATAAATAAATATATTTGGTGATTAGGTATTTGTTGTTATGTTTTGTGAAATAATAATAATAATTGATATCACATATATATATATATATATTTTAAAAATCAATGGTGAACTTTATTTATATAAGTGTAAACAGAACCTATAATAATTTTTATTTTGATTATTTAATTTTTATTTTGATTATTTTGATTTTACTTTTTATTTGAAATAATATTTTGTATTGAATTATTGAATTTTATAAGTAGATAAAATATATATATACATGTTATACATTGTATAAGTATGTGTATTTATTGAATTTTTTAATAATATTAATCAAAAAAATATATTATAAATTTTTGGTTTGGTGAACCTATATTTTGATAGTTTTGTTTTGTACCAATTCACCTTTATTATTATTATTTTTTGAATTTATTTTAGAAATTACAATTTATAAGGATAAAAGAGGAAAAAATGGTATAAATGAAGAAAAAGTTTGAATATTTTGAGAGATGTTTCAAATTAGAAACAACAATAGTAAATAATGAATGACTATTTTTTTTAAAAAAAAAAGCAAAAAAAGGAAAAATGGACGGACGGGGTATATTCTTAGTTCGATTTATAAAATAAAATGGAAATTGAAATTGAAATTGAAATCGAAATCGAAGTTGAATGTAGTATAAGTAATTAATGTATGTGGTAGTTGGTGGAGTGGTGCAGGCTTATAAGATATCGATTAGGGCGGCGTGTCGGCTGTCGTGGCCGTCGGATCGGTTCGTCATTCAGGTTTTGGATGATTCGACGGATCCCGTTATCAAGGTATGCGCATATGTATATGTAATCCTATATTAACTTGGATTCGTCGTGAAACCAAAAACCATGGTGTTTGTTGGCTTGTGATTTTATTTTTGTTGTTAAAATAATTGTTTGATACGATATTTTGAATGAACAATAACTATTTAAAATAATTTTTTGAGAAAAAAAATTATAGATTGTATAGTAGAAAAATGATGTAACTGAATAAACCGATGACTTTGTTTACTTGTGTTGCCATTTTTTTTTAATTGTTGTTTAAAATAATTTTATAAAAGGTAAACTGATTTTTAGTACATATCTGATTCCTTTATTATTTTAGAATTTTAAATGAACTATTTTTTAAAATAGTACGTAAGTAAATTTTTTTTTTTTGCTAAAATGGACATTTGGTGTCAGATTCTCTACGCTGGCTCGCCGTTGTTGATGTAGTGTCGACACGCCTGACATGTCATCGCCATGTTGACGCAGCATCATCAACACATGAATTTTTATTTTTTAAATTTAAAATGGCGATGGTAACTTAAAAAAAAAAATCACATGTCGCTGATATAGCGATAACATTTCAGCCGCGTCAGTGTCACGTCAACAACAACGGGCCAGCGTGGCGAATCCGACACCAGGGGACCATTTTAGCGAATTTCTTTTTTACTTGAAGGATTATTTTTAGATAGAATTTATTTAAAATCTTAAAATGATAAAGAGAGTATGACTAAAAAATAATTTACCTTTTTACAAATTATAAGGGTAAAAAAGAAAAAAATTTGGGATAAAACTATAAAACTAAAATAGTGTTTTAGTTTGAGAATTTTTTTTTTTTTTTTTTTTTTTTTTTTTTTTTGTGTTTGTGAGGTATGAGTAATTGTATCGAAAAATAAATAATAATATTTTGAATTGAATCGTTAATTTATATGAAATAATAAAATATAAATATTATAAATATTGAGAATCGTGTAAAAAAAAAAAATCAATCACTAACATAAATGTTAATTATGTAATAAAACATACACGATGTATTATATATATTTATCTTTAAAAGTAAATAATGCATATGCAATTTATCGTAATAATACGAAGGTTTGTAGGCTATGGTAGAGAAAGAATGCGCGAGATGGGCGCAAGAAGGTGTCAACATTAGGTACCAAATACGAGAAACAAGGGCCGGCTACAAAGCCGGAGCCCTTAGACAAGGCTTATTACACGACTACGCTAAAGCGTGTGAATATGTTGTCATCTTCGATACAGACTTTCAACCAGATGCCGACTTTCTCAAGCAATCGATCCCTTTTCTCGTGCACAACCCCGAGCTTGGTCTAGTACAAGCTAGATGGAGGTATGGTAAGAATCTAGATTTTTCTTTAAATTTTTTACATATTTTTTTATTAATATTACAAGAAATATAATAGGTACACACATTCATACAATATATTCTATTGATTTACCAAAATCAACAATTCAATCAAAATATTATTTATTTTCTATTATCAATATATTTTTCCTTCTCTAGTATAAAAAACATTTCGATAAAAAAATTCCTAAACAAATAAAAGATAAGCCCTTATTAGTTTCATTTTATATATAATTAATATAAAATTAGTATTTTTAATTATTTATTTTATTATCTAAATTTATTTTTGAGTTTGTTTGGTACTATTATCAATAAAAATATATTATTTTCTTTCGTAATATAACAAATTAATATTCATCAAATAAAAAATTTGAATTTAAATAAAAACAATTTTTTAACATATATTTTTATGTTATACATATTTATTAATTTTATTTTATATATACATATTGTAAAAATGGACCCCTAAATTTTTGGGGCCTAGGCATGGCTGGCCTTGAGTCCTATATTTATGTCTAATTATTATTTTTATCTCATATATTGTATGATTTTATTCTGATTTTTATTTAAAGAATATTTTAATATAATATTTTATAAAGAATATATTATATTTTTTATTAAAGATTATAAAAATACATTTTAGCAAAAAAAAAAAAAAATTGAAAGCGAGGGCAAAAAGAACTGGGCAGAAAGAATCGACCCTTTGGTCTTGTACATTACGAAAAAGCATCCGTACATCCGAGGAAATACCTCGGACAAAAGTTATACTCGGCTAAATTCGTAATTTCCCCCTAATAATATCACATCTAATATATATTTTTGTCGTTTTATGTGAAATAGAAGCACACAATTGTAATATAATTTCGAAGATAATTATCCCAAGTTTCTTCCTCTTATGTAGTGAATGCGGATGAGTGTTTCTTGACGAGGATGCAAGAAATGTCGTTGGACTATCATTTTGTAGTTGAGCAAGAAGCAGGGTCATCATTCCATTCGTTCTTTAGTTTCAACGGTGAATCCTAAATCATACATAAAATAATATAAACCGAGTTAAATAGTTTGATTGAACTATATATATGGAAAAAATTTGTCAATACATGTTATCGAATTTCCCTTTAATTTAGGGAGTGGAGGAATTTGGAGAATTGCTACAATCAACGATGCCGGAGGTTGGAATAGCCGAACCACCGTGGAAGACATGGACCTCGCCGTTCGAGCTGGGCTCAAGGGTTGGAAATTTCTTTATCTCGGCGAATTAGAGGTATATAGTAAATTTAATTTAATGATTTTGGCGCGGCGCAATTTATTGAATTTGCGCGAGAAATGTATATGGTAATGTGGTAGTACATTTTACAATAATTTTATTTTGATAGGTGATGAGTGAACTTCCGAGTACTTTCAAGGCCTACAGGTATCAACAACACCGGTGGTCGTGTGGGCCGGCAAATTTATTCCGGAAAATGGTGGTAGAGATTACAAAGAATAAGGTTTGTTCATCAATCCAACTTTATATAATGATGAATTATATAATAAAATTTAAATAAAATATTTGTACATTTTTAAATTAAAACTCATGTACTTTATCCGTTGAAAAAAGAGAATTATTTATGTTCTAGAATAGATTGAATGTTTTTATTGTGATTGAAAAAAAAAAAAATCACCACCAAAGGTACAAAATATTTGATTGTTTTTATTTTATTTTCCTTTCCATTTTGTGTCATTGAAAATGATCTCTAAATAGTGATTATTTGGTATTATGTGATAAAATGGTTGTTAGATATAATATTTCTAAAACAGAATTGAAAGATTGAGATGCGTTCAATCGGTGACTTTTTAGAAAATTTATATATTTTCTGATTTTAATCTTAATTTAAATAGTAGACCGAATGTGATATTTTGTAAATAAAAACAATATACTTTTACAATAAAATCATAAGAATTTAATAGTAAAAAAACTAAAAATAGTTCAAAAACCGCGAGCTTGAGCTTGAATAATAATAAAATTTTGAAAAAGAAAATACAAAGTGGACAAAGCTAGAAAGTAATTTTTCAAAGTGAATGTTGGTTCTAGGAAGTGTCACTGTGGACAAAGGTATACATGGTATACAACTTCTTCTTTATCCGGAAGATCATCGGCACGATGTTCACTTTCTTGTTCTACGGTGTCGTGTTACCATGTGTATGTCTTTTGCCGGAAGTTGATGTTCCAAAATGGGGAGCCGTTGCGGCTACATTCCTTATTGCTACCGTAAATGCACTTGTCTCGACTCCAAGGTCATTTACAATTTATTTTTTTTCGCTCTATGGTTTAAAAAAAGCCTACGCATTTTGCATTGTTTCACGTATTAATTTTCATTCGGAAATTAATAGGTCACTTCATCTAGCCGTTCCATGGATACTTTTCGAGAATGTGATGTCATTCCATCGAGCCAAGGGCTTAGCAATCGGTCTACTCGAGGCCAAGAGGGCTAACGAGTGGGTAGTTACAGAAAAACGCGGCGACGCCCTCAAGAACCAAAATGACCTCGAGTCTAGTTTACTAAAGAAGCCCGTGCGACTTGATCGTTTTCGCGACAGGTAAAATGATTTTCGTTTTGGTTGGAGGATTTTTGTTCCGAATTTTACTATTCATTAAATTTTTTTCCTCAAAAATATCAAATCAAATACTACATCAATCTCAATAAAAGAATAACATCTGCGTTTTGCACGTAAATTTTTTAATATTAATATTATAGCGGGTTGTAATAGAAAGACAAAAATACTCTTATTTATATTGTGTAATAAAAAATAATGACATTTGTATAATATATTGAAAATTGTAAAGATATTTATTATGTTAGGTAAGTAGTACAATTACTATATATATATTAAGAAATCGTATCATTGTTTTGGAATGGACAAAAATATAAAATAAAATTTTTCTTATGAAACGGAGGAAATACATAAAATTTTTTATATTATATTAAAAATTAATTTTATATTAAAAAAGAGCAGAGTCAATTATTTTTTAACAAAACTTATAACCGATCAGACATGTGAAGTAGTAATAGGTATAATTTTCGATGGCAGAATACTAGCACAAGAGCTGGGGATTGCGGCATTTCTTTTCGCCTGTGGATGCTACAATGTTGTCTATGGAGACGACAAATATTACATATATCTCTTCCCGCAATCTATCTTTTTCACCGTTGCCGGATTCAGCTTGTTCGGCACCGTTGTTCCGAGCTACCAGCTGTACTAATCTAACATTAGTTGATTCTTAGGTATATATTGCTAACCTCTACCTAAAACATATGTATGTATATATCCAAATTGTCTTAAAATTAAGGGAAAAATTACTTATAATCCGCTAGTGGTTTAGAAGGTCTATATTATACTCCAGTGATTTAGAAATTACACAAAGATTTTTTCATATTGTAAAAATATTGCATAGAATTTCTTAAAAATTGTATAAGACACTCTTGTATTTTTTTAAAAATATTGCAAATTTTAAATTATAATGAAAAATGATAGACTTTTCAAATCACAAATAGATCATAAGTAATTCCGCTGAAAATCAAGGTCATGATTTTATGTCTTGGCCGATTATATATATTTTTGTATTCTTTCAAATTTGTTAAAATATATTTAGAAGCAATATATTATATTTATGGTAGTTATCTTATTTAAGAGATCCGTAAGATTGTTGTCTTATTTAAATGATTTATATATCACTATAAATATGTATGTATTCTTATTATTGAAATAGAGAATTTCAGTTTCATATTCTAACATGGTATCATAGTCAAATTCTCTCAGGGTACCTCCATTACCCGTTTTATCCCGTATATATTTTTATATTTTATTAATGTATTTGCTTCTATCCAAGATCATGATGTTATTTTCATGTCGTCTTCGCCTCTACTACTCCACTGATAGAGTCTACTTTTGACTCTAACGCTGTTGAAGGTCTTGTTTTCAACTCTAACTCTATTGAGAGCGAGGGAGTCATGTTTCCGACTTTAGTTCCGTTATGAACGAGCGAGTCCTGTTTCCGACTCTAGCTCTATAGAGTGAGCGAGTCATGTTTTCAACTCTCGTTCCGTTGTGAACGAGCGAGTCATGTTTCCAACTCTAACGGTATTGAAAGTTCTGGTTCTGACTTTGATCTAGTAGACGGCTACACCACTTTCCGTCAATCTTGGCGAAGTCAAATTCGTACGTAAAATATCTCGGTTATATCTTTTTTTGCCATTTCTAACAAACTCAAGTTTGTTCCATCGTATCTTCAATTTGAGGAGGGGTGTTAAAATATATTTAGAAGCAGCAATATATTATATTTATGGTAACTATTTTATTTAAGAGATTTGTAAGATTCTTGTCTTATTTAGACGATTTATATATCATCATAAATATGTACGTATTCTTATGATTGAAATAGAGAACTTCAGTTTCATATTAATTCTAACAAAATTCATTATTAATTATGTATTAGGAAATTGATTATGTATATTATATTGTTATTTTGGTTGTGTTCTCATTTTTATTTTTTTATTTTTCGTCCAAAAATATCATATTTGATATTCATTTTTCATACGAACTATCACTAGTTGATCTAAATATTTTTTTTGGAAACAAAAATACAAAACGTAAATAAAAACACACATATAAAACAATGCAAACAATTTCTTCCCTGAGCCCGAGACAAAGGGCAATAATGCACAATATTTCAGGCTTTATTATTATTATATATTTATTTTATTTTTTATTTAATTGTCACATGTGATTCGAAAGCATCTATTTAGCACAATTTTCTTGGAATATTCATAAATAATTTTAATTTAAAAATATTACACTAAATATCTATTGTTTATTTAAAAATTAATATTAAAGATTATTATAGTATTTATTTATATTAAATCAAGTTTTAAAAAATATGTTTAACCATAACAAGAATCACATATGAGTAGAGTAGGTTGGGTGTTTGTCGTATCAATTTTTCTATTTTTTTTAATAATAATAAATATTTTTATATAATTTAAAAATTCTAAAATAAATTTTGCAGAACTAATTTATGTTAATAACATAAAATATCATATATATAGTTATTTCTCTTATATAGTATAATTTTTTATTTTTTATAAAAAAAATTGTTTGTATTGAATTAATATATTTAAAAGATGTAGTAGCTTTTAACATACTTCAATATACAATTTAAAATATGTTTATTGTGATTTCAAATCAATTTCAAATTACAATGAAACAAATTTTTTTTTTTTCAAAAGCAAATATATAGTATACCATAACTCAAGAATTAACCAAATAAATAAAACTTAATTTCAAAGAGTAAAATCCAAACTTTTTTCTACCACATTACTAAATAAAAATAAGGGTAAATTATCCCCTTATCATTTTAGTCTCGTAAGTAAAGTTTGTCACAAACTAGTCCCATAAATGAAATTTTTTTATTATTTTAGTCCTCCAGCACCGAAGACGCCCGCGTGGCTCGCCGGAAGCCACGTGTCTGCCAGGTCAGCGACACCTGGCGGACACGTGGATTTTATTATTTTTTAAAAAAAAAAAATAATTTTTTTTAATTGGATCAAATAAAAAAAATTAAAAAAGGCAAATAAAATTAAAAATCAATTTAAAATCAATTTTTAAAAAATGAAAAAAAATAATAAAATCAACATGTCTGCCAGGTGTCGCTGACTTGGCGGACACGTAGCCTCCAGCGAGCCACGCAGGCGTCTCCGGTGCCGGAGAACTAAAATAGCGAAAATTTTTCACTTATGGGACTAATTTTCAACATGCTCCACTTACGGGACTAAAATGATAAGGGGATCCAGTTATGAGACTAAAAAAAACAGTTTAGCCTGAAAACAATAACAATTAACCTTGTGTGCTCAACACTCATCATGTGATGTCTGAAAAATGAAATTGAAAGAGAATATCACCACACATTGATAGTTTGTACGATTTGCTCTTTTAGCCAGAAGTTGCTCATCCCTGTGGGGTTGTAATAAATATTCTCTTATCACTATACCAATCAAACATATAATATATATATACATATACATACATTTGCCAACCTGTAGTATAATTACAAATACATAATATGAACTAACAATATGGAATAATAATCCACATAGAGCAATGCCCTAAGAAGTACTTGGTTTCTATGTGGTGATTAACTAATGAACTGAACACTTTTACCGCCCGTTGTACGTACCTAGTAAATTTGAACATTTGATCATATATCTGATGTCGCAATAAATTTTTCTAAAATAAAATATTATTGTTTCAATGTAAATTGGCATGTTTTTTCTTTTTATTTTTTCCTATGAGTCACAGAGAAAAACTACTGAATAATTCTTATGCATTTTCACTAGTAACTTTTTAAAATTATGATATTTTTGTAACAATAAATTATTAGATGATATCATGACACATTCGTAGCTTTATATAGTAACAAAATTGTGACTATTTTATCACAAAAGTTGTAGCAATATTATAATTGTTTTTAATATTGTCACAAAAAGTCGTAGCGTAAATATTGTGCGCATTGCAGTCACTACTCTACTTGGATAAGCCAACCACACTACTTGCAAGGTTCAAAGTGGTTCAACTATAAATTGCAATGGATACAAAATAAACATGTAAAGGAGAACTAAATCGTTATCATAGTCGTGTTTTTTTTTTTTGAACATGCAAACTTAATGTTTTGTGTATGATCAATTATCACTTTTATTTCATGTGTTTTTCGAGTTCTATTTTGGTCAATTATCTCTCAACTAATTGTAACTATGAATATATATTATTTACTTTAAATTTTTATTTCCTTGTAAAATGCCTTGCATCAATTCATAAAAACCTCCCCCCCCTCCCCTCCTTTTTTTTTTTTTATTTAATTTGGCACATATCTTTCATTCAAAATATATCAAATGTCAATTTTCTTTTTTTCTTTTTCTAATATCGAATCATTACGGATTTTTTTTCACAATATATCACATGCAAACCGCCGTTCAAATGAAAACTAAAAAAAAAAAAAGTAAAAGAAAAAAAAAAAAAAATCCTTACATATGATGCATTGTAAGTTGTAACTGTGTGTATCTGATCCATCAATCCTCAAGAAATTTGCAAGGCATGAGGGAGTATTATATATATTATTATAAACTTTATATTATTGACTTATACTTCGTGTGGTTATCAGTCTATATGTCATGTGTATTCAATACAATGTTATATATATATATATATATATTAATGTAGAATCATATCATATATGTGGTGAACCTTTCAAAGGGGAATATCCTCTGCTCATCTGCATGCCCATTATGGTCCACCTTCACACACACACACGTATACGTGCGTGTGTGTGTGTTTGTGTAATTAAGGGTATAAAGCAGAAGGACAATGTGCATCAATCCTAGTCATACATTTCTTTCATGTTTAATTTGTGAAGTGATGTTTTTGTTACACTTGAAAAAAAAAATTCCCTCAAGAATCATTTTATTTTATTACAGAACTAATTAAATTAAAAAGGGTTTCGTATAAAATAATGAAACCAGGTTTGAATCTTTTCCTAACCCAAGAAAGACAGTCGACAATCAAACATAAGATCTCATATTCCTAAGAGCTCTTTTGTAATTTGATAATATAATTAATTCACTAATCTCGATCGTCTGCATAACCCTAATTGTTTATTAGTCAAGAATTAGGCTTTATATATAAATTAGTGAATGACCAAAGATAATGGAAGCCCAGGTGATCAAATAGTTTTAAAATCAGAAATTTTTTTTTTTAAAAAAAAAAGTTAAAAATAATTATCAGATGAGATCTGTTACCAGTTAATTTGATTATCTGCTGATTTTAATTTAGTTCACACGATTGGTGTTTGCCATTCCTGTCTGTCTGGATCGTAGCCCTAAAAAGATTAGAAAGAAAATAATTAAACATAGGAGGAAATTAAAGATAAAAATAAAAATATATTATTTTTATTACTATTCATATATATATATCCTACCATTGATTATAGAAGAGAGGATTTCCGTGGACTTAAATCGCGGCCGTTGATTTTCTGCTAGTTCGACGCTAGCCGTTGATTGCCAATGCAGCATCATCAAGATTCACACCACTTTAAAGGCTTTAGTGAAGAGATGAGGCATATGAAGAAGTAAGATGAACATTATGCATAAATATTTTATATATATATTTGAAAAATTATCACCACAATACCCTAATTTAGATGTGAATCTTTGATGATGCTACACTAGAAATCAACGACTTCATTTAATCCCAATTCAAATCTCGAAAAGAACATATAATAATCTCAAATAGTAAACACAAGTTTGAAAAGAAACCCTTCAAATCGAAGAAGACAAGAACTAATCGAAGTACACAAGTTAAGCGAAATAATTGGCTAACTAACAAATCGAATAAATTTAAACGATTTTCGAAACTTATTTCCATTTCACCAAAAGGAACCCTATTTTCATTTCCATTGCTCAAAAAATATATTTGAAAACTTCAATTTTTTTATCAAAAGGGTGGCTATTAGATAACCCTAAAAACATTAATAAAAATAAAAATAAAAGTATTGAATAGATTGAAGATCTTGTTTGGCCAGATTTAACCATCAATTTAAACTGAACTACCTAATAAATTTAAAAAGTAGTTAGAATCAGTGAAAGACAATCAATAATAGTGTGAAGATTTGATCAATCAAGAAAGGTTTAATTAAAAACAAATATATATATATATATCCGATAATTAATGTTATCGAAATTAAGATATGAACAACAATTTGAAATATAGAATTGGATAAGAGTGAAGAAATTAATCAGAGAAGCCAAAATTAAAAATATGAAGTTAGTAGATCTGAAGAATTAGGTTTAGGAAGAAGAAGAAGAGGAATGAAAAGTAAGAAGCCCTTCAATTCTTGGATGGATTTGGAGAGGAAAGAGTTAGGGAAGTCACACTATGGGGGCATTTATTTATTTATTTACTTATCGATATATATACTCATCATAGATTATAGTGTATCTATTTTGTGCTCTATCGGCGGATTTAGAATTTTTTTTTTTTTTTTTAACTGTCCCAAACAAGGTGCAACATTTGCTTTTGGCACGGGTTTTTAGGTGGGTAGTATTAGGTAGGATAATTTAGAAATTGAGTGATGTGATGGAGAGAGAAATATATATTTTATTTTTTTATTTGGATGATGTGAGGGGATAAAATGTGCGCAGAGATTAAGTATAATTAATTATTTTTTATTTTGGAAATGAGACTGTAGTATATTAATTATTTTTTTAAAAGAAAATGTGTTGAAATTTTTTTTTTTTTTTTCAAAAGAAACAAACCCTAAAATAATTTTAATTTTAATAAAACATCAATTACTATTCATAATATAGAAAAATAATAATGTTATATTGTTTTTTTACATTTATATTTTTAAAATATAAATTCATCTTTTTAATTTGATTAAATTTTAATTATTTAAATATTGATGGCATTTTGAAATTTTAAATTTTAAATAGTCAATTAATTTTTTTTGAATAACAAATATTTCAAATTTAAAATGGAATAATAAAAAAAAATTATGATAATAAAATTACTAAATTATAAAAAAAATTATTTTTACAAAATAAAATTATCGGTGGCAACCACTCTTATACCCATGGAGATCCGCCCATAGATTAGCTAAGAATATTTATATTTACATACACAGAATTGTTAGAATGTTGCTTAATCCTAATTAGAGCCAGCAATGGGTCCATTCGTGTCGGGGTTGAATGCTTTAAACGGGTTAAATTACTCAAACTTAACCCGACTTGTTTATTATCGTATCGGGTTCGTGTCAATCCGTATACATAATCGGGTTAAAATATTTGACCTAAACTCAATTATTTCGTGTCGGATCAGTTTTTGCCAGCTTTGCTCCTAATCAGTAAATTATAATAATGTACACAATATATAGTTGCAATTAAAAAAGCATGTGTTATATATATATATATATATTGTCGGATCATGTGTCGTATGTTTCATTTTTTATCACGTATTGTCAAAATAATATTGATTAAATTTAATTAGCACCGTAACTACCGCTATATATTATATATAGACGCTGCTTTGTTCTTTTTGAGAAACATTTTCAATATTTTTACTTTTCGATTTATAAAAATATGTTGAATTATATATTAATCTGTTGCTTTAATAAGAGTGAAATGTTGTTATTTATTTATTTTTTTTAAGTTTTAAAAAATTTAAAAGAACCTATGCTTGTGGTGTTGATAGCTATGCATTATAATTAATTACTATTCCCTCCGTCCCAGGTAATATGGGTGAATTACTGTAGATACGGGAGTACAGTATAATTAGTAAGTAATTAAGAAGTGTATTAGTAAAAATAATTATAGATTAAGATTAAGATAAGTAAATAGTTTAATTAAAATTAAAAAAATTATAAAATTTAAAATTTAAAATGCGATTAAAGTGCATAATTATATTTCCAAAAATAGAAATGACAAGTTACGTGGGACGGACAAAAATAGAAAATAGGGACAAATTATGTGGGACGGAGGGAGTAGTACTTAGGGTATATGATAGTTGTTTTGGAGCTTAATGTGAATTTTTCTTTTATTTTTATTACACAATTATCATACTTTTTAATAAAAAAAACTAAATTATTTCATTTCACAAAATATCGTATTTAAATTAGTTCTAAAACAAAATCAATATTTACAAGAATGCACCCATGAAATGCTGACCTATAATATATAATGTATTGATTAGTGTTATGTGATTTACTTATGATGTTAAATTATTCCATTATTGAATATAATGTCAATATATGATATGTTGAACAAATTAGTTTATATTTAAAATATTTCTTTATTTATATATACATATTGTAGCTATATATATTGATTTACAATATATATATATATCTTTAGTCTGCCAAAATTATGCAGTAATTTTTTTCGTCGTCCGTTAAACTTGTGCACAAATGGTTTATACTAAACAATTTTATCTGTCATTGTTTTAATATATAATAATTAATTTTTCACTATTTTTTTCTACTTACTCTATTATTATTTTTTTTAATAAATCGTTATAATAGATTTTTTGTAATTTTATTTACTTTTTATTTACTTTACTTTAATATTAAAATATTATTATTTTTAAGTATTCGTACGCAATCAAATCTGCATAATTTTACTGGACTGATAAAGTATATATATATATATATGTATGTGAGGCATCCTATGTACTTTTGATGGATTGAGATTTTCAAAATAGTGAGTGATTGAGATTAGAATAATCGACTATCATTTTCTTATGAACCCTAAAAGAATCTATCAAAAAAAGCACATTAAAAAGTAAATAAAATTGTAATAAAAATCCTGAAGGTAGATCTGATCATGGGTAGGGCTCACCATAGTACAAAATTATATGGCTACCATTATATAATGGGTAGCATTATATGTATGTACATATATATATATATATGTGGACCAAACTAACATGTTGAAACCACACAACATTAATATCATAACAAAAAAAAAATAACAAAAATGATGATAACGAAAATTTAAAAAAAAAAAAAAAAAAAATTGTTCATAATCAATTTAATTTAATATTAATTTTTTCTTACGTATGTACGTTTAATTAGTTAAAAAGCATTTGATGAGCAGCAGTAGTGCATATAGAACGTAACTATATATATATATATGCTAGAATATGGATGTCAAATGGGGCGGGTTAACCGGACCCGCTCTTAATTGGGCGGGTTCAGGTCTAAATAATATATTTCGGGGCTTGTGGATTTAAAATTTTAAACCCAGCCGGGTTCGGAACGGGTTACGGGTTTTACTAAAAACTCGTCCCAACCCGGACTCGGATATTTTTTTAAATTATTATAACTAATATATATGTACATTTATATAATAAAAATATATTATTTATTTACTTAAATAATTTTAAATATAAAATTCAATTAGTCGCCTGTTCTAAATAATTTTTTAAAATTATTATATTTAATATATGTATATTTATATAATAAAAATATATTATTTATTTATTTATCTTATTTTTTATGGATCAATATTAGATTTTTTTAGATTTTTTTTTGTGCTTTTAATGTTATTTGTTTTAGTATTCGATTGTTAAAAAAATATTTATTATTATATATTTTTTTAAAAAACGAGTTTGTCTGGTTGGCCCCGAACCCGGAGGGTTCGGGCAGGGCGGGGCGGATCCTAGGGCTGGGTGGAACCGATGCGAGACGGGTCTCGGAGCCTAATATTTTCTAGCGGGGCGGGTCTCGGAGCCTGCAGAACTCGTCCCGAACCCGCTCCGTTGACATCCCGATGCTAGAACTCGGCAAGACTATGCTGCACGAGTGATTTGTAATTCAAAAAAAATTGTTATGTATTATTATAAATTGAAAATAATTCATTAAAAATATATAGATATTTTCATTAATGATCTACATGCGTAATCTTCTTTTAGACATATTTTTATTTTGTTTGGCAAGATACCAATTCTTCAAGAAATAGTGAAAAGTCAATTTAAGATAAGCAATAAAGCATAAAACAAAAGTATATATATATATATATATAGATATGTATTGGCTGCGGATTTCCACGTCATTCAAATATATATATATGAATAATGTGATTTATTTTGTCAGGTTTAATTTGCAGTATAGTAGGTTCCGTCAGCGGATTTATCTAATGCGCACTTTCGGATAGCCATTAGAAATTTTCTACATAATTAAAATATATATATATATATATGAAAATAAATTTGGTGAGACATACCCATACAAATACAAATAATATTTAATAATACTATATAATATAATAATAAAATAAGTAATAATAAATTATTTTTTTAGGGCAAATAGTGTAGAAGAAATTTAGGAAACAAGATAAGGGTATTTATATAATTCTATGTAGCCATCAAATTTTAGTATTTTTAGGATGTGTTTTTGATAACCAAGATGAATAATACTATTTTATTATTTACTATATATTATTATAATTCGGCATAAAGTAAAATTTAATATAAAGAGTATTTTACACCTAATTTATTATTAATTTTAGCATTTAATTAAAAGGTATTTTAAGTAAAATTAATAATCTTATGCAATAATCCATTATAATAAATAATATTGATTCGTTATAATAATACATATATTATAATCATATCCTACAAAGTCAGCGCACTCATATGGTATATATTTATCAAAACCTTAACTACTTATGCTATCTTTGAACTAAATTCCATTTCGATTACAATATTATTTTGTGGTTTTATTTTTATTTTGTATCTTTTAAAATAAAATAGACTTTTGATGAGTGTTTTGTGTGTTAAAATTTTGATATTATTAGATGTACTATTTGATAGTAAAAACATAGGTTAAAAATTTATATATATATATATATATGTTGTATTTTTCTGGTTTTGCAATTTAAATATGAATTATTTTACCAATGAATAACAAGTATTAGATTTTGTTCGATTGCATTAGATTTTGTTCGGTTGGTTTTTACACACCGTATCTTTTCTTTTTCATTTGTGATGATATTAAAAACCGCAATCGCTATTATATCAAATTTGAATTTGTAATTGTCTTTTAGACCAAAACTTTATCAACCACAAACTCAAATGCTCCTTTTTGACAAATCTTTAGTTTAACTTTATGGTATCTACATACATTAAAATAAAATCGATCATATTTTCTAATGTTGCCTATTCATACCTATAATCTCTGTTTATATAGATATTTTTAAAAAATTTAATATTATTTGTTAATAGTATATCTTTTGCGAATATTATATTTTATCTGTCCCTCAAATTTAGAGATATTTCATTTGTTACAAATGAACTATAAATGAAATGTTCTTAAATTTAAATAGAGTAACAGAAATTTATTTTATGAAATAATTCAGCAGAGTCTCATAATACATAATATATAATTCCGTAAGAATAATATGATGGTGTGGGGACTTGTGAATGTGAAATTATTGCTTCAAACTTTCGATGTCTCGAGGTCTTATATGTCATACATAGTTTCCTTAGTCTGATTTAATTTGCAGATTATTAAATTCAATCAGAAGTTTATCCCGGAGTAGCCTTGTTGTCTCGTGAATAATAGTCTGATGGTGTAGGAGAGTGAACTTGTGATCGTGAAGTCATGGTTCAAACTCCGATGCCTCCAAGTCCACCTGCCACACATAGTTCGACTTGTCTTGTCTTTTCAGACCTAATTTACATTGAGAATTTATCCCGTGCGTATTTTCAAATAGCGGATGCGAATTTCCACGTTAAAATAAAAAAAAAAAAAAAAAAATTGTTGCAGCTAGCGAGCCACTGAAAAGTTCGGGTCACGTCCGTACGGTCGTTGAGAATACTTATTTGGTGGGCCAAACCACCGCTCTCTCTTTCTCTCATACATCCTTTCCAATCACTCTTTTTTCTTTTCTTTCTTTTTCTTTTTTAATTATTTGTAAGTTTTTTATTTTAATTTTACGATATATCAAATTAATATTTATTTTTTATTATTTTACATTAAAAAAATATCAAAAATATCATATTAATATATATTTATATAATATTAAATAATTATTTTAATTTAAAATTGTCGGGATCTCGACAAAATTTTAGAATTTAAATAATTATTTGATGTAAATTTAAATTTTATTTGGTATTTTTGAACAACACAAACTGTTTATAAATGGAATTGTTGTTTTGAAACAAAGAAAGTATAAAATATGCATTTCGTATATATTTGTATTATATTACCATAAAAAATAGCACAAAAAACTTTTAACAGTTACATCTTTGTTTCAATTATATCCTCAATACTAAGCCAAAAAAAAAAAAAAACTCTAAAATACATACATACAACAATGTGTTGGATCCAAATACGAAACCGAAACCGAACCGAATCGGAGATGACGACTAATTCTCGAGGGATATAACTATCCGTTCCCGCTGCCGCCACATTTACTGCACAGCCGACCCGACGAGCACTTGCTGCAGTAGCTCCATTTCTTCGGAAGACTGTCATCAAACACAAACACAAATGCGATATTTACGACGAATACAATATGGATATACACACATATACGTACATACGATCTTGTATATATATATATATATATAACCAACCTACCCTGCTGTGTATCTCGTCGCCATATTCTTGGCCATCAGTCGCGCCTTCTCAGCATTTTCCTCCGACATTCTCTTAACCACGAACCCTTCGCCGTTGCATTCAGGGCAAACTCCCGAGCCTCCACAGTCGACACAGATCTTTCTAGGAGCCTGTTCATTACAATCAACTAGTTAAACTTATGCGCAATCCATTTATGGTAAATAAATTTATCCGCCCAACAATTTTATTACCATTGCTTTAACAAATATGTGCATAAGCATTTAAGTGGTCACATTTACCTCGCTTTCGTCGGAATTCTTGTTTTTTCCAACCAGGAATGTCGCAGCTGCACCGACGATTGTAGCAGCAACTGCGACAGAGGCTGCTGTCTCGGGTAGTGCAGATAGTGTTCTTATCACTGCTTCTCGACTACGTGTGGTAGACTTATTTGCCTTTGGAGAAACAATGTTGGGTGAGAATTTGGACTTCGGATTTCCAGCTTTTTCAGAAAGAACAAAGAAATTAGCCCAAGTTATTGTCATTACAGCGGTGCAGTGAACAAAAATATTACAAGAGAACTCAAGTTATAAAGATCAAAGTGCATTCTTGAATACGGACAAAAAATTAAATGATAAATAAGAGAAATAGAAAAAAGACTTGGGCTTTTTCACGATTGAGGAACTACTAAACTCAATCACTTGTTGCTGTTACTCTTCAGTTCGCTCTGTTGCTATAACATGAAAGTTTGACACATTGACAAGTGAAAGAAAGTGAGTAACATAGCTGAAAGAAATCCTTAAATCATTAAACTCAATAAATTTGGTTAACATTTGTGAATCAAAGCTTTTTTCTATGCATTTAATCATTGATATATTTTCAACAAAGGGGACGGAACTTCTATTTCTAAAAGGCTCGAGAATGGCCATTCGGTTTTCTAAAATAGGATCACGTAAATTTAGATAATTTCATGTATTGTTAAAAATTCAAAAGTTATCTTCACAACATCATCTAATAATTGTCTACTACAAAATCAAGGTTGCAAATGCCTTTATAAGGTAATAACTAGTTATGAAACCACTTCCCTTGAAACTTCCATGGATTTCTATTCCTTCTTGCAGACTCTATCATAACACATTTCAAAAGTTTGATGTAAGTAACTATGGATTGAAAACATTCACAACAATTATTATTTCGAATATTTCAGTCATTTTGAAAGATTAAACTTTTTTGTCGGAATTGGACAAAATACGCACGATTCATTTGAAACAGTCCAATGAGTCAAAATCACAGCTTTGCCATAATGTATGATGTTTTTTGGCAATCCAAAATGGTTTCAGATAGACAATTTCTACTTTCCACACTATTTTTTAAAATTTTGTAGTTATTCTTATTTTGGGATTATTTTGGTCTTTAGAGTTTATACATACCTGATTTTTTGTTTCAAAGTAGTTTTTGATTGAATATATAAAATTCCAATCATTGATTGACAATTATTCTTTGTTTTAGCTATCTCTATCCATAGATAGACAACAAACTTCATTTACCTTGTAATTGTTCTCATGACTAGAAGTATAAGGAAACATGTTCAAATAGCACCTAGAAACAATCAAAACTGATACCAAAAGCAAACCAGAAGCAACAAATTATACCATCCACATTAATGAGAACTGAATCCCTCACTCTTCCCATCTGCAACTAATAATTCTCACAACTATGAACATCAACTAATAAAAAATAAATTGCAGACTAAAATATAAACAAGCCATTGAAGAAATCCCTAAAATTTATTGCAGCTCACAGCCTACACTGCCCAACTCCACACAGCTGCCAATGCAAACAAATAATTCGTAATAAAGAAAACAGTTTCCAGTGAAAGAGAGAAGAATTAACTCACTGTCAATGGCGAATTTCAGTTAAAAGCTTCGTAGCGAAGCTAACCAAACAATAACTGGAAAATTGAATTCAATAACTACAAAAACGATGCATAAAGCAGAGCCAGAAGCCTTCAACAGCAATTATTTATTCACATTAATTGCCTAAATTAAAATCGCCCATCAAATTACTTCAATTCCAACCCTACATCGTTTCCCCAACCACCGAAACGATCCGACTCGCAGTAAACACAGCACGGGTAAATATTTATTTATGCAGAAATCTATAAAAAGTAGTAATGGCGGTAGAGAATGAACATCAACTACTTACAGTTACAGCGATGCGAGGAAGGCAGCAGAGGAATTGAAAGGTGCAAAGTTAGCGCCATTTCATGGACGGAGGTATCGATGAATTCTGTGAGCGCATTGATGGATGATTTCTATCCTCTAGAAGATGTGGGATTGATATTTATACTTTATAGTGACGTACGGTATATTGATATTTTTCAAACTGTGTGATTGTTTGCATGTTTAATTGTAAAATTTTTTAACTGATTTTATTGTTGGAACTTATTAGAAATTTAACAGTGTTGTAATAATTGAGATAAAAATAAAGCAATTAAATTTAACTTTATTCTGCCGTTGGATTCGGATAGGCAAATTAACGGATCATTTGTGTTATTCAAGCCGATGGCATAATAAAACAAAACAGTTAGGATTTCTGTGGGCCAGCATTTACTAAATACATTTTTAGCCCAAAAATAAATAGACCAAATAGTTACATTTAATTTTTAATCCAATATTAATATAAAGAAATTGTTTGATAAATTTATTTTTGTTATAAGTATAAAAATTGGTTTGATATTTTTTTAAAAGAATTAATATATAATAACAATTTATTAAAATCCTTCAAACTAAAATACAAGATCTTTAATGTGAATAAATTATATTCTCTTCGTCCCATCTAAAGTTATATTTATCTTTTACATTATTTTACTTAATATTAAAAATATTATTATTTTTGTATGATTTTTTTTTACAAATATCTCTCTATTAGTATTATAAGACACTAATAGAAGTACTTTTGCAAATTTTTTCATATTTTGATATAATAATTAATATTCAAATATCAATACGCAAAAGTAAGACTTTCGGAGCCGGACGAAGGTAGTATAATATCCTTTTTTATTATAAATATATAAAATAAATATTTATTTTTATTTATTAAGTAAAATTTCTGTTTAAATTTAAATATACACATAAATCATTCTTCGTAAATATGCCGTCTAATTATAAGTGTTATATAGTCTCGCAAGGTATGATTTTTTGATAAGTAGATTGACTCATGAACGTGAGGTTATGAATTCAAACTCCGACGCCTTCCGATTTTGTTTGCTTCACATGATTCGTTCATATAGCAGTTACGGATTTCCACGTTAAAAATATATATAGGTATATATAAGTATTATAAAAAATAAAATTAATGAAATATCTTCAATAAAAAAAATTCTTCATTTTAAGATTCTTAGATCCTAGCTTTTCTTTTTATTAATTGAACATTTTGTTTAGACTAGAGATTGTGAGAGTTTTGAAAATAGTAAAGGAAAAAAAATAGTATTATTTAATGATATTTTATTAGAATAAAATATATTTAATATAATAATTTTTTTTAAAAGTTGAATAGTGTCAAAGTTTTCAAAATTAGTATGTTTGTTTGGAGACTTTCCCAAATTTTCATTATTAATCTAATTTTTTTCAGTTAAAATATTAAATCAAACACTTATATTTTATTTTTTATATTATATTAAAAATTAATTTTATAATCAAAACATCACGTCACATTTCAACCTTGGGGTGTGTTTGTTTGGGGGATTGAATTAGATTTCTACTATTCATTTCATTTTTTTCTCCCAAAAACATCAAATCAAACACCTATTTTTTATTTTTTATATTATACTAAAAATCAATTTTACATTCAAAACATCACATCAACAACTATTTATATCACATCATACAACTATTCAAATTCAAAATTTTTACTATTCAAATCCCAACTCAAAATCCAAATCCCACGTAAACACAATTCACCCTAACCACAAGTAATTATTTGGGATATATATATATATTTATATATCAATATCATAAAAAAAATTTAACACAATTCACCCTAACCACAAGTAATTATTTGGGATATATATATATATATATATTTATATATATCAATATCATAAAAAAAATTTAATTAACTTGCTCCATAAATCCAATTAAAATATACACATGCAAATAATTAATATATATATATATATATATATTAAATTGGAGTTTGGTTGAGTAGCTACAACCATAGAATTAAAACAGTGTGGCTGAAATGAACAGCTACAAATTAAATTTAAATTAAATGCAAACTTTTATTTTATGGAGATCCAAAAAATTAATATATCTCTTTTAATTTTGACAGATACTCACGAGCTTCTTCACCCTCTCACCAAAATCAACCTCTTCACTTTATTACACCATACATACATATGCATATATTTATTTATTTATTTATTTCACATATATATATATATATATGTTAGGCATAAAAAGCCCTCAAAACAAAATAATATCAAGAAAAAAACAATTAAGACATCCTAAAAAACATGAAGAAATCTTTCTTCTTCTTCATCTTCTTGATGATATTTTTGAGTTCTCTTCAAGAATGTGCTATGGGGAGACACTATCCGATTTTGCCGAGCGCGCCGTCGACGGCATTGCCAAACATTGCGTCGTCTACGCGAGGCGACTACGTGACCATGAGGCCGTATAATTATTACAAGCAAAGATCGGTGTTCCATCGCGGGAGGGAAGTCAAGAATTGCATGCCTAAAGGATTGCCGCGCTCGTCGGCCCCTAGCCGGTTCGTCAATTACCATGCGCTCGGCTCGTCGAGGTGCTCTTCCGATCGTCGCCGCTCGCCGAACCCGAATTGATCATGGATCTAAGCTAAAAAAAAAAAAAAAAAAAAAAAAAAAAAAAAAAAAAAAAAAAAAAAAAAAATTATGGGGTTCTTGTACTTGGGCTTTCATGCAATTTTGGATGAAGATATAATATATATATATGTATGTGTATGTATGTATGAGATTATATGGTTTTTGTATTGTTCTTGTTTTTTGACCTTAGAAAAATGAAAAAGGTTGTTTGCTCATCAACCTTATTGAAGGGTTTTTTTGAGTTCAATAATTGTGAATCAAAGTTCATTTTGATTAAAAGAGTTTGAAGATAAGAATGACAATTTTTGGGTCTCTCGCTTGCGAATATATAACTTAACGATGCATTTCCTTAATTGATTGAGTTTTTAAATGAAACAATCATTTTGCGTATCCGACAGTAATGAGTCCGGTATGGATGAATTTAAGATTTTATCTGAATATATATTATTAGACATACTTTGAATTTTATATTGATCGGATCAAATCAGCATAGTGCTTATTTGATTCAATCGATATATATATATATAATAGCCAGCACAAACGTAACAGTATATGATAATACAATAGTCAACACAAAAATTTCTACATATAAATATACCTATAAATATTTTGTACTCGAAATATCTTTAAAGTTTTAATAAGAGTTCTTTTTGTTTTTTTAATTATTTTGTTTTAGGCTTCCAAAATGATATTCATTCGCACATTGTAATTCCATGATATTCAATGAACAAATTGTGGGAGTTATCATGTATTGCTCAAAATAATGTATAAAATCTTTATATTTAAAGTATGAATTTTGTGTAACCTTTTTGTGAACATAAAAAGTGTATAATGCCATCAAATTTTATATAAATGGTTTTATGTATTTATTTCAAAATATAGTACCCATGACATTGTTAAAATGAATTATGTAGTAGAGATGTGTGAAATTGATATAAATAAACATTTAATTTCTTACAAATAAATAATATTTTGCACAAAAAATAAATCATTAAAAGATCGAGTAATTTGTGTTTAAAGAACGCACCATGTATAGATGTTAAACGAACCGAGCCGTTCGTGAACACAGTTTGGTTCGGCTCGATTAGAACTCGCGAACGAGCCCGAATTCGCAAGTCCGAAACTTATTTGCAAACGTTCGTTAAAATAATAATATTATGTATCATCAAGATTTTTGAAGGTTTGCTTATAAATAGGTAAATTTAAAAATAAAAATAAAAAAAATAAATAAATAAAATTAAATTCAAAACACGTGCATTCTGCTTTTTATCTTAAAGTAGAATTCAATTCCACAAAAATGACAACGCAAACACTACCCATATTTTTGCATACTGAATTTCTTCTAATTCAAAATCACCACCAACAAGAGCAAATTAAAATCCTCACGTGACATGCACATGGTTAAGTAAAACACCATAACTCACTCATACGTTGCGCTCACAAACCATCCTTCCTGCAATGCATTCCTGACCTATTCGACAACGACGACACCCCGTGGTCGCCGCAGATCCATCGAAACCTCGCAAACATTAATAGACGAACAGAAAGAAAAAAAAAAAAAAAAAAACATTTGTTAAAACAGTGCTAGAAATACGATAAAAAGTATCAGTACGACAGGGCACCTGTCATAATACGGTGAAAGTTAAGTTGAGCCAAACCAACGACAAATTCTGCAAGTCAAAAGTATCGAAAGTTCTCGTAAAAGTTAGGGGGGTGGGGTGGGGTGGGGTGGGGAGGGTAGAACAAAGGAGTCTTCATCGTTTAACTGTATAAGTCGTCATCATCTGCTCCACCAGCCGGGGCAGCAAATGGGTCGGACCCAGATGCTCCTCCAGCTGACGTTGATTCCGGGAAACGGAATTCAGTTCCGAATCCGCGGGACTGCTGAAGAGTCTGAGCAAATGCCTGGTACTTGCGTATATCTGCATCGCTCACGCTTCTACGGGCGTATTTCATGGACTCCTCGAAATGTGCAGGTTTGATTTCTGCAACTTCATCATCAAGGTCTTCTTCCATGGAGTCAGGATTCTGCTCTCTTCTTTTTTCTCTTTCTATGTCCTGAAAACGAAGCACTTTGGTTATATCAGGCATCCGGTGATGTGAGAATATTAGGTTGAATAAAACAAAGTATACTATGGAATGATTGCATTCTAATTTCGATAATATCATCGATCCACATCGCCTATGGTTTCAGTATTATACACACATTTAAAATTTAATCGAATTAATATGAACATATGTATACAAGCACATACTAGCATTCAAAACATAACACCAAACACTAAAATCAGCAGTATATTCCGAAATATAAAGTCATTCGATGACCTAAATTACCAATCATACTGTCTGCCCAAATGATTTCTATCCAAGAAAATTCGTAGTTTTAACATGTCCCAAAAGCTACACCTACACTAGATCGCATCATTAAAAAAATCTATGGAATAAATATATATATTTCTAACAAAACAATCCAATTTGACCACCACAAAACCAAATATGCAAACATATATACATATAATCGAAAACAACAGAATCAACAATGAGCACCAAATTCTTACATTGTAGCAGAGAAGGCACACTATTTTACACACTTAAAAATTGTATCTATGTATATAGATTAGAAAAAAAGATAAAAACGGCGCATGCTACCAATACAATGCTCAAAAACACATAAAAGCTTTGACCAAGAATGTCAAAACCAGATAAAAGAAAAAGCACAAAGCAAAGAAAATCTAACCCTATATGGATCTTGACTTGTATATTGTTTTCATGGGAAGCGCAATGTATTGGGCAATATGGATATGATGCGATCAAAGGTACAAAGAACGAGATCATACCTTTTCAATGTTCTCTCGTATGGCGTATTTGCAAGCCCTCTGGCATATCTCTGTGATATCAGCTCCACTAAATCCTTGAGTATACTTAGCAAGAGCTCGGAGATCAACATCTTTGGATAGTGGTGATTTACGCATACAAGCTTTGAAGATCTGATGGCGTGAATCCTCATCTGGCAGAGGAATATAGATTAACTGATCAAGACGACCGGGACGTAAAAGTGCAGGATCGATTATATCAGGTCTGTTAGTAGCCCCAATTATAAAAACAGTCTTCTTGGCATTCATGCCATCCATTTCAGTGAGAAGCTGATTGAGAACTCGGTCGGCAGCACCACCAGCATCTCCTACACTGCTGCCTCTCTGCAACAATGAAAAGATGCATTAATCTAAGCTATCATTGTATTCAAGTGAATGTAAAAATGGCACAAGCTATCCAGCACGACATACGATTGTCGTATTGGTTCTTATTCCAATATAAACATGATAATAGGTACATTCTAGAATGTTATTTATTGTGTATATAAAGAGAATAACCTGTGTAGCAATGGAATCAAGCTCATCGAAGAAGAGGACGCACGGAGCAGATTGTCTAGCCTTGTCGAATATTTCACGGACATTAGCTTCGCTCTCTCCAAACCACATGGTGAGCAATTCAGGTCCTTTAACACTGATGAAATTGGCTTGGCACTCATTTGCAATTGCCTTCGCCAGTAGAGTTTTGCCACATCCAGGAGGACCATAGAACAGAACACCCTTTGAAGGTGACATACCAAATTTCTCGAACTTCTCTGGATGCTCCACTGGATATTGAACAGTCTACAAGAAACCAAGCAGTTAGCATCGATACTTTGATATACATATATATATATATGTATAGTAAATCAAGCATGTAGATTTGATCCTCTCAATCATATTACCTCCTGAAGTTCCCTCTTGACATTTTCAAGTCCGCCAATATCCTCCCAGGAGACATTGGGCACTTCAACAACCTGTTTATGAATTTTAAAAATAAAGGGAACGTAAATTCTTCTGCAGGTATAAAGATCATCGTAAAAGAATGCCTTATGCAGGATTTTTCAGGCTAGAGATTCACTTACAGTTTCTCGTAGCGCGGAGGGATTGCTTGTTCCAAGAGCAGTGTGGAAGTGCTCGTTTGTAACAGCCATTGAGTTCAGTATCTCTGCATCAATCGTATCATCTTCCAAGTCAATCACATCCATTTTCTCTCTGATACACTGCAGTGCAGCTTCAGTACAGAGAGCAGCAAGGTCAGCACCAACATAACCATGGGTGTCTTTCGCTATTCTCTCTAAATCAACCTGCAATACAACAGAATTGCCTCAGGAAACTTAATTTAGTAAAAGAACACAAACAGGATGAGCACTATAATAAGGATAAATAGCCATACATCATCAGAAAGTTTCATGTTCTTGGTATGAATCCGAAGAACTTCAAGGCGTCCAACTTCATCAGGAACACCAATATCTATTTCCCTGTCAAACCTACCAAACCTTCTAAGGGCTGGATCAATGCTGTTCGGGCGATTAGTTGCCCCCATAACAATGACATGCGAACGAGACTTCAACCCATCCATGAGAGTTAATAGCTGAGAAACAATCCTCCTTTCAACTTCACCATGTGTCTTCTCTCTCTTTGGTGCAATTGAATCAATTTCATCAATAAAAATAATAGATGGAGCATTCTTCTCAGCCTCTTCAAATGCCTTTCTTAAGTTGCTTTCACTCTCTCCAGCCAATTTGGACATAATTTCTGGCCCATTTATCAAAAAGAAGAAAGCACCAGTTTCATTAGCGACTGCTCTGGCAATCAAGGTCTTTCCAGAACCAGGAGGTCCATAAAGTAAGATTCCTTTCGGTGGTTTCACACCAATAGATTTGAAAAGCTGAGGATGCCTCAGAGGCAATTCCACCAACTCACGGATCTGTGCCATCTGCTTCCTAACACCACCGACATCATCATAGCCAACCTCATCCAGCTTATCTTCATCCTCTCTCCTCACAGGCTCTCCTTCACAAAAGATCTCTGTATCAGGAGCAACAACACAATACTCCCCTGGATCAGTCTCGACCACTTTAAATTCCACGCTCCTCATCCCACCTCTCACAAGAAAATGGTTTCCTTTCCTCACGGGACGATATGCTTCCATAAAGTAAGCTGCAGAAAAATAATCGATGAGTATAAGACAGGCAAATAGTTTAAGTGTTATACCGTTTGAACAATAAACATCCATTAAGGCCATACGTTTCAGGTATGCATCAAAAAGATCTCCAGTAAGGCCTTCAATAGTATCGTCCAAGGGCAATATGTGGACACGCTTTCCATATTTGACATCAGGACACTGGTGCACAGATACAACATCTCCAAGCCGAACCCTCAAGTTTGACCTGACAACCTTATTCATCCTAATCTTTGGCTCTTCACAGGCCTCATCAGCAAGGGCAATGCAAACAGTATCCTTTCGTTTCTTCCCCTGAAAACACCACAAACAGTACACACAAATCTTAGGCGATTTGTTAACATAGTGAGTTCCGTCTAGCTTCATTTTTCACTTCTGAATACAAATCACAAACTTCACCAAATGTCCTAAACACACTACAATATTCCCTCAATGAAGAAAAACCAAGCTTAACAACTTGTATTAACATTTATAGAATAGTAAACAATGTGCCGAAGGATTACACTGATAAATTGTAATAAGCTATTCCTAAGTGGAAACAATGATACAGGAGCCATTCCAGCTGCACCCAATTCCGAAGTAATACATCTTTATATCAATACCAAAATATCAATGAACCTTGTCCTAAAATAATGAAACAGCTTTAATAACATCAGTCAGAAGCAAAACTTCGCTACTGGGTCAGCATAGACTTAGACATCCTGACAAGTTCCCAAAAGAAAAAACCCTTTGAAAGATCCTAAGATAAGAAACTGTCTCCGGTAATGCATACTATATTGCAATGAAATATTCTATTGAAGTCTACAAATTTCAAGATAGATCATTGGAGAAAACTTAATGCGCTAAGAATCTCAAGTGAATCTATATTGCAAAAACCAGATTTAGTCAGCACAAAGCAATGGTTATTTCAAATTTTGTCTATAATACCCAATCAGAATCTTTAAAAGAAACTATGCCTCAACCATCAACTCAGAGATTCACCATCTATGATCACAAATCAACAGAACAGAGCAAAAACGTGTAAACCCTCCCCCTGTTTAGCCCGAAAAGAATAGAACACAAAATCACAACGCGGATCTCTAAAAGAATCCAACCTTTATCAAAATAGTGTCTCCACGGAAGAGCTGGAGCTTCTCCATAGTGTCGGGGTGAAGGGAGACGACCGAGCTGTCATCGTTGACTGCCTCATCGACGACGAGGCGATTCGCTGCCTTCTTCCTCTCCAAAATAGCCGTCGAGTAGTCCTTCTTCCCGCCCTTCCTGTTATAACACAAGAAGACCGTCCAATTTCCATAGATCAATCACTTCATCGAAAATTAGGGCAGGAAAGAATGCGATACGTATGAGCAAATGAAAAAAAGTGAAATTGGGATAGGTTACTTACGAATCAGACGATTCAGCTTGGTTAGTCATGGAGATTCAGGGACGGAGGGTTCCTGCGATTGCGCGACGATGAGGGAAGGATTTGCAGAAGATAAAAGTGGTTAGGTTGGGTATGAGTATGAGAGGTTTCTTCAGCTGCACCCTACTGCTTTTCTGCCTTGCTCTTGGATTTATATTTGGTTTACCAATTTGGATTAAACTTTGCTATAATACGCACTCGGATTTTATTTTTTTATTTGGATTTCTTAAGGTATGTATTTTTTTTATTATTATTTTTTTTTTTTTTTGGGTGGGGCGGGGGATTTGCGAGGATTTAAACTATTCATTAAAAAAAAAAAAAAAAATTCTAAAAATATTAAATTAAATAATTATTTTTTATTTTTTATATTATACTAAAAATTAATTTTATATTTAAAATATTATATCAATATTTATATCATATTATTTTAATTTAAAATTTTTATTATTTAAATTTTAACTCAAAATTTAATTAAAAAATTTTGTGTGAGGAATTTTGCAAAAAATTTACTGTTCATCCAAAAATTTCTCTCCAAAAATATCAAATCAAATACCTACTTTTAATTTTATATATTATTTTAAAAATTAATTTTTCATTCAAAACATCAAATCAACACCTATTTATATCACATCATAAAACTATTTTAATTCAAAATTTTTACTATTTAAATCCCAACTCAAAATTCAAAGTTACAAACAAACGCACCATTAATAAATTTTGCTATGATACGCATTCGGATTTTTTTTTTTTTTTTTTTAATTCGGATTTATTAATAAGCGTTTAATTACGGTTCCGTGGAAAAAGTAATTTATTTAAATAATAGTATGATATAATATGATTATTTAAAATTTTAAAAACACTTGTTTAAATATTTTAAAATTATAGTAGGATATAAGATTTATTCTGATTTTATATAAATATTCTTAAAAGAATATAATATACACTTCCTGTCCTCATTTTTTATTTTTAGTAAATTTTATATTTAATAAATATAAATTAATTTAATTAAATTTTTAATATTTATACTAACGGTGTGTTTGTTTGAAGGTTTGGATTTTAAGTTAGGATTTGAATAGTAAAAATTTTGAATTTGAATAGTTGTATGATGTGATATAAATAGGTATGGATGTGATGTTTTGAATGTAAAATTGATTTTTACAGTAATATCAAAAATAAAAATTAGGTGTTTAATTTAATATTTTTTGAAAAAAAATTGGATAAATAATGTAATTTTTTTTTCAAAATCCTTCAAACAAACCCATCCTTAGTAACCACCCAAGACTCATTTGTTTCTATGACCTAACAAATATTTTTATTTATATATTTTTTTTTATTTATAACATTATTTTAACATCTTAGACATATATTAACTTTTTTGAAAAATATAGTATTAATTTTTTTAAAGAAAAAAAAAACAAAAACAAACCCTTTTTCATAACTTAAATCAATCACAAAACCTTTTTTTTTTTTTTTTTGTTTCCATATGTAAGGTGTGTTTGTTTGCGGATTGGATTTTAAATACTCTTTTCATTTCATTTTTTTTCTCAAAAAATATCAAATCAAATATCTATTTTTTATTTTTTATATTATACTAAAAATTAATTTTACATTGAAAATATCACGTCAACGTCTATTTATATTACATCATACAACTATTCAAATTTAAAATTTTTACTTTTCAAATCTCAACTCAAAATTCAAATTCCTAACAAATACACCTATAAAATACTTATTTGTTTCAAGACAATGTACCATTTTTATTATTTTTGTTTATATCTCTATCAAAACTATTTATTTTTTATTTTAATAAAAGAAATATATTTGGACAAAAGTATCTTTAATTTTTAATTAAATATAAATTTGTTATTACACACAATTAGTTTGTATATAAAATTAAATGGCACAAATGTAAAAAAACCTCTTAGGATGTGTTTGTCTGTAGATTTTAGTTTTTGGGTTTGGATCTCTGAATAGTAAAAATTTGAATTTCAACAGTTGTTTGATAATTCTTCTGTCTCACATACCATGTCTACATTGCCGTTTGTGTCCGTCCCACATTCCATGTCACTTTCTTTTTTGGAAAATGATTACCCACTTTAATATATTTTAAACTTTTTAATTTATTTTTTTAAATTTTAATTAAAATTGTCTTAATCTTAATTTATAATTATTTATATTATAGGATAATTAATTTTACTAATACATTTTTAATTATCTACTAATTATACTCCTCCTAAAATACCCGTCTACAGTGTAGCAGAAACGGTACATGGGACGGAGGGAGTATAATATAAATAAAAATTTGATATGATGTTTCGAATGTAAAATAAATTTGTAATATAATATAAAAAATGAAAAATAAGTGTTTGATGTGGTATTTTTTTAAAAAAATCTCAAATAATAAAAACATTTAATAAAACTCACAAAAAAATACTGACATTAGACTTCGTTCTTTTAATAAAAAATTTCAACACATTTTCTGAAAAAAAATTAATATATTAAATATATTCTTTATTTTTATATTATCTATACAAATTTTCATTCATATATAAAAAAAAAAAAATTAAAATACAAAGCAAAAGACATCCTTATACACTTTCATTTAAAAAAAAAAAAAATACATTCTAATGAAAATGAAGGAATACTTTTTTATATTACAATTTTATTCATATCACATAAAAATAATTTTTATATATCAAAATATTAAACAAATAAATTCATATAGCATAAAAATAATTTTTATACACTATTCATTTTATTTTTTTTCCCAAAAATATCAAATTAAACACTTATTTTTTATTTTATATATTATACTAAAAAATAATTTTACATTCAAAATATCACATCAATATTTATTTATATCACATCATACATACAACTGTCTAAATTCACATTTTTACTGTTCAAATCTTAACTCAAAATCCAAATCCCCAAATAATCATTGAATTATTAAAAAATTAAAAATAAAAACACAACCTTAGCTTTACCGCGTATTATTCCAGAAAATCAGTCCCATTTTTTAATAATGAAAAACAAAAAGCTAATGACTATTCCAAACCCCAAAAACCTCTCTCTCACTAATTTAAGTGTAACTTTCACACTTGTCTGTTTCTTAAGCTTTTTTTACTCTACTGTGTTTTTCACTCCCATTCATGGCTGGCTCTGTTACCTCAATCTGATCTCACTCCAGCGCACGCACTGCTCACTCCCTCTTCATCTGCTGCAGAAAAAGTTCCCCAGATCCAATTCCATTTCCTCATCTCCATTCCAGGTATTCCAGATGTGCTGCTGCTGTTAATTTCTGTTCTTGTACCCTACGTCGTCGTTTCGAGTTTCAATTCGCGAGGTTGGGGGTATGGGTGAGGAGGTTCGCTGATGTTCTTGTGCTAAATGCTGCTAATTGTTTAGTTTGGACTGGAAGAACTGTTTTGGAATTAGTTTTTTCTGAAATGGAAACTTCTGAAGAAGTCCCTGTTGCTCGAATCCTTGAAGATGTTTCCTTTGTGTTTTTATGCTCTAGTTTGTGGTTTTTCATAAATAGTTGACAATGGTGGGTGTTGTATGCTGTTTTAATGCTTAGTTCTTCGAACATCGTTCAATTTGTTCTTCGAAATGGTTGGAATGTCTGTTTTTGAATGCACGAATTAACTCTACTTGAATTTCTCAAATGTTAAGAGATTGGTTTTCTTCAAGATTCGACAAGTTCTAAGTGCTCTGAAAATGTGTTGTTCTCTCTCCATTTCTGCAGATTGTGTATGATGCTTAAGGAATTTTAGAAGCATTTGGGATAGAAAACATGGAAGAAATACAATCACAATCAGATCATTATAGGTCATCCTCTTCGTCAGCAAGCAGCCCGGCAAGTAGGGTGCCTTCAAGCAATTTTTTCTACTTAAGAAAACCAGGAGCTTTAAGGCAACCTATTTCTTTCGAGGACTCGCCTGATTGGGATGATACAGATGTTGAAGTAAGGGTAGAGGAAGGGCGAGCTGACTCCATTAATACTGCTACCACCCCCGTTTCTCCGTCTCTTTCGAAGCTGAACAGTGGCTCTTTGCCTTCGCCTCCAATGCCAGAGGGTGGAACTGTTGCTAGAAAGATTGCGGGGGCTTCGATTGTGTGGAAGGATTTAACAATCACGATAAAGGGCAAAAGGAAGTACTCTGACAAGGTTGTCAAGAGTTCCAATGGCTATGCTTTGCCTGGAACAATGACAGTAATAATGGGTCCTTCTAAGTCCGGGAAATCGACACTCTTGAGAGCTCTTGCAGGTTTCTCTCCTTTGATCTTTTGAACTCTTAAATTATTATTGTGATAACTTGTGAATTTATCCCTGCGGCTGAATTTTTTGTTCTCGTTTCTCTAATTCAGGAAGGTTGCCTGATTCAGCTAGAATATATGGCGAGGTGTTTGTTAATGGTGTAAAATTAAGTATGCCATATGGAACATATGTAAGTTCTTGACAAGCTAATTTCTCAGACATTAATTCTGCCCTTTTGGTTTTCATATGGTTTTGGCAATTTATCATCCTAATATGCTAGTTTTAATATCATTAAGATAATTGTAGTTAATAGCTTAATGTAAGTAATGTGGTGTGGATAATTAATCAATCAAAGATTGAAATTCCAACGTGCAGTACGTCGCAGTTTGTAATTTTCTGTATCATCTGTGAGGAGTCGTTATATTTCTGTTTGATATACGATGTGTGTAATATTTGGTGCTCTTGTATTAGGGATATGTTGACCGAGAAACCACAATTATCGGATCCTTGACCGTGCGCGAGTACCTTTACTACTCAGCATTGCTTCAGCTGCCGGGGTTCATTTCTAAGAAGAGGAGTGCCGTAGAGGATGCCATTATTGCCATGTCATTGGGGGATTATGCTAATAAGCTTATAGGTGGCCACTGTTACATGAAGGGTCTTTCTAGTGGTGAGAGAAGACGAGTCGCCATTGCTAGGGAGCTCGTAATGAGACCCCATGTCCTATTTATTGACGAACCACTTTATCACCTAGACAGGTTCTTTCCAAAATTTATTGGTGAAGCTATTGTACTATCTTTGAATTTGTGGATATATATATACACACACACACACATATGAGCCAACAAAAGAACAAGTAATTTCTAAAAATCCTTTGTTAGGAACATTATATAATCCAGTAGGTTAGGAAAAAATTACCAATGACTTCAACTTTTATTTACGGTGCCTCGGTAAAAGCTTTAGGTAGTCCTTACCTCTAAGCAAGAGTCATGAATTTGGGCATAAGATGTTGTAGTAAATGAGCATTGTGTCTTTTGACACCATAAACGAACAGTAATACTTCTTTATTTCCCTTGTGCTGCAATGTGATGAATTAGTTGTATTTCATATGTTAATTGAATCGATGTAGTTGATTTTTATCTCAACATAAATTTGGGTAATAAGAAAATACAATTGATCAAACGTCTCACTCTGTTCCTTGTGGAATGCTGATTTATTTACTAATCTTGAATACCAACTCATCTGTTTCTGTCTCAGTGTTGCTGCGCTCCTGATGATGGTTACCCTTAAGAAGCTTGCAAGTACAGGATGCACTCTGATCTTCACCATTTACCAGAGCAGCACAGAAGTGTTTGGCCTTTTCGATAGAATTTGTCTTCTTTCGAATGGGAACACTTTGTTCTTTGGGGAAACACTTGCATGTTTGCAGGTAATATGTAGTTATGCATATGGATAAGAATTGTCTAAACTTGATTTACTTTTACTAGACTTTACATTTTCTTTTATCATGGGGGAGCATGTAGTCTTGTCAAATGTCTATCGAAGTTAGCGAATTCTTGAATGCTAGAAAAAGATATTGATCTTCTATTCAATTTTAAAATTGGGAAATGACTTTTTTTATTATTCATTTTTTATGCAGCATTTTTCAAATGCAGGATTTCCATGTCCGATCATGCAAAGCCCTTCCGATCACTTCTTGAGAGCAATAAATACAGATTTTGACCGGATCATTGCCATGTGTAAAAACTGGCAGGTATTTCTCTTATATTACTACTGTTCTTCCAATCCAATAGTAGACAAATATACCTTTTCTGTAAAATATTACTTTCCATTATGTGTGGGGCAACTTTTTGCTGATGTTTGAACTTGCTTGCGACTAAATTCTTCTTAATCATAGAAATCTAGCATCATCTTACTCCTTAACATGTAATCTATTACGATTTTTATGAAGATTGTATGTTACAGCCACACACATGATCTATTACTATATATATATATATATACATACCATATTTGGTTGGATAATAATCAATTATTTCAATTTATTGTGCTGGCAATGTCCGATTTAGTAAACATGTCATGTAATTTTACGAAAATATGCGAAATTAGTCTAAGTACTGCACCTTTAGGACTTATTGTATAATGGGATTGTAACCACTTGGTAATAATCTATGAGATTGTTTTTCACATCTATTATAGGGTAGCTTCATAAATTAGTAATGTAATATCGAGCTTAGTTTCGATCCATCAGTGAGCTTAGTATAGTAAACTAAACATGTAATTAGGATTTAGGGGGAATAAAATACTTTATCCACCCTAATCACTCATAACAAACATGACCTCAGTGGCTTCATTTTATTAGAAAACTAATCCTACAATGTTAGAATTTAAAGTACTTGTCACATATATTGACTTTCATGAAAAAAAATAATCTTGTTTTTCCAAAAACACATGTTTACACCTCTCAATTACTTCTACATTATAACAGGATGACAATGGAGAGCTTTCATCTGTTAATATGGACACAGCAGTGGCGATACGTACCCTAGAAGCCACGTATAAATCATCTCCGGATGCAGCTGCTGTTGAGACTATGATTTCAAAGCTTACCGAGAAGGTATTAATTAAAAATTTATTCTTCAATGCTGTCATTTTTCCCGGTCTCATAGTTAAAAAGTTCATTTTAAGATTGTTTGCTTGGGAGTAAATAATTTTGGCTATCTCTTGATTACACTGCTTAATTACGGCTGCAGGAAGGTCTACCCCTCAAAAGCAAAGGCAAGGCAAACTGTGCTGCCAAAATTGCAGTTCTGACTTGGCGCTCGTTGCTGATCATGTCCAGGGAGTGGAAATACTATTGGCTCCGGCTGACCATTTACATGTTCTTAGCCGTATGCATCGGTACAGTATTCTCTGGTTTGGGGCATTCTTTATCATCAATTGTGGTAAGTTAATGTAGCAAGTAGTCTCAATTCTTACCTACACCATCCACCTATCAGTACATTTGTTTCCTTTTTCGATCACTTCTCATTTTGTAATATATTGTGATTTTTTTCTCAACTTCAGACAAGAGTCGGAGCCATATTTGTATTTATATCGTTCACTTCCCTTTTAAGCATAGCCGTCGTCCCATCACACCTGAAAGAAATTAAGGTAACAAATTGTTTGGTTTTAGTTTGAAATTGAGATTTTGATTTGAGTTTTGGTTTAAATAGTATTTTTTATGGAATATTATGTGAGATGAAACAATTTGTTTTTATTAGGAACCATCCTAGCTAAATAGTTATGATTTGGATTTGAAATACAAACTAAACACACCCTAAATTTCCTCCCAAATTTCTTATTACATATAATGAATTAAGTTACTATGAATGTATTTGCGTAGTGCTTATAGTTTTAGGTGTCTTTACAGTGAGGTGCGAAGAACCGCAAAAGTATTATAGAAAATGATGTTTTGTGTGTTTTTGTTGATTTTTATCGTTACATTTATATACTACATCATCTGTCTCTAAGGGTTATATTTACATTTTGCGTCATTGTACTTAATATTAAAAATATCATTATATTTGTATAATTTTTTGTGCAAATATCATTATATTAGTATTATAAGACACTATAAGTATTTTTGTCTCTTTTCTTTGATTTGTACTACGTTTTTATATACTTCATCCGTCATGTAAATGTGTGCTCATATGACCGGACACGGATTTTAGTAAAAGTGAGTAATAATGGTTACTTTTTCCTTTTATAGTAAAAAAAAATACAAAAATATAATAATTTTTTACTTAAAAAAGAAACGAGAATATTTTTCAATGTCAACCCAAAAAAGGAAGTGAACATATATTTGAATGACGGAGGGAGTAATAATTAATATTCAAATGTGACCTTTAAAACAAGATGGAGGTAGTATTATATTTTTGAGAAATCATATATCGTTATTAAATGAGCATATTATGTTATTTTTTCTGTATAGATATATGCCTGTGAAGAAGCAAATCAGCATTCGGGGACCTTTGTATTTTTATTCGGGCAGCTCTTCGCCAGTATACTGTTCTTGTTTCTCCTGTCCATCTCGTCAAGTTTGGTGTTCTATTTCCTCGTCGGGCTGCACAATGAATTCAACTTGTTGGTATACTTCGAGCTGAATTTCTTCCTGTGCCTTCTAGTTAACGAGGGACTCGTTCTGCTCGTTGCTTCCATCTGCCAAAATGTCTTCTGGAGCATCATTGTACTGGTGAATGTACATGTAAGCCGGCATAGAGTTATATAATTCGATTTTTACATGCTATTCTTGGGAGTTTTGCTTGTTTTTTCTGCTTTCCTCGACATAATTGTTTGTATCTTGATCGACTAATGTTTGTTTCGCGGTTCAGATGGCAATGATGCTTTCGGCCGGCTACTTTAGGATTCGTAGTGACTTGCCTAAACCCGTGTGGATGTATCCGGTCTCCTACATTACATTCCATGTTTACTCTATTCAGGTAACTGATTCTATATACATACATATATATATATTCTATTTGCATATGCAGAAGTGTGTATATATATAATTTGCTTGTTTGAAAGTGCATTTAACTGAGGCATGATTCTGAGTGTGTTTGGATGTTGGTTTGAGAGTTTGAAATTGAAATAGTTATTAAATAAATATAAACTTAACTTTTTATGTTACGTAAATAATGAAAATTAAATATGTACTCTGATGTTTTTTTAGGGAGGGAATAATTAATGAAATAGTGGAGATTTTAAAGAAACTACAACATAAATATTGTTGTTTTGAATGTAAAATTACTATATATTGAGGAAATTTGCTATATATTGTTAAGAAGGGATCCGGACATCCAATCTAAAACCAATTGGTGATAGGTGGAGTGGCCCTTCATCCTTATATACTAGGGGAGATCCCACACATTTAGCAATGTACGATAATATTCAACATATATAACCGAACACTACATTCGAATCATTCTTGTAGCGATCAACAGTGTGAAAAGCATCAAGTGGTTATGGTTTTATTTCATTCCTCTATATATGATGATGTGTTTGTTGTATTTGTTTTGGGATGGATACAGGGAGTGTTGGAGAACGAGTATATAGGGAGCTCGTTTGCAGTGGGACAGGTGAGATCGCTAACGGGATACCAGGCGCTGCGCAACATCTACGACATATCGGCTGATGGCAACTCCAAGTGGGAGAATTTGCTAATATTGTTGCTCATGGCAGTCGGGTACCGGGTGCTTGTGTTTATTATACTCCAGTCATGTTGTAGTAAGAGTAGGAGTAGAAGTAGGGCAGCCCTGTCTCTTTGCTGCTCGACCGGGAGCCATCGCCGTCGCCGTCATCATCATCATCATCATCGAAGTGAGAGCAACTCAAGGTGATCAAGTTAAGAAGAGGGGAAGACAAAATGTAACTCGATGCTATTTATTTATTTTGTTCTAATTCTATCTTATATTATTAGATTTGTTGCTTTGTTTTGCGCATTCAAAGTTTCCAACCTATCTATTTATCCATCCATATATGCCAATTCAATTTTCTTGTGTTTACATTAAGTTATATGTTTTTTTTTTTTTTTTTTTTGAATTTATATCAATTTCATTTATAGCAAATAATTTTATTATTTTTATTTTAATTATTAATAATTAATTTATCACTATATTTTTTTTTTTTTTTAACTTATACTATCACTTGCATCCTAAAATAAGAACCTCATCATGGAAGTAACAAACAATTAAAGTCTATGAATTGATTCTTTCGCTTAATGATCATAATTGCATAACATAATGACATAGCAATAATTATTTTATTTTATTTTTAGAAATTGTTTTCATAGAGAGGTTTATAAAAAAAGCAAAATAAAATACCAAAGATTACACAACATGCATGCATGCATGCCAACTTCATATCCAACAATACAACCCACCCTCTTCCTCACTTATTCAAATCAAATAAACTATAACATAACATACTACTTATAACATTACTTACTAATGCTCTAACAAACAAAAATATAAAACGGCACAACATCAAAATAATACTCATGTTCATATAATCAAAAATATAATCATATATATATATATATAATCATAAAAGTAGACTCGAGAGACTAGATATAATAGTAATGTAATAGTAATAGTGATAATAATAATAATAGCAAGTAGTAATAAGATGGATCTCTCGCAAAATCGTATAAAACTATGGTCTAGTCTGGTCAGGTCTCACCGTTCTTCTTCTATCATCTATTTTCACCATAACAGCACAAAAATGCACACATCTATGTATATATAAGTAATGCAATGCAAATGAACTGTAATGAAATGTAAGTCTTACAGTTTCTTTCCCGCCGGAATCCACCCTCCCGAGCACGCGTCGAAAAAAATCCATCCGGGAAGGACCAGACAAAGAAACGAGACCACGACCACAACCACGACAACATTGCGTACATCCCCGACTCCAAAACCCAGTCCAATTTCAATCAATCAATCAATCGGACAAACCGGCCTTATCCTTCAAGTGCTGCTTAAAGTCCATAATATCGCCCTCCCAGCGCGACACCGTCTGATTCTCGCACACCCATATCTCGTGCGCCACCTGGTTTATAAGCCGGAAGTCGTGGCTAACCAGCACCAACCCCCCGTCCCACTCGTTCAACGCCTCCGCCAGCGAGTCGATCGTCTCGATATCCAAATGGTTAGTCGGCTCGTCCAGCAGCAGCATGTGCGGCTGCCTCCACGCCAGCCACGCGAAGATCACGCGGCTCCTCTGCCCGTCCGACAGGTTCCTCATCGGCATCACCTGCGCTTTCCCACTCAGCCCGAATTTCCCAACCGCCGCCCGCATCTTCTCCTCCTCGTTCCCTGGGTACTCCCTCATCATGTACTGCAACGCCGACATGTCGAGCTCGAGCTTCTCAGCCAAATGCTGATGGAACTGCGCAATCCTTAAATGGTTGTGTCGACGGACCATGCCGTCAAGGGGAACCAAATCGCCCGTCATCAGCTTCAAAAGGGTACTTTTCCCAGCACCGTTGGGACCCACCAAGGCGACCCTCGAGTCGAGGTCGACGCCGAAATCGAGGTCCTTGTAGAGGATGTGGTCAGGGGTGTAGCCGAATGAGACTTCGACGAACTGGAGAACAGGAGGCGGGAGCTTTCCGACGTCCTGAAATCGGAAAACGAGAATCTTGTCCTTGACGACCTTTTCAGTTAGCCCGCCTCGCTCCATCTTCGCTAAAGTTTTTTCCTTGCTCTGGGCTTGACGAGCGAGTTTAGCGGATCCATGGCCGAATCGGGCGATGTATTCCTTCATTGAGGCTATCTGCTCCTGCTCCCACTTGTATTGCTTCATTTGGTTTTCTTCGAGCTCGGAACGGGTTTGGACGTATTGGTCGTAGTTACCGGTATAGAGCTTTAGCTTCTTGTTTTGCATATGGATAATGTTGGTGCAGACTCCGTTTAGAAAGTCCTGGGAGTGTGACACCACCACGAGAATTCGATCGAACCTCTTCAACGTCTCTTCCAACCAAACACATGCCTCCAAGTCTACAAAAGGAATTTACAAAGAAGAGTTAAGAATAGCCGAGAGTCGAATAGAAAATATATATATATTAAAAACAGGTAATTCCCACGATCAAATCAAACAACTATTTTTATCTTTTAATACTAAAAGTTAATTTTACATTTAAAATATCACATCAATACCTATTTATATCAATCATACAACTATTCAAATTCAAATTTTTTATTATTCAAATCCCAAATCAAACAAACACACCCTTAAAGTAATCGAATGGGTGAAAATTTTACCAAGATGATTTGTTGGTTCATCGAGCAACAATATGGTTGGATTCATGAAAAGGGCTCTTGCTAAAGCAATCCTCATCCTCCATCCACCAGAAAAGTCTCTGGTTTTCTTGGCTTGCATATTCTTGTCAAATCCGAGCCCGAATAAAATTTCGGCGGCCCGTTTCTCAGCAGTTGCAGCATCCATTGCTTCCAAACGCTCATAAAGGCGTTCTAGTTGTTCACCACCACCATCATCCTATAATAGAAAACAGCAATTTGTTAGAATACAACGATGGTTAAGCTTGGAGGAAGTCTTTAGTAAATCATCGACATGCCTGTGCAGCCAATAGTTCCGCCTCCTTTTCCAATTTAAGCCTCTCTTCATCACAGTTAATGACAGCCTCGAGAGAAGACATGTCAGAAGCTTCGATTTCCCTTGTAAGGTGGTAGATATCCATGTGATCTGGTATTGGAAGCTCTCGGCAACCTATGGAAGCAAGAAGAGTGGACTTTCCACAGCCATTTAGCCCAAGCAAACCATAACGCCTGCAAAAATAAGACAATTCATTGTAATTCATACATATTTAGCATGTAAATAATTGTTGATCAATGGAGCTTCCACATACCTTCCATAATTGAGTTCCAGTTCAGTGTCCACTATCAGTTCGTGGCCATGGAAAGTTAGCGAAAGAGACTCTATCTGTGTAAACAAAAGGGAATGATTTATCAATTCATTACTTATTGTTGTCCATTAAAAAATGAAAAATAAAAACATCGAGCTTGTTATAACAGTTCCACAGAAAAAAAAAAAATGCATACAAAACAACTAATTTAAGATTCGATTTCATATTACTCAATTAACACAGGGGTATGATTTATCAATTTATTATTTATTGTAATCCATACAGCAAAATAAAATTGTCGATCTTGTTATAACGGTTTCACACAAGAAAAATTGTATGCAAAGAAGCAAAAACAACTAATTTAAGAATCGATTTCATATTTACTCAATTAACACTCATGTCCAATCTACTTAAGCACAAACTTAATTGGATTTAAATCAGTTGCAACTAGTAATCGAATCCAATGCCTTAGAACACTAAATTAACCTAATGAGTGATGCAACACATACTGAGGAGCATATGTTTAATAAAAGTAATTTTTCTACAATAATAGGAATTAAAAACAACTAATGTAAAAATAATTGCATACTGTTACTCAATTAACACTTAACTCTGATCTATTTCAGCACTGAATTTCTATGGTTCGTTAAAAGACCTAGAGGCTCAACAATTTCGTCAAAATAATTGGATTTAAATAAGTTACGCCTATACATGATACACAATGCATAGGGCAATCGAATCCAATGCCTTAGAACCACAAATTTGTAAAATCTCCTTAAACTAAAGAGTGATGCAACGAATACTGAGGAGCGTATGTTTAATAAAAGTACTTTTTCTACAATAATAGGAATCCATAAACAACAGATCGTAGCCCTCACCCGAATATCTCTGGACAAAGGATGCGAGCAGAGAACTCCGGTGCAGGTCCGATCGGACAATTGGATATCAGCGACCTTATTAGCCAAACCATCGGCTTTGCTACCGTTTTCCGCAGCAGCAGCGGCCTTCGACGAGGCGGCAGCCGCCGCAGCCTTTCCGCCTCGCTTGGCGGCAGCTGCAGCCTTCTTCTGAGCCGCCTTCTTCTTACTCGCATCGGAAACCATCTATCGAATCCGCAACAAACACGTGACGATGCAAATAAATCGAATGAAACACAGCACGAAATCGATAAATCGCAAAGCAATAATACCTTGAGTACGAAGGCGGATCTAGGGTTTGGGTTCTGCCGCTTTGCCTTTTTCCTCTGAAGCGCGGTCGTCTCGTGCAGCAGCGATTTGGTCTCCTAGAGACGTCCGATTGTGAGGGTTTGGGGAAGGGCCAAAGGGCTCTATTTATAGACGCGTGGGAGGGACGCGTGGCGAGGAATCAAGGGCGTTGGATGAAAATGGACGGTCAGGATGGATGGATGGATTTGAAAGAAAAGACGTATATCGGCAGCACTTTATGGCCTGGGAAGACCAGGTGTAAGTAAAATATGGGCTTTCGGTCCAGTAATACAAATAATTGTTTTTTTTTTTTATTAATTATTTGAACTAAATATTAGGTAGAACTGCTAAAAAATTATTTATTAATTTATTAATATATATTTCACAAACATATTCTAATAATAATATTTTATATTATTTTATGTTATTTTTTAATTAATAATTTTGATCTATTTTTTTTATTAAATTAGCTTAATTTTAATTATTAATAATTAATTTTGTTTAAATTTTAACAAGTATAATTTTAATATTTAATTCATGAACTTTTATTTAATTAATTACTAAGGTTGCGTTAGATATATAAAATGGATTGCAGATCAATGGTAGTAGAAAATATAATGACAGAGAAAAAAAATTCAATAGAGATTTAGATAATATAAAAATTAAATAATAGTAAAAAAATAAAAATAAAAAAACATAAATTAAATAGTAAAAAATAAATATAAAAAATTAAAATATATAAATATATAAACATCGTTCTTTTAATTTTATTTCTCTCCATTTCGAATGGGAATTGTTTCGAATCAATGTAGTTAAAGAAGCCTATAGATTCGTCAAATTTAAAGGTGTTTGGTTGTGCTACTATTTGCTTATATTCTAACCGATAAATTAGAATATATGAAAGAGAAATATATTTTTCTTGGTTATCTCGAATGTGTTAAGGCTATATTTTAAAATAGATGTAAGTAAACTTGAAATGTCTTATTAGGGGATGTGTTATATGTTTCAAATTCTAAAATCCTTAGTATTCAAAATAAACTGGAATTTGATGGTTTTTCATTAAAAAATTGATGAAAAATAAATGATTTTGAAAATTCATAATTCAAACTATTTTTAATTAACATAAAATAGTTTTTCAATCTGAAAATATAGATTTCAGTTCTAATTCTATTGTATTTAATAATCAATATGCTGATTTCCGACAAGAATTTGTGTGTGATTATTTAAGTGATCATTTGAATAAAAGTATTTGAAGACTTGAAAGAACTATTAAACAGCCTATTAAATTTAATGCTTTTTTAGTGTTTTTGATAATTCTTTATTATTTTTATTATCAATTCTTTAATAATTTTTTTCAATATTTCTTCTTCTATTCTAAATTAGTATTATAATACTTTTTATTTTTTTAAAAAATATTAATATTATATTAGTAAATAATAAAAAATATGAGCAAATTTTTATTTTTTTTTTGTTAAAATAGCAAAAAATCTATGTGGTTTTCGGAATTCGCTGAAAATTTCTCGTAGTTTTAAAATTCCAAAAATCTACATATGATTTCCAAAATATTGCACTCTCCCCAATTTCTAAATTTAACTAACGGACGTTAAATTTTATCAGATTTAACCATTATACCCTTATTTATATATGTTTTAACTTAGTTCTCTCTCTTATCTTCTCTTCTTTTCTTTCTTTTCTCTTCTCCCCAACAACACCAGATTCTTCAATCTTCTTTCTTCCCCAAATTTTTCTTCACACACACAGACTTGTTCCAAATTTTTTTTTCTTCTTCCCCAATTATTTTTCACACTACCGCAGTCCCACCCGATTCTTTCTTTTCTTCTTTTTTCCCAGATTTTTTTTGCTTTCTTCTTCGTCTCCAATGAAAAATGAAGAATTGGAAAATAACAAGAAGAGAAAGAAGACGACGGAATGAGAAAGAGAAGAAAGAAGAGAAAGAAAAAAATAAAATAAAATTTGGAATTTTTTTTTCTCTCAATTTTCTTTCTTCTTTATTTTTCCTCTCCAATTTTTTTTTCCTGGATTCTTCTTCTAAGACTAGCAGCACCAACTTTTTTCTCTTCTTTCTTACATTAATTTCAAATTTGGATGTTAAATTAATTTCTTATATTTTTTGGTTTGGTAAAACATAAGAAGAAATCAATACTGAGATTAAATTTTAAAAGTATGGAGAAAAAACAAGGAAAAAGAAGAATAAGGAAGAAGAAGCTTATAGTCACGAGGATATTTTAGTAATTTTATACATAAAGATATCAGTTTATGGACAAAAAATTGCATAGCAAGCGCCGTTAAATCCTAAAGGATGAGGGATTTTTTTGCAACATTTTGAAAACTACGATGAGGTTTTTTGGAATTTTAAAACCACAAGGGGTTTTCAACAAATTCAAGAAATCACTTGGGGTTTTTTTGCTATTTTACCTTTATTCTATCGTTGTTAATGTATTTAAATTCAAGTGAAAAAATAATAGTATTCACACGATAATAATAAAAAAAATAAAGAATTTTATAATAATACAATTATTTAAAAAAAAACCCTGAAAGTGTTTGTACGTTAGTGTGGTGTTTGAGTTTATAAATAGTAAAAAATTGAATTTGAATAATTATTAGTATTATATTGAGATGTATAATAAATAAAGGTAAAAGGATTAAACTATTCATATTAGTATTGCGTAATATAAAATATAAAGATAATGACATTTGTGTAATATATTGTAAATTAGAAAGATATTAAGATAATACAGTTACTAAAAACGAAATAGATACTTTGTTATTTGTTATAAGATGAACCAAAATGAAAAATAAATAGATTGTTAAGGGACAAAGGGAGTATAAGAAAAAAATAATTGTTTAATTTAATAATTTTTTTAAAAAATCAAATTTTTGATAGGACTAACAAATGTTAAAACTAAAAAAAAAAAAAAGAAAAAAGAAAGAAACACATACTAGGGGTTTGTTTAGATAGGAATTTTTGGAGGCTTGGAAGTTTGAAAAAAAAGTAAAAGTTAGTATTTTTTTTGTGATGATGTGAGAACCCGCGAACCTAATACCCTACAGGTATACCATTTGTAACGTGCTAGAAGCTGATAAGGCCGGCGCCCAGGCCCAAGCCCGCCGTCCCTTATGCGCAACAAGCCTTTGTATACCGAATAATGCGGGATAAATAAGGCGGGACGCGTACCTACACCAAAGAAATATGTCGTTGATTTGCCGTATAGGATCGGGGCTTGCACACATGGGACGGACTATGACCGAGAACCTGGGCAGAAATGTCAGTTCGTGACACTCTCCCCCACTCAAAGTCGCAAACACCCTCGTGCGACGCCACTTGAGTACACCGACATTTCTTGCATGTTGGGCTAGCGTCCAGGCGTCACTCCATTGACCTTTTCGCGCGTACCCCGTTGTGCTCACCAACCGCCAACGAGGTTTGCCATAGCCGACCCACAACTAGCCTACTCCGTCGCTCGTCTTCAACACCATACGGGACACCCAGACACCCATGTTGCGACTTCTCCATTCTTCGCCCGAGAATCGTCCTTGACGTGGTTCCGCTCTCACGAACAAAGCTCGCCCACCTTGGCGCACCGGCACTGTCGTACATACTCCTTCTCAAGGAGCACTCCACCCTGAAATGTCAGATATGCTCTTCCTTGTCGTGCCCTCAGCGTGCTCCTCCCTGAAGAACTGCTCACATGTCCACTCCTTCCCGTTCGTTGGCCTAGCGATTCTTCGACTCCTTCGAGAACTCGCTAGTACAGCATAGCAGTAAGAACATTATAAAATGCACTCGGAAAAATAGAGTGTTTTATTGACTCTTAAAACTGAAATGTGATACAAGTGAGGACTCCTTCGTCCTCTATTCTGCCACCTTCCTACTAGCTCCTTCGGTATTACCTGTTGGAATTCACACTCCCTTGTTCTTTTTTTCTCTAACCCTTCTTCACTATGAATGCTGTAATCACTATGCTTGAGGTGTCGGATGTTTGAATTCATGACCTCGCAGTCATACTTCCAACACCTACATCACCAGGCCATCCCAGAACAGTGAAAAATATATATATTTTTACAAGAAAATAAATATATTTAATATAATATTTTTTAAAAAATAAATAATGCCAATTGTGCGAAAGTTTTTATTAAACATATATTTTTCTTATTCCCTAGCGGAACTAAATTTACATAACTTTACAGGACGCCAAAAAAATAATATTTTTTCATGAAGTAAAGGAACAATTGTCAATCAAAGCCTACTAGTCAATCTTGGCTACCGCTAAAATACTCACACACACACTCTCTCTATTATATATATATGTATGTATCTGTTGTCAGTGCAGAGAAACTTGAAACTGAGAAAAAAATGGTGAAGGAAAAGGGGCACGTGTTAGTGGTGACATACCCGTCGCAGGGCCATATAAATCCCCTTTTGCAGTTCTGCAAAACCCTAACCTCCAAAGGCATCAAATCCACCTTCGCTACCACTCCCTACACCATCAATTCCATCCGCGCCGCCGCCGGAATCGACGTCGTCCCCTTCTCCGACGGCTTCGACGCCGCCGGATTCCACGACGCCGCCAGCCTCCAGGATTACATCGACACCTTCAAAACCGCCGGCTCCAAATCAGTCGCCGACCTCGTGCGCCGCCTCAACAGCCGCTCCTCCTCCTCCGCCGCCGCGGCGCCGCCGGTCACGTGCCTCGTCTACGACTCGATGCTCCCCTGGGGGCTCGAAGTGGCGCGGAGCCTAGGGATTTATTCGGCGGCGTTCCTGACGAATTCCGCCGCCGTGTGCTCGATTTTCCGGCAGGTGGATCGAGGGAGGATGAGGCTGCCGGTGGCGGCGGAGGAGTTGCCGGTGAGTCTGCCGGGGATTCCGCCGCTGGGGGCGGAGGAGATGCCGACCTTCCTGGTGCAGGCGTCGAATCCGTACTTGGAAGCGGTTATGGAAATGTTTGCTCTCATGGATCAAAACGACTTCATTTTTGCTAACAGTTTTGATATGCTCGAAAACGAGGTACTCCAACCTATATATTTTATTCTATTTATTGATTATATTTAAGAATTTTTATTATTTAATATAAAAATTAACATTTAATATAAAATATTTTATCATAAAATATGTAAAAAATTTTGACAGTTTTTTATATTTGTATATAATTATTTTTTTAAATAAAAAATATGTACTTGAAAATCAGGCAGAGATACATAGGGAGTATTAATTTTTATAGTAAATTAAGAAATAATAGTTTTTTATTAGTAAATGGAAATGTGTAAAAAAATTTGATATTTTTGTTTTTAACTTTATGTAAAATAAGTGTATGTATAACTTTATGTTTGTAATTTAAATAAAAGTTTATTTTTGTATTAATTTGTGATTACTTATATTAAAAAATAAAGAAATATTTCGGAATGATATATATAAAAATAGTAAAAAAATACTTTGAATTGAGACTAAATTATATTTTTGAAAAAATACATTATTTTTTCTTTTTTTCACTTAGCATTATAGTGTATTCTATTAATGCATGATAATTGTCTTTTTTTACCAAACAAAAACTTTATCATTTTTTTTTTCAATTTCATCATTGTACCAAACAATTCTAAAATATTCATAATATGCAATGTGAAAAGTTACTTAAATATATATATATATATATATAATTGTAAGTAAATCGACATGTTGAATTTAATCTCTCTATATTTACGTCGGTTGATATATAATTTTCCGTACAAATTAAGGTAGCGAAGGCCATGTTAGGACAGTGGCCAGTGAAGATGGTTGGTCCATCAGTCCCATCAGCTTTCCTCCACGACAATCTCAATTCTGACACCGATTACGGCAGCAGCCACGACCGTCTCCCCGAGGGCGACGCAGCCACCGCCGACTGGCTCAACGCTAAGTCCCCCAAATCCGTCGTCTACATTTCCTTCGGTAGCATGGCGCAAATCTCAGCCGTCCAGCTCGAGCAGATCGCCGACGGCCTGATCGAAAGTGGGTCCACCTTCCTCTGGGTGGTCCGGGAGCCTGAGCACCGGTTCCTCCTCCGAACCCGCCTGGACCGAGGCGCGGCGGAGGGGATGCTCGTCCCGTGGTGCAACCAAGTGGAGGTCCTAATGCACGAGTCGGTAGGATGTTTTTTGACGCACTGTGGGTGGAATTCGACACTGGAGGCTATTAGCTTTGGGGTTCCGGTGGTGGCGATGCCGCAGTGGAGCGATCAGCCGTTGAACGCGAAGTTCGTCGACGAGGTGTGGGGGGTTGGGGTGAGGGTGGGTAGGGGGAGGGGGGAGGGTGGGGTGGTGGGGAAGGAGGAAGTGAAGAGGTGTGTTGAGGAGGTGATGAAAGGGGAAGAGTATAGGAAGAATGCTTTGAAATGGAGGGATTTGGCTAAGGATGCTATGAGGGTTGGGGGAAGTTCTGAAAAAAATATTGATCAATTTGTTCAAAAATTGATGGCTAATTAATTATTGAGCTAAACCTAAGTTGAAATTAAATAAGAAAAAAAAAAACTATATTCTCTTTATTTTATTCGAATTTTTTTTTTTAGTGTCAATTCTGTTTTATTCCAATTATTTATTTTTTTATTTTAAGTAAAAATAATTGTACACTAATACCACTACAACCTTTCACTTTTACTATAAAAATAAAAAAACAAAAATATTAAAATGTCAAAATTTTTTGTATACTTTCACTTACAAGCTACTATCACCAAAATTTTTTACACATTTTCACTGAATGTTATTTGGAGTGGAACGAAGAGAATATATGTTATTTTATCACTTTTACTTGTACGATTAAAAATATTAATTTATAATTAAAAATTTAAAAAATATATTCAAAAGTAAATATTTTTGAATTAAATAGACAAAAATAATAAAAATAGTATTACGTTACAATCCCAATTCATAGTTGGGCTTTGCAGTAATATACTCCCTCCGTCCAGGAAATAAGTATACATTTACTTTTGGTCGCAGAGATTAAGGAATAATACTATTTTAATTATAGTTGATAGGTAAAAGTAGTGAAATGACATTTTTGCTTTTTACTTTTTTGGTATAAAAGTAATGATGTGAGGTAAAGTAAGGGTATTTGTGGAAAAAATGGGGTATTTAATGAAATAGTTACTTTGTAATTGGACGTCCCAAAATAAAAACATGTATACTTTCTCGCTGGACGGAGGGAGTATGTTACAGCAAATGGACATAATTTATTTAAAACATATTCAAATAGTAGAATTTATGTTACAGCAATGGGGGCTGGGCTTCTGTTAAAATTCCAATCCATATTTGGGCTTTCAGGCCCATACAAAAATACATAGAAAATAAAGAAAATGCTTGTGGCCATGGCTATGGCTGATCTGCTGCTTTCCTCAAACCTGACCCAAAGGTAATCAATCTATCAATCGAATAATCCATCGGTATTCTCCACCCATTTCTGCTGCATCATGACGGCGAAGGCGCTGCTCGTCCGGCCAAACATGGCGGCTCTGTGTTTCATCGGAAGCCGTTTCCCTGTTCGTTCATTTCTGCCAGGGGCGATGATGAAGGCGAAAACACACAGCAACCTCTCGATTGCTGCTCCGTCACTGCCAACGGCGAACCTTCGTTTCAGGAGCTTTCCATGGCCTATTAGTCGGAGTTTCTGCATCCGAGCATCGACTGAACCTGACAATTCGTCCTCCTCCGCTGTCTCTGCGTTCACTGAATCAATGGAGAAGAAGGTCGATCTCTGGCTCTATTTCGTATTTCCTTGTGTTAGTTGACTTCATATTTGCTTTATCGTCTTCTACTCGTTGCAGTAGCTACTTTTTCTATGTGGAATGGTTAAATTGCTATGCTGTTTAGTCTAAGCAGTCCAATAGTGATTTGATTCTGTGGTACGGAGATACAGTTGGTTCATGCTTTTTTTTTTTTTTTTTTGATAAATGTATAGAAATGATGGATAGAATATGTGCATTTTTGGTATATAGTAGTTTTTTTGTAGCATTTTTTAGATTTTAGAAACCATATATGCCTTATGTATATATATGTTATTTTCTGTATCAGCTTGGGGTATGTTTACATGAAGTGATTAGTTGAATTTTGTGTGTAATTTTACACACAAGGATTGATTGATCCATTGATGAGCATGCCATGGTCTAGAGCTTGAGCTAAATCTAGTGAGAAAAGAAAAAAATTAAGTAGTTTTTAAGGTGCGTTTGGCGTAGAAAAATAGAGACAAGGAAAATGAAAATATCTTACATTTGTCTTGCTTGTTTGAGTGAGAAAAATTAGATTTGAGAAATAAATAATTTCTAAGTTTTTGTGTTCGTTTATATTCACATAGAAATGAGGATAAAGGAAAATTTAGAAATGCATATGCTGTGCTCATTCGGTATTTTTCTTTTTTTTCTTTCTGTTTTTCGACTTTAACAATTTTATATAAAAATATTCAAATCAAAACTAAAAAAATTAAAAAAAGAAAAGATAACCAACTAAATAAATCATATTTCTCTGCAGATTTCCACTTCATTAAAACCCTCTCTTACTCCTCTCTATTTCACTCTACTAGATTCAATCTACTAGCACACAAATCTCCTCTGGATTGATCAACCATATTGCTCCATTTCTATATTACATTTCTCAGCTATTGAATTCTCTTTCCTTACAATTCTATTCTTTCCTATAATTTATCTAAAATTCTATTTTCGGTACCAAATTTAAGAGTTTATTGTAACTAATTTTTGAGTTTATCAAAGAAATGGCAATATGTTGGCTATGTGATTGGCAGTTTTCTTCCTGCATAATATTTTGGTTTCCTTAAAATTTGCTACATTTCGATGTATTAGGATTAAAAGAGTTGTCTCGAGTCACTTTTGTATGGAATTAGAACGGGAGAATGAAGAAGCACTTCTAAACTTGAGCTGATGGTATTATGGAATATTTAGGCATTTGCAAGTTGTAATGATGAGTTAAATTGAGGTTTGAAGTACTCGGTTTATCGAACAGAATTTGACTCAATTCCTCGCGGATGGATTATTTCCTAATGTGGGAAATGTTTACATAATTCTACCTTTCTCTTTCTCATCATTGACAAAATTATAGTGATTGAGATTTCGATCAGTGAAGATTTTACATTATAATCACATTTCTTGGAAATTAGTCACAATCTAATGTGTTTAGGAGTAAAATAATTCATGTCTCGAGTTTTATTTAGGACTAAAAGAATTCATTTCTACCTGGTCTATTTCCCATCATTAGCTACATTTTAATGTATTAGGACGAAAAGGGTGCTGAGAATAATGAAGAAGCACTAGTAAACTTAAGCAATCTATTTTGCAACATGCTAGGAAATATTTGAATTCTAATGTCTGATCGAGAGAACTTTGAAGCGCTCATCGTAACAAAATTTGAACTAATTCCACATTTACAAAGATGGTGATTGAAGTTTTCCATCTGTGATAAATCACATGCTAATAAATTTAAAGATGGAATTTACTCTTGCAATTGAATTAAGGAAGACTGATGGCAATAATTAGATTCTTAGGAACTTACAGCATTTCATTCTTTCTTTTACTTGCTGAAGAAAAGCTTTGAATTAGTAATTGTCGAAAGTTAACAGCTTTACTTTGGTATGTTATTCTATTCAACTATGAAACTTTGTTGCCTAACTAATGTCACAATGTGCTCGGTCAGATCAAAGAACGGTTAAGTGCAGATTCGGTTGTTGTTAAAGATGCTTCCGGTGACGGTCGCCATGTTTGGTGAGGACTCCCTCGTAGCATAGTAAATTACACAATTAAATAAGTTGAATAGAAGTTTGAAAATTTTTGAAAATAGTAAAAAATTGAATATTTGATGATGATTTTTTTGAGAAAAAGCTTTTGTTGATAAATAATGTCAATTTTTGTTTAGAACAATTTTGGAGAGTTTTGAGACTATTAAGAAGTTGTTATTCAATATGATACTGCCTCCGTCCGCTCTAAGGTTCTCATTTACTTTTTGCGATGTGATCTTTGAATATTAATTATTATATCAAAACGTAGTACAAATTACAAAAAAAAATTATAAAAATACTTCGATTAGTGTTTTCTAATACTAATATAAAGACATTTGTACAAAAATTTATACAAATATAAGAATATTTTTAATGTTAAGTACAATAACGTAAAAGGTAAATGTGACCCGCGGACGGATGGAATATTTTATAAAGTGGGATATTTAACCTAATATTTTAAATGAAAATTAGATATTTTAACTTTATATGGGTGTGTTTGTTTGAGAGATTGGATTTTGAGTTGGGATTTGAATAGTAAAAAAATTGAGTTGGAATAGTTATTTGATGTGAAGTAAATATGTTTTGATATGATGTTTTGAATGTAAAATTAATTTTTAGTATAATATAAAAAATAAAAAACAGGCATTTGATTTGATATTTTTTAGGGAAAAAATTTAGTGAATAGTAAAATTTGGAGTAAAACTTCCAAACGAAAACACCCTATTTTCTTTCTTTCGATTATTGTTGATGAATAGTATCGAAATTTTTAAGAATATGTATGTAAACAGAGTCTTCTATTTCGAATAACTTACCTACCTACCTACCTATAAATTAAAGTCGGGCATATGTTATGTTTGCAGCATTGAGGTAGTGTGTTCGGGGTTCGAGGGGCAATCAGCTGTGAATAGACAGAGGATGGTTTACAAGGCCATATGGGAAGAGCTTCAAGACAGAGTACACGCCGTTGATCAGATGACTACACGCACTCCCTCCGAAGCTTCGGCTAAGTAAGTGAGACAGAAAATCTTCCATATTGTGACTAATGGGTCATATAGACTTCCATATATTTTTAATGTGCCCGAAGCTAAGAAAGCCATTGTCGGGATATTAGAACTCCCGTTGTGTCCCGCCCGCCCCTACCCGTCCCGACAGCCTCCCTCTACTTTCTTTTATATGTTGAGAACTGAGATCTATACGTTAAAAGGAGAGCTTTATTAGGCTCTCGTTTGTTTGTATTAGCAAGTTCATCGGCTACTGTTTTCTTTGAATAACATTTTTCTAATGCAAATCTAACAATCTTTTATAAAAATTCTTCCCAAATATTAAATTGATAGATAAATATGAGACGGATGAAATATCATTTAGACATAAAGTCCAAGCAAAATAATTAGAAGTGATCGATATGGAATACCAAATATTATATCAAAATTTTCAGTATGATAAAAAATAATACTCTCTCCGTCCCATTAATAAGTATCCAATTACTTTTTACACGTAGTTTTAGATATATTAGTATTATATTAGAATATAGTATGAATAAAGTAGAAATGACTAAAATAATGTGCGATACAGGTATTTGTAATATTATATAGAAAGTACAGTTACTAAAAAAAAGGAAATGGATAATGGGACGGACTAAAATAGAAAAATAATACTTTGTTGTTACGGGACAGAGGGAGTATAACTGTACCAAAATTCTGATATAATATTTTTCTATTTTAGTCCGCAAAATTCTGATATAATATATATTATACTGATCTATCGAATACTAAAATATTAAAATAGTATTAAAAATATACAAAAATTTAAATAAAATATAATTAATATGTAATTTAAAAATATATTAATAAAATAATAATTATATACTAAAAATAATCATAAATTAAAATTAAAATTAAAATATCTAAGTAATTTAATTAAAATTAAAAAAATTATAAATTGTAAAATTTAAAATGTTATTAAAATACATAATTATATTTAAAGAAAATAACAGATTATGTAAGAGTAAAGAAAATGAAAAAAAAAAATGACATGCAATGAAGGAAGTAGCTTTCTTTATCCATCCAAATTATTAAAACCAATCTTTCAAGTAAATAGAGACAGAAACGTAATAGCTTTGACAACTACTTCTAGGCTATGTATTTCAATCAAAATTGAATTGGTATTATGCACAATCATCTTTTCATTCATCGTGTCACAACCCTTGTTTAATATTCCTTTCTTATTTCTATGTTATTTTTTCACACTTGAATTAAGCTGAAACGAACTGAATACGAACACGAGGAAGCAAAACTAAGTCCTCTTATTACAACATAAGCGAACATATATACGCAAAACCAATTCAAATGCATGCGTACCGTTACATTTTGGACCGGACCTTGTCGATGAGTTCTCTTCTGAGTATCTTCCCCGACGCTGATTTTGGCACGCTATTAACGAACGTAACTCTTCTCAATTTCTTAAATGGCGCAACCTACAGCATCAAGTGTCGGTATAACATTACTAATGTCAATCATTCAGACACTCGAAAACAATTATCACCCGGTCGCATTGATAGTACAATAAAATATACCTGATCGGCGACGAACTTCTTGACGGCATCTTCAGTGATCGAGCTATTAGGGGAGCGCACGACGTAGGCAATCGGGACTTCGCCAGCTTCAGCATCTGGCAATCTGAAAGCAACATAGTTAATTTTCATTTAAATTTATGTTCATTTTTCTTTTTAACGGTAATAATAATAATAATAATAATAAAAAAAAAAAGTAGAAAAAAATAAAATTACTTTTTTACTATGTTATATAAAGATAATGATATTTGTGTAATATACTGTAAGTTGTAATTTGAAAGAATATTTTTAATGTTAGTGGAAAGTACAATCATTAAAATAGAAAAATAGATAGATATATGGACTAATAATTATTACTCTATCTTATTAAAACTCGTGGCCAAATATATGAGCATACGTTTCAATGATAGAGAGATTATATGTTTTCAGATGTTATAGAATGCTTACGGGATGGCGACTGCATCGAGAATCTCCGGATGAGAGACGAGAATAGCTTCAAGCTCTGCCGGAGCAACCTGACAAGAAATCGAACGTTTTTGGCGGTAAGAAAAACCTGCTATACCTTCAAATCGAACATTTTAAATTTTAAGCAGCTAACGTTGCATACGATGAATGAACTAACTTATATTCGTTACCATCAAATATATTTTTATTCTCACCAAATATCATATCAAATATAATTTTTTATTATTCCCTAATCTTTGATCTTAACACTCCCTAAGTATCACGAATTACTCGAAACTACTTTGTGAAGTCCTTCAAGAATTATTCGAAACTCCGGCAATAAACTTAAGCAGAACCACGCATAAATGTATACAACGCTAAAACATCGAAACCTCAATTCGTACAAAACGACTTACCTGAAAACCTTTGTATTTGATCAATTCCTTAATCCGGTCGATAACAAACAGCTGACCCTGATCATCAAAGTGTCCAAGATCGCCGGTGTGCACCCATCCCTTGCTATCAATCGTGAGCTTCGTAGCCTCGGGGTTATTGAAATAACCTAAGACGAAAGAAACAAAAAGGCGATAAGACACAAAGATCGTGTTTTCCCAAAACAATACAAACATGCTTGAAATTCGAGGCGGGAGGACACCTTTCATCATATTGGGGCCTCGAACCCATATCTCCCCGAGTTCCCCGGGGGGAAGGGGCTTCATTGTATCAACACTAACGATTTGACATTCGATTCCTGGACTGAGCATTCCAGCTGCGCCAGAATGTCGAGGCCCTGCGTATGGACTCTCGACACAGATAATGGAACAGGTTTCGGTCATTCCATAGCCCTGAAATCGAACAAAACATTTCGTCACAATGGAAAGATTTCATGCTGCCATCCGAAGAAGTCGACCCGAGTTTGATAACTAACAAGCATTCTATCATATCCAAATATTTAGACAACTAAAGAAATTTCGACCTATTAGTAAATACTTGGGGTGCACTCTTTCAACAAAAAAATATATACATTTTTCCAAAAATATTAATACATTACACGCATTCATTATTTTTATATTCACTACCCAATTCCACATACCTCATATCGAAAAATACTCATTCAAATTATCTCACAAAACAAACACACATTTGATCTCCACTTTTTTTTTAACGTTAAAAATATACTCCATCGGTCCGCCTCTAAGGATCATATTTACCTTTTACGTCATTATATTTAATATAAAAAAATCTTCTTATATTTATATACATTTTTTTTTTAACAAATATCTTTCTATTAATATTATAAAATACTAGTTGAAGTATTTTTGCAATTTTTTCTTAATTTATACTACATTCTGATACAATAATTAATATTCAAATATCAACATGCAAAAAGTAAATGAAACTTTAGAGCCGTATGGAGACATCAATATTTTCCTTCACACAAAACGATCATATTAAATCACTAGCAAACACAAGACACGAACTTGCATGCCGAAAGCTAACCTTTTTAATTGACATTTGGATGTCGAAACATTCTAAGATTTGATAGGTTCCTTCGAATCTAAAAAGAATGTGGTTCTTAGAAATATGCACTCTGTTCCTACAAGGAGTTTTGGTTTTACCTATCAGCTTAAATGTGATAATTTTTTTAAAAAAACAATAATGTATTTTTACATGAAAATGTAAGAGTTATAAAAAGATCAATAAATAAAATAATCTAAGTAGAGAGACATATTATATTATGCTAGCTTTTGCATAGTTTTCCAATTTTTTGTTTGAATAACTATTTCTACGTGAATACTTTTGCCTGAACAGTGAAAGTTAAAAGTAGAATTTTGGAGAAAAGAATCACCAAACAAGGCTCTATTTAATTATATACTTACTCTTCATTTGATTTTTTCCAAAAACAAAAAAACAAAATAAAAAACCTAACTTTTATTATTCTCCAAATTCTTAAAAAATAACCAAACTTCAAAAACACAAACAATTTTCATACAAAATACCAATTTTTATAACTACTTTATCTAAATAATATTTAAAATATTTAAAAAAAGAAAAATATTTAAATATTTAAATTAATGTCATCACACAATATACGTAAGATGTCGGTCTATATTAAATACTCCACTATAGCCTAGGCGTCCTACATAACTATATTTATATTATATATATATATATATATATATTACTATGTCCTCTATGATTGCCAATAAATGCACCTTATACCATATTTAGCTTTTTATATAGTAAAGTAAAATAAAATTAATAAAATAATTTTTTTCAATTAAAATTATAAAATAAATATAATGGATTTGTTCACCCTATTTATTTTCTACTATACCATTTCTCATAAATATTTTTTTAAAAAATACAATATATATATATTTTATTTATCCAAAAAAAATTAAAAATTTAATAAAAACTATTGTTTTTTATATTACTCGACATGATTCTCTATAACTAGAAAACACATTAATTCAATATAAAAACATATTTTCTCTATATATATATTTAAAAAATTAACAATTCAATATAGAAATACTTATGTTTTTATATTATCAACACGATCATACAAAAGATTAAATAATTTTATAAATATATTAATAAATAATTAAATATATATGCTCAGTCTCTTAACAATTGATATTTTTTCTATTTTTTTTTTATATGTGACATAACAGTTGACATATCTTTATTTGGGATAAAACTTACTGAATCAAAATATACTTAAAAATATAAATTAATTTAACTAAGTACATAACATATAATATTATAAATAAGATAGACCCACTTAAAATTTCTTTATTTTTATATCTACTAAAAAAATAAATATTTTTATCTATATTTAAAACTCTACTTCTTTTATAAAATAGAATTAGTTTAGATTAATTATAAATAATTAAAAGTATTTTTTAATTTAAAAAATTTTGTTCTCTATAAAATAATATTCATATAACATATATTTTTGTTATATAATTTTTAAAATATTTAAATATATATTTTAATTTTTTAAACATATATATTAAATTTATTTTAAAATTATTAATATTATTAATTATATAAAAAAAACAAAATTATAATTTACTATTATTTACATTATTTTCTTGCATAAAGTATCACACCAAAAGTTTGTTCCTCAAATTTGAAGACTGATAACAGTTTTTGTTAAAAAAAAAATCACAAACAAGTGCATAATTTAAATTCAAATTTACCACGATAGTCTTGCTATTAAAAACAAAATACTAGGAGTGGGAAGAAAAACGGAACGAACCATCGAATTGAACTGAGTCGAATTTTCGGTTAAATTAGCAAATTCGATTCGAATACAAATATTATATATTTGATATTTGTTTTATTCGATTTCGATTTTTTATATATTTTTTTTTCGATTAATCGAACCGAATATATTTATACATTTATATTATTATATTTTAAAATTTATATTAATAATTATATTCAGGTCGGATATTTAAAATATTTGCAAATATTTTTTATTTAATTAAAAATTTAATTATTTTTTAATATTCCCTCTTTCAAATCAAATTAAAAGGTGGTCATTTTTTATTTTCGTTCATATACTACCCACTAACATAATAAATACCCTTCTAACTTAAACTATATTGCACAAATTTCATTACTTGAGTATTTTTATTTTTTTACTACAATCCAATATAATACTAATATTTAAAAATCTACTTGAAAAAGTAGACGTTAACCTTTTTACTAGACTGATGGAGTATATTTTTTCTTAATTCGATTCGGTTCGTGTTATTTGCAAATATTTTTGATTAATCAAAATTTTCGATTTGGATCGAATTATTTGCAAATAATGCAAATATTCTTGATTAACCAAAATTTTTTATTTGAATGTTGCTCGCAGTTTCAAGTATTTGTTAGCTTCAAATAATCAAATAACAGCATCTTTGCAAATAACCCACCCTTAATTATTAGTGCTAACTAAAGCAGTGAACAATCGTACCTGAAGAACAACAGCTTGGGGGAAATTCCTGGCACAATCCTGCATCAATTCCTTCCCCAATGGCGCAGCTCCCGATCCAATCTGCTTCAACGACGAAACGTTATACTTCTTCACCACACTGTTCTTCGCCAACCCCAAAACAATCGGCGGAACAATCCACAGATGCGTCACCGAATACTTCTCAATCGCCTTAAGAATCATCTCCAAATCGAACTTCGACATCGACACGACTGCGTTCCCGTGCTGCAGCTGCGCGTACAAGATCACCGAGAGTCCGAAAACGTGAAACATCGGAAGAACACACAGGAACACGCTGTTGAACTCCCCCGCCCATCGATTATCGGAAGTGATCATCGTCGCCGCCGCGATGAAGTTCCGGTGACTGAGAATCACTCCCTTGCTCGTCCCCGTGGTTCCTGACGAATACAGCAGCGCAGCAGTGTCGTCCTGCTTGATTCCGTACGGATTCCGATCCAGATCTACAGATCCGTTGTTGTTCACGAGCTCAGAGAACGAAGTGATTTTAGGAATTCTTCCGTTGAGTGAAGAAGTGTTCTCATCATCCAATAGAACAACAGGTAAACCAAAATCTCTAACCTTATGCAGCAAGCTTTCGACGGTGATTACGAGCTTACACGTCGAATCGTTGACCTGTTTGGAGAGCTCGGCGACGGTGTACGCCGGATTGACGGTGGTGGCGATGGCTCCGATGGCAGTGATACCGAGGAAACAGAGAGGAAACTGGATCGAATTTGGGGAGAATATGAGGACGACGTCGTTTTTTTGAATCCCTAATTTTATCAATCCATCGGCGACTTTGGAGACCATGGATTTGAACTGAGAAAAATTCAATGTCCGAGCGGTGTGCGCGTCGATGAGAGCTGGTTTGTCGTGGAAAGTGGAGGCGTTTCGGAAGAGGAAGGAGACCATGGAAAGGTTTGGGTCTTTTGGAAGATAGAGAGGCGGGCGGAGGGAGCGGTAGATGCCGTCGCGGCCATAGCCGGATTTCTCCATGGCGTGGTGTTCTCCGATGATCAAACAGTGTGGAATTTGAGAGGGAATGGGTGAAGAGTTACGGAAGGAAGAGGCGTGGGAGAGTAGGGGATGAATTGGTGAGATTGGATTGGAGGGAAGACGCAATGGATGGACTGGACCCAACCCTCATAAATGCAGGAAGGATGCAGTTGGTCAGTGATTGGGGTGTGGACCACGTGACAGAATCGTTTGGATTTTTATTTATTAGTATTTTTATTTTTTTTTTTAATGTAAAAACATACATAAAATATTCTAAATAATCAAAAAATTAAAATATTAATAAAAGTTATTACAATATAATACTCCATTCGTCTCAGCTAAAATATTTTATTTAGATACGAAATTTTAGATATTGTGTAATTAATAAGTAATTAATAAATATATTAGTGAAAATAATTATAAATTAAGATTAAAATACTAAATAGTTTAATTAAAATAAAAAAAAATTATTTCCTCCGTCATCCAATTGTATGCTCATTTGATCGGGTAAGAGTTTTAAAAAAAATAAGTTAAAGTAGAAATTTTCAATTTTTTCGATAAAAAAAAAGTAGAAAATTTGATATTTTCTTTCTAAAAAAAACAATAATAAATTTAGATAAACCAAAAAAGAAAAGTAAGAATATATTTGAATGGCGAAATGAGTATAAATTATAAATTTTAAAATGTGATTAAAGTATATAATTATATTTTTAAATAATTAAAAAAAGTATATAATTATATTTCTAAATAATTAAAAAAAACTAATTATATGTAACGGACGAAAATAAAAATAGTGGACAAATTAAGTGAGAAAGATTGAGTACTATTTTTTTTCTATTTGAAAAAGGTCTTTGGAGTTTAACAGATAAAAATAATAATAATATTTTATATTTGTTAGTAGAAATGTATAAATAAATTTAACATTTTTATCTTGTGATTTTATGTCAAAAGTAATTGTACGTGTAACAGTATGTTTATAATTTAAATAAAAATTTTACTAACACAAAATAAATAAACTATTCAATGAAACATACGAAAATGATAAAAAATACTTTAAATTAGGACGGAATGAGTTTCATATTAAATAATTTTAAATTAAATTAATTAATTAAATATAAAAAATAAAAATGTTAAAACATAACTAAAATGTATATTTTTTAATATAAAACAAATGAATAAAATATAGGATATAAATATCAAAAAAAAAATATGGGACTGAAGAGTATTACTTTACCATCATTTAAATACATACCTATTCTTTTTAATTGTCCTTAAAAAACATTAGTATTATTTTTTAAAGTAAAAATATGTACTTTCTTTATAAATAAATAAATAAATAAATAAAATTAACAATTATTATTTATTTTTATTAAAATTTGAATCGATCAAATGAGTATACAATTGCACGACAGAATGAGTTTTAAGGGTTTTTTTTTACGTTATTAGGTCATCTTCAACCCTGATTCAAAGTAATTTTACTACAATCATGAATTTTAATTTTTACTATAATTTTTTTTACTCCGAGCAAAAGGCTATGTTTGACTTTCTATTTTTCCCTTTTGTCGGCCTTGAGGCCGGATACGAATAAGTTTTTTCCTTCATTAATTTTGCGGTCAGGGCCTCTATTTCGGAAAATTCTTATTCGTCTAAAGCCGTCTCTACTTTTGCAAAGTCTTTTTTGTCTAAAGTTGTGGCTGCCGTCAGGGTTTTTGCTCCTGTAGGGTCCTCCAACAAAAAGTTTTGTCGGACTTTCTTTTCTTCTACCATTGTTGGATGTTACATCTGCTCTTTCCTCAACAACCCTTCAGGCAAAGCTTCTTTATCCTCAAAAGTCTATTTGTCTAAAATTAAATTTTCTGCCTACAAAATAGTACTAGACTTCTCTCTGAGCTTTTTTCTTGAAAATGATCTCCTAATGAAATACGCAAGAATGTTTGTATCTATGATAGGCATGGTTTTCTATTTATTCGGAGTCAGCGACTGCATCCCTGTTGTCTGTTGATGGAAGACTGACGGTTGTATGCTTACGGTCTGTCATCCTTGTCCTCACGTTTGGCAGGTCTCCATCCCTTTGGAGATTGGCTACATACGAACCTTAATATCTTCATGGAGGTGTCTATATATTCTAAATAGATTGTCCGCCAAATTACTTTGGTTGAAATTTATCAAAAGTTGGGAATCCACCTACCCTTGGTAGAGGCTTGACATTATTCCCCAAGTCTCCTGCGACCTGGGGCCCTGAGCTTGATCCTACCTACCCTTTTGGCGTTCGAGGCAGAATCGTAACATGGTCTTACTACAACTGCCCCGACCTTGGGGCATGAAGCCTATAAGAGGTTATGTGACAATTCCATAGCCTACTTCGGCAATGCAATTTTTGTTTGATGCCGAATTGCTACCATCTTGAAAGTATTCTACTGGCTTGATGCAACATTCAGGCGGTACAAATGGACTTCATGTAAGCCCTGATACCTTCACTAATTTTCCAACATGTAATCTCGAAAAATTTGTCTTTGCTCCCAATAAGCGTGCCAATTGTTGGAACTGAAATTTTGGATTTATGAAGCTTCAAGTTAGATTTTCCAAAAGGCTTCAAACGATGCGATCGACTCCCAATAGTACTCCACAAAGTCTGTCTATCATCAGATTCAAATGGCTTTAACGGCAGAGCCTTTACATAGTTTCGAGCCTTAACGACTGAATTTGAGGAAATTTGAATAAAATATACTAAAATTCGAACTAAATATACTAAAAAATTTGAATAAAATAGACTGAAAAATAAAGATAACCGGATGAACGGCTAAAAATCTAATTAATCGGATATAGTTTCCTGAAAAGAAGTAAAGATAATCTAGACAAAAGGATAGACTTAAACCTAAAACTAAGGATTAACTATAAAAAAAAGATAAAGGATAAATGGATCGTTTTTAGGATAAGTGTTATTGTGTGTTAATGTGTGCTTAAATTTGATTTATACTCCGTAAAACGATAAATAACCTCCACTTTCTCCTTCCTACTTTTTCGGAGTTAGTTTATTCGAACTCCATTTATGCGATTACAACTTCTCTTGTCATAGCTTCCAATTGCCTCTCCCACATTTTACGTTCTTTGACTATATTTGACCTTATCAAACTTCTCTTTGTGGCTGGAATACCTTGGCGGCATGACGCTCGGAGGACTGGAAAGCTTCGTATTCGAGAAGCTCTCGTTTCTTTTAAGGTCTTGGTCCTCATCTTACGAGCCTCTTTTATGTTTCTGCGAGGCTTGACTGATCGAAAGATTTTGCATTTGGAATGTTTTTATCGTCCGTGAGATTTTGGGATTTTTTAGAAGTAGAAGCCAAAAGTTCATTCCAAAGTCAATCCAAACAGTGTCTTAATGTTTTAAAGAAGAACAATTATGTGAATAGTATTTTTTATTTTTATTTTTTTTAAAAAAAAACTTAACCAAATCCACCATAAAATATATTTTTAATAAAAAATTAATCAAATTCAAATTTACAATCAAATAATTTTTTTTGAGTTTTTTTTTATATAAATAATATGAAAAAATTTTAAATGTTTTTTATATGTATATAAATACATTATATATTACTATAAAAGATTGAAATCTTTATTTAAATTAAAATATAAAATCAGATACACTATTTGTGACCGAATTAAATGAATTTAGTTATAATAGGCATGAACAAGTTGTTCAATGGGATCTAATATATTTTATCCGGTATCCCATTTAGCTGTGTGTTTAATATAATATAATTAATGCATAATAATTATTTTTATTTCATTGTATCATATGGTAAAAGGCATCACAAGATAGTGTGTCCCCCCTACTCTATTTGCAATAAATAGTTATTTAGTCAAATATAAGTATATAAAGACATGATATTTTAAATATAACATTAAAGTATAACATACTATAAATAAAAGAAAATTGAATAAATAATAAAAACTTGATCCTTAACTTACAAACAAACACATCATTGTATGATCCTAATCAATTATTTATTTATTTATTTTATTTAAAAATTTATTTAAAATATTCTATATTTTTTATTTGTATAAAACTTTTATAATTTAGGTCTTTATTTAGAATCAAATACCAATTTTATACAAAGATGGTGTTTAATAATTTTATATTAACACAAGTAGTTTCGCGCATTTTTACTAAAAACGCAAGAAAGTGTTACATAATTTACCAAAATTTATTGTTGATTGAACATAATATAAATATAAAAAACACAATATAAAAAGATATACATCGTATAAATTATATTAATATAATACATAACACATAATACAAAGTTATAAACTAACATTATATAAACAAAAAAACACATAAGTACAAAATTATATATATAAAAAAAAAGAACAAAACACATAAGTACAAATTCATCACATTATATAAAAATATACAACACATCATATAAAAACATACACCATATGAATTATATTAATATAATATACTATTTTTTATTTTTTATTGGATGACGTGAGAACCCACAGCCGCTACCCGAAAGTGCGCATTGGATAAACCACCGGACGAACCTAATACCCTGCAAATCAGGCCCGACGGGAAAGTCACACTAGGCAAACCATGTGTGGGGAGTGAACTTGTGACCGTGAGATCATGAGTTCAAACTCCAACACCTTCAGGTTCACCTGCCGCATATGATTTGTCCAGTGTGATTTGTCTTATGTGACCTACTTTGCAGGATATTAGGTTCGGCCAGAGTTTACCCATTGTGCACTTTTAAATAGCGGCGGCGGATTTCCACGTTAAATAAGCATAACAACTTATATAAATACAATATATATATATTTTTAGTTATTTTATTAAATGAAAATATACGTTGTTTAATTATTTTATACTGCTGATTGAATATTGCTTAGTCAACGCTACAACCAATTTTTGTATTCATCTAAATTTATTTATTAAAAAAAACCCGATAAAGTATTGGACCATCCAGCATGATTTCAAATCGAACCGGATTAGACCGGTTGCAATAGTGGGACTTGAGCCGACTCAAACTATTTTCCGTAATTTGAGCCTGGCCCAGGCCGGCCCATATAAAAGCGAATTCAATTAGGGCCTGCTAAAATAAGCCTGTATTAATCGGGTCTACCAGTTCGACCCGGACCGGCCCAACACGACCCACCCGATTCAAAATCTTTGCAGATTGGATTGAGTGGATCAGCCCTATAACCCAAAACTAAGAACTGTTAGCCTTCAAAATCCTCCTTCAATTTGGGCCGCCTTGCGTCGGAGCTTGATCGGCGGCCAGATTCGCTGCCCAACATGATCCAGAAGAGCAGTCAAATGTGCGAATCTCGTAAGATATCAGTACAAAATCCGGTGGATTTGGGGGTCCAGTTTCCTCGGCTGCTGCTGTTGCTGTTTCTGAGCTTCTCCATCGATCACACAAGGTATGCAATCAATCCGCCTGCTCCTCTGATCTCCATTTTCGCCGACTATCGGAATCACCGTATGCTTGCCATGGCGTTGATGGCTTCCTCTTCAATTGTAGCCTCCTTCTCCCGCCTTTCCCCCGCCCTTCGGACTCCATCATCGATTTTACCCTCAGTTCCTTCGCTCTTATTCATTTCCAAGCCTAAGGTCCGACTTAGAGAATCAAATCCCATCGTTTAATTTAGACCGTCTTGATTTTCTTCTCTGTGCTTCCGAGACCCTTGGTTATTGATATTATCAATTTAGGAATATTGTTATATGTTGTGTGCTACGTTGTGTAGAGGATTTACCTCATTGTTCTTCTTGCAGGTTTTTTATTGGCACAGAAGATTTGGATCGACAACTACTGTAATGGCGTCCAAAGAGTCCGCTGAGAATAACCCTGGACTTCAAACCACCTTGGATGAGGCCACCAAAGGCTATTTCTTGCAGCAAACCGTAATATTCCGAATGGCTTACCTTGTGCTCGTTTGGGGTTTTGGATTTTGAATTGAAATAGTTTATTGATTCGAATATAAACCATTTTGAACTAATATAACATAGAAACTGAAAAAGAGTGGTTTGATATGATCTTTTTGAAGGAATAATAGAAATTCTCCAAAATCCCTCTCGTAATTCAAATTTCCATGTTGATCAATGAATTAGTAGGGAATCAAATTAAGTAACTGATGTCAGAACCTAACAGTGATTATAATTTAGTATTTGTGTGTATGTGTATATATATATATGTGTGTATGTATAGTGCATTGAGATGATTGATACAAGTTTTCTGGTTTTGGTTATGTATGCTCAGATGCTTCGGGTGAAGGACCCTAAAGTCAGTCTTGACTTCTACTCCCGAATCCTGGGGATGTCGTAAGTGTTCATTAATTTGTTCAGAAACAATGGGTTTCATTTTCTTTGTTCTGCACTTTGCTTTATAATATGGTTTCATTGCTAGTTTTGACACCTTTTTTAATAAGCACGTCATTCTGTTGCCTTCCTAAACACATTTAAGATGTTGCAATAATTACTGCATAAGCTAAAGATAACTAGGGTGTTAATCTGTTAGTCTAACAAGTCTTTATTTTTTATTTTTTATTTTTAAAAAAAAAAACTCTAAAGGAATAAGAACCAAGTCTGTGCTGCTAGACATAGAAACCGTTGAATTCTATATGCAGCTTCATTCCCATAGTGTCCACGCATTCCACCACTGGGATATCTGAATACACTTCATTAATTCACTCTTAATTGATATCTACATCCATGATCCATTACGATCCATTAGATCGATATGCTGTAGTTATGGAGTGCTGATTCATTCGATTTGGTTTGGAAACAAGATAGGAGCTGTGTGACGATGGTAGGAAAGCTTCATTGTGTACTAAAAAGTTCACTGAAATCAAACCATGGTTTGCTGGCTGTTTGGAGAAGTTGAGACTGTTTGGACAAACACCCATTTTTGTACTTCTGCTTATACTGAAATTATTTGTATCTAATGTCGAGTGCCAAGATGTTGTTAATTGTTGATTTTCTATTTGTTTCTCAATAGTTTCCAGTTGAATAATTTTTAAATCCAGTACTATTCACAAGTTTATTGACTTATTCCTCCCAACTTCCCCATGGACTGCAGATTGCTCAAAAGATTGGATTTTCCCGAGATGAAATTTACCTTATACTTTTTGGGATATGAGGTGAAATTGTTAGTTATATGAGGCCTGCTAGCGTGTTGATACGTGTAGCTCGATAATCTTGCAAGGCCTTAATTCAATTTCTATATGGTTTGCTCAGGACACATCATCAGCTCCTAGTGATCCTAGCCAACGCACATCTTGGACTTTTGGGCAGAAAGGGACTCTTGAGCTTACACAGTAAGAGCTAAATTTGATTTACATCAATGTTATTGGAACTGCATTTTTTGTTTACAAACATTTACGATTCTACTGTTATCATTTGTCACAGCAATTGGGGTACTGAAACTGATCCTGAGTTCAAAGGCTATCACAATGGGAATTCAGATCCTCGTGGCTTTGGTATGTATGTGAAACAATTTTTCGAACATCTCCGTCCATCGTGTCCCTTTGCCAAACTTAATGTATTGATATGCACCAAACATTCAGTTTGCCACTTTTCTTTGCCAAATCATACTTGTTGTGAATACCATGAACATATTCCTTTTCCTTGGAAGAATATAGGTAGTTGATTGTATATATTTGCCATTCTTTTGAATTTCATATATACATTAATTTTGTGAATGATATCAGTGTTATAATTATATCTTTTGTATAATTTTGCATCAACCTTTGATGTGGCATTGTTTTCCATGACTGAATGAAAACCATTGACAGCTGTGGCTTATGTATAGTTACATAGAGCTACATGACATGGCCTTTCTTCGGTTTATTTATAATTACATAGAGCTACTTGGTCTTTTTGGTTCGTCAATTATGATTCGTAGATGTTATGATGATTGATGACCTGCAATGTTTTTATTAACTGAAATGATTCCAAAGCTGCTAGAAATCCTTTGCACTCTATGAGTTTGTTTGTTGATTTATGCACAAAAACAAATGCCATTCATTCTCGAACAACATACATACATTTTCTGTTTAGGTGAACTTAGGGGATTATGAAATGAACAAAGAATCTGTTGCTTTCGATGACGACACTTCCTTGATTGTAACATGAGACCTCGGGTTCTATTTTTATTCTGTATAATATGGTGTCAGATAAATATTTCTTTTCACTCTTTTGGCTATCATCTTCATTTTTTTGTTTATTTATTTTTATTAAGTATATTGGATCCTCTTTGCACCTTTTTTGGTTTATACTAATATGCACACCTGATGTCCAGAATATCGGGTGCTTCGCGCCTTCAGTTAGTTGGACGACTAACATGTAGTTGTCTTTTTGCAGGACACATAGGCATTACTGTTGATGATGTATACAAGGCCTGCAAGAGATTTGAAAGTTTGGGAGTGGAGTTTGTTAAAAAACCCGAGGATGGTAAATTCTCTTAAAATTTCTTTAACGTATTAAGCCGTCAGAAGAAAGTATTATGTGCCCTCAAAATGTGCCTATACTTCCCATGTAGATTCTCACAAAACTTGATCATTGGAAGAGATTAATTTGATTCAATTATCTGATACAAAATCTCGGGATGTGTGTAACATTCAGGTAAAATTAAGGATATAGCATTCATCAAGGACCCAGATGGCTACTGGATCGAAATCTTCGACACCACAACGATTGCCAAAACAACTGCTTCAGCTGCGGTTTGATCATACTCTGCATGTTTTTCAGGCAAGCGATGTTTTTGTTCGAAAGATACATTTTGCTCTAAAGAAAATTGTTATAAAGGAGGGAGCATAGATGCATTTGATTTATCTGCTTCATCTATTTTGTTTTGTTTTGTTTTGTTTTGTTTTTGGGGTCTATACAGAATATGCACGTCCGGTGAAACGCTCCATGAACATGTGCCAATCCCGACACTTGATGGAGATGATAAACACATGTTTGTGTTGTGAGAGTATCTTTCTGTGAACTTTTGAAAGTAATAATGTTAGTAGGGACCTAATTGTATGGCTTTGGTGATTTGGGAGGTTGGCCTAATGGATATTTTGCTTGGACTTGTGGTTGCTTGTTGTGGTTATGTGTATGTGTTATCTTTTGGAATTTGTTTTATTTTATTCTTTAATAGTTATTTGAATGTAATTTTTGGTAAGAGAAAACATGTTATATGCCAAGAAAATTGAAATCAAACTCTAAAGGAAAAAAAAAAAAAGAAGGAAAAACCAAGATTGGTTTAAGCAAATATTTCATAGATTGACTAATAAAAGAAAAGTGAATTCAATAAATAATACTCCCTCCTTTTATCCTGTGAAATTATGTAGATTTATCGAGACTGAGATAAATAAAAAATAAAGTATGATATTATAAGAAATTTATTAAATGAATGATAAAAGATACTGACAAATTAATCAAGGTAAAAATAATAAAATTACAGATAAATAAAATTATATATTGTTTTAAATGAAGTATGCATAAATTTGACTAACCTATTAAAAAAATAATAGTTTTATGAACCCCTTATCATTTTAGTTCGCAAATTAGTCCAAGTGGAAAATTTTCGTTGTTTGTAACGTGTCCGCCAGGTCTGCGAGACCTGGCAGACACGTGAATTTATTTTATTTTTTTCATTTTTTTTAAAATTGGAATAAAAAAATAAAAAAAATAAGTAAAAGAAAATTAAAAATAAGTTTTTTTTAAAAAAATAAATAAATAAATAGTCCACGTGTCCGCCTGTCGCTGACCTGGCGGACACGTCACCTCCGGCAAGCCACACAGGCATCTCCGGCGCCGGAGGACTAAAACAGCGAAAAGTTTTTACTTATGAGACTAGTTTGCGACAGGCTCCACTTACGAGACTAAAATGATAAATGAATCCAGTTACGGGACTAAAAAAAACAGTTTACCTTAGTATTAATAATTTTGGCAGCAGAAGATAGTAAAATGTATATATATATATATATACTTTGGTAATGGTAGTTATAGTATTTCTATAACATATAACGATTTAATTAAGTGCTCGGAAATAGTTGCATAAATCTATCCTATCCTATGTAGTAGCATATATCTTTTTACCATGTATAATAGTAATTGAAATTTTTTTGCAATAATCAATAATTCACAAGTCCAAACCTGGAATTGGTACTGAAGCTGTGAAGCGCAACGCCAATAACTATAATAATCCAATCCAATCCAATATTGAATTTCCTCTTCTTCTTTGTTGATCACATTGGAGCAAGATGGCCATCTCTCTCAACTTGTGTCAATGGTAGCTTCCCCTGCATCCATCTTCTCAGCATTTCCAGCGACGCTTTCGGCTGATCCATCGGCACCATGTGACCCGCGTCGTGCACCTTCAAGAAACTTAGAACTCCATACCCCTTCTGCAGCCCCGCCTCCACCCCGTCCACCGTGAAAGGCAATGTCCGGGCCGCCACAAATTGTTTCTGCCCCGACCATTCCATCGCATGAACCCACCTCGAATTCCCTGTCCATATACATATCCAACATTATTACTTTTATTATTATTTTGATGATGTAGGAATAATCGTTATTCTTCGAATACGTTTTGGGTAAAACTTTTCATGAACCTAATAACATGCAAATTAAGTCTGATAAAGTAAGTCAAATTAAACGAATTATGTGTGACTGATAAATTTGAAGGTATCCAGAGTTTGAATCTACGATCTCACCGTTACGAATTATTATTATTATTATTATAAGATGGGTATGTCTTGGGCATGGATCAGCGGCTGATCCGGTTAAGTCAGCATAGCGTTGATTTGACCGAATCAGCATATGCTAATAGGGTTGACCAACATATATTTATATGTATCTCAACATATTTATAATACAGTCCAAACATGATGCAACTTTTGTTTTCGGCCTCGCCGGGTAGTGTTAAATATGATAATTTGAAAATTAAGTGATATGATGATAGATAAAAGTGTATATTTACTTGAGTAATGCGATGAGATAAAATGTATATTTACTTAGAGTGATGTGATGATATAAAGTGTGAGGTAGAGACTAAATATATTTAATTATTTCATATTTTAGAAATATAGTAGGATGTTTGAAACTGATAAAAAATGAAATATTTCAGGGTGTTTTAGGACGAAAGAAGTATTATAACTAAGCATATGCTAAAATATGTATAAATATATGTTGGTCACCTCTATAGTATATGTTGATTCGATCGTATAAACATCATGCTGACTTGGTCGTATAAGTACCTTATCTTATATTTGAAAAAGAAAGCATAAGGTGGAGGTGGGTGGGGTTTGGGTTAGCTACATACGTACCTAGCCAGTTGCATATGAGATCGTATTCTCCAGCGTACACTAAAAGTTTGATTCCATCTTCCAGGAGCGTCGGAATTCCAACTTCGAGATTCCTCATCCAGTCACTCACCATAGCTTCGTACACTGTCGAGCTGCAAGACACGAAATCTATGTCCCCAACCCCAAGAGCTTCTCTTACCGTTTTCTCATTCAGAAACTTCTCCATCTCCGAGAAGTCGTAGCACAGATCACCCTCGCACTTCTTTCGTATATCGTAATACTGCAAATTAATATGCTTTCTACTGTTAGAATAGAAATCATATCATTTTTTGCTCTCCTGATCTGTTTGTTCTCTCAAAATAAAAATAATAGTATTTCTTACGTACATTTACACCTCCAGCAAGGGCCACAATACGGTTGAAGATGGTGTTGCAAACCATGTATGCAGCCACACAAGAAGATCCGCCGTCGGCTCCTGAAAAAATTATTCAAATTATTATTATTAGGCACCGGCTACCGTGCTAAAATTTAGCACTATAGTGAAAAATACATCATGTGCTCGTGCGTTATCTGGCAGTACACACCGGATTATTACAGACAAACACATTGGATAGATTAATACTAAAAACTCATATTATAGTCTCATATAGCACACATAACGTATGATTTTATCACACGACATATTCTTATACAGCACACATGTAATTATGAACAAATATGACAAGTCTTTATTACACAAAACATTGTATATAATAAAAAGTGCTATTTTATGAGTGTTGATTTGAATATTACATATAATTTCTTTTAAAATATTACATATAATTTCTTAAAAATAAATTTTGTGTAATATTTTGAAAACTCTCATACAATTTTTAACTCATAAGAGAGAATGATCCATGCTTTTCAAATCAAATGTGAATTATAAATATTTTTATCTTATTATTATTATTATTTGGAAAAGCCGGAATTGAAATGTTTTTGGGTTGGAGAGTGGAGTTAGGAATTTACCACAGAGCTTGATTGCCTGTTCGCAATCGGAAACAGTTTTGTTGATGCTGTTGTAGTCGGATTTTGTGATCAACTTCATGTCTAGAGCATAATCAGTGTATGCTTTATATTGTATTTCGGGGTTCGTAAGTCCGTTGCCAATTGCGAAGCCCTGACCCAATAAAACAAGCAATCAAATCATCAGGATCCCGGTTAAAGCATGTTACTTTTTATAAAATTTCGAGTTGTATCTTATTAATAATAAATGGTGATATTTGATTGATTCAAATAATTATAATTTAATCTAAAATATATAATTGAATATTGATTTGACATAAGTAATCATTGTTATTTTTTTAGAATAAAAAAAATACAAAATTTGACAATTCAAAAAAAAAAAAAAAATGAATGCATATTTGAACAACAGAAGAAAATAGTATTTAAAATAGTTGGAACATGTTCAAAAATTCAAGTGGTGTCTATAAATCAGCTTGAATGCTTAGAGAAATTAAAGATGTTGTAACTAGAGTTATCGAGCCTAATTCTATCAATGCCTAAAGTTGGAATGGAAATAAGGATCTCGATAAGGATCTCGACACCGTTGAAAAATGAAATAATACTATTTGGAAAGAGGATTCTCAAAGGCAATTAAAGTCGGAAGCATGAATCTAAATGAAATCAAGACAAACTGTGATGGTTGAACATAAGAAACTAAAAAATAAATTTGACAATAAATAAATTCGATCTATTAACAATAAATTTCACAGTTATATCTTATTAAAAAATAAATTATAAATATCTAAAATAATAACAATTTAATTAATTTAAAACATAAACCAAGTATCTATAATATATCAACAAAGGTTAATAAAATCAGTAATTCGCAAGCATGCATACCTTTAAGTTGATATGAAGCCCCTCTTTGTTCTTGTTGCCTTGATGAACCCGACCGGCGAAAGCAGGAATATAGTGGCCAGCGTATGATTCTCCCGTGATGTAGAAATCATTCTTTGCATATTGCGGATGCTCTTTGAAGAATGCCTAAAATTTAGAGCAAAGATCCTCTCTTATCACATAAGTAGACTGTGTTTTCGATTTAGTAGTATGTGTATTTTTACCAATTTTTTTCAAGTTCTGAAAAATACCTGCAAGAAGTCATACAGATCATTGCTAACACCCTCTTCATTGTGCCTAATATCATCGTCATCGGAACTGTAGCTAAAACCTGTCCCCGTTGGTTGATCGACATAGATAAGATTTGAAACCTGCATTTTTAGATCAGTAGTGAATATTGTGACTACAATGGATTAAAAGAAAGGGGGAATTATCTAAAATAAGATTTCCATAGGAAAATTATTAATGAGAGAGGAAGTAATGAATGACCTTATCCCATCCAAAATCATTCCATTCTAAGGATAGATTACTTGCAATGTGGAAAGGTCCATTTTCATAGAACAGGGCCAATTCACTACTGCAACCTGGTCCTCCAGTTAGCCAAATCACAACAGGATCAGCCTTGCTGTTCCTTGATTCGAAGAAAAAGTAAAACATCCTGCAAAAGTTATGGTGATCGAGTCATGCCGAAGCATCTTCAATTAGAAATGATCGAATAAATGTTCAATATCTTTAAAATAGAAAGCTAAAAATAGAAAGCTGAGCGTACTTGTAACGATATGTTGAGTATATAGTGATTAGAATTTAGATGTTTCGTGATTTCTGTTCAGAGGATTTTAATCGATGACTTGATTATTGACTCATTTGCTGGAATTTAATTTACTGTCAGCTCAGATTTTACTAGTGAAACAAACTTTGATCAAATCAATGTTCAATATCATCAAAACAGAGGACTGTGCGTACATATATTGAGACGTTTCATTCACACGTTTGTTTCATTTATTACAGTACAAAGTATAACTCCAAAAAGGTGGATTAGCAATTCCTTTTACCAGCAGAAATCAGGATGGAATTTCTGAAGCACCAATCGATTAAGGAGTTAGGGAAAAATAGATGGAAGTTTGATTCAGCAGTAAAATTCGAGCAGACAGTAGTAAATCAAATTCCCGAAAATGACTCAACAATCAAGTCATCTCCTAAAATCCTCTACAAACAGAAATCACGAAGCAACGAATCACAATAAACTCAATTCCTAATTCGAATTTGCTTCACTCAATCGAAAACAAATCATATTCATTCGCACGCGTACGTACTCAACTCAAACTCAAACATACCTGGCAGCTTTAGTGTGGGGAAGTTTGTAATACCCAGCATGGTGTCCCAAGTCCTGCACGGAAGCTCCTGAATCGCCGAGAGGATGAAAGTTCAGTCGCTTTTCAACAATTCTCGACTTATCAGAGCCGTACTCGTCTCCAAAATGATGATTAACTTCCTGCTGGGGAAACAGGTTGAGAGATCTGATGAGTTTCTGCGCCTGCGTCCTAGGGAACTTAAGATTGGAAAAATCGCCATAGCTGGATTCCGCCAACGAGAGCGTCAAGCAACAAAAGATGAAAACAAAGAGAATTCCGCAACGGATTGACGCCATTGATAAGATTTGATAAAGGAATGCCAACAACCGTTTCCTCGCAAGCTGCTTTTATATGCGCAGAGGACAACCGTTTTGCATGCGTGCTGGGGGCAGTAACGTCTTTTCACACGTCTTTTTCACTTTTTTAGCTTTTGTATATAAAAAGTTCACTGGGGAGTATTCTAATTTATAGCAAAATCCCTAACTACTTCGAAAATTCAAATTTTCGTCAAAAAAACTATTTGGACGAGCGGATAAAAGTAAGTTTGCCAAACACGCTAATTCAGTCATATGTGCAAGAAATTTATTATTTCCTCTGTCTAAGATTAAGATTAAGAATGAGTTAATAAAAATAATTATATATTAATATTAAAAAAATTAATTAATTAAATTAAAATTAAAAAAAATTAAATTAAATTAAAAATATATAATTTTTTTAAAAAATGAAAAGTGACAAAATAAAAAAAATAAATAAACATAGTAAATAGACAGAGAGAATATATTTTTTAACACTGAACATAAAAAATACTCTATCTGTTCACTATAATTGATACTATTTTTATTTTTGTCTAGCTTTCTATTTTTGGTAAAAATTATTAAATCAAAATATATTTAACAAATATAAATCAACTTAATTAACTACATAACATACAACATCATAAATAACGTATGATATACTTAAAACTCCTTTATTTCTACATCTCTCCTCAAAAAGATAAATATTTAAAACTATACATCTTTTGTAAAATTGATTTATGTTAATTATAAATATTTTTTTATTTACTTGTATTATAGAAAATTTTATTCTCTACAAAATGATATTTATATTGCATATATTTTTTAATTGCTATATAATTTTAAAATATTTAAACATATATTTTAATTTTTTTAATCGTATATATTAAATTTACTTTAAAAATATAAATATTAATTATTAAAAAAAATATAATAATATAACTAATTAATTAACTAATTAAATTTTTCCGCCTTAAATACCGTATCCTTAATCAAATGGTTCAATTTCGTGAGACTATATTGTTTACTATTATTTGAAAACTGTAATTCAAAAATAATATTGAAAAAATAAAATGATTATTTTTAGTTAGAAATTAATAAATATACAACATGTAGCTATTGTATCCACAAAGTAAAATAGACTCATCCCAGTAACAATAACAAATCTTGGGTCAAAACAAATACTATAATGGTTTGGAGTTTGAATTTTGATGTAATATTTTACATGGTAAACTGTATTTTTAGTCCCGCAACTGGACCCCTTATCATTTTAGTCCTGTAAGTGAGTCTGTCGCAAACTAGTCACGTCACCTCCGGTGAGCCACGCGGGCATCTCCGGCACCGGATGACTAAAATAGCGAAAATTTTTCACTTATGGGACTAGTTTGCGACATGCTCCACTTACAGAGCTAAAATGATGAGAGGTCCAGTTCGAAACTAAAAAAACAGTTGATCCTATTTTATAAGAAAATATATATATATTTTTGAATTGAAATTGAAAGAGTCTCTTTTATTGAGAAAAATAAGAAAAATAAAGAAATAGTTAAAAGTATTTTTAAAATTTTAATTAGTAATTGAAGTGAACAAAGAAATAATATAATAAAACTAGTGATATTTGTTGCAAATAAAAATAGATCAGATGATAATAATATTTAAATGTTGATTTTTTAAAAAACTTTGTCAAATTTAATAATAATGTAAATTTAACATGCAGACGAAGAAGAAAGACGAAAAAATTTGTAGGTCGAAGAGAATATAATTTTAGACTTGAAGTGCAAAACAAACACACCTCATATCCAATAATTAATTTTATTTAAAAATATAAATTTCGTAATAAAAATATAAATTTCGTAATAAAAATATTACAATGAAATCAATATAAAAGTAAACATACCTTAAAAGTAGGTTACAAGTCAAAAATTGAATCGAATTGTTTGAGTGTAATAATTGGAAAAAAATAATAATAATAATAATAATAAATAAATAAATAAATAAATAAATAAAATGATATAAATAGGAGAGAGATGAGCATAGGGAATAGCCAAAAGGAAACGGAAAGTGTTGAGAACGCAACACTTTGTTTGTTTTAAAGGGATTAATTCGGTTTTCTTTTTTTGTTTATTTGTTAGACCACAGAGAGACAAAAGAACAATACTTCCTCCGTCTCAAATACCATGTTCACGTTGTCGTTTTTATCCGTCCCATATACCATGTCACTTTTTTTTTTTGGAAAATGATTACACACTTTAATCTCATTTTAAATTTTTTAATTTTATTTTTTTTAATTTTAATTAAACTAATTAGTTATATAATCTTAATTTATAATTATTTATATTATAAGATAATTATTTTCATTAATATATTCTTAATTATCTACTAATTACACCCCTCTTAAAATAGCGTGTCTACAATGTAGCAGACACGGTATCTAGAACGGAGGGAGTAACAATTAAATATTAAAATATTTTAGTGTTTTATTGTATCTGGACTCCAAAGTTTGAGCTCGCAGATAAATCCAAAAAAGGGGTGGATTTTCACACATCCATTAAGGGAACTTTTCAATCAGTCGGTAGTATGTCTGGTCGGTTGGTCAGTCTGTAGCTTGTCTGGTCAGTTGGTAGTTTGTCTGGTCGGCTGGTAGCATTAAAATAGTCAGTAAAGATGCAACTGCAAAACGGTTCTTCAGGCAGTTGCAACCATGAGATGGTTTTCTGATAATTCGGCACACACGATCCGATAACCGACTTGGAGGACATATAACAAACACCTCGCATCCGGTAAAAAACATCTTCAATCAGCATCAATTTCAGAGAAATTCGCTTTGGCGATCATCCTTTTTATCTTTCAATATTTGTTCCTTTTATTTTTCTCATATTGTGTACAATATCTAAAGATTTACAATTTCATATATTATTGTAGTCAAATTCGAAATTAATTTTTTCGAATTTTACTTTTTTTTAAAAAAAAAATAGTATCAACAACAATAAAATAAATAATAATAATAATTTGATGCAAAGGCAATTATGTTTGTTTGATTTTGATTTAAAATTGAGATTTTGATTTAATTTTTATTTAAATAATATTTTAATATATATTTTTATTAAAAAATTATGTAATTTACTAACTAATTACGATTTAACTTTGAAATCCAGAGCAAACACATCCACGTGTGTTTTTTAGAGTTTAAATTTGAATTTTAAATTTAGAAATAGTAAAAATTTAAATAAAATAATTTAATATGGTAACTTTTAAAATGTACTTATAATTTAATAAAAAAAATTACAAATTTAAATAAAATCCTAAAGGGCATTTGATACAGAGAATCAAATTGTATATAAATGAGAATAGATAATAAAATTGCATATAAATGAGAGTAGAGAATGAAATTGGAGATAAATAAAATTAAATAGAGAACGAGAATTAATTTTCTTGTTTGATAAAACAAAGAATTCAGCTAAGAAATATATAAAAAATGCAGATATATGAATGATGAAATAAGAATAAATGATTAACCGGATAAAAAGAAAGTTTTAACGAATGAGAATACATGAAAAATATTTTTGGTAATTTTTTTTAAAAAAATTATAAATTATATACGATATTTTTTAAGATTATATTTTAGTACAATTTCTTAAAAGATCGTAAAAATTAAATACTTTAAAAATAAATTAAGTTTGTTTTTTATACCATTGGAATAATATAATTTTAAAAAAATTATAAAAATTAAATAGTATAAAAAAAATTTAAAAATTAAAAAAAAAACATATACTACAGCATCATTTCTCTCAATTTCTCTATATACGGAGAAATGATACATTTTCTATTTCTCTGGCTTCATTTATCTGTACCAAACACAACCTAAAAGAAATAGAGATATAGGGTTCAATTAATACTATAATAAAAATATAATATCTACACGTCACACATGGTTCGTTTAGTATACTTGTTTTGTCGGGCATGTACTAGATTTGGACGGAGGTTTACCCAATACGCACTTTCGGGTAACTGCGGTTCCATCGTTATAAAATATATATATATATATATAATATCTACACTCACATAAAAAAATAATAATAAATTAAATAATTTAATAAAAAAAAGTATTTTTTTATTATCATAATCAGAAATATCTCAAATTAGAAATACTAAATATAAACGCTGTTTATTGTTGCTTTAAAGCCAAAAATACCTCACCATAATCATACTTTCATTTAATTATCAAAAGTATTATTATTATTATTATTATTATTATTATTATTGTAGTAACCGTAAAGCAATGGTCTCTGTTCGACTGTTCCTTTCTCCACGGCTCCACCTGTAATGATCTTCCTTCCATGTGCCTTTATTTTATGTTTCCATATTTAAAGTAATATCTTTATTATATGCTCCTATTGTTTTTTACAAATCCATTATTTCTCTCTTCAAATCCAAGTATTTATTTATTTTTAATAAAATAAAAAATATACTCTCTCTGTCCCACATACCATATCCACGTTGACGTTTATGTCCGTCCCACATACCATGTCACTTTTTTTTAAAAAAAAAAATGATTACACACTTTAATCTCATTTTAAATTTTTAATTTTTTTTTTAATTTTAATTAAAATAATTAGTTATCTTAATCTTAATCTTAATTTATAATTATTTATATTATAGGATAATTATTTTCACTAATACATTCTTAATTATCTACTAATTACATCCCTCCTAAAATATCGTGTCTACAGTGTAGCAGACACGGTATCTGAAACGGAGGGGGAGTAATATTTTATTAATTAGTAAAAATAATTTTGATATTTTTTTAAATATAAAAAATAAATAATTTTATAAAAAATTAAAACTATTTTAATATTTATATATAAATTATTTTTATTCTAATAAATAATTGATATTTTTTAATAGGACACAAAAAAAAAAAAAAAAAAAACTACTGATATATTGAACTGATAGGTAAAGAGCTTTTAGAATTGTCTTTGCATAAACCGTTCATTTTTATTAATACTTTATATGATAAAAAAATTCAATTACTAGTTTATTTTTTATTCAAATATCACCATACATCTCACTTTTAACCCACTAATATTAGATAGTACCTCCGGCTACAGTCAATCTGTCTATCCATTTGTATTTGGTGTCATTATTTTTAACATTAAAAATATTCTTATATTTGTATAATTTTTTGTACAAATGTCATTACATTCGTATTATAAAACACCAATAAAAATATTTTTTGTCATTTTTTCTTAATTTGTACTACGATTCGATTATTATTTTCTCTTTTATGGAAAGGAGTTTTCGGATGCGTTTGATTTTACATTTTAAGTTTGAATTTTTATATGAATATAACATTGTGTTAAAGAAAATGGAGTATCATATTTATGTAGAAACATAACCGGAAAAAATAGAAAAAAAGAAAAAAAAGTACTCCCAAGACTACTGTTAAAATACTATATGATATCATTAAACATAACTAAATATTTCTTTTATCTCAACTCAAACTATTTTCTTTATTATTTTTATTTATTTCACTTCAAAATATTCTTTTACTATTTTAATAAAAATAATTATACACTAAAATCAAAATATCTTTAATTTTTACTTAAATTAGATAGAACTGGCAATGAATCAATTCGTGTCGGGTTGAACCCGTTTATTATCGTGTCGAATTCGTGTTAACCCGTTTATTATCGTGTCGGATTCGTATTGACCCGTATACATAATTAAGTCGAATTTCTTGATTCAAATTAAATAATTTTTTTGTTGTATTGTCGTGTTAATTTTTATTGGTTTGAACATAAATTAGATTGAATTATTTAAAATTAAATTTATTTTAAATTAATTTATGAGAAAATTAATAAATTATGATTATTTTACATATATATAACAAATATATTAATCAATATTAATATATTATAATCGGGTTCTCGTGTCGAATTCGAGTTGAGAGTCTCAACTCTAACCCGACCCATTTATTATCATGTCGGGTTCGTATCAACCCGTATACATAATTAGGTTGAAATCTTTGACCCAACCCAATTATTTCATGTCAGGTCGCGTAGGGTCAGTTTTAGCTAGCTCTAAAATTAGGTATGCAATTACTTTATACAATCAGTGTATAACATTACATTATTCATCAATCAACGGTAATTTTTATTTCTTTTTTTCAAAAATATCATCCAAAATTTTCTCCCATTGAACATAACATCAAACATAACTTCTTACCCTTCCCAAATTTTTTCCTAATTGTATATGGAGCCATAATTTCAATAGGTACTTACATCACATTTAACATATTTTTATTAAACTTTTTACTATTTCCAAAACAGCATAACACTTGCAAAACATATCTAAACGCAGCCTAAGTCTCTCCTCATCGAGCAGCCACACACCAAATCTATACGATACGATCATCAAACATTTAATAATACAATTATCTCAACAACATGTCACGACCACATCGATTCAAAGATTATGCATTTTTGTGTACGATGCATAAATTTGTCGTAATAATAGCATTGTAGATTGGTTGGCAACAAAGGAGTAAATTAAGATCGAACCTTGGCAAGACGGGCTCGTATTGCTTCCATCTCTTCCTCATCGTCGACATTTTCCTGAAGTTTCCAAACAAGTAAAACCAGCAATGTCTAAACTAGGAAGAGGTAATAATAAAAGGTGCACATCAAAAGAATGGGATGGATTATGTACCTCGACTTCTTCGGCTGTAGCCGGCTGCTTTAGTTTCTCATTCCTTCTAGCTTCTGGAAGCTGTGCAGCAGTCTCTCCGGCAATAGCTGTCAGTACCTTGTCGATTTCTTCCTCTGTTTCCTCTTCAATGTCTTCTGAATCGAGCGCGTCATCTACAGCATCATTCACCATCTCTTCAATCACACCGGCCTGCAGTGCCATAAGGGTATTTTACGAGATAAGTTTGGCAAAAATGTGTACTTTTTATGTTAGATCGAACTTGTGTTATGCTAGATTATGAGTTTATTCGGTATATCATAGTAGTAGTTTACTCCCTCAGTACCAGATATAATGTCACAGTTATACACGGAAATTTAGAAATGGTATAATTAATAGATAATTAAAAATGTATTAGTAAAAATAATTCCAATATAATTAAAACTTTAAATTTTAAATTTTAAAATGTAATTAAAGTGTAATATTTTTCCCAAAAAAAATAAAAGTAGTACAAGATTTGGGACGAATAGAAACGAAAACTGTGACATGATACGTAGGACGGAGGGAGTACATTATTTGAAAGTAAACAAGATGTCAAGAACTTCGACAACCTCATGATGCATTAATGAGCTACAGGAGAAGCCAAAATGTCCAGACAGCAGATCACAAGGTCATGATCCTGCTGCCTCATAATTGGGCAATGTTTCGAGTAGAGATTTTTTCCCTTTTTTTCGGTTTGAACCGGATGCTAAAAGAACTAAGAAAGTCTTTTTTTTTTCTCTTGAAGAAGGGGTAGCCTTAGCTTCAAGTTCACAAGCTCAGGCTTGAAAAAGAAAGGTGGCGAAGAATCGTTGAATACTTCAACTCAGACACTATGTCTAGAAGGCTTCACTGACATTTTACACCAGTTCATTTACATCTTAATATTTGACATTCTCCTCAAACAAAAGTTATGTCCGCACTATTCATAAAAATTCTCTATAAAACACATCCAAGTACAAAACTATTTTGCATTTGAAATATAAAAGCAAAAACGTATTTTCTACTCAAAACATCAAAGCCTACATCTATTTTCTATTTAACCTTTTACTATTTATAAACCAACCGAAAACGCCAAAACACTTCCAAGATATATCTAAATGCAACCTTTTTGGTTTTCTCCAATATGTGTCCAGCTAACCTATTCTCACCAAGCACTTGGACTCCCTTTTCTATTCGACATTGGGAGGTTTAAAGATAAAGGAGGTAACTAAAAAACCATATTTATACTTTGCACAGCATTGGTAAAGAATTGTACTACAAGATTCAGCAAATTTGGTGCATCGGAGAATCTGGAAGCAGATTTTCAGAAGATGCAACCACAGAAATAGAAAACTGTTTCCTCTCTAATCTGGCCCTATAGCTATTAAAATATAGTATATGATCCAGCATCTGTAATTGATCAAGATATAGAAAAAGACAACTAGGAGCCAACTATTAGCAATAGAAGGAGAAATTAATCAACTTGTTGCAATAAAATCCAATATTGTGCTTGGAATAATCAGCTTACCCAAAATCTCATCATTTCATTATACTCATATTAATTCCTTTTGATAGGAGGGAACACAATCAATTAATTGAGTGCAAGAATTTCAAAAGAAAATTGAAACAGCGACGAAAATAGCAGATGAGATTATCATTTTGAGCCAGAGTCACTTTATGCCAAAATAGTGATGGTACCATATTACATTCAAGATAACCCGAAGGTCTAAAATTAAGGGTGGTTTAACAGGTAAAGAAGCATGTAATGAGAGTTTTACCAACCACTATGCAGTACGCATAATGATGACAATTAAGATTAAGACATGCTTAGATGATTCTGCTAAACAAGCATATACAGCTTTTACGATGTTATAAAGAGGATGAGATTTTGCACTACTTTCAGAAATTCATACAGAATGAAACAAACCAGAAGATACTCAACCCAAGAAGTAACATTATTTAAGGAAGGCTCTACAGAGTAAAAATTAACCACCAATCTCAGACAACCAGATTAGAAAATTGCTGTGGCAGGAATGAAATTTTACCTTGGTCATTTCTTTACTGAATTCTTGCATAGTCACAGCTATTTGTGGAGCTTTCATAAGATTATTGACAAGCTTCATGACTTCAGCACTTTTCGAGAGATGTCCAACAGTTCGAGCAACCGCTAATTATTTAATAAATCAAAGATAGAAAGGAAAAAAGAAAGTTTCAGGATAGAGAAAAGGAGCAGCACAAAATTATACAAGATAAAACAGATAACAGATCTTCCACCCTACATCTGCAAGCAAAGCCATATTGTGAGGAAAGAGAATAAAACAGATGTAAAAGTAAATTGCAAGCCTCGCCTTGCAAGCCCCATTCCAGGAAATATTCTTTCTTACAACTAATCAGTTCCAGCTTCCGTAAGACGATTGGTTTTTTAATATACTTAAAAGCAACAACAATCAAATCTAAACTTTTTATTTGCACATATTATGAACATATGACAATCAAATTTGCTTCAATCCTAGAGTTTAAAGGCAGAAAGAAGCAGAAATATTGGAACGAAGTATCAAAATCAAGAAAGCCATCTTGTTCACAAATGTCAAAGTGTACATCTTGGCATTATCCAATACATTATGTTCACGCGTGTAAAGGAAATGTAACTTAGAATAACTAAGCACTTCATATATGCATTTGTAAATTCATAAATATAGTTCATAGAGTACCATGACTCAAAACTACACAACCTATCAGAAGGATGATGATTACCCAAACAAGTCTGCACATGTTCATATAGTATATTAATACATGAAGAAAAGAAAATGCAGCTGTTACACCAACTTCAAATGTGATTGTCAACTGCTACTTTATTAGGTTCTTAGAAAGTAGTATCGACTATTGAGCAATTGGATTAGCTTAATTCACTACCCATAAAATGGCTGCTGTAGCTAATGATCAAACCCCTAACAGACGAAACAGCCAATATAAAGTCCATACAACTAGAAGAAATAAGTTATCAAACTGGCTTATACCTACACTTTCTCCAAGATGCATTGAAATCGAATTCAACTGTGCTTTGTTTTCATGGAGACGATTAACAGTTTTTCTAGAACGCACAAGTTCTTTAGCAAGTGCCTGTAATAAGAAACCACCGATCAGCATAAAAGCCATACAAAAGCCGCATATCTTTCTTAGACATTACATCATATAAAAGCTTCTCCTCCATTCTAATGAATACATAACTGCGTAGCCATAGAGGCCAATAAAATCACTAATCAAATGATGAGATTTTTATATGCAAAATGATCACTTGAGTAAACAATGGTATATTAATTAGTAATAATTGAAAACAAAAAGGCAATCAGTGGCAACAATAAACTTACAACATCATTCATTGCAATTCAAGATTCGGAAAGAAGTAAGAAAAATACAAAAACAGATCAAGAAATGCGGACCTTAGCAGAACCCATGTCGTTTCTTTTGGCGGCCTCCTTGATGGCTTTCTGTACATTCTTCTCTTCTCTTTCGATATCTAATACGACCGAGAACAAATTAACACTTCAAAATTCGAACATATAATCAAAATAGACATAAAACCTCATATAACCACATCAAGAAATATAAACAATGACCTCGGATTTGGCGCTCTACATTGCGGCACTCCTGACGGAGGCGACGCTGCCAATCTCTCAACAACTGCTGCGGATTGGGTTTGGGCTTCAAGATATTCATCACTTTCTCCATTTTTATAGCTGTAGCACAAATAGATTCTCCTTGATCACGCCAACCCTAAAATTTCCTGTCCTTTCACCCTGTTGATCAACAAGTACAAAGTCGCGTGTTTCTTGTGAGAAGAAATTGAAGAAAGTGGACTCGCATAAATGGAGAAGATGAGGAAAGAATATATGCCCTTTAAACCAGTAAGATCTAAAGCGGTATGACGATTAAAATTGGGAATTTAGAAAGGAATAAAAAATTAGGGTTTATGATCAGAGTGAGGAGAAAATTTGCTTAATGCAACGTTTTCCCAGCATCAACGATCATAACTATATATCGCACAATCGCATATACAGGGTGTCTTAGGGTTAAGTGTGTGTTCTTTATCAAATTTATTCGAATTTTTATTATTCATTAATTTTTTATTATTTTATCAGGTTAAATATATGTTTTTATTTTTTTATTATAATAAAATAATTTTATATTTAAAATTGTGTTAAACATAAATTTATATTATATTATACAATTATTTTAATGAAAACATTTTACTAAATCGAATAGTTATCATTCAACGCATTCAATAATGTTCATTTTCTAATTATCATTAAAAGAAATAATTCTATTTTCTTATCTTTTAATAAAATACAAAAAGATAAAAAAAAAATTAGAAACTCGTGTTCGATTCAATTAATACAATTTTTATGACAAATAGAGTAAAAAACACCTTCAATATTTTTATAATATTTTAAAAATAAAAATAATTAATTATATTTTATTTCATCGCATCATTTAAATATAACAAATAAATATATATTTTTTTATCACATTATCTAATTTTTATTTTTATTCTATTTAATTCTATCTATTTAAATTTTTATGTTGAAACCAAATATAGATGTTAAACAAGTGTAAGTGATTTTAGCATTTTTACTAAAAGTAATTAAATATATAATAATATAAATTTAGATAGGTCAAAAATATTTTTATACTAGTGTATTATTTTTACTAAAATAAAAATAAAATATTTTTTAATCATAAACAAAAAAAGAAATAATAATAGTAATAATACTTTGACTATGGATAGGGTATAGCTAGTCGAGACTCTGTCCAAATGTATATTAGTAGACCCGACATCTTATTTGAATCTAAGGGTGTGTTTGTTTGGGGGTTTGGATTTTGAGTTGGGATTTAAATAGTAAAAATTTTGAATTTGAATAATTATATAATGTGATATAAATAGGTGATGATGTGATGTTTTGAATATAAAATTGATTTTTAGTATAATACAAAAAATAAAAAATAGATGTTTGATTTGATGTTTTTAGGGAAAAAATTTTGGATGAATAGTAGAATTTTGTCCAAATCCATCAAACGAACACACCCTAATAGAGTCTTGGTCCGAATCAAATAGGATTTACTTTTAAACTTTAGATCTCACACGATTTTAAAAAATTATTAAAAACTCGACACATACCAATCCAATATCTGTATAAATAGACCTATTTCAAATATTTATTTATTTTTTAAGACTTTCAAAATTACAACATAAAGGATGCTATGCTGAATTACAAAATTCAGTATAGCTGAATTTCATTTATACCTTTAATTATTAATTTATTGATTTAATTAAAATAATTAAATTTAAAATTGCTGAATACATAATACTACATTTGTCCCAAACATTATGAAAGTATGTCAAAACACTCTGTAATATTTTTAAAATAAAAAATAATTAATTATACTTAATTTATACCTCACATTTTATTTATCATTTTGTTTGAGACGGAGAGAGTACATAATAGTATATGATATATTCCTAAATTCAGAAGGAATTTTTTTCAAAAGAGGTCTAAAACTATATCTTACTTTTTCCGTTATCAAAATGTATATCCAATTGATCGGACAAATATTTTAAAATAATAGCTAAAATGAAATAAATTTAAATTACAAAGGAAAAAATTATTTTTAGTCTCAATGTAACTAAAATTTATCAATTTTTGTCAAAATATAAAAATTTTATCAATTTTGGTCCAAATATAACCAAAATTCATCATTTTTTGTCATAATATAACCAAAACTCATCATTTTTTGTCCAAATATAAATTTTTTATCAATTTTAGTCTCAATATAACAAAATCTCATATTTTTAGTCCCAATATAATCAAACTTTATTTTTTTTCCACTGTCAACAAACAGACGGAAAATGTTGACGTGAAAAGAAATCAAACCTTATATTTATATTCGAAGAAATTGCACAATCTTGCAAGTCCACGTGAGCATTTTCCGTCGGTGGTTTATTGACGGTGAAACAAAAAAAATAAAATTTGATTATATTGGGATAAAAAATGATGAATTTTTGTTATATTGAGACCAAAATTGATAAAATTTTTATATTAACACCAAAATTGATAAATTTTGATTATATTTCCAAATTTCAATTAAAAAAATTATATGAATAAATTTGAATGATAATGAAATTTTTTTGTATAGTCAAAAACACCGAGCCCAGTCTTGTTTATAACATCTTTGAGAGACAGCATAGTTGGCGCCCACCCACAAAATTGAACTCCATTCACCGAACTGTCGCGAGAAGAAGACAGGAATTGCTGTCCGCGCGACGGATAAAGAAGATGGTGGACGCGGACGATCGACTAGACTTCGAGTTCGAAGATCCCATTCCAGTTGCGCCACCTATCACCAAAAGAAAGTATACCCTTTCGTTGCCTCGTTTTTTCATTCAAGTTTCTTGCTGTATTTGCTGTTCTTGTTAGTTTGCAGAACTCCCCTGCTTGTTTTTGTTTTCTTTTTTTACATTTCAATTCGTTCTCATGGAAACCTTGCCCAGGATATTGTCGTCGCTTCATTTTCCCTAATCTGCTTACTCGATTTTTCCAATTTTACCCTAGTTGATACTTGATTCTGTAAGTCACTAATGAGAATTTCAATGTTAGATTATGGTTTGGGGTATTTGTTAGAATGTTAATGTTGAAAATTAGTTTCTGCTCTTCGTGAGAAAGCAATACCTAATTTGTTTAACGTTTCTTGACGACTATACAGTGTTTTGCTGCTTTAACATTTCCTGTCCTTTTAAGGGTATGATCTTGAGGCTTCATCGGTTGTCCTGTTCCAATAGTTGCAAAGTTTTGATCATAATAGTGAACTCCTGAAAATGTATAATTTTTTATGAGCATACAGATGGATGTTTTTAGCATTGATGATCAATTAGATTGTGGTTTTTTTGTTTGCATATACAACTTCGATGACATTTATAACTTCTGATTGTCTGTGTAGTGATGCCCGGAGTTTTGCTTGCAAGATGCAATTTAATCCGCTTATCACTTATTGCTTCGAAATATGAGTTAGTTTTAAATATTTTTTATAGTATGAAATGGTTTCTGAGTATTTTTGGTGTTATCATTTTTTTATTTTATATTTTTACTTTCCATTTCCTAAAGGTGTATGGTCTGATAAATTACGAAGGGTTGTGATTATTTTACTGAACATCTATGTAGCTTACAGACATAATATTCTCATGTGTGTCATTTTAGGAAGAAGGTCATTGATTTGGATGATCTATTAGAGGCTCACAAGAAAGAGCAAAAAAAGATCAATGAGAAAATATCTAAACAGCGAAAAATTCGAAAGGTTTATGATATGGAGGATGAGGCTGATGATGCTGCTGAAGCACGGCTTTCAGAATGTGTTGACAAGTGCCAAAAAGAGGCATGGCTTAATCTCTTGTATTCATGGAATCTCTGCCTCTTTTATTTACTTCTAACACTTTTTTTTTTGTTTTCCATAGATAAATCAAATAAATGGTGACGAGGAACTGCGCCTATGGGGCATTCGAGTTTTTGGGGAAAATGTTATATTTTCAGAAAATTTGTTTCTAGCTTTAATTCAATGATCATGGCTGGGATATGCACATGTTTTTTACATTTTTCCCCGGTGACTTGCAGGAAAATCTGCCACAGCAGGATTACCCAGAGTTAAAAACTTCACACCTCCTGCAATCCTTAACGAATCAAAAGATCAGTTCTCTGGTGGAGCTGAACATTGAGGAAGGTCTTTGGTTGCAACCTCTTGTATTGTATTGTGTACTTTGATCCAAATTATTTCTGTGGATAAGATGTTAGATAGTATTGGCCTTTTGATTTAATGTTGTTTTATTTTTATCTTTTCCTGAAGTAGTTCAACATGAAGTAGGATACCTCATAATAGAACCTTTAGGTTCACATCTAATTTTGGTGCTATTGCAGGGGAAACTTTTCTGGATGGATTGTTGGTGGATGGCTGGCTATTGCACCTTGTATATACATCTGGTTGTGTCGAAAAAATCATTGCGACTTGGACGTTCAACTTAAGTGAGTACAATGACATGTAACCTTGTTCGCCATTTATTTTATTGGGTAATTTTATTTCCTAATGACTTTTCAGTGTTGTATTCCCCTAAGGTATTGCTGATGGAAGCTGCCTGTGAATTCTGGTGTGCAATTCTCTCACGTACAAACAAGGTTCTCACATGGTGTATTCTAATCTCATACGCCATGAAATGTACTTTCACTTTCTAATTGTACAAACTTTTTGCATGTCAATGGTTTTTATCAGGATGATTTGTCTAGCATCAGGATTGAATGGTTGCCTAGATATTCAGATCTAAAAACGGCCCTTCTTTCTTATGGTTACCTTCTGGATTCACCTGCTAAAGTTTCAACAGATATTGATATGATTCAATCTGGTAAGTATTTGAGAAGAATAATAATTTCACGTTTTTGCATGTAAGAGGCCACTTCTTCATTTCATCTCTTTGAAATAATTAGCTCAAATGAGTCAGATCTGAGGACAGCTGTAGTAACAGTCACACAAGTATATTGTTGTTATATTACTCTTCGAGATAATGAAACAATCAAGATTTAAATTGTGATAGAATTGATTCATCCAGTCATATTTGTATTTTGCTATTATATAGATGATATCTTTTCATTCTTATAATTGCATAGTTCAATGTTCATCTTTTTATCTCTTTTCAATGTGTTAGATTCTGAAACAACAGGCCCCCCACAAAATATTCGATCATGGATGAAGTGTGCAGCTTCTTGTTGCCAAATAAGGTAACATTACGAGAACATTAGGCTTGCTTCTTGATTGGTTTGGTCAATGTGAGAATTTCTGAATATAGCTTGTCCTCGTCTGGTTAAATAGTAATAGCATGGTTGGCATGTGTAAATAGAGAGAATATGAGGGAATGAGATTTATTTAGGATTGACTGCAAATGGGAATGAAATTGGATTTGATACAATCAATTTCATGGAGTGGCTGCTCTGAACAAGTAACGAGGGGAAGAATGGATTTTTTTCTTTTCTTCTCTAGTTTTTATACTAGGTCAATTTCAATGTTTTTGTTGGTTTTGTAACACTTACAACACAGTTTTTCATTTTCAGGAATCATACTCGACTTTTCTCAGTTAGAGAAGCAGAGGAATTGCTGGCAGTATTCATTTCTTTTGTTTTAGATCGACAGCTTCTTGGCCTCTCTATAGTAATGCATGAGGCCATGCTTTCGGTGATTAGATTCTTTAGGGATGAGGAATGGCTTGACAGCTGTAAGAAAGTATCTAAGTCTCTTGCTTACAGGTTATTATCTGATGTTGACTTTTCATGTCTAACCTTAATGTACTGTGTTACATATCAATCTTGTAGCCTAAAATGAAAACAAGTTGAATGAGGTTTACCGTAATATTGAGACACATGTCTATCCTTTTTTAACTTTTTCCATGGTATCTTTTTATCACTGAAAGTGGTAGTACATTAGTAGTTATGAATGAGACTGATCATTAATAAATCCTGTTCATCCATTAATAGATATCATGTGAAGTTTCTGGTGGAGTTCTTCGCACTTTTGAATTACTTGATTCTGAAAATGGTTATTTCCGAATTAATAATCTGAACATTTAGAAGGATAGTGAAAGAACAGTTCTATTTGTTTGTGGGTTTTGGATTTTTGAATAGTAAAAATTGAATTTGAATTGTTGTTTTGATGCCATGTTTTGAATGTAAAATAAATTTATAGTGTAGTATAAGAAAGAAAACTAATTGTTTGATTCAATATTTTTGGAGGAAAAAAAAAAATTAATAGTAAAAATATGTGTAAAACTTACAAAAGAACACAACCTAAGAGTTCTTACATCACTATTTTAGTCAAGGGAGCTGTTTATGCCAGGATATTTGTTTTTGAGAATTGAACTTAGTTTGGGACATTTTGAGTTACTTAGGAACAATGGATCTTCAGAGGTAGTCTTTTATGCCAGGATTTTGATATACTTTGGTCTCATTTCTACACATGAAGTAACATGATGGATAAATAATTACATTAAGTAAACAATGGCTTTAATGGTTTAATCTTTCTTAATTTATCGGCTTTTGTCACTGAACTTGTAAATTTCTTAATGAAGGTTGCCTTGCGATATCAATTGCTTGAGGGTGGTGGAGAGCATTACGGGTACTGAAGGACGATGTAAGCAGCTTAGAAGTGCACTAGCATTCCAATTTCTGTTGACATGTTTAAACAAGAAGGTAATATTGAACTCTTACCTTTTCAATTTATTGTAATTTGACTTTCCGAACATCCTTATACCAATTGCTCCTCCACTAGCAGTTGATCAGTTGATTTCTGCTTTTGGCTCTCGGGAAAAAATTGGCACTTGCAGTAGCATGTATGTTAGCATGTATGTATTTCATCACAACTAAGTGAGGAGCTTTGCTGCAAAAATTGGAGGGCTGTTACTTTTCTTATTTTATTTAATAATAAAGGGTGGAAAATTAAAGATTGACTCCTTATTAAGAACCCCCCAAAACCCACCTTCTTATGAATTCGAAAATTACCAAAAAATTAAAAAACTCGTTTGTTCAGAGGTAAATTGTATGGTTGTAATAAACAGGAGGGTGCATTTAGTGGCATTTTGGTATGAGGAGTTCTGAACATTTGTTATCTCACAGGAAGGCTCTTTAGGTTCCCGAATTAAAATGGGAGACGACTATTTGTCTCTCTTTTTACTTGGGTGCAAACAGCCATATGCAGTTTCAGATCTAAGTTCCTTTTTTTGCAGGTGTGTGATCCGGAGGAGATTCTACAAATGCTAATTTCGATAAATGTAAAAGACAAGACCTGTGATCTTTTCAAGATATACATATACTTGAATTTGGTGGAGAATTGGTTGTCATTTGACGAGACGTTAAAAGATAAGTCTGTTCTACATGAATTGTGGGGTGTTTGTCTCCGAAATTTCTCTTGTGGTGTAACCATAACCGATTTAAGGCCTTATGCATCCAATGTAAGCATGCATATCTTCATCCCCCACTCTTGTTCATAAATAGCCTTTCTCGATGATCCTTGTTTGCCTTTTATCTTGCTAAAAAATGTCCATCCGACTCTACAGGTACGTAGCAAAGCTTCATATCTCCTCCAGGGCAGCATGAGAAAGTGATTCTGCAGGTATACCTACATACATTCGCGATTATCTTAATCCAGCCTATGAAACTTAAAATTTCAAACTTTCACGGCTTGAATGATGATGAAATACAAAATGTAATGTCTTGATTACTTGCTCGGTATTTCCTAAAATGTGTTGTAACTTGCAGTGATGAATAGGTTCTTGCAGCTAATATATCCTTTTGAACATGAATCTGGAAAACAAGATCGATCGCTGGAAAACCCGGCGCTCTGTCGGTAAGTGTTTTGCCAGTTCTAATTTTGGAAAAAAACTGGGTTGTTTTTATCTTGCTCTATGTGGTCTATATATATATATATATATATATATATATGTGCATACATACAGATGCTTTTCACTCTGATGGTTTTTGATGTGCATGGAAGTAGAAATCCACCTTTGGATATAAACAGTATTTGATAGAATATTTTTAATGATCCCATCATAATTAAAGTGTAACTTTAAACATTTATTTTAAATAATAATAATAATAATTTTTTTATATAATAAAACGCAAAAAAAAAAAAGGTAATACTCCTTTATCACACCAGAAGTGTCCATATTATTATTGAATTTAGATAAAAATAATTAAAATATGTATTAATAATAATTATTATAGATTTAGATAATTAAATAATTTAATTAAAATTTAAAAATGTAATTAAACGTATAATTATACCTTTTTTTTAATAGAAAATTACATGGGAGGAATAGCGGGAGTGTAGTTCTTTACTAAAAGAATAAGAGTATTTTTTTATTAAACTAAAAAAAAAAACCATAAATTTAAATAATAATAATAATAATAATTGGTGCAAATTATGCACCAATTATGACTAATTTTCTTTGATTTATTATTTTAATTGGAGTCCAGCAATCAGTTTTTTTTTTTAATATATAAATGACATAAATAAGCATATTTATATATTTATTTATCTACTTGGTAGCAATAGGGGAGTGTGTTATGCTGCCAATCATGCTGAGTGCCACACACGGTTGATCAACAGGTACCTACACCATTTAAAAATATATAAATAAATAGATAAATCCAAAATCAAGAACCGTGATTTCAACTATTTATTAACAAACAAATAAATAAATCAAAATTAGATCTAAAAGGTAATTCCATTAAAATATTAACTTCAAAATATATTCTCTATTCAATCATATTTTAGACATCATCAAATCGAAGCTTATTTTTCAATATCAAAGATCATATCAAATAAAGGTTTTAGTTAAAAAAATATATATCAAAATGAAATGCACATAAGAAATGGTGATCAATTGTAGAGTTTTGAATGAAAAATGGGATGTAAAAATATTTCTTGGTGTATTATTTTTATATAAAAAATTGATATACTTGTATTATTATTATTATTATTATTATTATTATTTATTATATATATATATCGTGGGTTTCCCATAACGACTATTATTCAAATGTGTTGGTTAAATATCAAACTAGTCAGATAAGCTACACTAGACAAGTTATTTATGACAGTAGGTGTGGCCGGTGAACTTATAATCCTGAAGTTATAGGTTCAAAATATGTTGTCGCAATCTTGATTTTGTTGGCTAAACATGACTTTGTCCAGTGTGTCTTATCTTACTAGTATAGTTTACGTTCGAAAGATAATTTACTCAGTGTATACTCAAAAATCAGCCGTTACAGATTGCGACGTTATTTTAAGAAAATGAGAGCTAATAATTGAATCGAAAGAGAAGAGACTTACAAAGTGTCCAGCTCCAAGAATCCAAAAGAAATGGAGGTTTCTGTAGGATTTGGTGAACCCTTTTGTCTCTTTTCCTTCCCCACAATAAATTGGTGTTCTATCCATGCTAAAGAATGCTTTCATGCCATCCCACCTGAATCCCGACATCATTCATTCAAATCATTACATCAAAACGAGCTTGCGAGAAAAAAAGAATTAAATTTGACTTAGTAAGAAAAAGGATCAGTCAAGGGTTACTTGAGCTTCTCGACCCACACTTCGGTCCCTTTCGTGGAGCATATGACATCAAGCTGTAAATGACAAAGGTTCGTTTGGTTCTTCTAAGAAGCAATATCCGGCAAAAATGGCGATATATATATATGATCGAAGATATTTAGTTTTGTAACGAAGAAAAAGAGAGAAAGAGAATGTACTTGGCCACTATATATAGTGATATTGACTCCTTTTGCAAGCAATTGATCGACCTGCACCACGTCACGAGAAAGCTTGATCGATATATTTTCAAATAACTTTTGACACTATTAATCAATAGTTCCGTTTTCGAAAAATATAACATCAAATACATGTCTTTTATTTAAAATATTACAATAAAATCAACTATTTGCATCACATCAAGTACCTTCTTTTTTTTTTTTTTTGTTTAATTTTTTACTATTTCCAAAACTAAACATTTCTAGAACCTATCTAAACACAAAAGTTTATAACAATCTATATAGCTATATAGCCTTTTGTTGGGAAGCCGAAGAGGTTATGCAATGTTAAATTGCATAAGATACACTATTTCTTTTTACAAAATATCACATTTAATCTATTGTTTACACCAACGATGGAATCATGCGATGAATGGCGCTATCAAGCATTGTTGAAATTTCTCGTATATATTTTGCTAAGAATGTAAGTAAAGATGGATTGCGACTAGTTTGTTTTATATTTCTATTCGTTGTTTCTACAAATATTATAGTTTTTAACATAAAAAAATATTTATGATTCGACATATATTCACACATATCTCAAGTCTATTAATATACTCAAATCTACGATTCAACATATTCAATACGTAGTTCAACAAATTCAATCGACAATCCAACAAATCTAACATTTTTAATTACCTCGTCGATCCTTGGCCTCATAAAATCCCCTTCTAAGGCAGTAAAAACAAGATCAGATTGCCCTCCCCACCTTCAAACACAAGAACAAACCTCATCAATTCAACAAAAAAAAAAAGAAGCTAAACTTCAGTATGGAATAATAAACATACGTAACGTTGCTTGGTATTATCCGTAGCTTCTTCTTGACAACACCGTTCATTAGGCTATCTAGATCACCATCACCACCGGGTGTAGCTCTTAATGAATTCAAATACCTCGAGTATCGTCTTAGTGAAAATTTTTCTGATAGCTCAGAATTTGTTAATGATATAGGGTCCATATTCGAATCTAATAGAAAATTGTAGAAATCCTACAAAATAAAAGCAAACAAATCTTGTAAGAATCCCACAAACTCTAAGACAGCGCAAGAAAAATAAAAACAAAGATCATAGGTAATAAGTCGAGAATTTACCACATTATTGCTAGATGAGCTGATGTCATCTTCGAGCTTGCTCCATGAAGAGGTTGCCTCAACAAACTTGCCCTCTTGAATTTGCTCCCGTATTTTCTCTGCCCAACTGGTTACAGAAAATCGATTCATTAGCTATTACAAACATTTACCAAACTGTCATAAATGTCTCGCCTCAGGACAATTAAAAAAAGAAAAGAAATGTAGACCTGTTCGACTTAGCGAAGCCATTGTTGTCTAGTCTCGAAACATCTTTTAATAACGGACCCCATGAAAACTGCAAAAATCATTCACAAGAATCAAGACAGAGCAAGCGTGCCGTGCTACATACTAGCTCTCGAAAGAATTTGAGATTCTTACAACAAAATCTTCGGGTGAAATCCAAGTATCCCCCAATGCGATCCCTGTCCAAATTTTTGGTAAGTATTATTGTATTGTATTGTTTGAGATCGATGATATATATACAATAGACACATTTTGTCATTTAGGACATCTACAATAATCATCACATTGTCTTATTTGGTAATTCTAGATCCTACAATATTAATAAAATATCGTATCATTTTACATAAAAGATCCAAAATACCCCTTTCAACACACATCTTTATCGGACGTGGCCTTACAATCTTAAGATATTTTAGACTTTACACACTTACACAATATCAATCAAATATTTAGATTTTACGATTTTCGTTTATCTAAACACAAAGTTTACATTTTCCTTTTCAATAAATTTGACCACACTATACTTTATAAGTATAGTCAAAAGTAAATATTAACCTTATACTTCGATGAAGCGAGCATTATTCATTAATCAATGTAAACAGTAAGGGTGTCTTTGTTTGAAGAATTTTGATGAATTTCTACTATTCATACAAAACTTTTCCGCCAGAATTTCCATTTTTTATATTATTCTAAAAATAAATTTTACATTCATAATATCACATCAATACTTATTTATATCATATCATACAACTATTTAAATTCAATTTTTTTTACTATTCAAATCTCAACTCAAAATCCAAACCCCCAACACAAACACATATATTTATACTAAATCGACAGAGGGATTATATATGAATGAATATATCGGTACCTCCGAGCTTGAGCTTGAGCTTGCCTTGGTCTATTGCTTTGAGAGCCGAGAGGGCAAGAGTGACGGCATACTTTCCTCCATAAGACTCTGCAACTATATAGAGAGGACTCTTTTGAAGGGTCTCATTTCTGTTGAAAACTTCAATCAAAAGTGTCGTCAGATCACTGCCTGCCTCTTCATCACTCTTCACCAACAACTTTGGATCTTCCACAAAACTGTAACCAGTTCCCACTGGATTATCCTACCAATCCAATCCAATTAATGCTCAAAAATACGAGTAATTATATATATATATACAAGCAAATCATATACATTTTATATTTGGGCTGTTGAACCTATCGTTTTTCCTCTAAAATCATCACATTCTCCACAAAGTTTTCTATTTAGAACCCCACATCCAACAACTATTATCACCTAAAACTTTAAGAATGTGTTTTCTGAGATTTTTTTATTTTTTTCAAATTCTTTACTGTAAAATTCACACTATTACTTCTAAAAGTAAACATCACGTCGAACCACTATTTATAGTTTTACACACAAAACACAAACATATAAAATGTATATAAATGTGCGTGTTTTGAGATCTCGCAAGCTATAACCGAAACATTATATCGAACATTTCTTTTTCATTTGAAGCATCACAAACAATCTAGTTTTCATTAAAAAAAAAAGTCAAAGTCCAAAACACCAAAACAATTCTTTTGCTGTTTTTATTTGTTTAGTTTTGGTTTAAAGTGTATTTTGGTGTAATATTTTATAAGATAAAATAAGATATATATATATATATTTTTTAATAAGTAATGATGGTTTTGGTTTGAAACTGGGTTGTATTTTTTCCTCCAAAAATATCACATCAAAATAATTATTTTTTTATATTATAATATAAATTTATTTTATATTCAAAACATCACATCAACTTCTATTTACATTAAATCAAACAACTATTCAAATTCAACAATTTACTATTTAAAAATCCAAACCCAAAAACTAAAACCCATAAACAAACACACCCAAAAATTTATTTATGTTTTGCATATTTTGTTTTTTAAGTTACTGAATGTGATGTTTTTTAAGACACAATAGGCTCTATTCTTTTAGCAACTCTGTTATATTTCAATACCATTAAATCTCCATGCTCTTCAAGCAAAATACATGGGAAATTCTATTTGGTGCAACATCACTATACCATTTAAACAAAAAAATTTCAAATCTAACAAATTTTTTCAAATCAATTTCAAATCTTTAAATGGAAAGGTACATGGGAAATGCTATTTACTATATATAAATTAAATGCGGTACACATAAAATCATGAACAGGAAAGAAAATTAAAATAAAATAAAATCTATTTCCCACTCAACAACTGAATTTTTTTATTTTTTTTACCAAAAAAAAAAAGTGGAGGGATCAACAAAGGGCATCATGAATTCAGAGTTCTCACCACAAACAAAAGATCAGCTTTCTGCAGCCATGTTGTGTTTCTTGGCTTCAAAAAAGTGTCCAATGGCCCCACTTCTTCAAAATTCCCAATCCCCACTCCAGACCCACCCTGCAATTTTATTCAATTGTTTTTTTTGTTTTTGGATTCAAAGGATCACATTCATCAACATTAAATACTTCTAAAAAAATAATTCAGCTCTAGCAAGAACCCCTAATTACTTTTCCCCAATAATGCACATAGCAACCAATTGCTGAAAATAGGTAATAATCTTGTTCCAGATTTGGATTGATTGAGCCCTAGAACATAAAATGAAATAATAAATAAATAAAGATGGGAATAGGTACTGACAGGTCCTCCTTGAAGCCAAAGAATGATTGGCCATGGCTTCCTTGGATCTTCACTTCTGTGTGGGCTTCTGTAATACCACCAGAACATGTGTGCTTCTGCATTTGCAGTTTGTATTGTATGCATATTTTTAACAGATGAAATTTCATTTTCAAGAAGAGAGAGAGAGAGAGAGAGAATGTGGCTTACTGGGCCTGACTTCGACATAGCCCCAAGCTTCTGATCCATCTTCAGTTCCTGCAGCTTTGGCTGTTGATCCTCCATTGGAAAGAACAGTGCACACAAGAAGAAGAAGACAAGGAACAACCAAATGGGATTTCACCATTGCTTTTTTTTATTATTATTTAAAATTTGGAAATCAGAAAAAACATATGAAAAGAAAAAAAAAATTCTATGGTTATGAGAATTTGAATGGGAAATTGACGGATTTAATGAGGAAAGGAAGGAGTGAAGGGAAAGAATTAAGAAGAATAGTGGGAGGAGGTGTGAAGTTCTTTTCTCTCTCTCTCTCTCTATTTCTCTCTCACTCTAACAAACTGGACTCTGCTCTTTCTTTCTCTCTCTGTGAATTGACTGCCAGTAGTCTTGTAGAAGCAGATGATGATATGATTTGATAGGATTTTTATTTTTATTATTTTGAATTTTAAAAATGAATGTGTGTGTGAGTACAGTTGGATGTGACGGATTTACCGGGACGATGACGATCATAATGATGATTGATGATTCATTTCCTTTCCCATATATAAGTCAAGCCTGTAAACTATAATTAATAATTCAGTTTCCTTTCGGATAGACTTTCTGCATTCCTAATATACCTTTTGCTCACATTTTATTTGTTTACGGAGTGTATATATATATATATTACTCCCTTCATCCCACGTACGTATCTTCGTCATCTCATATTTTATATCATTCTTTTTAAAAAAATAGTTATTCATCTTAATTATATTTTAAATTTTTTAATTTTTATTTTTTTTATTTTAATTAAATTAATTAATTATCTTCATTTTAATATATAATGATTTATATTATAAATTAATTATTTTCACTAATATACTTTTAATTATCTACTAATTATAATTATCCTAAATTTTTGTGCCTACAACCAAGACACCAACGTGGAAATGAGGTAGTATTTTTCTTTTTAATCCGTCTCTTAAATTTATTACATTAACAAATCAATATTTAATTACTATTTTTCATTCAATATTTATTTAAAATAAATATCACCAATTTTATTATATCTTTTTATTTACTTTTATTTTTAATTAAATTTTTTAAAAAAAACCCTTAACTACTACCTATCACTTTTTTTAAAAAATAAATTAATTAAAAATTTAAAATAAAATTAAAGTGTGTAATCATTTAAAAAAAAAAAAAGTGACATAGAATATAGAACGAACAAAAACGGCAAGATGAACATGATATGTTGGACAGATAAAATATTTATTTATTATTATTATTATTATTTTACCGCGACGTTGTCCTCAAAATAAGTATGGCGGTAATCTTGTGATAATTACTGTTACTAAAAATTCATGGTTTGCCAAGGACTTTTATATATATATATACACACACTGCAGCGGTCCATCCGTCTCACATAATTTATTTTTATTTTTTATTTTTGTTCGTCATACGTAATTTATTCTTTTTATTTTTAAAAATATAATTATGCACCTTAATCATATTTTAAATTTAAATTTTTAAAATTTTCTTAATTTTAATTAAACTATTTATTTATTTTCATATTAATTTATAATTATTTTTACTAATAGACTTCTTAATTACCTATTGATTATACTTTACGTAAGTCTAAAATATGTGAGACAGATGGAGTATTTTTTTTAAGATGTGGAAATCCGCGCTACTCAAAAGTATACATCGGGTAAATCTTCAGCCGAATTTAATGTTTTGCAAACTAGGTCTGACAGTCAAACCATATGTGGCAGATAACATGAAGCGTCGAAAGTTTGAACCCATGACCTCATGGTCACATATCCAATCCCCACACCACCAAGCGTCGGGGGTTTGATTATCTTGCAGGGTCAGATCAGGTCGACCTTGAGTATGGACAAAAGGTTGCTCAAAACCCAATATAAATGAAGGTCCGCAAGTATTTATGTTATACTCTCTCCGTCTGTCTTTACGGGTCATATTTATCTTTTGTGTCATTGTATTTAATATTAAAAATATTTTTATATTTTTATAATTCTTTTATAAAAAATGTTTTTATTAATATATTTTGATATAATAATTAATATTTAAAAATCAACCTTGAAAAAAAAAGTATGATTATTATATATAAAATTTATTATATTTATTTGAAATTGAAAGAAATGTTATTTTAGTGGTGGGGTTATTTTATAAGGGTGAATTTATGGATTTTAATTTATAGGATTATAAACTTCTGAAATATTTTTAATACTTTTTATTCATCTAAAAATTTAGGAAAAAGTTTATATAATATTAAAATGTTTATTATAAATAAAAATAGTACTTAAATATATATTTATAGACTCCTATTTTTATTTTGCTTCAAACTTAGAGCTGTTAATTATTCGAGTCGTATCAAATTTTAAGTGTTTGTTAATGTTTGCGAACAATGTTCGTGTTTGTTCGTTAAGCTTTCGAGCTTGTTCGTAGTGTTCAAGCTCGGCTCGTTAAGAATTTTTGTTGTTTAAATTCATGTTCGTGTTCGACTCATTTAAGCTCGAGCTCGTTTGTCTCATTTTTTAAATTTATATATAAATTAAAAAGAAAATTTAAAATTATTTTATTTATATATTTAAAATTAATATTTTATTTATTTATAGATTATAATTTTATTGTATATTTCTTTTGCTCAAAACCTCCTATTTTTAATATTTGAACTCTGCGTTTTTAAAAAAAAATATATTTTTTTTCTCTCTGCAAAACATTTTATCATACATTATTTTTTCAAACCCATCTAAAGAAACATACCCACGGGGTCGAACGTTTGCGAACAAAGTTCGAGCTCGTTTGTTAACTAAATGAGTTTGTTTATGTTGTTCGGCTCGGCTTGTTAATATTCGCGAACGAGCTTTAACTAAGTTGAATCGAGCCAAACTGAACCAAGTTCACGAACGATTCAGCTTGTTTAACAGCTCTATCCGAACCCTTTTAACATTCAAATCAATCTTAGATCAGACATAACCAAAAAAATTTTGAATAGGCGAATCATAATTTTTTCATACCGAATTTGAATCGAATCTTTGTACTGTGCCTCTTTTTTTACGTGTTTGTTTGGGAGATTGGATTTTAAATATACTATCGTATCATACAACTATTCAAATTCAAAATTTTTACTATTCAAATTCCAACTCAAAATCCAAACCCAACAAACGGACAGTAACTCTAACAATAAATCGATCCCCTCCTTAGACAAGCAAAACCTCCGTTTCAAGCAAGACACATTATTCAATATTCCATTAATTAATATTTCTTGAGTTCCATTCAAGAAATTCCATTCCATTCATCACTTTTCACCAAAGAAGATGAACAACAACATTATTCCTACTTCACCCAAATCCGCCGACGGCGGCCAACTTCCGCCAGACTCTAAGCAGTTACAGCGCCTCAAAGCGCCCTACCGTTTTCCAGACGTGATTTTGTGGAAGCTCTTCGTTATTCTCTTCTTCGTAATATTCGCCGTCCTTCTACTCCTCATGTTCTGGCTCTCCGCGCAGCCGAAGAAGCTCCGATTCTCCGTCGTCCGCGCCACAATCGACGGCGGCGGCGGAGGCGGTTACAATCTCACCGGCGGCGGCGACCGCCTCAGCACCGGCGACCTCCGCCTCGTCCTCCGCGCGGAGAATCCCAACCGCCTCGTCTCCTTCTACTACGATAAAATCAATGCGACGATTTGCTACGGGAACGAGACGCTCTCCGGCGGCAAAAACCTTCCGCCGTTCCGGCAGCAGCGGCGGAACGTTACGGATCTGGAATTGAGGTCGGCGGCGAGGGATTTGAGGGTGGAGAAGGCGCCGGGAGATGCGGTCTTCGATGTGAAGCTGTTCGCCGGAATCCGGTGGAAGATTGGGCCGTTCAAGCTCCGGCGGTCCTGCCGGATACGGTGCTTGTCGGTTAGGGTTCCGTTTGGGTCCTCCAAAAAGAGCTTCAATGAGGTTCATTGTCATGTATATACTGATGACTAAATATAAATACATATATATATATGTTAGGTGTATTTTGTGGTATAATTTTTAATTGTATGTATTTGGATTTCAATAAGGGTAAATTTTATGATCGGTGTATTTTGTGAATATTTTAGTTTAACAAAAATAAATAAATAAATAAAATTTACAGTAAATAAAATAAATATTATATTATTTTCGTCTCATAAGTAAATATTTTTTTGTACGGAGTTGTTGAATCGTAATATTTGGAGGTTTCAAAATAGTTCGTTTGATTCGTCGGTGTGGGTTTCGAAAGTACTTCAAAGAGCCTGTCCGTCGTCGGATTTGGGGCAGCTCCTTTGGTGGAGCCTGCACGGCTTCGATCTTAAACGAGGCTTCGAGCCTAAACGACCGATTTAAATGGATTTAAACTAACATCTACTAAAATTTTTACTTCCTCCGTCCAGATACCTTGTCTGCTACACTGTAGATGCGGTAGGTGTAATTAGCAGATAATTAAGAATATATCAGTGAAAATAATTATTCTATAATATAAATAATTATAAATTAATATTAAAATAATTAATTAATTTAATTAAAATTTAAAATGAGATTGAAATGTGTAATTATTTTTAAAAAAAGGAAAGTAATATAGTATATGGACAGACAAAAACGACAATATAAATATGGTATATGGACGGATGGAGTATCGTTTACTTCATAGGGACTCCCAATCATATAAACATAACACATAGTAGCATTACGTCACTTTTACGATGTTATTTTCTCTGGCAAAGCTCAGTCAACAAGGCTTGGCTTTTAGCCTTTTATCCAAATCCATACAAATCACGCAAATAATCAATAATGTACTGCAGTTTCGTCTTCATTGTCATGTTAGAAAAAAATTCAGTCTTTGATTGGTAAAATAATTTAAATGAGTATTTTTATTTTATTTTATTTTATTTATGTGAGACATAATAAATTGTATAGAAATATAAAATATTAATTGTATGTGATAAATTTTTGGGGAAATATATAAAAGAAAAAATTTTTTTTAAAAAAAAAATTAAATATTAAACATTTGTATGTTTTATGATATTAAAAAATATATATACTAATGTCAGTACATAAAAAAAAATGTGTATTTAAACAAATTCTTTTACATGTATGTTTTGATTATTGACACAGGGTCTGTTGAATTTGTATTATTGGATAAATATATTTGCATTTCATTATAAATTGTTGAGATATTTTAGATATTCAGTTTTAGATTGAGTAGATTTATATCTAGATTTGATATTATTTATGGATTAAATTATTTATATTTGAGTTTATCGAGTCTGTTTTGTATCGTAGGCTCCTTATTTTGACAATGTCGTTATTTTCCCCCAAGATTTCTAACATGGTATCAAAGCCTATTTTTGTCATGCTGTAGATACAGCCTATCAACCTGTGTTTTTCCGGGTACATTCAACCTAGATTGTACCCGGAGGTCTTGTGATTTTGAGTAAATGCCTTTGCAAGTTGTCTTTTTGTAAATCTGTCTCGTCTCGTCTCCGATCTGCCATACGTCCGCTGCTTGTCTGTTGCCTGTGTGCAATCTGAAATCTTCGCTGTTGCTTGCGAGTGATTTGAAACGATTTGCCATATGTCCGTTGTTGTCTGTTGCTGCGTGCGATTTGCAATTTGTGGTTGTTTGTCATTGCGATCTGCCATCTTTCGTTGCTTATTTGTTGCCGGAAATATGTCTATGATCTGTCATCTGTCCGTTGTTTGTCTGTTGCCTGATCTGCCCGATCTTTGCGATTTGTTCGTTTTCGGCTCCGGTGGAGTCATCTCGTTTTTTGCTCCGGTGGAGAGTATCTCGTTTTCGACTCCGGTGGAGAGTCCTCTCGTTTTTTGCTCCAATAGGTGGAGAGTCAACTGCTAATTTTATTTATGTTTTCTTTTTGCGTTTATATTCAAATTTCTAATCAAACTTAAGTTAATTTCTGTTATACCACTTGAATTTGAGGGGATGTTGAGATATTTTAGATATTCAGTTTTAGATTTAGTAGATTTATCTAGTCTGTTTTGTATTGCCTGTATATAGCTCCATGATCAATAAGACAATCTCGTTATTTCCCCCTACGATTTTTAACATAAATGTATTAAATATTATACTTCGTTCAGAGCTAAAAATAATATACATTTATTTTTGTGATAAATTTTAAAAAATAATAATATTTTAATTATAGTTGATAATTAAAAGTAATGTAAAGACAATTTTGCTTTTATTTTTTTGACGTAAAATTAATTATATGATGGTAAAAGATGAGTATTTGTACAAAAAGTTGAGATAATTTTGAAATAATTATTTTGTAATTAAACAATTCAAAATAAAAATATATATACTTTGTAACTTAGTAAAAATAATATATTTTATTTATCATGTAAAATTTTTATTTGTTATATTAAAATAAACACAACACATTTTTTCTATCAAAGTGTTGATATTATTTGTAAATAGGCACCCTAATTATGCATGCGCTGCGCAAATAAATTTGGTAAATATATTAAATATTATTCATTGAATAAAAAAAATGATTCACATTTTATTTCACAATTTATAAAAATTAAATATTTTACAAAAATATATAATAAAGTACATATTTATTGTTAAAAAAAAATAATAATTGTACAAACACACCAAATTCTCTTTTTCCATCATTCACATTGGACCGATCATTCTGGAAAACATTAGGCAACCAAAGGAATACCAGCCTTGCACGCAAAACCTTCTTCCTCTTGGACCCATTCCCTCCGACCCGACCCGTATATACGCAACCCGACCCGACCCTACCACGTGTTCTTTTCCGAACCTAACTAAAGAAAAAAAAAACGCCTCCCAAATTATCTCTCTATTAAATTAATTAAATAAAATTAATAATAGCAGAATTGGAGTTAGAAAGCACAACTGTTTCTCCGACCGACCTTCCCTAACTATGGCGGTTACATTTCCTCCGGCCATGGCGGTGCTCGCCGCGCCGGCCACCGGAACCAGCAGTAGCCGGGGAATCTTTCCCCTTTCACCGCGCTTCACTCGCCGACCAAATTTTCGACGGAAAATTCTCCAGAAACATCCGGCGCTGCGTGTGGCGACTCCTTCCTCGTCGATTCCGGCCGCCGACGTCTCCGAGGAAGTTTCTTCTTCTAGTATTGAGAGCTCCATCGATTTTGAAGAAATCCGGCCGCCGTCCGACGAGAAGTTCTCGTGGAGAGATCATTGGTACCCCGTATCGCTTGTGGAGGACCTCGATCCGCGGTATCCGACGCCGTTTCAGCTGCTTAATCGAGATTTGGTTCTGTGGTTTGATAAGAATGCTTCGGAATGGGTTGCTTTTGATGATCAGTGTCCCCACCGACTCGCTCCTTTATCGGTAATTAAACGAATCTCTTTCCATTTTCGTTTCGGTTTTCAGTTTTCTCGCGATTACTCTTTGGCTTTGCTTGCTGTTCGTGCTGAGATGTTGCTGATTTTTCACTAACTGTGCTTGATTCTGACCATTGCTTAATTGTTTGTGCTTCTTAATCAACTTTGTGTTTGTTTTGTGTTATTAGATGATGTATTTCTTGTTATGTCAGTTAGCATGATAACAGTGTTGTTAATATAAAAAATTTTGGATTTGTTTACTCAACTTCTTTAGTAGATGATTCTCGAGTGATACTACTAAAAGAATACTAGGTGGTTTAAATTTATGCTCACTTTCATTTTAATTGTTATAAACAAAATTCTCAGTGTGTTTTTTTTTAAAAAAAAATATACTAACAATTATTACTCACTTTTATTAAAATTCGTGTTTTGTCGAATGAGCACACTTGCATGAGGGAGGGAGTATAGTAGTATTAAAGATAATTTTGTTCTTATTTTTTTTTGGTAAAACAATGATTTGATGTTAAAATATGAATATTTAATTTTTATTTAAATAATATTTTAATATTATAATTGGATTTATCCCTGAATTGAACTGGTCATTTACTATCCATTTGTGTTAGACGAGGTAAATGACCATTTCACCTAAAAGTGAGGCTATCAAATTATACTTGTCCGTTTTATTTAAGTTTAAGTGGTTAAGGATATATTATTTATTTATCTACAAACGGGAATCAAATAACAATATGAATTCAAATTAAATTTGATAAGCTTGTCAAAAGTTTTTTATGGACATCTCAATAACAAATTCAAAATGTTGCAGTTGATGAATTCTTAGACAAAAAGCAGGTGAAAAAGATTTTGTCGATCCAATGTAAAATTCAAAACTCAAGCAATCAGTACATGCTACAAATTCAAATTACCAAAATTCATCGTTACTAATTTTAAATTTGGAGGCTGACCCTGGTTCTATAACTGTGGTAGGAAGGGAGACTTGATGAAAATGGGCATTTGCAGTGTTCATATCATGGATGGTCTTTCGATGGATGTGGGTCATGCACTCGGATCCCTCAAGCAGCATCGGAAGGGCCTGAGGCCCGTGCTGTTAAGTCTCCGAGAGCATGTGCTAAGAGGTTCCCGGCCATGGTCTCACAGGGTCTGCTCTTTGTTTGGCCTGATGAGAATGGCTGGGAAAGAGCTCAAGCCACTAAGCCACCAAGGTATATATAGATGTAGGGATAAATATGCTTATTAATATTTAATCGAAACATACTATTATTATTGGGAGGAGTTACTGTGCTGATTGGGAGAAATCATCATAAATAGGCATACAACACATTGTTTCAATTGATGCAGCAAATGCTGAGATAGTTGAAACCATGTGTTGAACGTTATATATATATATATATATGTGGTGTGTTGTATAAATATATTTTATGCGCTGAAATCAATGAGAGTATGTATAATTGTCACGTGTTGTTCATGTGCTACATTTAGTGGTGGATGCAATTGCCTTCAATTGTTTTGTTTTTTAGTATAAAAAATATATATATTTTGCATAATTATATTAAATTATCCTTTGATCGAAGATGTGTTGGATCAGCGTTCAGCACCCAGAATTCGGGGGCTGATTCAGTCATCGATTATATTTATATTATATTAACATAAATGATGTGTTGTCTTTGTTATATATTGTATTATACAGTAACTACAACCATTATTATTTTACTAGTGATTACATTATCAAAATAAAAAACTTAATAGTTTGAGAAAAAAGTAATAAGTTGCTAATTATTATCTTTATGGGAAATTATTCAGGTTGCCGGAAGATTTTGATAAGCCAGAGTTTTCTTCAGTGACGATTCAGCGTGATTTGTATTACGGCTACGATACTCTCATGGAGAATGTATCAGATCCATCCCACATCGATTTTGCACACCACAAGGTAAAAAGCCCATCCGTGATCGTTTTTATTCCATTCATAATTTGATTGAACGAGGAAATGTATGGAGCCATGTTATGCTACTTGGAAATTTTGCCTGTCTTTTGAGATGTGAGAATTACTTACAGGTTACTGGCAGGAGAGAGAGAGCAAAGCCTTTACCGTTCAAGATGGAGTCGAGTGGACATTGGGGCTTTGCTGGTGCAAACGAAGGCAATCCTAAAATCAGCGCGGAGTTTGTTGCCCCTTGCTACTATATGAACAAGTAAGTTGATTGTTGCCCCATTGCGTGGTTCTAAGGAAATCGTTCACCTTGGTACATATTTTAAGCAGTACTGTAGGCAACTGCAAGTGTTGGATGATTAGTAACTAGTAAGTATTTCGTCATCATCGCCATAATGTAATAAGATATCATTTACTTGGTGATTCAAGGTTTCATATCTTTTCCAGCTACTGTTTCTGTGATTTTGGGATTGTAAAATTTTAAATTGAAAAAATGTGTTTAATGTGACATTTTAAATGAAAATGGATTTTTGGATGACTTTACATAATATTATGTATTAGAATTGTAAATGGATGAAGTATATATATATATTATGTTAGAATGTATATATTGTATTTTGTTTAGTAATATTCATCGAGAATTATATATATATATAGTTTGAACGCATGTAAAAATGAATTTGAGAACATAATTGGTAGATGTACGTTTTTCTCAATTCTCATGCATTTACGCCTACACTAGTCTCGTAGAAGCATTACTCGGTGATTTGTTGATGGTCTTTTATTTTGATTTTTCGTTTAAATATTGAGTTGAATGTTATGTTTTATGATAAAAAATAATATATTTCTACAAAAATCGTGAGAATTGCGCAGTAAACAAATTGAGGGGAAAGAAAATAAAAAGAAAAAAACATGAAGTAACCGAATATATATGATTCTTCGTACTTAATAGCTTTTTTATGTTGTGGCTTTGATCACTTCCAGGATTGAGATCGATACAAAGCTTCCGTTTGTAGGCGACCAAAAATGGGTCATATGGATTTGTTCCTTCAACATCCCAATGGCCCCGGGGAAGACACGCTCAATTGTTTGCAGCGCCCGGAACTTCTTCCAGTTCACCATGCCGGGTCCTGCGTGGTGGCAGGTAATATCCACGGGGCATTCTTGAAGTCGTCTACTGTTCCTTTTTTCCATTCCATTCATAGTGTCGATTTGCAAAAAAACCCAACAGGTGATTCCTCGATGGCACGAGCATTGGACATCCAACAAAGTATACGACGGGGACATGATAGTCCTCCAAGGCCAGGAGAAGATATTCCTTTCCCAGTCCCAGGACGGCTCCGGCGACATCAACAAGGATTACACCAAAATAACCTTCACACCCACACAAGCCGATCGCTTCGTCCTAGCATTCCGAAACTGGCTGAGGCGACACGGAAACAGCCAGCCTGAATGGTTCGGTAACACCGGCCAACAACCTTTGCCGTCCACCGTACTCTCCAAACGACAGGTAAATACATCCATCCATTCATCCATAATAGAGCTGTTAAATGAATCGAATAGCTCACGAGCTAGACTCAACTCAACTCGTTTATAGAGATAAACGAGTCGAGCTCAAGGCTCGCGGACAGCTTGATTGAGCTCGTTAGTAATGTTATATTTATATTATTTTATATGTTAATATATATATATTTATGTCAAAACTTATATATTAAATATATATAATATGAAATTCGGGTTGAACTCGTGTCGTGATCGATTCCGAATTTGATTTTGAAATCAAGCCGAGCTCAAGTTACAATTTTTAAGGGTGAAAAAAATATCGAAATTCGAAAATCAGCAGACTTTTTGGATTTTTAGATTGGTTTGGATTGAATATATTATAAATTTCGAATTTTCGGATTGGTTCGAATCAATATACTAAAAATCCGAACAAATTCGAAATCCGAAATATAATATTCTAATATATATTTTTTATTATATATATTTACTATTTTAATAAAAATAAGACCTAAAAATTATTAATTATATTTTAGTATAGAAAAAATATATATTTTTTAAAAAATAACAAACAATACAGAATTTCAGATTATTCAATTTGATTTGGATTTCGGATCGGTTCGAATTGGTTTTTGCCAAAAATTTGGATTTTCGGATAGGTTCAAATTTAGCGAAATTTGAATCGAAAATCGGAATGCTCGCTCCTAACAATTTTAGTTCGATCAAGCCTATTCCGATAGCATGTTCGAGTCCGGCTCGAACAACAGATATTCGAGTTTAATAGCTCTAATCTATAACAAAATATATTTTTAACCATGCAATCGAATTGAATCTATCATTGTGTGTGTGTGTACTACTTCTTCAGATGCTGGACAGATACGAGCAGCACACGCTCAAGTGCTCGTCGTGCAGAAATGCTCACGGCGCGTTCGAAACGGCGCAGAAGGCCCTAATCGGTGCGGCGGTAGCGTGCGTGGCGGCTGCAGGTATTCCTCCTGAATCAATGCTGCAGCTAAGAGTTGTTCTTGGGGCTGCAGCAATACTCAGTGCTGCATTTGCCTATCTTCTCAATCAGTTGCAAAAGAACTTTGTTTTTGTTGATTATGTCCACGCTGATATTGATTGATTCACATTTCCCAAATATTTTCTACAAAAATTGGGTGATTACAGTAAAATAGGATAGTGTTTGTATCAATTATTGTCAATTTTTACTGTAGATTTATTCCTATCTTGATATGCATTTTGTTGGCATAATGGACTTTGGACTATTATTGCTGTATACTCATAAGTCTTTATTATTATTATTATTATTATTATTATTGCTATGACGGGAGAATCTGTCGAGCACCGAGTAAATCATGGCCGAATCTAATACATTTCTTCCTTAGGTGAGTTTTTGTGCAATTATATCTATATTTTTGTTTTTATTTTTTATTTATTTGTAATTGTGAATTAATTAATTAAATGATAAGTACACATCTCTCAATGTAACTTGACGCTGAAGTGTTAAAGTACAAGAAAAAGAAAGAAATTCAAATGGGTGTCTTCTACTACTCTTTTGGCTCACTTAATTTATCTTTTTTTTTTTTTCCACATAATTTGGTATTTTTATTTTTGAAGATACAGCTATACAGTTTAATTAAATTTATAATTTATATTTTTTTTAAATTTTAATTAAACTATTTAGTCGTCTACTACTAAATACGGATATATAAGTTTTGTAAATTAACAAAAAGAAAAATAGAAAATACTAACGGTGTGTTTGTTTGGGGGATTGGATTGGATTTACATTATTCATCCAATTTTTTCTCCTCCAAAAAATCAAATCAAATACCTATTTTTTATTTTTTATATTATACTAAAAATCAATTTTACATTCAAAACATCACATCAACACCTATTTATATCACATCATACAACTATTCAAATTTAAAATTTTTGTTATTCAAATCCCAATTCAAAATCCAAACTTCCAAACAAACACACCCTTAAATTTGAATAGTTGTATGATGTGATATAAATAGATGTTTGATGTGTAAAATTGATTTTTAGTATAAAATAGATATTTAATTTAATATTTTTAGGAAAAAAAATTGGATGAATAATGTATTTGGATAAAAAATCCCCAAAAAAAACACAAGCTAACTTTGTTGCGGAGTATAATACTCCACAACGGGAAAATCCCTCCCCTAATTACTATAAATAATTGATACATTAATCAGTCAAAACACAACGGGAAAATCCCACCCCTAATTTAATAACAGTAATTTTTTTTTATTGAACTATTAAGCGGGAAATGTATTCAAATTTGAAATTCAAATTTAAGGTTAATTAAATATAAATACGAAAATAGCCCTACAGAAAATCAAAAGGACATTTCACACTTAATATATTTCCCTTTACTTTTTTCCCTTGTCCACCACAGTGCACACCGCCGTCCATTCTTTTTGGTTCTCTCTAGAAGGTACGTGCGATTCCAGTCATGGCTGAAATGGTTCTATCTTAGCTAATATCCTTTCGGATTTACAGATTTCGCCGTTTTTTTCTTCAGGTCGAGGATTGTGTAATCGCCGTATTGTAATTATCGTCGAGAAAGTAGTGTTTTGGAGTCGGGAAATGGGCCAGATCCAGTATTCCGAGAAGTACTTCGATGATACTCACGAGTACAGGTGATAGTGCGTGTTTTTACAGAGAATTGATGAGAGGATGTTTGATTTTGATTCGTTTGATTGATTTCTTTTGGATTTTTGTGGATGTGTTCGTTCAGGCATGTTGTTCTTCCTCCAGAGGTTGCAAAACTGCTTCCGAAGAATCGGCTTCTCTCCGAGGTAAGTTACTGTTCGTAGAGGTTTTTAGAAGTTTTCTTGCACAGGAATGGTTTGGGCTTCGTGATGCGTTGGTGATTCGATTGAGTTATGCACCTTTTGTTAGTCGATTGATTGGTTAGGGTTTCTGCTATGTTCATTAACTTTTTGTCCCCAATATTGAAATTCAATGAAACCATGGACTCTGGATTATCCACATAACTATGGATTTGGTAGAATCAGAAATATTTCATGGATTGATATTCTACTTTCTCCGATTGAGACTTTTACAATTTCAAATAAATGCGCCATATTCATATTCTGTTGTTGGCTCTAAATTTCATCTTTTTTGTTGCTCAAAAATGCCTCCATCGCCTTATTCTTTCAGTTTATTCTGGATATTGTAACTATGGATTAGCTAGAATCACAAATCTTTCATGGTTAGTTCCATTGATATTCTACTTTCTCCGATTGGGACTTTTACATAGATCAAATGTATACACCATATTCATACTCTGTTGTCAGATCTAAATTCCATTTTTTCATTGAACAAGAAAATTTTTTTAGTGATGGTATAAATTGACAATATGAATTTGTGTTGTTAGAACGAATGGCGCGCGATTGGGGTTCAACAGAGCCGTGGTTGGGAGCACTACGCTATCCACCGACCCGAGCCACACATTATGCTGTTCAGGAGGCGATTGAACTATCAGCAGCAGCAAGACAACAACAATCAAGGTCAGCAAAACATACTTGCCAAGTGAAGTGAAGTGAAGTGTTCTTCGAGTTTCTGGTATTAATCCTACTTTTCTTCGGTTTCTTTCAAGTAGGAAAGGTTTGGTATCATTTCTCCTGGAAATGTGCTTTATATATCTTGCTTATGCTTTGTGAAAATTAGAGTGGTTTGATGAGACACTATGAACTCTTTTTGTTGTGGGGTGGGGTGGGGTGGGGAGGGGAGGGGAGGATTTCAAACTTGAATATCTATCTCATTTAGAATGGATGTTATGTTGTGTGCCCATGATCACCTCTGGTTTGTGTATTGCTGTTATATTCCATTTGCTTAATGAATAAATGAATGAATGATCTACAGTGTGTTTTGAATTTCAGAAAAATTTAAATAAATGGAGAACTTGGGATTTGGCTTATGTTTCAGAATGGTAAAAAGTTTTGAATTGAAATTTTTTAATTTTACATAAAAAAAAAAAGGAAAAAAAAAATGAACACTTGTGGTTCGGTCAAATAATTATATGTTTTTATTTTGAAATATTTAATTACAAAGTAATTATTTTGTTAAATATTTTATTTTATTTTTATTTTTACAAATATTCATATTCTAGTATCATATAATTGTTTTTACATAAAAAAATAAAAGTAAAATTGTCTTTATATTATTTTAACCGTTCACAAAAAATAGGGAATATTTTTTAATCTTCGGTTTAAAAAGAAGTAATTGTATATTTATTGCTTGGATAGAAGAAGTATTTTATAAAAAAAATGTGGCAATCGAATAATAAAAAGATTCAAAATGTAATAATAATTATTATTTTTAAAAAATATCAAATTAAAACTCTCTAGTCTTAGTAAAGATGAACAATTACATTTCCATTAAATATTTTTAAAATTATATTTCAATAAAACATACTCCCATTCTTATAACAAAGTATCTATTTTTCTATTTTAGTCCGTACTGTCTACCTAATATTACAAATACCCTTACAACTTATAATATATTACACTTATTTTAATCATTTATACTTTATTTCGAATATATTCTAATATAATACTAATATTTTTTAAATTACGTGCAAAAAGTTAATGGATACTTCTTTATGGGACGAAGGGAGTATGTAATATGAATATAGTTTGTAGATAATAAAAATTTATATAATACAATAAATAAAAAATATATATTTATAATTAATTTATAAAAAAATAAAAGTTTTAATTAAAAATAAATAAAAATATTTATCTACTGAAGAGTGAAATATAAGTAAAGGGATTAATAAATTTAGTAGAAAATTCATCTTTTATAAAACTAAAAGAAAAAAATCATTTGTTACGAAACGAACAAAAAAATAAAAAAAAGATTATCAGTGGCTAGCCGGAAAGGAATATTATCTTTTGTATTTATAGTAAGATTTTCATTTCAAAACATATCAAACAATCAAATTATTTTGGTTATTGGATTAAATCAACGTATAAAGGCGTGTTTGTTTGAAGGAATTTTAAAGATTTCTAGTATTCATATAATTTATTTTATTTTTTCAAAAATATCAAATGAAATATCTATTTTTTATTTTTAATATTATATAAAAAAAATATTTTTACACTAAAAATATCATATTAATATTTATTTATATCATATTATATAATTATTTTAATTCAAATCTCAACAATAATTTTTTCTATAAGACAATTTGAATATATTTTCAATTCACTTCCAACACACTATTTATCCAATAATTTCTCTTTGGTAAGTTCAGACTCAAATACATTAATGTAAAATTAAATTAAATTAAATTAAATAATATTATCTCATATAATGAACTAATTCTAATTTTTTCTTCTATATAAAATACTCTCTTGTCTCAAAAGAAGTGTTTTATTCAGAGTTGATACGGAAATTAAGAAATAATAGTATTCAATTGAAAGTAGGTATAAAGTAGAATATAGTATGTTAGAGTAATAATTAAAGATAGTATAGAAAAAATAAGAATAATCTTATTATAAAATGGGGACTACGGCTACTAAATAAGGAAACAAGACAATTGTTTTGAGACGAACGAAAATGAAAAAAATAAGACAAATCTTTTGGGACAGAGGGAGTATATTGTAGCAAATATTTATTTATATAACACCAAAATGTATCCGTAAAACTAAATTTGGTGTATAATCTAACTCATCAAACAGAGAAGACAACTCACACACAAAATTTATTTTTAATATTTATGAAAATAAAAAATACAATTGCTTATAGGCCAAATAATAATAATAATCAGTAAAGAATTTGGAAAAAAAAATTAAATTAACAATAATTAGCTCTTAATGAAGGTTTTTTGTTTGGTAATAACTTTTATCATTTTCGACCGTCCAACTTCATAGTATCCCTTTACTGTTTAAAAAAAATAATTATGTATTAATATCAAAATATCATTAATTTTTACTTAAATTATAAACATATTATTACATATATAATTTTTATATATATAAAATTAAATGACAAAAATATCAAAATATTATTATTTTTTAATTTATTGCAAAAACCTAAATTTCAGTTGAGTCGGAATGGGAGGAACACATTTTTTTATTACTTTAGTTTAATAAAAATATAAGTTTTTTATTTGAGTTTTTAATTTAACTAATATTTCGTCACTTAACAATTTATTTATTTTTTTCGTTTTGATCCGTCCTATATAACAAAGTATCTATTTTTTTTTTATTTTAGTAATTGTACCATTTAACTAACGTTACAAATGCCCTTCCAATTTACAATATATTACACAAATGTCATTATCTTTATATCATACCATACTAACAAGGGTAATTTAGTTTTTTTTACCTTTATTTCTACTTTATCTCAATACAATACTAATATTTCTAAAACTCGCAAAAAACAAATGGATATATAGATATGAGACGGAGCGCGTATTATAATATATATATCTTACAATACAATAATTTATTTTTATAAAACTCGAATAGAATAATACTCCCTCCGTTCAAGCAAAAAGTATACATTTACTTTTGATGCGAAATTTAAGAAATAATAGTATTTTAATTATAGTAGGTAGATAAAAATAGTGTAATTACATTTTTGCTCTTACTTTTTTGGTATAAAATTAATGATGTGATATAAATTATGGTTATTTGTAAAAAAAAATAGAATATTTTACTTTGTAATTTGACGTTTCAAAATAGAAATATGTATACTTTTTAGTTGGACGGAGGGAGTATTAATTTGTGGTTGAAATAAAAGAGAAAAACACATATACTATCTAACATTTATTATATATATAAAATAAAAACAAAATGGCCTTTGAAATCACGAGGCCCAAAGCATTGCGTAGGCCCAATTATGGCGGAAGACATGAGGCGGCTATTTCCAATCCAGCTCAGGCGTAGTTATTCCGGCGGCGGCGGGGAGCAGAGAGGCGATCGTGAATCTTTAAACGGTGAGGTTAATTTCGTTCAATATTTTATTAGAAGCTTAATGTTTCTTTTATGCTACAATTTTTTCTGTGCTTGCAAATTAATCGAGGCCGAAAATCTACGAAACTGTTTCGCGCTGTAGGTGTTAATTCAGTTCCTTTAATTTATAAGCAAATTGATTCCTTTATATGCTGCTGCTTCTTCCTGTATGTATTGTTACCGAAGTTATTGAGATTGATTGTTCATTATTGCTCGCAGAGAGAGATTTTTGCTTAATGTAAGATTGTTTGTGTTTGTGTTCATCTTCTGCGTACAGTTTCATGTTTTTCTTACTTGTCGTGATTGTCCATATGTTTGCAACAATATTCCTGTAAAATATGCTGGAAGATCTTATTGACATCAGAATTCGGAAATTTAGGAAGTTAATGGCATGGAAAGGAGTGTAGATGAAAAAATGGAGTTAAGTTATATAGAAGATTGCTTACAGTGACTTTGAAGATGGATAAGAAACACAAACAAGCAACTTTAGGTAGAATAGGTGTTTTTGATTGGAGGTTTGGATTTTGAGTCGAGATTTGAATAGTAAAGATGTTGATGTTGAATTTGAATAGTTCTGCTATATAAATAGCTAATTGATGTGATATTTTCAATGTAAAATTAATTTTTAGTATAATATAAAAAACGAAAAATAGATTTTGACTTGACTGTTTTTTTTGGAGGAAAAAGATTTGGTGAATAGTAGAAAACAATGGAAATGTGCCAAACGAACACACGTGCTTTTGGTGATTTGAATACTTTGGTGTACTTGTTTGAGGATTTGAATTTCGGGTTTGAGTTTTTGAATAGTAAATTTTTAAATTTGAATAGTTATTTGATGTTATATAGATAATGATTTTATGTGATATTTTGAGTATAAAATTATTTTTTATTATAATAAAAAATAAATAATAAATATTTGATTTGATAATTTTAGAAAAAAGAAATTAATTGAATAGTAAAAAACTTTGAAAATTCTACAAAAAAAATAAATAAAACACAACCTAGTGATTTTAGTCGAGCTTGCTATGATTTTATTTTTTGCCAGAGTGCTTGGTTTAGAAGTTGACAACCCGGATAGCCTTCCGAATTCTATGTGTGTCCTTACCCATTTTTTATTTTTTTATTTTTTTTCTCACTACCATCAAATACTGATCATGATAACACCAATGACATCTTTGTGCCATTAAAAATTATGTTAGATAGATTAACTTCTGATTTTTGAAAGCTTCCCAATGGTGCAAGAGTTGAATATATGGTTCATGAAATAGGTAGTCTTATTTAGAGTGGTTGTCCTTGATTTCATGATCAATATGTACACAATTCTTTGTTTTTCGGATATTGTGGATGTCAGTAATCTCTTGGATAATGCATGTATTCAATCCTATATTTCCTTGAATATCGTACAGCTGCTTGTGGATAGGAGAGATATGTACATCCCAATTTGTTTTAATGAATTTCTCCGTTGTTTATGATGGTGTTGTTTTAATGAATTTATCAGTTAGACAAAAATAGCCCTTTACATTTCATTTCTACTGTCTTCTTAGTTAGTAATTAACTAACCATAGGACCACAAAATTAACATGAAAAATGTGACATAATATGATTACTGTTATTAAAACTTTTCAATACAATCATTTGAATGATCTACGATGCCTCAACCGTTCAAACTTCTAACTGAGCTATCAGTGTTTCAAACATTTAATTCATTTATAAACATGACAATTATACAAACTTTGTACATCACTATTTCTGTTTGACCCCTTCGATTTCAGATAATCCTTTCACAGCCATCTTGATGTCCCGCAAGCGCAATGCCATTGTTGCCATAGGCTTATTGGCTTTTGCATCTGCAGGCTTGGCTTTTCCATTTTACATGGCGTAGGTGGATGTGTAGTTGAATAAATGTCGTAAAATTAGTACTTAAAGTTACATTAATTGTCATTCTTCATTCTGTATTTCTCGTGTTGTTTCTTTCCAGGACCAAATCTTCCAAGAGTCCTATCATAGATTCATCAAAGCCACTGTCTCCTCAGGCGACTTTCCGAGGACCTTATATTAACACTGGTTCTCGTGATATTGGACCTGATAATCAAACCTATCCAAAGAAATAACTCATTTATCGGAGCACAAACTACTTACGGGCTCCATGTATTTGCTGCTGACTTGCATTGCATGAAATAAAGGTATGGAGTGCTTTCATGGTGGATAATGTCTGTTATTATATGTCGATATTAGTTTGAAATTTGAATTTGAAACTTTGTGACCAAATTGAATATTGAAATAACCTTGTTTATGGAGAAATGAAAATAGACTAGAACTTCTAAGACAAATATTGCTTCTTCTTTTCTCGTTTTTTTTTTTAAAAAATTATTTTTGATTTCGAAAATATTGAAGTGAAAATGGCTGTCGGACGACTTGATATGATCTTTTGAATATAAAATAAGCATATAATGTATTGCTTTTAGTAAAAATGAAAATGAATTGTGGATTGAATATTGTGAAAATAAAAACAAGAATATCTTTGTGTCAAAGTGAAATATTGGATCAAGAAAATCATATTGAGAAAGGTGCTGTTGGGAATTCTTGTGCTACCTATGTTCTTGGTGTTGCTTAAATTTTATTGCACAAGATATCTTTGTGTTAAAAGTGAAATATGCTAATAAGTTATGTTCTCTCACTTCATTCTAAATGTATTCGTTTACTTTTGCATAGAGTATAATACACGTTGTCTTTTAATAGTATTTTAGATATAAAAATTATTTTGCTCGTGATGTGTAAATTATGCTAATAGTATTGATGTAATATAAGTTTTGAGGGATTTGTCATATGTAATTGGATCTATACTTATTCAAAAGTGAAGTAAATTAGACAATAGAAAATAGCAAAACGGATACCTCTAGAGCAAATTATATATTATGTGACATCTACAATATATATATATATATCCTTAATTTTAAAATTATTGTAACAAGACAAATGGAAATTTCTTGGAGCACTTAACAAATGACTCACTATATTCATGTATCGTCCCGGAATCTTGCTACCTAACCTGACATTATGAAATTATGGATTTAATAAATGTATTATATTTGGTAAGATCCGGAGGTATCGGAGTTTGAATTTATAATCTCACTGTCACAAGTTTACCTATACACTACCCCGTAATCCTTTCCGAGACTATGTTAATTTTCATTTTTAAGTCTATATTGTAGATTATGTACTATATTCTTTTAGATAAAATCATAGTAGTTATAAACATAAGTTTAAGTGAACACTTTTTAGTTTAGTTTAAAATTCAAATCACTTTTTTTTTTTTTTTTTATTGTTCAATTTTCAGTAAAAATATATTTATGTACTTAAATTTTACGTCAAATATTATTTAAATTAAAAATTCAATTGACAATATATTTCTGAAAATGTGAATGAAGAACTATTTATAACCGAGAATTAATTAATAAATACGTAAAGAATAAAACAAATGGTGACAGATACTTATATGGTGCACAATTTTGCACACTTTTCTATCATATTTCTACAAAAAAACCCATTTTCAATGTCTTTTTTAAATAAATAAATAATAAAGCTTTACATTATTTATACCAACTGACCCTCAACAACACTATTTTAAAATACTTTTATTTAAATTAGAGGTGTAGATTTAGTAGCTTGGATATGCATGAATTATTATTATTATTATTAAATAATTTTAAAGGGAGTGAGGTTTGCTTGGAAGGCAACCTAATATTGTTGCCCTTTTTCTGTTTTTTTCTTAGTCCTTTCGTCCACGTACAAAGTAAATATTTATTTTTAGACGCAGTATTTAAAAAATAATAGTATTTTAATTATAGTGGATAGTTAAAAATAGTGTAATGACATTTTTGCTTTTATTTTTTTGGTATAAAAGTAACAATGTGATGTAAAGTAAAGATATTTGTGAAAAAAAATAACGTATTTAATTGGACGTCCCAAAATAAAAATATGTATACTTTGGCGAATGAAGTAATTGATTAACTTTTGAATTTGTTAGACATGAGATGAGAGAAGGCACAGTAATTATTAAAAAGTTAGCTATTAATTTGATTTTTTTTTTTTTTTTAAAAAGATATATTTGTTGTGATTTGTTTTTTAATAATTATAGATGAGTAATATCATCTTTTAAAATAAATGTATTTGTGAAAATAAAAAATAGACTTTTGTTTTTATATTTTTCTTATTTAAAATTATCAAAAATTTTATTAAGAATATAATCCTCTCTTACAAAATAATATATTAAATATTATTTAAGTATAAAATACAACACTTTTATTATTTTGGATTATTCTTAATATCATACGAATATATAATAATATAATATTTTAGAAAAAAAACAATAATTTCAAATATTAATATAAAATTAATATTTATATATAAAAAAAATAGCAATAATTGTGTGTTGGAAACAGAAAGAAGCATATAGAGTGAGTGAGGTGGAACAGGCTTTCAATTAACGTGCAATCCTCTTTTGCTGCCTTCATTCGTGACTTTCCCTGCCAACAACAATAACATTATTTATTTATTTTGAATGATGCGAGAATATGCAACTGTGTACGAATACAATTTAGGTCCGATAAAACAAATCACAATAAGTGAATCATTGTGCAGCAGGTGGAGTAGAAGTGTTTTATTAGGCTGTATTTTATGTAAAAGTTATAATTTGGTATTAATACATAATTATTTTACTATAAATAGTACTTGGTTGACAAGGACAAACGAGAGGTTATATTAGAATATTTATTATATCAAAACATAGTAAAAATTAAAAAAAAATTACAAAAATACTTCAATTAGTATTTTATACATACCTTATTGAGTATAACTAAAAACTTTAAAAAAAAAGGAAAAAAGCCCTAAAAAGAATAGTGGTGGCTGGAAAGGCAGTGCTTATGTAACTGCTCACGAGGAAGCCTCTTCACACCATACACTACTAATTCCCTGCGCTGCTGTAATATGTTGTACTCTACACTTATTTATTTATTTATACTTATACGTATACGTCTATACATATACCGTATACTTATACGTATACATATTCATCACTTCCACCTGAATCCGTTCCTGGAAAAAAAAACAATCGTTTCTACTCATCTTTGGGGATCCATTTTTCATGGAGGAGGAATTTTCCGGCGCCAATTATCCGGCGGCGGCGATTGCCAAGGCGAAGAGGAGCAAGCGCCTCCGGCCGCCGCCGTCGTCCTCCACATCCTCAACCAGCGGCGGTGGGGAGATTATTAGCCCTTATTCGCTCGTTTCGTCGAGCACTAATGAAGAAGACGAGGACATGGCTAACTGCTTGATTCTTCTGGCTCATGGCGCAGGCGGTCGGAGTTCGCCGGCCGGCGGAGGTCATGTTCAATTACGAACCAGTGAAATTTCCGACGGCAGTTATGAGTGCAAAAGCTGCAGTAGAAGTTTCCTTTCGTTTCAAGCATTAGGCGGCCACCGGAATTTCCATAAGAAGCCTAAGTCGCCGCTGTCTGCTCCTCCTCCTCTGCCGCCGTCGCCGGAAAAATTCGGCGCGGTTGTTGGATCGCGATTGATGAAAAACAGATCTAAAATTCACGAGTGCAGTCTCTGTGGATCGAAATTTGGCTCTGGCCAGGCGTTGGGCGGCCATATGAGAAGGCACAGGTCGGAAACTACGGTGGCGGCGAAGAAGGATTCTCCGGAGAAGAAGACCGGCGCGGTATTGGAATTGGATCTGAACCTGCCAGCGCCGCCGGCGGAAGATCGCCGGGATGAGGAATCCGATCAGTTGTCGTCGAACGAGCGGCGGCGGCTGGTTTTCTCTGCGGCGTCGCTGGTGGATTGCCGCTACTGAGCCGGGAGGGAAGGGATGTCGGCAGTTTAAGATAATACTACCAAATATTATATTAAAAAAAAAATCTTATTATTTTTTAATACGAATTCTTTGTTAGTATTTTAAATAATTTTTGTTGTAAGATATAAGTATTATATAGAATAAGATTTTATACTCCTCTAGAGTGTTAACCGAAAACAAAAACAATAATTGAAATATTTGAATTCGGTTATAATGATTTAAAATATAATATTACTTCAGTAGTAGAGTGTCCATACAAAAATTTAGGCACATTATAATTAATAAATAATTAAAAATTATATTAGTAAAAATAATTATAATATTTTCAAACCTTTTTTAAAATTAAGAATAAAATTTAAATGTATAATATTTTTTTAAAAAAAAAAATAAAATAAAAATGACAAATTAAGTAGGATATATTGAAATGTAAAAAACTGTAGGGACAGTTGTTATATCAAAATAAAGTAAAAATCAAAGATAAAATAATAAAAATATCTCTATATATTGAAATAGACTGAAAAAATAATGCATGGCCGTAGGTGAAAACCTAAATCCGGCCGAACCTAATACCTTGCAATCCTGCAAACCAGGCCCGACGGGAAAGTCACACTAGGCGAACAATCATATGTGGCAGGTGACCTGAGGCGTCGGAGGTTTGAACCCATGACCTCACGGTCACAAATCCAACCCCTACACCACCAGGTCATCCCTTACGGGACTACCTTTACATTTTAATTTGATATAATGGCACGATGCAGAGTACAAAGTATTTCTTTTTTCGATCGGATACAAAGTATTGGTATTATGTAAGGAAATTTACACTTCCTATTCCAACAGACAAAATTAGCAAAATGTATATTTTTAGGATGGACTTAAGAATATCTTTTTCTTAATCTCGAAGCTCCAACTTACAAACATAATTCCACCATAAACTGCAAGCTTAAAACTCAAACTCATCATAGTACCTTATGCTTATTACCATTGAGAATCAAACCTTAACCCTATAAATAAATTCAAATTGTCATAGAAGATCTGACCTGATCTGATCCAATTTGATTCGATCTATACAAGATATGGAGAGAAGAACTTCAAAACTTCCTCGTATACGGGTTTCTTGAAATCGACTGCCTGCAAAGCAAGGACAAGAGGGCATTCAATTCAAAATTTTCGTTGTAATAAAAAACGACAAAACAAACAAATTTTTGGGTATTTTAAGAATTAGACCGACCCGATTCACTATTTCTTGAGGTGAAATCCATGACCAGCTTCCAAACTCGGGTTTTTCATTCCCATCACCCGAGAGATTGATCTCTTCGTCATTCCCAATGAATTTTAAAAGAAACCTCGAGTCGCAAAAAATATATGAAAAATATACACTACTGTTAGGCAAAACTGATCAAATATCAGACAGAAGACACACACTACCCAATTCTTGTATCATTTCATTTCTCTCACCATTTTTGGGCTTGACCCTTCCAGTCGGAACCCCATTGCACGTTGAGTTTTTCCCTTACATCGGGAGGAAAATCGTAGGTCAACCAAAATGGTGCCTGCAGGAGGGAAAAAATTACCTTAAAAACGAAAAAAGTGCATTTTTTGTTTTGCATCAATATGCAGAATCAAGCAAGAAAATTGTTATTCTTCAATAGCTCTAGTTATTTGCACTGTTTAAAAATTGCCTTCTAATCAGTTATAAACATTATAATAACGATAAATACAGTCAAGCGCACTTATAAACATTATAAGATACACACATTACTACCAAATTGACATCAATGCAATAATTTGATACTGATGTGCATAAAAAGCATTTCCAGAAGCTTGGATTATATATTTTGTTCGATATTACATCACAAAGTGATTACCAATAATTTGTTTGAATGAAAAGTGCATCTAAATTATTCTGAAAAACAAATCAATAGGATAGGAGTCGCTATAAATTCATACCTCAGCAATAATATCAGCAGAAGTAACTCCAGTTTCTTCTTTCAACTCTCTGAGGGCAGCATTCTTCGGATCCTCATTTTCGTCTATCCCGCCCTACACCAAAATATAAGTAGCAACAAAAATCCAATTATTTCTAAAATGCAGAAAAAACACTCATATTTTTAAAACATTCAAAACATAATTCAAATTTATTTTTAATCAAATATACTTCATCCATCCCAAATCAAATACCATTTTTACCGTTTCCATATGTTCCAATTCAAAGTATCTATTTTCTACTTTAAAAAAAATAATCATAACTAATACCAAAATACTCTTAAATTTTACTTATATTACAAACATACCATTACACATACAATTACTTTATACATAAAGGCAAAGGACAAAAATTTCAAAAACTCTTACACGTTTACACTAAATAATAAAATACTATTATTTCTTAATTTATTACAAAAATCCAAAGGGTTCCTTTGATTTGGGATGGAGGAAGTATATTACGTTGCAATCTTACAATCAAACAACATCTCGTTACTTAATAGTAAAGCCGAACTTCCAACTAGACCTCTTAACTTGTAACTAATAGCACTTACTTTTCCGCCTAGACTCCTTCAGAAGATATTTAGCTCACCTCACTTTTCTATGAATGATGTCTGAAAATAATAGCTAAAAAAAGAAAAACATTCCGGGACTCATAGGAAGAATAAATGCAGATATCATACAAGTCTATGGTATGATTGTTAAGAAGGATCCGCGGTTCCAAATTAAAACCAATTGATATTAAATGGGTAGCCCTCAGTAATAGGGAGTTCCCACATTTTTCCTATATGGGGGCAATATTCAGCACTACCCTCGAGATGATAATCTAAAAATAAAAACATAATCAATACCTATTACGGCCCCTATGCCTCTAATACCATATTAAAAAGGATCTAAGGTTCCAACTTAAAACCAATTAGTGTTAAATGGAGTAGTCCTTCACCCTTATAAATAATAGGGAGTTCCCACATTTTTACTATGTTGGACAATATTCAACTTTCTCCACTCGAGATGATATCTCAAAATTCAAACAAGATCAACCCATTACGGGCACTCTAGTTCGGATACTAAGTTAAGAAGGGATGTGAAGTTTCAATTTAAAACCAAGTGATATTAAGTGGAGTAGCCTTCACCCTTATAAGTAATTACACATGTGAAAAAATATTCAACAATGAATACTGCAATAATCCTTGTAATTTTTACTACACTAATACACTATAGGAAAATTTGATGTTCATATATCAAACTCACCTCTGTTTTAAAACTTTTGCTACTATTAATCTATCGTACTTTTTGTTAAAACATTACATCAAATTTTGCTGTTATCAAAATTTTCCAAGCACTCTGAAACTTAGGTGTGTTTATTTGGAGGATTTTGCAAAACTTTTACTATGCGTCCAAATTTTTGCACTCAAACATAACATTTACATACAAAACATAGCATCGATTCCTATTTCAGGTCAAATAACTATTTCGAATTACAATTAAAAATACTATAAATCCAATTTATAAGTGTAACCTACCTGCGGCATTTGCCAAGCATCTGGAACATCAAGCCTGGAAGCAGCAAAAACCTATCATCATTCACATGTACGGACATAAAATCGTAAAAATCCAACAACATTACAACAATGAAACAAACAAGTGATTGATAAGGAGGGAGGGAGGCACCTACCTGTTTGGAAGGGTTTATAAGACAGATTCCGACGTTTCTTCGATAACCTTGGGGTGGGTGGTTTTCCATGGACGAGGATCGCGAATAAATTAGGTTTGGAAGAATAGCATTAGCAGCAGCCGCAGTAGCTTTACGAGGAGGAAGGCGAGGAGGGCTCAAATGGATGAACATTCGGCACAGAGCCATTAATCGGAAGTCGGAACATATGCGCCCCCCAACCCTACCCTAGCTACCACCAAATCTTGCTGCCTCACCTTAACAAAATACCAAGAACAAAATTACAAATAAATAAATAAAATACCAAGGACACCCTCCTTATTTCTAATGTAGTATATTTTTTTTTAGGAAAAAAATTAATTTTGGTAGTACTATAATTCAAACTAATCAATTTTGATTCTAATATAAAATAAAATTCTTAATTTTGATCTCAATATAAATTATTTAAATCAATTTTAGTGTCATTATTTAAAAATTTTAAAAAAAAAATTTGTTAAAATTGATATAACGTGGATGCTAATTTGAAAAGATTTAAAAAAATTGTTGAAGTAGACACATCCTTGATGCTAATATGGTAAGGCCTTGTAGAACATTGTTGTAGTCACACATGTAAATACTATATTCGTAAAAATAATTTATGTGTAACATTTTAACAGAGGCATCAGAATAAAAAAATATTTTTATAATGTAATATTTTTCTTTATTCTGTTTTGTTCTTACAGTCAAATAAAATTATATTAAAACTTAAAAAAAATTGTATCACATGAAGTGCAATTGATACAATTAATTAATTAATTAATTATAAAATTATAGATATTTTCTTTAAGATTTTAATCTTCTTGTGTTTGTTTGAGGGATTTGTTTAGATTTCAACTATTCATTCTATTTTTTTTCCCCAAAAACATCAAATTAAACGCCTATTTTTTATATTATACTAAAAATCAATTTTACATTCAAAATATCACATCAATACCTATTTATATCACATCATACAACTATTCAAATTCAAAATTTTTACTATTCAAATCCCAACTCAAAATTCAAACCCTCAAACAAACACACCCTTAGTATAAATTTTATACAATTGGAGACTCCGTTTGCAAGTATATAATTAATAACTGTTTTTCTAACTATATTTTTTATACAATTCGCCGTAGTATCCTGTACAAAAAATCAATCTTGGTGCCAAATGTAAAATTTAATTTGTTAACTTATAATAATATTATATAATATAAATATTTATAGGTTATAGCTTAACATAGTACTATATTATTATATTTTAATAGTTATTCAATTTTCATTCATGAATTACTAAACATATTTCTCTAAAATAAAAGTGTATACATAAAATTAATGTTAATACTTTAATAAATGTGTAGGATTGAAAAATTGATATTTAGTGTGATATATATATATATATATTCATTTTATTTTGTTCTTACTGTATAATAATATTGTATTAGAACTTTTACAAAAAAATTATTTATCACCTGCAAAGAAACAATATAGTTAATTATTAAATTATAAATATTTTATTTAAATTTTTAATATTTTTTAACCATTACATAATTCTCAATATTTTTTTAGTGATAATATATGTACTCCATTTATGGTTCTAATGATAAGAGAAATGCATCAAAAAATAAAATAAAATAAATAATTAAATAAAAATTCATGGAATATATTGTTATAAAGAAGAGGGTAAGCTAAGTGTGAAAACAATATTTATTATTACAACAATATCATCAATATAATTTAACTATATTACAAGACATTCATGAGATAAATTGTGTATTTATCCCTTTATTGTAGTGTATATATAAAATATTAATATTCTGAAATTTTAAAGTATATAATAATATTTATAAATTTATGTAGTAAGTATTAGCTAAGAAAGACAACCTTTGGTCCTAAGACTTTGAACACAATCTTGAACAATGTGATCAAGTGAGGCAAATTTCATCCCCAAGTCTATGAGCTTCTTTGATGCCTCCTTCATATTTGATACTTTTGGCAAACAATCATCACTAACCCTACAATTAAAAACATACAATACAATATTTAACCATTTTTTTTGTTTTTTTGTAAAAGTTTGAAAAAAATTAGTTTGGTTTCGGTATTGGTATTAAAATAACGTTGGATAGAATATTATGTGAAAAGAAAATATGTATTATATACTCTCTCCGTCCCAAAAGTATAGTCTTATTGTGTTTGACACAAGATTTAAAAAATATTGATATTATATTGGTAGTAAGTAAAAAGTGAAGATAAATGACTTTTTTGCGCTTGTGAGTATATTAGTGTAAAAAATAGTGACAATTGTGTAATAATAATGAAAAAGTAGGGATAATTTTATGGTGATATGGTTATTTATGGAAATGAGACTATTGTTTTTGGACGGAAAAAAATGATAAACAAAACTATTGTATTGGGACGAAGGAAGTATTTGTTTAAAAAATAGAGTCCAAATAAAAGATTTTAAAATTTTATTTACAAATAAACACACTCAATTTTTTTACCAAATTAAAAAAACAATATATATATATATATATATAATATATTCCACTGATCTTGTAAAAGTGTACTTACTTTACAAAATTTTAGTAAGTTTATCAAGAAAATTGCTCATATTATATTTAGTAAAAAAGTACAATTATTTTTCAAAACTATTTCTACTATTTTATTTTATTATATATATTTGTATCTATTTACACAAATGTCCTTGATGAATACACATTTTTTACACTCATTACTTTAATCCAAAAATTATATTATTAATTTTATAAAAATTCATTATAAAAAAGTACACAAATAATATTAAAATATTAATTTTCTTAAGGTAAGTGCCAAAAAATTTTGAGCATAATTTTGTAAAACAAAGGGAGTAAGTTTTCAAACAAACAATTGATATTCAATAATTACTTTTCAAAAAATTCGGTGAACAAATTCTTATGTTCTCTTTGATTTTTTTTTCCTATGCAACACTCGCAATTTTTCCCAAAAAAATATATTGTTCCCTTTCACCAAGTATCATATCCAATTACTATTTAAACTTAAAAAATAAATATAAAATCATACATAAATTAAACATAATCTGTGTATGTAATACAAATAAGTGTTTGCAACATAGAAAACAATCTCTTTATGTAATAACATGAATTTCTTTTTAGTAAGAAAAATCTTAATGAATAGTACAAAAATAACATTTAAAAACATAAATAATCAGAGCTTTGGTATTTTGAAATTTTTTTAAATTTGAACGTAAAACAAGTTTTAAACACAGAAAAAGTAAAAATAAACTTATCACGAATAATATGAAAAATATATTTGAAAACACAAGTAACCAAACCTTAAATACTATGTTCTAAAAACATGATATAATAATGCTTAGTTTCAATAAATATTTATCATACTACACTTGACTACACTTAAATATTTTTTACTCTCCTAATATTCTATTAAAATATTTTATTTTTTTTTATAAAATATCATATTAAAAATACTATTTAAATTCAGACTCAAACATAAAATTTAGTGCAAAAAAAAAAAAAAACACTATATATTATGTGAGTGAGATTTCAAAATCTTAAATAAATTCGTAAATATTGTAGGAATTTCATACCTCGGCATCTTATATTCTGGATAGAGTTCAGCCATCTTCGCAGCAAAGTCATTGTAATGAGTCGCAGCTTCGACGCAGAGGTACCTTCCGGCTGCCGATGGATTTTCATAAAGTAGGATATGCGCGAGAGCCACATCTTTAACATGAACGAATCCCATAAAATGATCGACAGGGACATCCGGAACTACACCCAAAGTTCGAACCATAAGTATATGTTCATGTACAATATGATGATGAGATCTGATCACAGATAGGGAAAAAAAGAAAAAATCTTTTGAGCTATAGTTTTTCTGATTAATGCGAGTAACTTCTTAGGAAGAAAAGAAAAAATCTTTTAAGCTATAATTTTTCTGATTAATGCAAGTAACTTCTATGTTTAGCCGTGTTTTCAAATACATAATTTTACTGTTCAATAAAATAATTTTTTTGAGTGAAAAAACATTATATCATAAATTTGTGTTTATTTAATTTATTATATACAATAGTTATTTTTTATTCAAAAAATCACATTAAATATCTATTTATATGAAACACATATAAACAATTTGGAGTTTAGCTTAATTTTTTTTATTTTAAAAATTTTAAATAATAGTTTGGATATATATTTGTAAGAAAAAATTATGTGTACAGTAGTAAAAAAAAATAAAAAAGAATTAAAAGTATATTGTTAAAAGAACAAACTCTTTGTTCTTTTTTATTTCTTTCTCTTAAACTATTTCGTTGTTATTAGACTATCTTTTTTCACAAAATATTATATTCAACTATTCTTTAAATATTAGACACAAATAAAAAAAAAAAATATGACATCTTACTCTTTCCTTGAATAACGAAAAGAGTCACCAACATGCTTGCATTTACGGATGGAGGAATCATCGGGCCGAGCACAATTCCGGGATTCACCACCACAATGTCGAGACCTTCCTCTTTTGCGAATTTCCATGCCGCCTTTTCAGCAATAGTTTTCGAAAGAGGATACCAAAGCTTCAAGAAAAAGAGAAATCTCGAAGATAAAATACCAATGAGCAATCGAAAGATTGAATGAACAAGCTAAAGAAAACAATAAGCGTGTATATTGTACAAAATAAATGAACATTATTTGAACTCAACAAATATACGATCAAGGTTGTATTTGTATGGAAATTTTTTGAGACTTTTTTTTTTTTTTGTTTATTAAAAATTTTTCGTTCCAAAATATTAAATTTAATATTTATTTTTTATTATATTAAAAAATAATGTTACATTTTAAATATCAAATATCAATTCATAGCTTATTTATATTAAACCAATCAATTGTTTTACTCCAAAATTTTATTATTCAAAAATCAAATTCCCAAACAAACACCCCCAACAAATGTAGGCTGTAAATCAATTAACGATATCAAAATGAAGAAAAATCCTATAGATTTTGTGTTCTTTTTGTCAAAATTCTTTAGTACATTTTTTCAAAAAAATTACTATCTCAGTCCCCACTTAAATTGTCTCATTTGTTTAAGTAAGAAATTTTAGGTATTGTCTAATTAGTAAATAATTAAAAAGTGTATTAGTAAAAATAATTATAATTTAATAAAAATAATTATAAATTAAAATTAAGATGACTAAATAGTTTAATTTAAAATATAATTATAAATTTTAAAATGTAATTAAAGTGTATAATATATTTCCAAAAAATAAAAAGACAAATTAAGTGAACAGACGAAAATAGAAAGAATGGACAAATTAAATGAGAACGAGGAAGGAGGGGGTAATATATTACACACAATCACTATTTTTATATTATATACACAATTTTCTATATTTCAGAAGAAAAAATTTCTATGCAAACCAAAACACAAACAAATTCTATATTATTTTTTTCATATTTAAAACAATATAAAAGGAATATTGTTTTTTACATTGTAGTGCTATATTTGTAATATAGTGTAAATTTAAGGGCAGTTTAATATTTGGTAGGGTATTAGAGTTACTAAAAATAAAATAAATATTTTAGTTTGGGACGGATCAAAATAGAAAAAATAGATAGATTATCAAGATATAGAGAATATATTTATACTCCCATCAAAATAGAAAAAATAAATAGACATGAAGCTTTAGGTATAATATAATTAGTAAATAATTAAAAAATAATATTATTAATAAAAATAATTATAAATTATGAATTTTAAAATATTATAAAAGTTTATCATAACATAACGTTTAAATAAAAAAAAAAATGAAAAAATAAATTATGTGATAAAAATAAAAAATCAATATACCAACGTCCAAACATTCCCTAAACGAACAGAGCAATAGCGAGTGATAGATGCTAACCTCTTTGCTTCTGCAGTAGTCCTCGTCGGACCAGCAGTTCTCATCCCCGACGGCTTCGGGCAGCCCGCTCACGCGCGGGGTCATAGCCGATATCGACGACGTGATCACCACGCGCCGGATCCCATTCTCCTTCGCCGCCTTCAGCACATTCACAGTCCCTTCCCTCGCCGGATTCAACAACTCTCTCTAACAACTCATCAATCCAATTTTCAAATTCAAACAAACACTAAACCAAAAATTCGCTGTCAAATCAAATCAAAATCACACAATTACGATTTACGAACCTCCGGATCGCGGGAGAAGTCGATAGTGCAGGGCGACGCCACGTGGATGACGCCGGAAGCGCCGGCGACGGCGGCGACGATGGAGTCGTAGTCGAGCAAGTCTATCTGGAAGAGGCGGAGCCGAGATTCGTCGGCTCCTTCCATGGATTCCAAGTGCTTCGTTTCCTTCTCATCCTCTGTTTCGTAGCGGAATGAATTAATCAATCGATTGAAGAAACCCTAGGCCAAAAATTAGAGAGGATATATGAAGCGAAGAGAAGCGTACGGATATCCTTTACGGTGGCGCGGACGGCGTAGCCGCGGCGGAGGAGAAAGTAGACGATCCATGAGCCGATGAAACCGCTGGCGCCGGTTACGCACATCACTTTCCGATCTTCGCTCGCCATTATTCCCCCGCCGGCCGGTGTTTAATTTACCTTCAGCTGCTGCGTTAGAATCAAATCGAATAAATAGGCGAATGGTCAAATTCTCCCTTTATAGGGTACGTTATTTTGATAAGTTTGAAAAAATTTTAGTTTGAATTTGATATTAAAACAATATATAATGTGATATTTTATGAAGAAAAAAAAAAATTTAGTACAAAGTCCAAATAGTAAAAATATAGGATTTGATTGACTAAAGAAACATATCATAAAACTCAAATTACGAACGGGGGACAACTGTGCTTTCAAATGTATTTAACTTTTAAAATTAACTAAAAATATTGGTTAAAAATACATATGGTCACACAAAATTGCGCCTACTTTTAAAACTGTGTCAACTTTTTTTTGTGGTTTTATAAACTATGCGTTCAATATCTCGGCGGTCAGTATTTGAGTAAATGCGTCTAAACTGCGAATAAATTTTAAAATTTTAATTTTAAACTTTTAAAATTACAAATATATTTATTTTTTATATATATATTTACTATTTTTTTAGACTAAATATAAGCAAAAATGAATATATTTGTAATTTTAAGAGTTTAAAAATTGAGATTCTAAAATTTATTCTCAGTTTGGGTGCATTTATGTCAAATACGGTTAAATAAGGACTGTTGAATGAGTTAGACACAGAGTTTATGAAACCACGATAGAGTTTGATGCAGGTTTAAAAGTATAGAAGATTATGCGCAATTTTGTGAAACAATCGCTAGATTTTATGCAATTTAGCCAAAAATATTTGCACAATGTATAAATATACTAAATTAAACCAAATTTCGGTTAGCAATAAAACATTTCCAAATATACCAAGGGTGTGTTTGTTTGGGGGTTTGAATTTTGAGTTGGAATTTAAATAGTAAAAATTTTGAATTTGAATAGTTGTATGATGTGATATAAATAGATGTTTATGCGATGTTTTGAATGTAAAATTGATTTTTAGTATTATATAAAAAATAAAAAATAAGTGTTTGATTTGATATTTTTAGGGGGAAAATTTTGGATGAATAGTAAAATTTTGTCTAAATCCTACAAACGAACACACCTCAAATTTAAATTTGTTTCTTGAAGACGTTTGTTATTGTGTTTAATTTTATAATTTATCACCTGATTTATTATAGCATATCATATACTACATAAAAATGTAGCTACAGACAAACATGACTTATATTAACATAATATAAATATAATACACGAACTAATACCTCATAACATAGTCTCAAACTGTGCATATATTATCATTAATTTAAATACAATAAATATATTTATACAACACATGTAAGTATGAATTGAACAATACATTTTTATTTAATATATATTATATGTCTGTATTAAATAAAGAAATGTCATGTATATAGATGACGATTAAATCAACACCGTATTTCTTTAAATAACATTGACCAGGAATTTTGAAAGCACCGATAAAAAAATCTAGATAGCACATCATTTATATTAATATTTTATAAATACAATACCAAAACTAAAAATATATGACATACTTCTGTAGAATACATTACATATTCTTTTAAAACACATGACACCGTAATAATTTTGTCAAATAAACACCAATTTTTAATCAATATTTTCTGAAATCTCAAACTGTGTTGTGAAAATCGGCACAGTATTAATTTCCTCAAATCAGCACTGTAATTGCCTCGCTGCCTATATTGTATGTGTGGATAATCAGCACCATAAGGCACATTCCGATTTCTTGAGATATATTTATTTTTTATTTTTTCAAAAAAAAAATATTTTAATATCTATTTTTTATCCAAAATATTGGTTTGTTTGTATTTAAAGAATTTTTTTTTTTTAATTTGAGATAAAAGAAATTTTGTTGGTAATATAAAAAATATTATTTTTATATTAAATATTTATTTTTATAAAAATATAAAATATATATATTGAAAATCATATAAAAAATATGTATCTGCAAACAAACTATATATGATTTTTGACATACCTATTTTAAATGTTTAGACACTTTTTGTCAACAATTTCTTTTTAAAAAGAAATATATTACACTATTTTTTTATAAACATTATATTAAATAGTATCTAACTTTTTAATTTTTTTTTCCTAAAAAAAGTTATTATAACCCAAGACTCCAAAATTCTATACCTAAATGCAATCCATATTAGTTTCACTTATTTTTTTAAAAAATTAAAATTGGAACTATATTAAAAAGAGTAACACTGCCACCTACCATTGTTCTTATTTAAATATTTCCAATGGTCTTTATTTGAACTACAATTTTTTATGATATAAAATATTATTCATTATCTTATAATTTTTTTATCTAAAATTTTGAAATGATTCCAAAATACTCCCTCTGTCCTATAACAAGGTATCCATTTATCTTCTGCGTCATTGTACTTAACGTTAAAATTATTTTTATATTTGTATAATTTTTTATACAAATATTATTATATTAGTATTATAAGACACTAATATAAATATTTTTGCAATTTTTTTTTTAATTTGTAATACATTTTGATATAATAATTAATATCCAAAAAATAACACGCAACAAGTAAATAAATACTTAGTTATGGGACGGAGGAAATAGATATTTTGCAGTTTTGGCTTGTTTGAGGAATAGTAAAATTATATAAAAAAAAAAAATCTTTAACTTATAATGTTTTAAAATAAGTAAGTAATATAAAAATAAAAGTATGTTATTTTTTATATTCAAACTATTTTAATTTTTATACATATATGTTAAATTTAATATTTATTTTTACATAAAACATTACCCAAATAATTACTTATTATTTAAAAAATAAAAACATAAATTAAGGCACCCAAAATTGAAAACACAAGATAGAAGAACGTGACCAGTACCAAACCCACTCCACAACTTGCATGTGCACTTGTTGCATCTATTATTATATTGGACGTTTCGATATTTTTCACTTTTATTTCCAATATTTTATTATACTCATATAAAAATTATAATTTATTGGAATATATCAAAAATATTTTCAATTTTTATTTTATTAAAAAATTAAAATAAAATATAAAGAGTGTGGTTGTTTAGGGTGTTTTTGTATTAAATACGAATTAAAAAGTATTAAAGTGTTTGTATTAATGTATTAAATAAAAATGTGATGTTCAATTCATATTTATATATATATATATGCTGTATAAATATATATTTATTATATTTAAATTAATGATAATATATGCACGGTCGACCGTTTGAGACTATGTTATGAGGTATTAGTTCGTGTAGTATATTTATATTATATTAATATAAATCTACAATTTTATGTAAAATATGATATGTTATCAATCATGTGATAAATTATAAAATTAACCACAATTACGACCACCCCACCCTCAAGAAACAAACTTAAATTTGGCATATATTTGAAAATATTTTTTTTGTTAATCGAAATTTGGTTCGATTTAGTATATTTATACGTTGTACAAATATTTTTAATTAACTTTTTAAGTTAAATACATTTGAAAGCGGTTCAAATCAAACACCCGTAATATATATAAACAACACACAATCTTATTATACACAACAAGCATGTGTTGTTATTTTATAATTATAAATGTGCTGAAATCAACTATTATTTGTGATGCATAAAATTATAGCATGTGATGTTTGTTAGTTCATATATTATATTTGTATTGTTGATTCATAACTATGCTTAATAACAGTATGTAATATGCTAAAATCAACTTTGCCACATGACCCATCTAGAAACTATGTAAAATAATAAATTGTTATATATTTGATAATTAATTTATTCAATAATTTTAAATTTATTGAATAATTTTTAATTATTTGAACAATAGTTATTTTAAATATTTGCTAAATTATTATTTTTTTTAAAAAAAAAACGTTTATTGAGCTATAAAAAATAATTTATAGAATGCTACCTTTTCATATGAAATTTCATTTCTTTTTTATTTATACTCCCTCCGTCCCGTATATTATGGACGATATGGTAATTTAGGTAAAATATGATTAGTAAATAATTAAGAAGTATATTAGTAAAAATAATTATGTATAATAAAAATAATTGTGAATTAAGATTAAAATAACTAAATAGTTTAATTAAGATTAAAAAAAAATAAAATTTAAAATAAGATTAAAGTGTATAATTATATTTCAAAAAAAAAATGGACAAATTACTTGGGACGGACGAAAATATAAAATAGGGACAAATTATGTGGGACAGAGGTAGTAATTTTCCCCTTAGAAAAATCCTCCAAATCCTTTACGACTCACAAATTTCGCAAGTTACTAATACACACGTGGAGATAAAATCCAACGGTCGTCTTTCATCAAACTTAACCAAACCAATATTCAGCTCTAGCTCATCAAACCAATGTTCTTGAAAATAAATAACCCTTTAAAATCATAACTAAGGTCCAATTATGCTTTAGATGTCAAAAATAATTATGTTTATATTTAGCCGATCAAAACAAAACTACATATTAGGCCAATTGCAACAACACATAGATCCATAGCAATAATATTCATCGATGGCGATGGCGATAAAACCGAAACAACCTTCTCTATATATATGTATATATATCTACTACTTATGCACAAGCAAAGGAGTCGCGTACCTATGGCCGTCACACAGCTATATATACAGACATCACATAGAAGGATCGGGCAGGGGCTGCTCTGCGGAGATGATGAAGCAAAAAATATCTCAGCAATATACAGACAAACAGACACGATAGATCTGTGTCAGATCCGGCAAAGCATGCTTCAAAGATGCTTGCCGTCAATTTGTGAAAAATACGACTTGTCTGCATTCGCCAGGCGATCCTGGAAAAGCCCCCACTCATATTTGCATCGCTCTCGTACCTGTTTTCAACATACGTTAGCACGTATCATAGAGTTGCAATGATCCACTACGATGAGCCAATTTTTAGCAACTATACATACAACATACCCCTTTCCATCCGGCTTTTCCACTGTCTGATTCACCCTGAGCATTGATAAGAACGAAAGAAGGAAATTTATGGAAGAGTAGATATACGAGCCAACACATGTAATTGGGCGAACCAAATGAAGACAATAATATAGAGAAGGTAAAGTACACAATTTGGGTAAATTAAGCTTTCCAACAATTAAGGTTGTAGTTGTAAAGATCGGTGAGTTGTGACTATTAACAGGTTACCAAGCCATTGTTGATTGCCGTTTTCGATTGATTAAACAGTATATACTAACGAATAAATAATATGCTTCATACAATAAAAAGGCAACTCCTAGTCTTGCATTAGTTTATTCTTCAAAAACAATAGGCAACTATTGTGGCCACGTTATCAATATTATGTCTATTTATAAAAATGGAAATAGATTTCTTTCAAGTTTCCCGGCAGTGAGTGCATGATCTATGTTAATTGAATTCCAATGACTATAAAACAAAGGTTATAGCTCCATTGCTCCAACATAACTCCAAACGCTGAAATTTCTATTAAATAAATCTACATCCCAGAGAAATAGTAAATGCCAGTGTCGAGAAATCTAATCCTAGGTATCTAGTATATTATCAAGGATACTTAATTCATTAAAAATATAAGTGATTATAACGATGGGTAGTAAAAACGCCCTTAGAGAATTGTGGGTTCCTGACCTGATTTCCAAGTGAAGGAATCACTTGATGCACAATCCACTGGGAATCTACAACACCAATTTTTTCATGTGGTGGCTGCAGCAAAAATTAGTGCAACATTTCAGGATTAAAATTGCGCTTTAGCGTTAAAAGTTGGATCACATCTTGTAAGCACAGTATTATATCTAGATCTACATTTTTCTTCATCATATCACTCAATTTGAGCATTATATTGCATTGTTAGGTGTGATCTTTTTTTACTGATATGGTTATAGTAGTGGCAATGGAGAGAGAGTGAGGGAGAGAGAATCACTGACATCCACACATCTTCTCAAAGCAAAATCCAATCCCCATCCGTGAACCAAATCATTCTGCAAACATATGATTATGTGAGAATTGAGTGACTAAAATATACTGACAGCAGAAACAGAACAAATAAAATGATAATGAGTGCCAAAAGTGATTCCGTTCGTGTCATGTAAGTTCTCACAAGATACAGTCTCAAGAGGATGAAAGGGGAAGAGATCAGGGGAAACATATTGAATGCCCACAAGATATGCTACCTGAATCATATGCCATACACATTTCCAAGCTTGACGAGAAAATACTGGAGCCATTATTTCCACAAATCTGCAAAACAATCATAACAATAAGCTATATATCATGAAGTGTTCCAGTTTGTCATCATAAATAGCTAGGCTAATACTATAATGGTGTATGCCTGTAACAATGAACATCGAAAACTATCATCCCCCTTAGCCACTTCCAGTTATTACATTCACGACAACTAAACCAAACACCCAAAAAGGGTCAAACTAATAAAATATAACCATGCCTATAATACAAGTATCTGTTTCTTCAAATAAAGCACATGTTCGCTTCCTTCTCTTCCATCCACTAAGACGACCTCACACCCCAACCCCCACACATATATATTATTTGCTTTTCACCCTTTTTGTTTTGTTCTTTAACACAACTTTGCTTTCTGAATGACTTTATTTTACAATTAAAAAAATATAAAAAAATTTCTTTACATGGGATGAATAACTTTTCACACACATGTATAAACAAATGCAAAGCCACAAACAAATGTTTCTAAGCAGCCCAGGGACGAAGAGCTTACGCTGCACATGGAGGCAAATTAGGATCACTACACCAGCCTGGTTTCTCCTCTGTATTCCTGTTATAAATATGTTAATCTTTGGGTTAATATGCCACAGAAATCGATGTCAGAAGAATTTACAGTAAACCCCTCATCCTACTTGTGAACTTCTCTGTCACCTCGCCTCTTCGTCATTTGCCAAGTCAGTCCATGGTTGGGTTCAAGGCCAGGTTGGGAAATCTCTAACCCATGCTTCTTAACCAATTCAATATACCTTCCATATGAATAAGGGTTAGTAGTTGAGTTAAAAGAGAATATAAAAAATGAAATACAACATAAAAGGCATCGCATATGAAACTCAATGAACTAGTTATAGGGGAGATTCTTACTTCTCCGCATTAAAGTGTTCGACTCCAAGATCTTCATCCCAAATGAAAATGTAATCATAAGCTGCTACAACATCTGGATGGAGAAATCTCTTTGCATACCACCTACAAGTTCAGACAATTCATCGAAGTATCTTAGAGAGGATAATTTTCATACCTCAAAGTGAGGCTCAAAAATGAAATTGATGGAACATATTATTGATTTAATCTTTAACAGCGAAAGCTTTGAATCTCTTTGATTTGTCAAGTTATAAGGATCAAGTATAGTAAGATTCTATATGCTTATAATTCATAATGAGCTTTGACATATGGAGAAGTCCAGAAGCTGGAAAAGTTGAGCACAATATTACCATTTTGTTTGTTTTCTAACACTGACATGCACAGCACGCTGTGACCACTCAAATTGATCCCATTCACTTGTCCGCCCATCATAATGAAAAAGCATTATCTGAAAATCCTCAGAGAACTGTAATAACACAGATAAATTAGTGTTGCGATGTCAGGGAATGTAAACACATGGAAATCTATTTAAGGAGAGTAATTTTAAACTGGCTTTTACCTTTTTCACGGCTTCATTAATATTTCTCTGCTGATCAAAACCAACTGTAAATGTTACTAGGTACTTCGGCTTCTTTTTCAAATCCTGAAATTCAAGACTGCTTTGTGAGAACACTCCAACAACCTAATATAATGACATTACTTCTGCAAAGCCCATAAAACAAAGCTCAAAAAACATAACATTAGGTCCCAACCATCATCATCATTAATTATATACACAGAAAGACCACATTGAAGACACTTATAAATAATGGGGAAAGATGATCAATGAAATTGCTACAAGCACAAAACCGACAAGATGCACACATAATGCAGCAAAAAAAGCTCTGTTTAGACAACAATACTTTTGGACTTCGGCACTATTCAACTTTTCAAAAATATTACATCAAATATATTTTTCTCTCACAAAACATCACATCAATTACTAACTTTTTACTATTTCCGAAATTTCAAAACTCCAAAACTCTCCACAAGCCTTTGTCTAAACAAACAATAGTATAATTACAAGAGCATCTAATTATACTAAAAATATGAAGAATGAAGCTTCAAATAAGCACAGTGATCAGCATTACACAAGGAAAATCAATAAAGCATGTGCAACCAATAAGAGTATATAACTATTACAAATATGTACATTTTTTAAGCCCTACCTCACTAGGATCACCCCATAAACGCCTCAGATAAAAATCTGATTCTGAGACTATAATTCCAGGAGGTAAAGACTCTGCGCCACGAGGATTGGTAGGAACATATATCTGAAAGCAAAATATGGGTCAAAATGAACATTCTGCTGAGTGCTGACAGGACCAAACAGAACAAAATCCATATGAAATTTAATAAAACAGTACGGAATCAAGAAAGGGAACATATATTCAAAAAATGATATTAAATAAGGTTTGTTAGGAAATTACAGTGGTAAAGAGAAGGACATCAGAAAATTTGTATCGATATGCAGAAACCCCAAACAACATATGCCTTTGTTGGAGTTAACAACACATTTTACAGAGAATGAGGGAAAGCATCCCAATCCTTGTGCAAAGACCACCAAATAAATGGCAACGTGAAAGATAATAAATAAATGAAATTAAAAGTAACTTCTTTCCTCATTGGCATGCATCATTAAGGAGACATTCATTACAAAATCTACTGTAGGTATATAGGATGGATATTATCCAACGACATCAATCATCACTTTTATATCAGAATGATGCCCATGACTCACTATAAAAGCAAATATATAGTAAATGAACACATGTGAGCAAAAGAATTACCTTGGGTGTCATAGGAGTACTACCTGAACCAAGATTTTCTGGAAAACTACGACTACCACTATGATCATTGTCATTAAAGGCCGAATCAAGAGACGATATTATACTTGAATGTAGATTAATCTGAAAATGAACATATGGATTACAATATGTCTATCGTATTTGATGATGAACAACCTTCAAAGACCAAAATTTAAAGATAATCATGTCCGTACCTTACTTAAAGAAACAGAAGGAAATGAAATTCCTATAAAATATCCAAATACCATTCCCATGATGGTTGTTATGAGGAGCCGTGCACCATCATTTGACTTCTTGAAAACCCCACTGCATAGCCACAAAAACACCAGTAACTAACAAATTACAGGATCATTCATCAATGTGATTCAGTGTGTAACTCTTCAAACCTTCGAAGTGAGGTTCCCATTGTGCCAAAAAGAATCGGTCAAGTCAAAGTCCAAGAACTAAGGCAGAAACCAATAATTTGAGTACTTGATTAAAAATCGCATCTACCACTTAAAACAAAGCTGAAAATGCGCCTTCAGAACTGATAATCCTGTACAACATGTTCACAGGAAACAAAAATTATGGAGGTTACGGTTTGTTTTATCAACTGAACATCAAGGTATCAGCAATCAACAATCTCTCCAGAAAAAACTTTCGAATTACAGCACTCTACATCAAAAATCTTAACAGCTCAAACTGTTCAAAAAGCAGGAGAACGTACAGATCGAAATCACTACACCAAACAATCAAGACAAGCGCATATAAAACCTTAAATCAGACTTGGATCCACTAGAAACAAATCCTGAAGCACATTACTACCGTCCCAATTACCAAAACCTAAGACCACATTTCCATTCGATGAATAATCCCAATAGCTGAATTCATATCAACTTTCTAAACAATTCAAATCTTTCTAGAGACAGATTAAACATCACGAAAAAAACCCAAACAGAATTAAACGTCCACTCACTACGGAATCAAAATCAACCTACAAAACCTCGAATCAAAGTTTGATCTGCGAGACACAAACCAAAACCAGATTCCACCAACCGCACTAAAACTCAAACTAAAAATCTCTCCCCACCGATTAAAAATAACCCAATCATACACTCATACGAAAGTTGCAGCTAATAAGTGAATCAGTGATTGAATAAGCACATAAATCCTAAACCCAGATGATGAAAAAAAAAATTAAATAAAATTAAATACAGAAAAATAGCCGAAGCAATCAAATTAACTGTAGGCTATTAGCAAGCAAAACTAGATTAGGGCAAAGAATAGGACTATAATTAATAGCATTATCGTAATCATGCTCCTGTTTCTAAGATCGACAAACCGAACTCATAAATGCTCCAGAAAAGGAAGAAAACGCACATCAATTAAAGAAGCCGCAGATACGAAACAACAATTAAGTTAATGAAGTTGGAAATGAAAGTAAATCAAATGTAGGGTGTAGATTTTCGCAATCAGGGCTCACAGATTCGGCCTGCGGAGAGAGAAGTGGAGAAGAAGAGCGAGAGAGCGCATTTGCGTTCCATACAGCTTGCGATTGCATCGAATCAATAACCCAAAAAAGCGAACGTTTGGTGCTGCAAAAAGAATATGGCAATGAAAAAGGTGAAAAACGAATATCAAAGTGGTTTTCGTAATTACGTTTTTGTCCTCTTCTTTTATTGTATTTACATTTGCACCCTTAACTTAATTTAACTTGACCCATCCTCTTGCTGTGATTGCATTAAAGTTTTGGCGTTAATTATTTTGTGGGTTGGTTATGACTACACGTTTTTATAATGGTAAAAAAAGTGGGTACCGGTTCAAATATAAATTGGAAGTTGAGTTTGTGAATACTTTATTTAATTTTTAATATTTAATTTATAATATCATAAATATAAAATTAAAAATTTTAAAATATATATTTTTAAATATTTTAAAAATTTGCTTCCCGTGAATACATATTTTAAATTTCATAATTTATATAAAAAAAATTATTTGTTTATTTTATATTTTGATTTAAATGAATTTTCTTATTTGAAGTATATAAAATCTTATAGATAATATAAAAATAATAATTATATTTTTTTTTTTTGGAAAAATGTGAATTATTTTCACAAAAACAACACACTTTAATTAAATTATTTATATTGTATTAAATCATTATTTTAATTTTAATAGTATAAAATTTTGAATTTAAATATAAAATTAATTTTTAATATAATATAAAAAAAATTTAAAATTATTTATTTAATTTAATATATTTAAAGTGAAAATATTTCTAGTAAAAATTATATACACATCCATTATTCCAATTAATGCTATTTATTTTTCTTAATAAATATATACTAAACATCCATAAAAATATAAATAGATTAATATAAGTGTTAGTTGTATTTGTTATGTTTCTAATTTCGAGTTTTGATTTAATATTTTATTTAAAAAAATATAATATTTTTATAGAGAAAAGAATATTGGAATTTGTTCACTTTATATGTTTTTTAATAATATAAACATTAAATAGGATATATAAAAATAGTTCTGCCTAGTTTCAAATATCCTTGCAACATTTTTTTTATTTTTGTTATGTCTTAAATACTTTGCAATATTTTTAAAATAGAAAATAATTAATTATATTTAATTTCTAGTACATATTTTATCACATCGCATCATCCAAATAAAAAAATAAAATATATATTTCTCTCTCCATCGTATTATCTAATTTATAAATTATCATACTTAGTACTATCTACCTAAAAATTCGTGCCAAAAATAAATATTACATCTTATTTGGGACGGAGAGAATATTGTTTTAATATGACATTAATAAATTAAAATTTAAAATGGGTTTGTATGCTTTGATTTGAATTTGATTTGTATTTATTTTTGCTTAAACAACTACTTAGAGTGTTTGTTTTGGGGAATTGAATTTTAAATACATTAGTCATCTCATTTTTTTCTTTTCAAAAATATCAAATCAAACACTTATTTTTTATTTTTTATATTATACTAAAAATTAATTTTACATTCAAAACATCACATTAACATCTATTTATATCACATCATTTAAATCCCAATTCAAAATCCAAACTCCCAAACAAACACAACCTTAATGTAACATTCTATTTTTGAAAAATACTATATTTTTATAAAAAAATCGTTTGAATTGAATACCAGTAATTTTAATTGAAAATCAAAACTAAACTATAGAAATAAACAAACAACAAAAAGTAAAATAAAAAGTAGGAAATGCATGGAAAGGCGTATATGGGTAAGGGAATATTGCTTTCACTTTACGGATAACATTAGTTGGTTTCCTGTGTTTGTATTTTAACGATTATTTATTTATTTATTTATTAATATTGGTCTTAAATTTGATTAAATCCGTTAGAGGAATAACATTTCAGCTCCAGAACTATAGCTTTAATTGGATTTGGTACAGGAGAGTATAAAGAATATTGATATTATATTAATAGTTGATAAAAAATATAGATAAAATACTTTTTTGCCCTTGTGAGTATATTAGTGTAAAAAATAGTGGCAATTGTGTAATAAAAATAAAAAGAAGTAGGGATAGTTTTACGGTGATATGATTATTTATGAAAATAAGATTATTGTTTTGAGACGGACAAAAATAGTAAACAAGACTATTGTAGTGGGACGGAGGGAGTATTAAATTCCCACAACAAAGACATATTATTCGAGTTTATTTGTATGTTGTCCGTTTTGGATTGAATCCGCACAAATTTATTTTTAACATACTAGTGAAATTCATATGGAACTTATAAGGAGTTAGATTTTCTTCTGGATCTTAGGTCTGCACCCACCAGTTTGAATAGTTTTTTCTAAAAAAATATTTTTTATTATGAAATATGAAAAATTGCAAAAATATTATATAAAATAATATTTTGTATATTTTTATTATTATGTGTATATTGTATATTATATATTGTATTTTTAATAATATATATATTTTTATAATTGTGCCATTCTCAAATATAAAACAAGGATCCTTTATAATTTGTTTTTATATCAATAGTTATTTGAACGAGTTTGTTTTTTTTGAAGTTATGTTTGAAAATATTAATAAATTAAAATAATATTGATACAATATAATAGATATAATACATGTTTTGAATAAAAAATATCTTTTAAATAATTTGAAAATATATATATATATATAATGCCATAACATAATCAAACTCAAATAACTAAGGGTACGTTTCTTTAGACCAATTTTCTCATATTTTACTACTTAAATTTTTCAAAAAAAATATATTTTTTTCTCTCACAAAATATCTCATCAAACATTATTATAATATAATCCCAAACCAAATTTTCTCAAACTCAACGAATAGGAACACACCCTTAGATCTGAAAATATGATTTTTAGACCGAAATTGTTATACGTATGAATTTGGCATTACTATTATTATTATATTTTTTTCATAGCATAAAAATGGCACTAGATAAAAATGACATCTTTTATTTTGACCAATCGACATGTTTTAAATTTTCCTCGTATTTTTACAATTGACATAATGTAATATAATGCATGTATTCATCCTCGAATAAAATGAAATCGAATAAAAAAAATAAAATTTTTTAGTAAGTACAAAATAAATTAAATTCAGTCAGAATGGCGCGCAATGCGAAGGCAGGCCGGTCAGGTAGTCGACGGCGACGACCTGACCGGCGCTGCATTCGAGCACATCCTGCCCGAGCTTTGCTCCGGCGGCCTTAAGCCCTTTAAGTGACACCGCCTGATTGAACAGGTTCAACGACGGCAACTTCGACGCCGGCGGGAGCTTCCCGTTGGGCAACAGGGACCTGAAGTCCTGCATGAGTAGCGGGACTTCGAAGTCCGTTTTGTCGTGGCGGACGACGTTGTCCTTAGCGTTCACGTGCGCCCCCGGCTCCATATGATTCGTCGAGAAGCTTGCTTGCCTCGGGAAGTTCGGGTATAGGCTCACGTACCCTCGTAGGTACATCATGTCGATCAAGAACTTCTTCCACGATGCTTGCCACCCGTTCGTCCGGGATTTCGGGATTTGGACCGGATTTTGCTTCGCATCCTCGGTGAATCTGTCGATGAAATGAATTAGTTTTATGTTTCTGTTAGATGATTATCTGACCTAAAAGTTTAAGTTTCGTATTCTCAGTGAATTTGTCGAGCGACATGATATGCGACGAATGAAGTATTTTATTGTTTATGTTTTAAATTACCATTTTATTTAAAAATTTAAGCTTATAGAGAAATGAATAATTAATAATATATGCGATGAATGAATTAATCTATCGTTTCTGTTAGAATTACTATTTTACCTCAATGTTTAAGCGGCTAGAGAAATGCATAATTAATTATATATTATATAATTTTTATTTTTATTTTTTATTTTTTATTTTTTATTTTTTCTGAAGTACCTCATGTTCATGTAGACGTAGAATTCTCTCCAGTGTTTAGGGAAGAAAACCGCGCCCCAACTACACGGGAGTTGGTGAAGATATGGCGTGTTCGGATGGATACGCCTGAAGAAGTCGGTCGCGTTCCATTTGGGGCGTTCTTTAACGACCTCGACTATTCGCGGCGTGTAGAGTGAGATCGACGATAATTCCGGGAGGGACACTTGAGGATCGTAGTGATACGACAAGATTGCGTATTTGATCCATAGATAGTAATACGGCGAGACCTCGATGTCATCCTCGAGCAAAAGGCCAAAATCGTCGTCCGACGACGGGTACCAACTCTCACTCACGGCGCGGATTAGCCCGCCTTGGATTATTCTCCGTCGAAGGGTTTTAGGCCCGTGTGGCCACTCGAACGAGCTCACAAGCTTCACTGTTGCCTCGTCGACTTTGCTATCCATGTTAAACGATATCGGGACCTCGTCCCCTAAATAGTACGCGTTGGTTAGCGACTTGAGAAGCCTCGTTAGAGAATTCGCCCGATTTTGCGTGATGATGCTTATCGAAAGCCTCATTCGATTCCAATCTGTTGGTCGAACCATCGAATGTTACGATCTGTTAGAGAGAATATGATGTGAAAAAGACACAGTAAATGAGAGTTCTTACTAGGTAAAGCCGTCGAGCGAAGATCGGCCATCCATAGGGCTTTTGGAATCGAGGATCTCCGTAAAAGTACCAATGACGAGGTGTTTGCGTTGATCTCCGACGCCATTTTCAAAGCTTTTCTAACCGTCGGATCGATATCCGATGTCGCGATCACCAAGCTCGGGTTATGGATCTTGATCAACCCTTTCATGCTAGCATACACACCTTGCAATACCGGCACCTCCGACTTCGAACTAATCGTCGACAAAGCACCTACTCCGAGATCGAAGATCTTGAACCGTCTCTCCTTGCACACGGCTTTCGACCATTTCAACGCTGCGGCCGCGCTTTCGCAAGGGCAAAAATCACCTCCCGAAACGACAATGTATGCTTTCTTTCCGACGTTGGTTCGGAATTTTTCGAATAGCGGCGACAAGGCTTTAACTTCTTCGACGGAATGCGCGTAGAACAATGCGTCAATCTTTTGCGGGTGCATCGCAGCCCATTGCGTAATGTAGCCCGTCGAGAGGGCTTTCCACCATTGATCGTCGCGAACTTGAACGATATCTTTGAAGATCACCGTCGTCTCGGACACATATGCCAGCCGGTGCTCGCTATCGCCCCATGTTTCTTTGTCCTTCGGATCGACCGGCAACACCAACGATCGAGCATCTCGGTACTTCTGTAGTTGATAGCTGCATTCGTAGTTTCATACGGTTAATTGGTCAAAATATTTAACAAAACATATCGAAAGGAACGAACAAGCCATCCGATCGATCGATCGATACCTCAAGTGCAAGTCTTCTCCCGTCATGAAAGTGAACGGCGTCTCGATGAAAAGAGTTTTAACTAGCTCGGCGGAGAGAAACCACGAGCTCGAAAGAAAATCGACTTGCACGACGCGATCGACATTGATGTCATAAGCGGGATCGGGCAAGTAAAGGCCAGCCTCTTTCGATCGAAACTTTCGATAGCTCGGAAAGGTGAAGTCTTTTTGTCGAAACGGTAGAATCCTTCCGATGCTCCCGAGTACCGAATTCTTGTACTTTTCGGTCCCGGCGACGTGCGACAAGATCTCCAACATCTTTCTTCCCGGGATCATATCATCGTCGAGTACGTACACGAAATCTGCGTCGCTCTGCAGCGCGATTTGGAACCTCCCGTAGTACTTGAAATCGTAGCTTGAACTTATGAAACTGATTCTTGAGTTGTTGTAGCCGTCGACGATCATCTTCAACGATCGCTCGTTAGGACTCCCGAACGAAAGCACCCAAACATGATGGAACGGGATCGTTTGGTGAAGCAACGAGTCAAGCTGCGAACACAACGTCTTACGCTTGAAATGGTTGAGGATCACCGTGATTTTCGGGGAGTTCGTTCCTCGTCGATCCCATTTCGATTTCATCGACATTAGCTCCGGCAGCGTCTCCGATCCGAGCGACTTCCTCTGGAAATCAAGCACTTCTCTGTAAAGCTCTGTTTTTAACTTGATCATCATCGCATCGCTCGATTTCTTTTGCTCGAAATCGATCTTCTCGTGCTCGCAAACTTGGGTTAGGTCGATCGCCACCGCCGTCACCGTCGCATTAATTTCTTGATAGCGATTCACGACGTGTGGCGCGACGATCAATTGCCGCCATTGATGTGCGAACTTCGTAGCCCACGTGAAGTCGGGTTTCGACCTTAAGTCGATTGCGGGGCTCATGAAGTACAACAAGAACGTCGCATATACGGCGAACCCGAATTGTAAGCACGTCAATGCCGTCACGAGGCGCGCCGGCGAAGACGATGACGACGACGATCGTTGTGCTTTGAGGTGCTTAGCCTTCCCTCCCATGTAATCGCTCAACATTCCTTCCAAGTAATCGCCATTCCTCATCGACGAATTTCGCGACAACCACATCGTCGTTGTCGTATCGTCGTAGCGATCGTCGAGTCTTCACTTCACTTCTCCGATCGATCGACGACGACAAAGAAACGCACAATGTCAAACTACGGCAATCAATCGAAACAACAGATACTAGTAATCGAGACTTAATTCGACGTCGGAGACTATCGAAAAAGCTCGATAAAATTATTTCGTATTAAAGTTAGAGGAGAAATAAAAGGAAAGGAAGTTTGCATAAAGTAAGAAAGTAAGTTGAAGATACCATGAAAACTGCAGCAAACTCACATGGGATATGTTTAAAACTATTTCAAAGCAATGCAATGTATCCATGATTTGAAAACTAACTTAAAAAGATAAATAAAAAAATAAATAATAATAATAATTAAATTAAATTAAATTTAAAAAATAAAAATAAAAAGCCTTCGCGGCCGCCGAGAAAACAGCAGTTTTATTACAGCATTAAGAACCCTAAGTGTTTGTTTTTGTTTTGCCAAAAAAAAAGAAGCTCAGATTTTACTCGTAGAAGTTTAGAACACAGAAATATAAATGCAGAAACAAATAATAGTCAAGATTCAGTTACCAATAATAATAATAAATAAATAAATAAAATAAAAAAGGAAAAACTTGAGGAAAACTCAAAGCCTGAACACAAATACCCAAACGGGATCGAACAAGAAATAAATGGTTTTTCATTACAACATACGTACGTACCTTAATATCAAAGGCAAAAAAAGTTATATATATATATGTATGTATGTATATGTGAAGAATTAATATATATATATATATATAAAGAATTGAAGAAACCCTTTTCTTCTTGAGCAAATTAAGGTTAAAGAAGGGTGAGAGAACATGGGATGATGAAGGGATATTTCATGAGCACCAACAAACTTATATATGAATTTAAATTAATTATTGCAAATTTAGGGTTGACTTTTTTATTTTAAAATAAAAATAAAAATAAAAATAATATTTTTTAAAAAAAATTAAAAATAAAAAATAAATAAATAAAAGGGAAATTTGGCAGCCACCTTCTATGGGGTCTTGTGAAATTTTGATTCTGAGAGTTAATGGAGATTTGCCAAACATGTCTTAATTTGGCGCTTGTTTGGATGGAATAAGAAGAAAAATAATATTCAATAATGTGTGGCGTTTTATTTTGAATAGGAAGAGAGTCAGCAACCAAACATGGTATAGTTAATACAAGAGTTAGGTATTTGGAAAATAAATAAATATTAATGCATGCAATTATTTTATTTTGTTACATTTCTGTTAATACGTACCCTCCCTCACCTGCAACATTTAACAATGTTTCAGCAAATATTATAAATTCAAAATTTTATCAACTCATTTTCTTAAACGAAAGCAGCTTCTATTTATTTATTTATTTATTTATTATAATAATAATATTAATTAATTGTTATTATTGTTTAGGGTAGTTATCTTTCAAAGCCATTGCAAAATACCTCAAAGATACTCTCACAACAAAGCTAAATAAATAAATAAATAATTATGTGTATTTTGATTTTTTATTCTTTTTTTTAGATAAAAATAATTACTACATAGAATGTTTTGCATGGTAAAATATAGGGGAAAAATATCCATGGTTATTACTACCTCCGTCTAGCCACAAAGTATACAGTAGTTTTTTTGGGTTGATATTTAAATATTAATTATTATATCAAAACGAAATAGAAAATGACAAAAATACATCTATTAGTATGTTGTAATACAAATACAATCTTATTTTTTGAGTAAACTATACAAATGTAAGAATATTTTTAATGTTAAATACAATTGCACAAAAACACATTGTTACTTCATAGCTGGACAAAGGTAGTATTATTTATTTTAAATATATATATATATATAATTATCTTACATTATTTATATATACATATATATATATATAAAACATTCCTTTTTATATAAATAATATCCCATCAAAAACTTACTTTTCATTTAAAAGTTACATAAAATAAAATTTATATTTTTTATTCAAGAATCTCATTCGATACTTATGTATGTTGTATCAAACATTTGTTTTTGTATATATTCAATATCTTTTACTATTTTTTCAAGTTAATTTAAATTCTCAAATTACACATATTTATAGCCTATAAATCTTGGATTTACTAGCATACTTATGTAATTAATCCATATTAGAATATAAATTTTGTATTTATTGATTTTTATACCTAAGGATCTAAATATTAATTATATATATATATGAGTGTGTAGGGGCACTTTAAATTTATATCTATGATTCTAACTATCTAAAATAATATATGGTGTGGAGAAAGAAACTACAAACTGAATTTAGGTTCCTAATAACTCAGGCTATGTTTCTTTAAACTTCATATTTCAAATTTTTACTATTTAGATTATACGTTTTTCGTTCTTCTTACAAAATATTTTATTACACGATTCAAATCAAAATTTTTCAAACTTCGAAAACACACCCTCAATACATCAAGAGAGAAAGATAATAAAAAATACTACTTCCGTCCGGCTCTAAGGGTCACATTTACTTTTCGCGTGTTGATATTTGAATATTAATTATTATATCAAAATATAGTACAAATTAAGCGAAAATTGCAACATTACTTCTATTAGTGTCTTATAATAATAATATAATAATATTTGTATAAAAAATTATATAAATATAATAATATTTATAATATTAAGTACAATAATGCAAAAATAAATATAACCCTTAAAGGCTGGCTGGAAAAAAAAAAAAAAAAAGGTATATATATTTAATTATTTACATTTTAATCTCAATTCCAAGAATTCAAAGTCAAACAGCCTTGATTGTTGAGAAATGATAATAATTTACTTAATCTTAGAATTACTTCCATAGTTTGTTATTTTGGGTCCCCATTTTTAGGGACAAAGACAATCCAATTGTTACACAATTTGTTCAATGAGATAAATGTTTTTCGCGGTTAATATAGTCACAAAAATTTAGATAAAATATAATTAGTATATAATTAAAAAATATAATAATAAAAATAATTATTTTTTTTTGTCTATTAGAATTAACCTACTTTCAACACAAAAATAAAATAAAATAAAAAATAATAAATTAATATTTTATTGAAAAAATAATAAAAGTAAACAAATAGTTTATGATAATTTTGAATATTTAGTTAGAAAATAAAGTAACTGAAGAGGAAAAATATAATAAATGTAGCGGTATTATCGTAAATAAGTGTTGAATGCAAAATGAATTAAATATTAATTTGTTGACTTTGTCAAAATTAGTAATAAGATAAATTTAGCTGGAGAAAGTATAAATTAGATTAAGATTGAAATTACTAAATAATTTAATATAAAAAAACAACACATATTATTATTGATTTTTTTTTGTTATTATTACCAATTTGGGGTGTTCCAAATATTATTGTAATTTTCTTTTATTTACATACATTTTTTGTTTATTTTTTATCATTTTCAATACATTTTATAGAATTATTCTAAACATAAAGTAAAGATAAAATGATAAAAAAAAAAAAAAAAAAAAACTTATTTATTTAATTTTGGTTCAAATTTAAATTTTAATTAAACAATATTTGATATGATATATTATAAAATTAAAAAATATATATATAATACTATTATATTTTTATTGAAATTGTATGAGTTTAAAAAAAAAAAAATCAAACATACAATATACACGCCAAAATAAAAATAATAAAGCAAACAAACAAAATACCGTGTGTTCATCCAATATTTTTTAGGCGACATAATTTTCGTAAATATTATAAAAAATATAATATATACTTCATTCGTCCCAATTCAAAATATTATTTTACTATTTTCATCTATCTCATTTATAAGTATTTTTTTCTATTTTAGTAAAAAGTAATCAACATTAATACCAAAATACTTTTAATTTTTACCTAAATTATAAATATACTATTTACATATAAAATTAATTTATACATAGGATAAAAATGTCAAAACTTTTAATACACTTTCACTAATCAATAATATATTACTTCTTCCGGCCCTTAACAATCTATCCATTTTTCTATTTTGGACCGTCTCATAACAAAATATTTATTTTCTTTTTTAGTAATTGTATTTTCTACTAACATTAAAAATACCCTTACAACTTACCATATATTACACAAATGTCATTACATTTATATCACACAATACTAATAAAATTATTTTAATTTCTTCTACTTTATTCATACCACACCACGATATAATACTAATATCGTTAAAATTTCGTGCAAAAAGTAAACAGATAAATAGATAAGAGACAAAAAAAATATTATTTTTTAATCTCCTAGAAAACATCAAATAACTTTTTTGGAGTGGGACAAAAAGAATATAATATATATTCACAAAAAGTTAATATTTTGTCCAAAATATTATTTTTCGTATTATCGATATAATTCATTATACCTAAAATAAAAAAAATACATACATTCAAAAACACACAAAGCGACACGGTTAAAAGAAGAATATATATATGTTGATTTTTAAAATAATAATTTGAATCTAATATTTTATCGGAAAGAATAATAGGGTGTGACACTATTATTCATTTTGTATTATTTTTAATAAAAATAATTTATTTTTCTAGTAAAATCAAAATATTATTTAACTAAAAATTAAATAAATATCCAAATTGATAATAGGAATTTACTGCCTAATAATAATAATAAATGTAATTGAAATTTTAATTTGAATTTTCGAATAAAAATGAATTGTTAGGCATACCAAAATTTAGGATCCTACTTCAAAGATGTTTTTTGATTTACTTTAATCATTGTCATTAAAAATGAATAACTAACAGTAGCTTTATTTCTTTATTATTATACATTTTATAATAAATAAAATAAAATCATGTGTAATTATTCAAAAATTATATAATTTTACATCCAGTTAATAAGTATACATTTTATTAATTTTTAAATATAAAATAACAATTTTTATTTAAGTATATATGAACCTTATTACATATTACAAATACCACAAATTTATAATTATTTACATCTATATTCTCGTATTAACTTTACAGGGTAAAATTGTTTTTATATATCAAAACTACCACCAACTATTATTAAATACAATATTTACTAAATTTAATACAAAAAATTGATATATATATATATATATTCTAAGTGGACGAACTGAATGTACACTCTCTCGTTACAATTGAAAGTATTTTTTTATTATTTTTGTACGTCTCATTAAAAAATAATCATTTTTTATTATTGTAAAATTAATAACACATCAATATCAAAGTATTGTTTAATTTTTACATAAATTTAAACATATAATTACAAATACAATTAATTTAATCAGAATCATCTTACATACTTTTATTAAGTTAATACTTTAATAAAAATCTTAGAGTCTGTGTGGGCTCAAGATTTAATTGCAGACCTGTACCTGATCAATTAAAGTAATAAATTTTATTATTTTTAAATTTTAATTTCTATTTTCAATTTTATTTTTAGCTTTGGTGGTGGTGGTGGCCACGGAGGAGGCATCAAGGTGGTATTAGTGAAAATTTATATTTGTTATATATATTTAATTTATTTTTAAAAAAAATATATAGATATTTTTTTAGTAAGTCAGTCAAATCAAACTTATATTTAAATTTTTTGAATTTGACGGATCTAACATGTCTGGCAGATATGGCATATACATCACGGTAGAGTCCGAAAACATTAATATCAAAGTCTTGAATATAGTAATATACGTATGAATAAAATCATGAATCCATCCTGATCCATACCCAACCCATTAACATTCTTACTCAAATTTATGCCAACTCATTGTATTTTTAGGTCCGCTGAAGATGCTCTAAGGCCATCTCCAACAGGGCTGCAATTTTGACGCCGTACTCCGTAAATGGAGTTCACTCTCCAATTCTACGCTATTTTTTAATCAAAAATGGTGTTTGCACCGTAATAACGCTATTTTTATGGCGTTCATATATATATATATATTTTTTTAATTTGTATATTAATTAATTAATTAATTTTTTAATTTTTTTTAAAATATTAATTGTAGATATAAAAAATAATTTAAAATAATATATAAAAAATAAAATATTTAATAAATATTACTTTTAGAGTAAAAAATAGAGTTGTGAGTTAAATAACGGGAGTAACTGTAGTTTTGGAGTTATCGCATAAGTTGAATTGTCGGTTGGAGAAGCCTAAATGAATCAAATCAAGACTCAAACCGAAGCAAAATTTGAAACTCAAGCCCTTATACACGCCCTAATAAATGAAACCAACGAGCAAAGGCTAATATCGAACAATTTCCCCGACATTAGAAAACATGCAAAGGAATGAAAAACTTAACTCATCAAAAAGATAAATAAATATGCATTCTCTCATCCATCGTTCTTTGATTTTTCTACTACATACATATATATATATATATAACCTATCTTTCTGCCTATGGCTTCTTGCTCGTCGTCGCCCGTATCGGTCATCCTTCGTCGTATCAGTCCGCGTGCGATAAACAGAAGGACTCGAACCTCGGCTCCGTCAAATCTACTACAACATCGTCTTCCACCCGGCAGCTTCGAGATTTCGACGTCAGGAGCGTCAGATTTTCGACGCTAGCCGATGACAAACCATCGGCTTCTTTCCCCTTCTCGTCACAGGGAATGGCCCCGGCAATGGCATTGGCAGGAATCGAGCCTCCAACTGGAATTTCCGACGTAATTTGCTTGATTTCCTCCGACACAGAGCTGTCGCAATACTCGTCGTCACTTGCCACCGGATTCATGCCTCCGTAGGATGACGACGAAGAATGACGCTGACAAAGAGAAGACAATTTAAGATATGTATGGTCAGAGTTGTTAAATGAATCGAACGAGCTCAAATATTTATTGTTTGAGTTCGACTCGAACATATTATCGGTATAAATTTGACTCGGCTCATTTAGGATCCAAACTAAAATAGTGGTTCGATCACTAATGAGATCAATCAAGCTACCTGCTACATGAGCTCAAACTCGGCTCGTTTATAGAAATAAAGAATTTTCTAGCACGAACTCGGCTGGTTTATCCCTATAAACGAATCAAATTAAGCTCGGCTCATTTATAAAAATAATAATGTTCTAACTCGAGTTCGGCTAGTTTATCTCTATAAACGAGTCAAGTCACACTATTAACAAATCGACTCAAGCTCGGGTGGTTTATCTCGGCTTGTTTATAGAAACAATAATTTTGGAATTTGAGTATGGCACATTTAATCCCTATAATCGAGTCGAGTCGAATTGTTAACGAGTCGAATCGAGCTTAGTTTGCAAGCTATTGGGTTCATTTAATAGCTTTTTGCACGCATGTAACAGATAAATGTACTCTAATCATATGATAGATAGATTACCTGAAAGGCGTGCATCGACAAATTCTTCCGTTTAGATTTGTCCGGCGCAATTGTCGAAAGAATTTGGACTACCTCGCTCATGCTAGGTCGAGAGTCGGGATCCAATAACAAGCACTCCTTCGCTAAGTACGCCATAACTTGCATCTCCTCTTCTTGGAATCTTCCTTCGAGTCGAGGGTCGGGTAGCTCGGAAATCACTCGCTTACTATCGTGCAAAAGAGGTTGCGCCTGCGCGACAAGATCGAAATGTTTCGGTAAAATAAACTTCACAAACGGTAAAAAACTTAGATGACTGAATTTAAGAAACACATACCCAAATCACAAGGCTTTCTTCCCCTTTATTCGACGACTTTTGGATGGGATTTCGACCCGTGATCAGTTCAAGAAGAACCACGCCGAAACTGAAAACATCGGATTTCAAAGAAGCTCGACCAATAATCGCGTATTCGGGCGCGAAGTAACCAAACGTCCCTTGCATTCTAGCCGGAGAGCTCGAACAGCTGAGAATCCCGTCGTTGTGTAGGTGTTTAGCCATCCCCAAATCGGTAATCTGCATACACGTCGAAACGATGATATTAACGGGTAAAAGTAGGTCAGCATAATTCCGTATATCTTCAACGTCGACAATTATAGGCTTATAGCGACGTACCTTGGCTCTCCAGTTCTCGTCCAGAAGAATGTTTGTTGATTTTACGTCTCTGTGCAGTATTCGCGGCGCAGCAGCATCGTGTAGATATTCCAAGCCACGTGCAGCTCCAAGAGCTACGGAAATCCGAGTATTCCAGCTCAAGCATTGGCCGGTGTCCCTGTCGAGGCATTCCCTGAGATTACCGTTGGGAATGTATTCGAACACCAGCAGCCTCTCGGCGTGTTTTCCTTGGTGTTCCGAGCAGTATCCAAGCAACGGCACGACGTGACAGTGATGAAGTCTTGATATCAATTCTATCTGAATTCACAGAACACGGTTTTTTTTAACGTAACTTCCATTTTCACGGCGCAGATAATATAAATTCGGTAATTATTCGAAGTTACCACCTCCGTCAAGAAAACGTGCTCTGCATCGGGGCCGCTTTGAGTTCTCATTCTCTTGATCGCGACGACTCTACCATCTCTGAGATTGCCACAGTAAACATGGCTGCTTCCGCCAACTCCAATTATGTTAGTATCGGAAAATCTGCTCGTCGCACTTTCCAGTTCGAGATACGAGAATTGTATTAATGTTCCATGTATTGTTCGTTTGCCGTCTCTGAATAAAAAGTTAGTCTTGGGAATGCATCCTTCACATATAAGTTAACAACATTCAGCTTCAGATGAATAATCTTATGGCAAAATACAAACAGGAATATATATATATATATATGTGTGTATATACCTAAAAATGGCGAGAACGAGCTATCCACATGTCCTTTGTAAACAGACACAGACGAACCTGCTCGGCTCGTCAAGTTGGTCGCACTGCTACAACTTGTTAGTCGCTCCGAAGGGGATAAAGTCCATAAAACCGAGCTTTTTTCCTTTCGATATAAGTACCACATCACTGAACCAATTATTGCAATTGCTGTGAGGAAGATGCACAGTAAGAGAACTATCAAAACAAGCTTGCTCCCGATATGCTTCTTCGAAGTCCTTAATTCAGATAATGCCCCTGTAACATACCCGTAGTTGAGTGCATTAAGCCTAAGCCAACAGCAAATGTATTTTCAATGCAATGTGAATCCAAATTTTACTTATATATGAACTGATCGATCCTCAAATACCAAATTAGCAAACTTGGCGAAAAGTCTATGGCGAAAACTGGAGCATAGTAATCTTCGAAGAGAAATTTTACTCGCGTAGCAGGAAGGTAATTTACCAGCATCACAGTTGCATGCAGTAAAACAGCTATTTTTACTGTTGTCACTGACTAGTCTCGGCAATTCGCCGCTGGAGCAAACGCATGACCACCTGTCCTCAGTGGATCCTCCTGCAGCTGTAGGTGACGGTATGATCATTGAGTTTTTCTAGTAACGACAAAATCAATTATGTAGACCTACATACAGCTCCAGTTTTGTTAAACTAATCGAATTATATGCCAATCCAAGCAGAAATTTCATTTTAACAGTAAAAACAAACTTGAGATTCGATTCCTCTACAGATGGCTACTAAAAGTACGGGTAACAAGCTCGTTCTTTTATTCCCTTTTTCACAAACAAGAGAAAGTAGCAACGATGACAGAACATTTTAATATGAGATGTGTACCCGGGCTGCAATCACAGGATGAAGAGCAGTTTGTAGAAATGAAGTTCGAGTCCGCATGGTGCACAACAGAACAGATGCATGTCCAGTTGTCTGCCTTGGACTTCACTGCAAGCTCATCTGAAAAATAACGAAAAAAAAAAAATTCGGAGATTTGAGATTGTCTATCATAAATTCCATTTCATAATATGCTAGCATCAATTATAGCAAATGCAACATCCAATAAGCTAGTTCGAGTTTACAAATCCCTCGTACACATATATATACATAAATATACAATTAGGGGACTATCTATTCTATCTACATTAATTTTTTTCTTATTTTCATAATCCACAAGGATAGGGGACAAGGTTGTTACCACAAAGACAGTTCTGAATCCAGATTGCATTAATGATGCAAAAAAATGCAAATTTCGAGTGAAGCCCCATTTGTCCGAAACCAGCAACTAACCTGCATTTAGTAAAAAGAATAATTGGAAAGAATGAAGTATATTATAACTAAGCAGAAAGTGACATAATGTAAATGGAAGAATTTTGAAAACAAAATATTCCATCTGCATTCGAGAACTCGATACGTTTGAGAAGAACTTGAGAATGTACGAATCCAAGAGTATGCTGTTTCATCTATAAATTCAAAAACGTATGTATAACTTACTTTCATTTGTTACACCTTTAATCAGAACGTTCGAATTGTGCCCGATATATATATCCATTGAGCTGTTCCAACTATAGCCTCAATAAATAAGGTTTACTCCACTGTTTCCAACCTATAGCAATTTGATCTGCAAATGAAATTCATCTTCATCAAAAAAGAAAAGTGGAGCATCAGACAAACAATATTGAACAGCTGACTTCACTAAACAGTATCTATAACCAACTTCCACAATTAAAGAAGGCCCTACTAATATTCATGCTTTCTTCTCTAGAAGAAATCGACATTGCGACATCTAACAACATTCACACTTGCTCATAGCTGGAAGAAAAACTATGCGGCGCTTTAAACAGATTTATGATCAAATCGTAAAACTTTTTCTTGAAGAACCTACAAGAAGCAAACTAGGGAGAAGTTTGAGGATCAATTTAGCTTCATTCGACAATGGCTTGCTTAACTCTGCCAAAAGATGAATCTATTGACAATGCAAACCTTTTAGAAATCAAAATTTTAAATAACAATATCACAAGAAACAATAAAGTTGGAATACTGGAGTCATGAATTTTCAATTCTGCACTGTTTATGCCAACGAATCCTCGACTTCTTTGCCCCATTCATTGGTGTTATTTAGCATTGAAAGTTGAATTATCTTTAGTGTAATTCCGTCTCTTTCAATAGTTTCAGCAGAGAAAGAGCTAAGATGTGAAAATTGAAACACAGAAGCACCAGGTAACATCTAATTCCAAGGAATGTGGAATGATTTCGACAAACAGACCCTTAAACAGATATTCAGAAACACCCTTAAGGTGATTTAACAGTTCCCATCACATCACATTCACAAGTAACTCTTAATTTAGCAATTCAATGTCATGATCACAAAAAAAGTAGAAACTAAAAGAATTGCCATTCTTACCAGTTGGATGCTTCAAACTCCAAGCGTGAAAACCTTGGGGGAAGTTGAAACAAATACCCAAAAAGATTTCCAGCCAAGATTTCCAGATGTGGAAAGACACCTCAACAAACCATGAATGAAGTCGAGGGTAGAGCAGAAACTGGATGTCTGAAAACAATGTATACAAGAAAAAGACTTTCCTGATCAGCAATGATTAAATCAAAAAATATCAAAGATAATATATCTAGAGAACTGACCAATCAACCACACGCTGAAAGCTACAACTTTCAAACATGACAGAGACCACCTAACAAACAAACTGGATAAAATAAGCACATTATATTAACAATTAACAACCATCTGTTCTTGAACTTCTGGATTAATATTTGGGTATAAATATGGGTGAGCTGCATAAAGTAACCACATTTAAATTGTGTAAAGAGGGCGGTAAACAACTCAAATTTCGTAAATGGCTATAAATCTCAACGGTTTTAAATGACTTTGCTTCCAAGACAACTTGGGAAAGGTTAAAAGTCATGGTTTACAGTAGACAAGCTTTGAATATATATATATTTCTTGGGAGGATGATGAGGTGTTAGATAAAGACATCTTGTTCTTTATGAATCAGCCCCACCACCTCCCTCTCCATGTCGGTAAATTTATAATAATCATTGTTTATTAAAGAAACCTAATAAATATTTGAGGAATTCATGAACCACAAATCCCCAAATTTTCATAGAGCATGAACACAGCAACATATCTACCTAAAGAAAGTTACTATAATATATTCATTTTTTCAAATCGAAATCCCTAATTTCAGAGCTAATGCTGATAAAAACAGAAATACATAATTAGTTAATCATAAACAGAAAAAATGCCCAACAAATCAGCTGCAAACCTGAGTTAGTAAACATTCATTGAGAAAATCGCAATAAAATTAGGGTTTCAGCGAACTCCTAAAACCCTAACGATTCGAGCTTCACTCTAAATTGAACAACCAACGCCAGAGACAATGCAGGAAGAGCAAGCTAAACAAGGACTAATTATGCACGTTCAAAGACCTTTAGAGCCAAAAATCTCATGAAAAATCGTACACTGACATACACACTATATGTATATATCAACAAAATGTATGTAAGCACATATTATTGGATAATGTATCAATCCAGAACTATTCCATAGCCAAAAAAAAGAGAAAACTATTCCATAGACAATTCAGGCAAAGAGAAAGAGGGACCTTGCAGCAGAGAAAGTAGGAAGGGCAGTGAGGGAGGGTAGGGGTAATGTGTCTGGAAGATCACGCTTGCACAGATATCTATGGCGAATCCTAGCAGAGGTGAAAGGAAGAAGAAGAAGATGGTGATGATATGACTGAAGCTCCCACGTGGAAATTTGTAGGTTTTTCCAAAACTCTAAATATATTAATTATTTTTTTAATATTTCATTTCAAATTTCTAGACGTTAACAAAGGTTTGTTAAGTTTTAGCGTTTCTTTTTTATATCAATTTATAAAAAGTATAACTAACAAATAATTAAAAATAGATTAGTAAAATTTTTATTATACGATAAAAATAATTATTAATTGAAATTAAGATAAATAATTTAAAAATTAAAAATAGTATTAAAATATACTTTTTTTAAAAAAGAAAAAGTAGAATAGACGGAAAAATAAATATGGTAAATGAAACTAATATAATATTATTTATTAAAAAAAATTATTGAAATATCAAATTAAATATTTATTTTTATTTTTATATTATATTACAAATAGTTTTATATTTAAAATATCTTGTTAATATTTATTTATGTGACATAGTATTATTTTTCAATTCAAATTTTATATTATTCAAATTTCAACAAAATAAATAAATAAATACAAATCTCCAAACAAACACAACCTAAGTTTCAAACAAGAAATGTTGCTCTCTTCTTTAAATTCAATAAATGTATTTGTTCCCTTATTTTTTTACTCATTTATTTGTATTTATTTCAGTTAAATATATATATATATATATATCTTGATAATATTAACTTTTTATTTTTATAAATTTATATATTTTTATTAATTAATAAAATATTTACATTAAAATATGACGATGGAGTAGTATTATTTTGATCAATGCAATTTTTAATAAACAAATTATTTTTTTTAATAAATATTATTTAAAAAAAAAAAGTAAATCCAATAAAAAATTATTCTCCCATAAATAGAAAGAATATACTTACTTGTACTATAAAGATAAAATTAGTAGTCTATCTAAATTTTTTATTTTACTATTTTAGTAAAAAAATAAATAAATTTATTTGTAAAAGTCAAATAAAAAATTTACTAGCTGACAAAAAGGTATTTGAATATACAAAAAATTATATAAGTAGGGTTTAAATAATATTATTCAATTTAAGTATGATTTTGATAAAATAATAGTATTATTTTTTTTTATAAAATACTACTCTCTTCGTCCCAATACAATAGTCTTGTTTACTATTTTTGTCCGTTCCAAAACAACAGTCTTATTTACATGAATAACGATATTACTATATAACTATTCGTACTCTTTTATTATTATTATTATATAATTGTCACTATCTTTTACATTAATACACTCACAAAGGCAAAAATGTCTTTTATCTATATTTTTTTATCCATTATCAATATAATATCAATATTTCTTAAATCTCGTGTCCAACACAACTAAGAATATAGTTTTGGGACGGAGGGAGTATTATACTAAATTATTATTGAATTTAAAAATCAAATAAAAAAAATTAGACTTAAACCAAAATTAAATAAAACCAAACGTTCAAAATCTGTAAGTCTTATCTATCATACATGATTTATCTTGTCGAGTTTAGTTTGCAAACTATTATGTTCGATCGAAATTTGTGTTTGTTTGGGTGGATTATTTATCCCATTTTTTTCCCCAAAAAATATCAAATCAAACACCTATTTTTTATTTTTTATATTATACCAAAAAATCAATTTTACATTCAAAATATTACATCAACACCTATTTATATCACATCATACAACTATTCAAATTCAAAATATTTACTATTCAAATCTCAACTCAAAATCCAAACCCCCAAACGTGCTCGAAAAAAAACGATTACAAATTCTCACATCATTAATATATATATATATATATATATAATTTGACAGGTCTAGTAGGATATAACTTGGTGACATTGGATGACTTGACTATAAGTTTATGAGGTTAAACTTCACGTTTTCGGGTCTTCTCTGTCAAATATGATTTGATTTGTCTTGTTAAACTTAATCAGGTTTTACCAAACCTAGTGTGAACATATCCCTTCCTTGTTTTTAGCCTTTAATACACATGTTAATTATGAATGTGTAAATTTTTACTACAAATTATTAAAATTCAATGTGTGGTTAATCCTTATAAATCAATCTTAATTACTCTCTCTTAATTGACAAGATGACCTCTTTAATTAAGTACACGATATTTTAGGTACCGTACATTAATAAATTATAATATTCTTTTATATTTTAGATAGTCTTAGTAAGTTATTAATAATAAGTTATAATATTATTTTTTTTAATATAAGTAATGTTTGATATTATTAATATCTTTAGTATTATTTTTGTAAAGAATAAAATTTTATATAATACAAATAAATACCGTTTGGATTGGCTTCTGGTAGGAGCTTTTGGCTTCTGCTTGTTTGCATTGGCTTTGTTCAAAAACATAAGCAGCTTTTGAGGTTAAAAAACTTTTTTTTTTTTTTTTTTTTTTCGGAAGCACATTAAGAATGGCTTCTGAAATAAGCAGAAACACTTTTCATTTAAAGTTAGTGTTTTATTCTTAATAATAATAATAATAATAATAAATACAATAAGATAGTATAATATAATATAAAAATAAATAACTTATATATATATATATTATATTTTAATAAAGATTTAAAAATATAATTAATTTATTATTGTTAATTTAAGTATTATATTTGGATTAAAATTTGAAATTTAAAATACTGAGGAGTATATAAATTTTTTAATTATACTTAAATTACTAAATATAATTTATAAAATACAAATTATTTAATATTATATTGTAGTTTTATGTTTAATCGATATATTATCTTTAAATTAAAATTTTTTAAATTATAAATAATCAAAATTTAAAAGTACAATTTTTTATACTTTAATTTAAAATTTTTAAATATAATTTATAAAATTTAAATTAAATTATAAAAGTGTTATAGAAAAATACTATTATATTAACAATATGTCATTTCAAATAATTTTAAAAGTTTAAAAGCACTTTCAACAATATAACATCCAAACAGTTTTTTTTACAAAAAGCTGCTTTTATAATGATTTATCAAAATACAAAATCGATGTTTCTGCTTTTTGCTTCTGCGCCAATCCAAATAGGCCCTAAGTCATTTAGACGGACAAAAAAAATGGGTCATTTGTAATGGCACAACGGGAGAGTAGGGATGTCAACGGGACGGGTTCGGAACGGATTTTGCAGGTCCCGGGACCCGCCCCGCTAGAAAATATTAGGACCTAAGACCTGCCCCGTGCTGCTTCAACCCAGCCCCAGGACCCGTCCCGCTCTTAACCCTCCAGGTTCGAGGCCAACCCGACAAACTCGTTTTTTTTTTAAAAAAAATTAAAAATAATTTAATATTAAAAAAATGCGTCAAAATACCAAAAAATTATAGTTATAAAATAAGAACAATCAAATATTGACGATAATACTGATGGCGATAAGCAGTAGTCCCGATTATAAAGAGAGTCTCGATTATAAAAAGAATTGTAGTATAAATAAATGTGAAGATAAATTTGAATTAGAACTAAAGTTCTATTTCATATTTAAATTTTTTTAAATAAATAAATAATGCTCCATAATTTATATTGTGTAAAAATATGAATAAATTATAATAATTATTAAAATATACGGGTTCAGGTCCAGATCCGAGGTGAGGCTGGTTTATAGTAAAACCCGTAACCTGTTCCAAACCCAATCGGGTATAAAACTCAAAATTCACAACTCGCCCCAATTTAATTTTTTTTTACCCGAATCCAGCCCACTAAAACTGAGTCCGGGACGGATCTGAGGCTAACCCGCCCCATTCCCTGTCGGAGAAAGAGACAATTTAACCGGAATACAAAGAGAATATCTAATTCAAAGGTTCACATTTTTTTTTCTCAGAGTAACTGTGGATTCTACCTTTAACTACTAATATTTTTTTTATTTATTTATCATTTTACACTTTTTTTATTATAAACAATTTGATGTTTATATTATTATATTTATCTACTCCTATTGAAATATTAATATTTTTTAATTTGCATGAAAAAATAAATAAATGTTAGAGTTGGACTAATATATTTTTATAATTCACATTAATATAACACAGATGCATGATATATACAGATAGTACATAAAAGTAACTCGCACAATACACCAATGGTGTGTTTGATTTATATTTCAAACCTAAATCAACACTATTTCATTTGCAATCAATAAAAATATTCTATTTTTCTAGTAAAATATTACGTCAAAATACTATTTAATTAAAATTAAACTGGAAAACAAACCAACCTATAGTATTTTAATTCCAATCATATATGGAGTAATAATAGTTCATATACTATTTAAAATAAAATTACTGATTAACCCTAATCAACATCCTAACCACAGTTAAATCCCAACATTATCAACACCCAAATCTCTAACATTCAAATTCATCCATGTACATTTCAATCCCATATACCCCACCAACTCTGCATCTATCTATATATCTATCTCTCTCTATATATATATGTATATATTTAAGCAGTAGAACTATCTATCTTATTGCAACTTCACCCAAAATTTCCAGAATCACACAACAAAAAATCTTAATGCAGCATAGAGATTGAACGCAAAAAACTTACTTGACAAGAACTCACCATTGCTGCTGCTTCGTGAAAAAGACCCACAGAGGAAGATACCGAAATCGATCGATTCGATCTAGACCATTCATAGCCGTCCGGGTGACGAGCTCGGCGTCGGGCTCGGCCGATGGCCGCCCAAAACCATCGACTGCGACAAGTTCACCATGTCGACCATCGATCGCGTCTTGTACGACTGCAGGAGGCTCGTGTTCTCCGTGGAGTCGCCTCTCGCCGTCGCCCGCTGCCACGAGTGCGAGCTCAACCCCGACAGCACGTAAGCTCTCCCCGACACTTCATACGTCTGTCGGTTCGACATGCGCGACATCATTTGCAGTAATTCTGCGTTCAGGGAAACGCACATTCTGTCTCCGGCCTGAGCCGACCTCGTTTCCGAAATTGCCATGCGGCAGCAGTGGATAATCGTCGTCGCTCTTTCCAAATCGCCCCGTTCCGCCGCAACCCTCGCTTCCGCAATCGCTTCCGCGCAGCGGAGTCGGTTCTTTTGCCTGTCGACTTCGATGGATTCGGTCTGCGGTCCCACGTCCAACGGCCTTTCGATCACAACTTTCCCTGCAGATCGCAGAGTGATCGGAGCTTCCGAAGACGCGTTTTTGTAGACGCACTTCACATTAATCAGCGCCGTTTCGTCGCAAGTGTCATCGGCGATTGGGAAATCTGTTGTTACTAGAAAGTCCCTTTCTTCTTCCGCGTACAAGCATCCGATATCGATCGAGCCTTTGCGTCGACTTTCTGCCAGTCGAGTTACGTAGCTTCCCGACTTAATCGAAGTGAGCCTCACCGCGCGGTCGATGCACATCACTTCGACTCGTAAATCCCGCACGACGACGCTTAAAAGCCCCCCGATGCACTGCGCGAAAGCGTCCTGCATCACAGTCTCGGATTCGATAAAAGAGAACGTTCCGCCGGATTTCTGAGAGATAAAATGCATCAGCTGGGCATCATGATCTGCGCCGAATCCGAATGTATACACGGGAATATGAGAACCCGACGGATTATCGCAGCAGACGGAGACCGGAAGCAACAGCTGATAATCGGTGAGGTTCGGATTCGGATTGTTGACGGTGCGCGTGTCCTGTCCGTCAGATAACAGAATGATACTACCAATCGGGAATTTACATTTACGATCGGTCATAACCTTTGCAGCCTTTCTGAGACCCTCGGCGATGTTCGTCCCACCGTTCGATCTTAGAGAATTGACGGCTTGCAGTGCTTCGTGCCTTCCGGAATCAGTCATCCGACGGAGAGGGAAAAGACGCCGCGCCGATGACGAGAAGGCGATCACAGAGAGCCTATCAGAAGGTCCCATGTTTTGAATTACGAATCCCATTGCTCGTTTAAGCAGCGCAAGCTTTGTCCCGGCCATGCTGCCGCTGACATCAAGAACCGTCACAAGATCGATTGGAGTGCGGGAAGTCTGCGATGTAAGCGGGAAACCTGGTCCATCGATCTCAGAAGGCCGTCGAGCAGGGGCACTCGGAGCTTTAAGATTTATAACGATTGAAAATTCGCGACGGTTTTCTGACTTCGGAACAGCAGGGACTTCTGGATATGTTTTGACGATCACCGGTCCGGTAGAATGATCATCATTAGAGGTGTTACTGGTTGAGTTACCCGGGCTGACGCCAAATTGGTGACTAGAAACTTCATCGTCGTCGTCGAAGATTGCAGGTTCTGGCGCCGCTTGAAAAATAGAAGAAACTTGTCGATCGGTGTCTACTCGTGGAGAAAAAGGTTGTCTTTGCATCAAGATATCATTTTGAGCAGCCGGGTGAGATTTATCAGCTACCGGGCTTTGAAACGGGACTTCTTTCCAATTTGCTCGGCAGACGGGACAAATTTGCTTTCCATGCTTCACATTAGATGTAATGCAGTGGAAATGAAACGAGTGCGAACACTCTGCTGTAAAAATGGCGAGCCCATTGCCAGGCCTCATAGTCCCCAAGCATATTGTACAGATCTTCTGCAAAAAGAGAAATCGAAAACAAGATGAGAGAAATAAATGAAATAAAGTCGAATGCTCGCGGAAATTGGAACACAAGACAGCATATTTAGTTGATAAAAGGGAGCAATGTAAGTACGATTGTTTGAATTCTAGCTCTTAAAACATGCTTAGAACACACAACAAAGGCTGAGGTACAAAAATATTTCCTGGATATTCGGTTACAAAGTCGCCACATCCCAAAAGCTGATTTAGAAACTAATGATTCACAAGAAATGAAATGCTAGGTAATTCTACAAGACATGAAATTCTGCACATCATTGATAAGTAAGGAACTTGCGAAACTAGACGCAGTTTCATGCGTTCATGTGTGGTAGAATATGAAACTAAAATTCTCTATTTCAATCATAAGAATTCGTATATATTTATAATGACATACGAATCATCTAAATAATGCAAGGATCCTACAAATCTCTTAAATGACATAACTACCATAAATATAATACTCCCTCTGTCCCGGAACTAAATATCCATTTGCTTTTTGCAAGTAATTTTAGAAATATTAGTATTATATTGGGATATAGTAGGAATAAAGTAGAAATGACTAAAATAACCTTATTAGTATGTGTGATATAAATGTAATGGTATTTGTGTAATATATTGTAAGTCATAAAGGTATTTGTAATGTTAGGTAGACAGAACAGTTACTAAAAAAGGAAATGGATACTTTGTTATGGGACGAACTAAAATGAAAAAATGGATATTTTGTTATGGGACGGAGGGAGTATATATTTCATAAATATATTTTAACAATGTGTATCCAGGCAAACACAAAATCAATCCAACCAAACAATAATGACTATATATGGCTTGAAATTGGTCTGATAAGATGCTACATCCTATGATATGCAAGAACTCAGTAATTAGTTTGCCATAAAATACAAAATGAGCATATCTTGACAGAAAGAGTATATAAAAATTTAATTAGGTTCACTAATTGACAATCATGCTGTAAAAAATATGCAACAGTTATACAGATTCTTGCAAATTCAAGAACAACAATTCACTAAAGTCAATCCGAGCAATTAACTTTTAAAATGTAAAGCACAATAAGCAGGCTATCAAAGCTCATAATGAAACTTTTGAGGCATTAAAAATTGTAATCTATGATTTAAAGCACACTATAATGTATCAAAAGAAGCAGAAATCATTGAATCACTATAGCACTGCCTTCCACTTTACAAACCTTTGGCCTTGCTTTGATGTTCATAGCATGAAAGCTCTCAATCAATGGTCAAGTTCAAAATAACATTCATAAAAAGGGGTGAGAAAAAAATGGGCAAATGAACATTGCCGTGTGTGCAGTACAGTTATGGTGCTGACCAAGAAATCCACTTTCTTTTGCCCTCTGTAAGAAGGGCAGAGAAGATAAGTAAAGGATTTCACTGTTGCCATCCCTTTTAAGCCTTTTATAATAAGGTCAGATTACCATCGTCCTCAAAAGTCTCCACCCACATAGAGAAACAAAAGACTACATCACAATCCACAATGCAGACCCCATCTCTCCTTCACAATTCCTACACTAACAGATCCATTATCAACACCATGCCCACACCCCTACCCCACCTGATTGGAACCCCTTAGACAAAATTCAGTCAATGATCCATCAGTATAAAACCAGACTTTTTGGATTTTCTTTTAAGAAAAAAAAAAAAAAACAATCCTACATAGAGAGGTCAAGTGGAAGAGTGCTGTAAAATCTAAAAGATTACAGGAATCAAGTCAAGGTGAAAATCTCTAGGAGGAAGACATTGAGCCCTTTCTTTAATCATTGATAAAAATCCTTGAAAAGGACTTGATTCACATACTTTGATAAGAGCATCTTCAAAACATAGCTTTGTTAGAATCACCAAAACTTCAGTTCAAAGAATAATCACACTCATAGAGAAAACAAGACTTTTTGGTTTTTCTTCAAGTAAAAAACAATCCTACATAGAGAAGACAGGTGGAAGGGTGCTGTAAAATCTAAAATATTACAGGAATTAAGTCAAGGTGAAAATCACTAGGCGGAACACATTAAGCCCTTTCTTTAATCATTAATAAAATCTCTAAAAAGGACTTGATTCATATCCTTTGATAAGAGCATCTTCAAACCATAGCTTTGCAAGAATCTATCAAAACTACAGTTCAAAGAATAATCACTCACTAGAGATCTTTTAATTAAATACAACAAGGTAGAGATACAAATATCTCATATACTTCCTCATCAGCAGCATAAGATTCTACACAGATTAGAAATTTACTTTTCACAAAAGATGAAACCGATAGAAACCAGGCGCAATCTGAAATTATACTTTCTCCCCTGAAAAGTGAATTTACGTAACTCGATGATTTCAACCAAGAGAAAAACACTATCATCGAATTCCAAGCTTAATATCATAACAAAAACGCAATATAAATCTACTATATTTGACCTCGCCGGGTTTGGCAGAATGATCAGGCAAAAGGATGCCGGAGGAAGACGGCGTCGGAGTATAAGGCACATGAACTTCACGATCCACGTCTTCAGCCAACAAATCGCTACCAGAAACCGTCGCGACGTTCCGCGGCGCCGGCGCCGGAGGATCCTCGATTGTCCTCGGCGGGAGAAGACAGGTGGTGAGCTTCAACCGTAGCGCTCGCTTCGCCTTGATCCATTTGCTCAGCCACATTTTTGTCCACCACAATTGAGGCACCAACCAGACCTAGAAACACATCATCATCATCATATTATTCATATATACAGTAGCAACAGAAACAGAGATCCGGACGCTCATTCATGCATTTGCACGCGAGTTTCCGAGGCGAATTGGATGGCATTCCACACAAAAAAACGGATCTCGCCTTGACCGGAGAGGGAAGGATTCGTGTGGTCAGTCAGTGGCGTTCGCTTTTCTGAATGGGTATTTTGCGCTCTCCTCTCTCCCAACACGGCAACCAGTAGCGTTACGTTACTTACATATATATATACACACACATATTGTATGTATTTATGTGTGTATTCAATAATATATATATATATATACGTATTTATTTATATGTGTGTGAGTGGTTGTGCGCATAAATACAAAAAAAGTTTTACCTGCTAAAATATTAAGTAAAATTTATTGTGGCGTGGGTGGTGATGGTAGTGGTAGTGGTAGTGGTAGTGATAGGGGCAAAATTGAGAATTCATATTGACCATTAAAGTTTAAGCTATTATTTGGGAAATGACAATTTATTTTTCGGATTTGGTCCGACAAACTTTGGCTTAATTTTAATACTCCCCTGTCCGTGGTATTACAATCATTAATAAATTAATAAAAATATGCTAATGATCGTAGTTCTCTAACGAGCAATCGAAACGATTCTGGAGGATCTTCACGATTAAGTATTGTCCCATCAATGATTGCATTACCAAGTGCTTCTTGGCTCGCCATAATATAATTCGTATTATAAGTAAACATCTTTTTATAAAGGGTTATTTGGAAAATAGCTCTTTTAAAAGCTTTTAACTTATTGAACAGTTTTTTTGCTGTTTGATCAGTTAAAAAGTTAATTTAGGTGTTTGATAAATTAGCTTTTTGAAATAATTTTTTGGATCCAAAAAGCTAATTTACCCAGCGTTTTGAAATAGCTTTTTCTGTAAAAAAAAATTGTTATTTCTTATATGCCCTTAGAAATTTATTATGCATTTTGCACAAATAAATATATTTTTATTATTTATTAATTATATTAAGATATTTTATTATATTATAGTTTTATTTTTATAAATTTAAAATAATTAATTTTTATATAAAAATTATTTTAATTGTTAAATATATAAATTTATTAAAATCAACATAAAATAGAAAATATTAATATTAATAATTTCTTTTTATATTAAAATTATATTATATAAGTTTTATACTAAAAATAAATTAAATAAATTAACTTTATTAAAAATTATAAATATAATAAACTAATCCATAATTAACATAATAAATATATACACGAAAAATTTATTATTTTATATTTTACAGCATTTTCAATAGAAAAAACTATTTATATATTTTAATAAAAATATATTATTTTTTAAATCTAACTATAATAAAAATAAATACTTTTAAAATTTTCAATAACTAATAACAAAAAATTTTAAACATTTTAAACTCAAAAGAACATAATTGAATATATTGGAAACAAAAATAAAATAGAAATGTCCTCGATTGTCATTTTACGTATAAACAGATAATATCAAACAGTTCTTTTACCAAACATTTTAATACGAATAGCTAATCGACTCAGCTAGTCAAACCAGCTAATTGAATCAGCTAACAGCTAATTGCCAAACACGCCCAAAATGTGAGCAACACCAAATCCTTCTAGAGCTCAAACATCTATATCTCCTACTCATTGTCCCCTTTGTTTTGCTCTTCCTCTAAAGGATTGTTGTGTAACAAACGCATAATATCTACTGGATTTTATCATCAACTTGATGAATTAGCTTCAAAATATAAGGAGGATTGTTCAAAAGGTTTCCGGTCCTTCTATCAAATATTTTGCTTTTTCCTGGATACACGAGTTAAAATATCTACGGATTCGATGTTTGCTTATTGGCTTCATATCATTAAGAAAATATTAGTTTTTTGGAAACTTCTTGTTCATATCTCTCATCAAAAAGAACTATTCGATAATGTCTGTCTAGCAAACTCCCTGCTAACTTAGCAAGTACAAAGCCGAGGTTCGGAAGCACATGAGACAGGTTAGCAAGCTAAAAAGACTATCGAATAGGAACGGATGGATTGCTACTTCGATAGCACCCCACTTTACAAGAAGCATAGTCGGGAAAGAAGGTGAACGGATAACGGCTAGCAAATAGATGGTTGCCAGGGCCTGAAGCTTGAGCCCGACCTCTCAGTCGTGATAACCATAATATAATAAAATTAATTATAAATTAGAATTAATATTATTAATTAATATAATTAAAAATTTAAATTTAAATTTTTTAAATATAATTAAATTATGTAATTTCTTTTTTAAAATAAAAGTGACATAAAATGTGTGATAGACATAAATGAAAAATATTACATTATATATGTTAAGGACAGAGTATTAAAATAATACTTTTTCCGTCTAGTTAAAAATATACATTAAATTTTAACCCAAAATTTAAGAAATAATAGTATTTTTAATTATAGTGGTATTTAAAAATAGTATTTCCTCTGTCCCACATACCGTGTCTGCTAAACTGTAGACACAGTATTTTAGGAGGGGTGTAATTAATAGATAATTAACAATGTATTAGTGAAAATAATTATCTTATAATATAAATAATTATAAATTAAGATTAAGATAACTAATTAGTTTAATTAAAATTTTTAAAAAATAAATTAAAAATTTTTAAATAAGATTAAAATGTGTAATTATTTAAAAAAAAAAAAAATAACATAGTACGTGAGACGGAGAGAGTCTTAAAATAACTTTGTCCTTATTTTTTACCCTCCTAAATTTGGAGTATATGCAATAAATATAGCACCATTAGCACCCTAAACCCTAAAGATTTATTACTCCCTCCGCAGTCGCATAGTTTTGTAGGTATCAAGTAATTAGTAACTAACACATTGAGAAAAATAATTATAGATTAGGATTAAAATAAATAAATAATTTAATAAAAATAAAAAATATAAATTATGAATTTTAAAATTTAATTAAAGTATATAATTATATTTAAAAAAAAAAACAAATTATATATATATATTTTTATAATGTGGGAACTGCAGCAGCTACACAATGAAAATGGAACCTTCCCATGGAGTATCACTTTTATTAGAGTGTGTTTGTTTGGAGTTTGAATTTTGAGTGAATAGTAAAAATATTGAATTTGAATAGTTGTATGCTGCAATTAAATAATATAAATAAATATTGATATAATATTTTAAATGTAAAATTAATTTTTAATATAATATAAAAAATAAAAAATAAAAAATAGATATTTGATTTAATATATATATATATATATTTTTAAAATAATTTATTTAAAATCCAATGCCAGACAAACACGCCACCCTAAGAGTACCATAAATGAAAAATGGAACCGGACTGAGGGAGAGTAATAATAATAAACCCTAAACCACGCCGGCCCCAACCCCATCGCCGTCTGTTTCCTTCTTCTTCCTCACCTCGTCTGCCTCTTTCATCTCCGGCGACCTTCGTCTGCTGTTTCTTCTCGAACCTTATTAAGCCTTCAAACTGTTTTTTGTTCATTCAAGCAGCGCAGTGCAAAATTGAAGATCCCAAACCAAAACAATGCCCATCAAATGGTAATCTGTTCGACAGGCAGCTGAATGAACTAGAATAAGTTGTTGAATCTTCATTGATTTCGGTTCCAACATTCAATTGGTCATGAATTAATTTACAATTACGCAGGATATTGCACTGGCAGCCAAACCCGGGGACAACCGTCAACACTCAGATCCTTTCGGAAGTGTCGCAGTGCGCTGAGAGCCTCAATGGCGTCAAGGAAGGCCGCTGGAAGTCCACTCTCAGCTTCTACCGAGCCAGTGTTCGAGGTACCTACCCTACCCTGAGTTCTATTGTTCTATTTAGGGCTTTTTTTTTAGCCGATCCGATTTTGGATAATCTTTCGAGCACAACAACAGTATCATGATGCTATGAGATGAATTTATTTTCTGTTATCTTTGGTTAGCAATTAGTACAGCCGCCATTTCTGTGGTGCTATGAATTTTGTTCATATGTTGATTTACAGTAGGGGAACACCTTTCTTTTAGTTCACAAGAAACTCCATTAATTTTCGTCTCATAAATAACACAACTCAGGGTTTAGGAATTTTGATCCCATTATTTACTCTCTAAATTATACATTTTTCCATTGATCATAGCAGGCTGAAAAGAATTGGGACTAAAATGATTGAAACTGGCTGTATATTGCAGATACATTTCAATTATAGCACTAAATTGACTACTTATTGTTCTAACCTAATCACTTGTTTGCTTTGAATTACTAAAGCTCTGTGATCAATCCTATATCCTATCCCATCAAAGATGCGGAATACGATAATTCGTCAAACTATGATTACAAATAATCCTACCATTTTGGTAAACACATAAATATAAATACTTCATGTGAGCTAAAAAGTGGAATTTTGTTTGCAACCTAAACATTGTTTTGTTTTATGTTGATTGTAAGACCAAGCAGTTGGGAACGATTTTCCTCGTGATTTTGTGGGGATACTTCTTGGGGATCATCCCAGTAAATATTTCTTGGTGATTAGAGGTCAACGACTTGTGGTGGAAGCTGATTTAAGTATTCAGATGATAATGGAAAAGCTGCAATCCTATAAGACACGGTTTGCTCTAAGCTTTGAGGTTAGTGGTTTTAACGTGCTTTTCTTTTCTGTTCTTTCTTTTTTAAAAAAAAAAATTTGCAATGGATTTTTATGAAATAAAATTGGTTTGTTCACTTTCAGTACTCCCCCCCCCCCTCCTTTTTTTTTAAAAAAATATATATTTTAGTTATATTTCTGTAGTTATTTGGTATCCCATCTGATGTATAAAAAGGATGGTAACTGAAACTGTGGTTGCTAGATGTTGATTTTGTACATGATAGGATGTTTTAATTTAATTCAGGGGAACCAACACCAACTTGGCGACTTTCAACTGCGAGTGGGGAAGGTGGTTCCGATGCACTCTGAAAGTTTGAGGGGCATAGTAATGGAGGTAACACCATTATTGTACTCTTTGGTGCTAATTATGTATGCTAGTGCTGGATAAAGGAATAAACAAAAATAAAATAAAATAGACAAATGTGCTCGTTGAAATTATAGATTCTTTAGAAGAAGTTGGTAGTTGTTTACTTCGTTGATTATTTTTATGGTCCACTAAATACAATAAAGCCTAGATAGGGGTTTAGCTTTTTATTTGCTGGAGGAATTAAATGATTCATTTCAATGTAAACTTAAGTTTTTATGTTAGATAGTCGTTTAATTTGTTGCGCTCGAATCCTCGTTGTCACCCGTTACTGTCATATACAGTTATAAACTAGGAAAAAGAGAGGAACTAAAATTTGGAAAGAATCCTACCTACACACATGGGAGTGTGCCAGGGAATTAAATACGAGTGTGTAAACAAATGTAATTGAAATGATTTTCTCCTGATTAACTATCTTCGTCCAAAATGTGTTTTTGTTTTGTTTACTTTTAGCGCGGTTGTTTAGGTGCTATGAGTTTGATAGTTTTTTACGGTTTGTCCTTGCTTTTTATTTGAAATGATTTTATAAATTGCACATATAGGGATAAAAGATGGGAAAAAATGGATATAAATATGAATAAAAGTTACAAATATTTTGGGACGTCCCAAATTAGACATAATAGCAATTACATGAGGATGAGGTAGTATAAGCTTTTGGGTGAGATGACTATATACATATATATTTAAAATGATTCCTCCCCTGGTTAATATTTAATAGTCTTTTGGGTGAGACGATCATTTGAGAGTATTAAGTGGTTTGTTGTTGTGGCATTTGAAAGAAGGTAGTTTGAAACTTTTAACTGTGCCTATGGAAATCAGTGATATTCCTAGATTTAAAAAAAATGGTGTTTGAAAGTTCTGTTACAAGTCGAAAATTTGTTCCCAACTAAATTTTGGACCATAAGTTTTAGTTTTGATTACAAGACCTATAATCAATGATGAAGATGATACCTTTACTTATCTTGGTTATGTATAATTCATGAATTGCAACAGTTGTAATGATATTCGAGGAATGGTGCTCCACTTAGTATAACAATGCACATGGCCTTTTGTATGAAAAAACTGTGGTGGAAATTTGCATTCTAGTACCACTTTTGGAACAAACTAGCATAATAAATTCCCAAGTGATAGTCTCTCCGAGAAAAATATCTATCTGACTTTTTTTTTTTTTGCAAAGATTAAAAACAATATTCAGTCCCACTTACCACGTCCATGTTTCCGTTTCCGTTTTCTTCCGTTCATTTGTTTTGTCACTTTTCTTTTTTGAAAAAGAATTATACTCCCTTCGTCCCAAACACTCTGCAACATTTTCTTTTTTGTTTATCCCAAACTCACTGCAACATTTTCAAATTTAGAAATAATTAATATACACTTCACTTTATCCCAACATTACTGAAATAAAAAAAAAAATAATAATCATTTATCTCTCCAATCACGTCACTTAATATCCAAATTATCTCAAATTACCGTACTTAATACCCTCCACCTAAATTCCCGTGCTAAACACAAATGTTGTACGGTGTTTGGAACGGAGGGAGTACATTTTAATCTTATTTTAAAAATAAAAGTTAATTTTTTTTATAATTTTAATTGTATTAATTATCTTTATCTTAATCTATAACTATTTTATTATACGAACAATTCTTTCTGCTAATACATTCTTAATTATTTACTAATTATACCCTTCTTAAATTCTCATGTCTACAATAAAGTGGACATACTAGTCAGGACGAAGGGAGTAATATTTATTGTATAAAAAGTAATTGTATTAGATGAAAAGATAAAGATGTCCTTATTTATGCTTTTTAAAAATACAATAAAATAAAATATTGAGTAATATTGTTGTAAGGATATTATTTATGAGATGAAAAAGAAAAAGAAATCGATACATTTGTGACGGATGACCAAATAAGATAACAAATATTTTCTCTTGGATGGAGTGAGTATTTGTTAACATGTTGGTTTCTTAGTCTTCTTCGGTTTCTTGATTATAGCTTTCAAAAGGAAAGTGAAAATTCTTCAAGTGCCTAGATGAAATCAGTTTGCTGTTTAATTTTGTCATGATAAAACAATAACTGTCGGGTTTTCTTGGAATACTATCTATTAGTTGCTGCATAATTAGCTATGACAAGACTGTTTCTGGTATTTCTGCGATCTCTAAAACAGAAGTTTGTGTTTTGATTCGACTTTAGCTTTGCATTTTAACCGTATTTATAGATAGAGAACTGTCGAATGGTGAAGATCTTGATTTGTGTTGCAGATGGAGTATATACCGATTTCATCGTGGGAAAAATCACATCAAATAATGGGGGAGTTCTTCGATCTGTGGCAGGAAGCTCTGTCGAAAAGATCATTGCCGGGTCATTTTGTGCACGTGGAACCCAATTTTGGGGAGTACGGTCTGTCGGACCAGTATAGCCTACAACATACGGCAGTTCAATATGCAAGCATTACAGCTCAAATGATAGCCACATCGCAGTCGCTACAGGCTACTCGAACTTAGACTGACTGATCGATCGATCTTTGTTATTGTTACTGATCGATCTTTGTTATCGATCTCTATCTGTGATTGTAGTTGTACATACTAATGTGCTACTTTTGCACTTCTGCCTGAAAATGTCAATTACAGTGCTTGAAGTGTATGAGTTTATCTTGATGTGTATTCTTTTTTTTTTTTTTTTTTTTTTTTTGTCTTTAAATATAGAATTATATACTCCGGCTGTCTTAACTCAAAGTACCATTCTTATTATTTTTGTCCATTTTATTCCAAGTATCTTGTTTTTTATTTTTTTATTTTTTTTAATAATAAAAGTAATCATATACTAATATCAAAATATTTTTAATAAAAATGTCCAAATTTCTTACAAATTTTCGCTAATTAATAAAATACTAAAATACTACTCCCTTGCTCTCTCCGTCCGCTCTAAGATCAATATAATTGTACTTAACATTAACATTAGTATTATAAGACACTAATTGAAGTATTTTTATAATTTTTTTTTTAAATTTTGTACTAAATTTTAATATAAAATTAATATTTAAAGATTAAAAATGAGACCTTAGAACAGAGGTAAAATTATTTCTTAATTTATTACAAAATTCTAAAAGATCCCTTGAACCGACAGAGAGAGTATACTCTTTCTTTCAAGAGCAACTTTCACATAGCTCACGATTTTCATATTCAATTTCTTATTTATACTCCATACAAATTGTAAGGAATAAATAGGGTGATGAGAGGAAAAATTATATGGATATGGATTAATAAAGAAAACAACTTTAAGAAGTTGAAAATTTTAAGAGAATTAATCTTATTAAAAATTATATATATTTAAAATAACAAAATAGACTTGCTAAAATGATTCAAATTAAAATTATCAATTTTGATTTTTATATTTACATTTAAACTTTGCCTATCTTATTGATATTATTATAATAAAATATTCCAATGAATTGTCGAATACACCAAAATTATTAAAAGATTTCTCTAAAATCCAATAAGCTCTATATTCGATACAGCCGCCTAAGATTCTTATGTGGTTGTGACATGAATAATACCAACACATCACAAACTTGAGATTCTTGTTTGTTCAACTAAAATTTCAAGAGAAGACGACCTGCCTAATTTCCTCTTCTATGCTCTGTATTTAAAAAAATTCATACCTTTCTCTCAATCGATAACTTGCGCCGGATTTCATCCTTTATCTCTTCTGGCGTAGTCTTTTCTGTCGACATGAGCTGATGCCCTTACTCATCAACTCCCAAAACAGCTTTAACAATGAAAGACACTCGACTCTATTTGGGGCGCCTCAGATATTGAATCATCGTCTGCTTCAAAATGCACAACATAGAAGAATTGAAGTCTATTGCGAATATTTTACATATGGAAACACAACCCTTCGAAACATACAAAAAAGTCCAATAGAAGTGTGAATTGCATATCAATAAAAACGTAACACAATTGGGAGAAGGAAGGAAGACATGGAAGTGGATTGGCATTTTACCGGCGAAAATCAGAACAGGTAAAATTAAAATAATAATAAAATTAAGTGATAATGTAAGTCGCATTGAAAACTTACATTTTTTTTGAAAGGGGATTTTTATTCGAACATTTATTCTTTCATGAGGATTATTCATAGCAAATTGCATAATTTTCAAGAAACAAATCACAGTCACAGCAAATGATTCAAGAAGTCATTATATTAGTATTATACTAATAAGTATTTTTGCTATTTTTACTTGATTTGTATTAAGTTTTGATATAATAATTAATATTCAAATATCAACACACAAAATAAATGTGGTCTTTAGAGCCGGACTAATGTAGTATTTGTTATTGAAGTTCGCTAACCTTCTTGTAGATAGAAATGCATTGTAAACGAGCGGCTGTCTCCTGTTTTAAAAGAAGCATAAATGCATTAAAATAGATAATGAAACCAATCAAGCGAACAAGTATGTTAAATAACGAAACATGCATATTATTTGTGAATGCCCTAAACAGTCAAATGTGTCTATTGTTAGCGGACAAAGAGAATACTAAGTATCACTGAGAATGAAATATGGCAGACTATTCAATTTTAGAATGCTTAGACACAAATAGAGCACAATTCGGGTGTGTTCATTTATAAAATTTCATTAAACTCCTACAATTCATAAAAAAGATTTCCCCCAAAAAATCAAATCAAACATTCACTTGTTATATTATATTAAAAATTAATTTTACGTTCAAAACATCACATCAATACTTATTTATATCGCATCATACAACTATTCATATTCAAAATTTTTACTATTCAAATCTCAAACTAAAATCCAATACTCCAAACAAACACACACCCTTACTAGTATAAGCATTGCTGATCGAGCCCCTTTCCTTGTTTTCCCGGGTGCACGATTGGGGAACGAGTAAGGGATTGTTGAGCTACCTGTGGAAATCCACTCAAAGTAAAACGAAATTTCATATTGATTTAACACAGCCATACATCTTAAATAATGAACTGACAGAATCACCGAGAATATCAAGGATAATAATGTCTGAAATGTAGTAATTGGCAGTAAAAGGTAGATTATCAAGTGGTTGAAATTAGTTAAAATGATCTGCAAGCAAAAAGTGGAAGATGAATCTAGGTAACACGAACAAACCAAGTTTTTCAAATCCACACAATTGATTATATTGTGTAAGTTAGCATTTCAACTTTGCCTAGATAAGATTTCCTCATGTCTCTAGTCATGTTTACGCATGTACAATTTGAACCAGAGGTAATAACTGATGACTAAAAGATTCGGATAATCTAACCTTACTGAATTTGTGTAACAGATATTTGGCAATGTCAATTTCAGCCATAGCCCAAGAAGTGTTGGTTTTGGAAGGAAAAGTCCATTCGCTGCATTCTATCAACAGCAGAACCAGTTGGTCAGACAATATTCTTCCAGGAAGACAGAGAAACACTAAAGGGAACAGCAACAATTCCGAAGAACAACGGGTTAATCGAGACTACTTAAAAATAACAGTTTTAGGGAGGCAAATGGGAAGAAATAAAAAAATTTTGGTCACACACTTGGAAGCCTCATAGAGGCAGCAACAAAACACTTCTAGCTGAATGCGATCAACATGAAGCAAGCTTTTTCGAGCATCAAGGCATCTGCTCAATGAACAGTAAAATTGTAAACGTTAATTCTTCAATCATATCGACGTAATTTTATTCTTCATCGAGAGTGGCATACCTTTCTAGTGCTGGGATGGCCAATGCAAGCCGTTCAGCTGCAACAACTGTGTCCAAAGATTTACACCCCTGCTTCGAAATATAGGTTTTAGATGTACTGTTTCTTAGAAAAATTATTTATTTTATAGATTGCATAGTGTGAAACAAAATCTAGAACACAAACAAATACACACAAAAGAAATCGAAAACACACAACCATAAAGAATACAGATAATAAGTCGCTAAGACACTAACCTCGATTCACAATACTTTTCCTTCTCTTTATGAGCCCATTCATCAAATTAATGTACGAGGACTTATCCAAAGCAAGACCCTTCTCCGTATGTTCGAAAAAGATAAGCATGGCATCTTTGTACCTTCCCTCAGCACAAAGCTGATTGATTTGTACAGATTTAGTGGAACTCGATTCCGACTCCTCAGAAGGATTAGAAGCAATGTTTTGGTCATCATCAATCTTCTTTAAAAATCGACTTACTTTACCACTCTCTAACATTTTAGATAAAAGCTCGTCAGCTTCCTGAGTTCTCCCGGCATCATTAAGAGCACCAAGAATGGCATTGAATGTATAATTATCGGGACCCAATTTCTTTTCTTCCATTTCAGTAACAAGAGCCAAAGCTTCCTCCAGCCTCTTCTCTTTACACAAAGCCGCGATTAATGTATTGTACGTCACCGTATCAAGACTTTTCCCTCTTGAAACCCATGAATCGAAGAGTTTCATAGCTTTTTCAAGCATCCCTTCCTTGCACAAGCCTCGAAGAAGAATGTTGCAAGTGTAGGTATCAGGTTTGAACGACTTTTCAACCATTTGGTTATGAAACTGAAATGCTTTATCCAAATTCCCCTCCCAACAATAGCCGTGTATAATGGTGTTGTAAGTGGTCTCGTCGGGAACTAACCCGTTCTCTAAAAGCTCATTCAACTTGTCGATTGCTTCTTCCGTCCTACGCAGCTTGCAAAGTCCGGAAATCATTGAGTTATACGTGACAACACTAGGAACTACCTCTCTTTCTTTCATTTCATCCCAAATCTTCATAGCTCGGCCTGCATTTTCTTCTTTTAAATACCCGACCATAACCGTACCATAACTTACTTCATCCAAAATGTAGCCTCTCTTATTCGCAGAAGTCAGCAACTCATACGCGTCCGCAAGCTTTTTCTCCTGACATAGATTCCGTAGAGCAGTGTTAAGCGTCACCGTATCCATTTTCAAACCTTTGCTACCCATCTGAGCCATCGTTTTAAAAGCCTTCGCCAAATCGCCCGATTTACAAAACCCACTTATCAACGTATTGTAGGTGACACAACTCGGAGAATTTCCTGCTTCTTCCATCCTCGTAACGATCTCACACGCTTCGTTCATCCTCCCTTCTTTGCAATACCACTTGATCAAGATGTTGTATGTAACCTCGTTCGGTTCCACTCCTTTCTCCTTCATTTCATCGACCAATTTGAGCGCCTCTGAACTTATTCGAGCTTCAAAGTAACCATTCACCAAAGTGTTGTACGTAATCACGTCAGGCGATATCTTCAACTCCTCCATCTCAATCCTCACCCTATTTGCCTCATCGATCCTCTTCGCATTACAGAACCCGTTAATCAGCGTATTATATGTCCAAACATCCGGCAACAAATTATCACGAGTCATCAATTCGATAATGTTAGCAGCATCCTTCAAAAACCCCATCTTACAATAACCATCAACCAAAATATTATACGTATTCTTATTCGGAAAAAGTCCCTTCCCCTTCATTTCGATCAACAATTCTCTAATGTCGAGCAACCTCCCCTTCTTACACAATGCATCCAATATTGTGTTGTAACTCACATTATCAGGCTTACATTTGTACTCATCCTCCATTTTTCTCAAAAACTCCATGGCTTCCTTAAGCTTAAATTCTAAACAGTATCCACTAATCAAAATGTTACAAGTAACTACAGTGGGAGGAACACCAAGCTTAATTGCATCAGCGAATAATTCTCTGCAAAAACGTGTAGAGTGAGAAGAAGGGTATTTCCTTACCAACGAACTCAGCAAAATGTTGAGAATCAGCAAATTGGGGAGAATCTTATGGCGCTTCATTTTTTTGAAAATCTGGACGGCGTGGTGGGGCAATCCGGACCGGCAGTAGGCGGCGATACACGTGTTCATAAGAGCATTCGTCGGCAGCGGCAGCGGAGGCGCTGGGTGGAGGAGGTAGCGGTGGAGGTGGTGGTTGGGGTGTTCCGATCGAATTTGGGATTGTAGTATGTTTCTGGCATCGCTGAATTTATGGTGGGAGATGAGGGAAGAGAGGACGGCGAGGAGGGCGGGGAGGGGTAGAGGGATTAAGGAATTGAAATTGGAGTGAGTCTGAGCCCAATTGAGGAAGGAGACGACGGCGTTGGGGTGGCGGCGGAGGGCCGGGGAGGAGAGGACGGAGTGGATGATTGGCTTGTTCAGGTGGGGGAGGTAGCGAGAGAGGGCGGCGGAGGTAAAGCCTTTCTGGAGGAGACTGGTGATGGTGGAGACGAGCTGCGCGTCGTTTAACGGCGGCGGCGGCGGTTCGGCGGTGGCGGAGGGCATTGCACGTGATTTGATTTTGCTAGAAGAAAGAAGACGACGGCGTTGGGGTTTGGCCGGCGTGGTTTAGGGTTTTAATTGGTTTAGCTGTGGTTGTTTGGTTCAAATTTTTTTTTTAAAATATTAATATTATTCTAAATTTATTACAAAATTTTTATTTATATATTTTTAAAAAAATAAATATATTTATATACGTTAAAAATTACTATTTATTTTTTAAAATAATTTATATTCCTAATCATAAATAAATATTTATTTATTCTTATTTATATTATATAAAATTTTATTATTATAAAATAATATTCATATTGTTTGTTGGTTGATTTTTGTTTATAGATAAATAAATAAATGATAGGTATCCTAATAATTTAAACTTTTAGTTGAGTCCATTATTTATATTATCTAACACTATTATTAGAATCATGGTACCATATTTATTATTTTTGTATGAATTTTCGAAAACTATCATCTCGAGAGTATTGGATTAGTTCACTTTTATGTGGATTATTTTTTAACCTAATTTTTAAGTCCACTTGTAAGTCATATTAGGGGAAGGGGCGGCACATCATAACAAGCCTTAGATCAATTTAGTACACAAAATATCGATGAGCCAGCAACACACTGCCAGTCTCAGAGAATTGATGATTGGCTTCGTCGACCGTTGGATCAGAGTGAAATTTGAACACAAGGTTCGTACACTCTGTTCTTGGTTTTTACCCGTTGAATCGTTGTTTGGAGGTCTGTAGCTCGAGTTATTTGAGGCAGACGGTAACAATTATTTTTGAGGAATAATTTAGTTGTTTTCTAGTTATTTTGTGTTGTTACTTTGTTTGATTAGTTTGGAATTGTTGGTGCACTATTTGGTGCTATAGCTTGGAACACTCGTCTACCTTGATTTGATTATAGTAGAGTCGTCTCATTGGTTTGGACGACCTGTGGTTTTTTCTTTCGATTTGAAGGGTTTTTCACGTTAAAATTTTTGTGTCTCTTACATTGTTAAATTATTATCTTTATTCGATATTATTCCTCCTAATTGATTCTTGCAAGGTTGGATTGGTTTAATCCTATCACATGGGAGTGTTAAATATATCACACATTGAAAAAAATGTGGGAACTCCCTTGACTTATAAAGATGATCTACCTATCACCGATTGATTTTTAGGTTGGAAGCCCAACTCCCATCTTAACATGATATCAATGCCTTATTGAATCTGATTCATTATTAGAGATGGTGTGGTGTTTAGGCAACGAGTTTCATAAGATATTGATGTGGTATAAAGAGAATATGTTTATCATTTTTTATTTTGTTTTTATAATTTGGGATTCGTAGTCATTACTCGAAAGTGCACACTAGATAAAGAAAAATTTGTGACGGTAAAAAAGATTGATGGCAAGTTGTCTTTTTTCTAAAAAAAAAAAAAGAAAAGAAAAAAAAAAAAGGGAGCAATTATTTGAATAATAAAAAAATTCCAAACATTTTTTTATCCTATAACATAGACAAATCAAATTAAAGGAATAGAAAAAAGAGTGGAACATTTGTTGATAAATTTACTTGATTGAGCTATCTATTATTGTTGTAGATCTAATAAATAGTGAAAATATTATAGAGAATATATTTGAATGTTTATATCGACTTTGCATTTTTTTAAATCTTTTATAGTTATATATTATTTTTCAATGATATTTTTAGGCAATTATGTAGTGTTTCTTTGAAGTTTTATTTTCAATTTAAATTATTTGAATTATGTTTTGTTTGATATTCTCTTATAAAGTATCACATTATATATTATTTCATTATAAAAATTAAATCAAATATTCTAAAAAACACATATATTAACATTCATACAAATAAATCCAAATGAGTGAAAATTGCATAGTGCTATCAAAATATGTCTATTCATTGCTATTGAATTTCATTTTATAAATTTCTTTTCTATTTAAAAAAATTAATCATGCATTAATACAAAAATATTTTTAAATTTTTATTTAAATTACAAATATATTATATCATCTTTTACTGTCAGCTCTCTTATTATCTTTATCATTAGTTTTTCAGTTTTTACTATAATAACTAGTTACCATTCTCATTACTTTTTTAAAAAAATACAATTATTCACAATTCTTGATTATCTTCAACACAAATTAAAACAAAAAATAAATAAATTTAATTCAAAAAATTTTAAAATTAACAGAAATTATCTAATATATATGTTAATTTATTCGAATAATTTCAATTTTTAAAACGGTAAATTATATGTTTCAAAATATTAAAATTTATATAGATTAAAATTTAAAATTTTAACATAAAATTATATAAAAATATTATTAGACAATAAAAATATACAAGAAAATATATAAATAAATAATTTATATATATTATGCAATAAATATATATAAAAACAAAAAAAATTAGTGTGGATCCTATAAAATAGTAAAAAGGTAATGTGTTGAAGGTGATTACTATAACTAATCATAAAAAAATAATATAAATATTTAATTGGATATAATAAGAAAAATAGAAGAGATAACTAAATAGAGGTAATTTCTGTAACTGATGCTCTCGTTAAGTATCCATAAAATCAAAAAGTAAAACTGTCAAAACCTCTTACATATTTTCATCTATTTCAATTGGGATGGACGAAGTATATTTATTGGAAAAATTGTTCTTTTAGTCCACAATCGACTTCTTATCATTTTATCCCGTAATTAGAGTGTATATAAAAATTGTTTCGTAAAAATTTTTTTTTGGCTTAACTGGTCATCCGACGCTGAAGATGTGCATGTAATACCCCCGCATGGCGTGCCGGAGCACACGTGTCCACCAGCTAGACACCATCTTACGGACACAAGATCTTTTTAATTTTTTTTTTTATGAAATAGATAATGTTAAATTTCATCAAAATTTAAAAATTTTTTAGGCGAAACTGTGCTCCAGTGTTTCACACATATGTCATATGCACATCTCTACGAATTTCTATACTGTTTCAGTTATGAGACTGAAATGATAAATTAATCGGACTAAAAAAAATAATTTTTTCATATTTGTTTGTCGTGTATATATATATATTACATTAATGTAAAATACAGCCTTCATTCCAACTGGAAGTGGGGTAGAATATTTTCTGATAAAAATGGTCCCATATCAGCTACACTATCCACCCCCCCCCCCTCCCCCCCCCCCCCCCCCCCCCCCCCCCAAATAATTGACCCAATCACCATATAGGAACTCATCAAAGAATTCATTGATTTTTTCAGGAGGGACTATATTAAAATTTAGTAACAATCCCCCCTCAAGGAAATATATACATACATATATATATATAACAAAAAAAAAAAAAAGAAAAAGGCTTACATCAAACTTAAATTGACATTCCAATTTAGAAAACTACTGCAGACAAACCAAAGGAGAATTTGAGGAGAATATATAAAAAGGCTAAATGGCTTTCCACACAGAGACAAAATTAAGAGCAGCAGAAACAAAAAAGAAAGATAAAATTGAAAAGAAAAAAGAATCACTTTTTTGTAGCCTACAAAGAAGTTATATACAAAAAGGATGGGTTCATGATTTGATGTATCAAACACAAAATTCATTCCCTGATTTATCACAAAATAAATCAAGCATGGACCACTATTTTAAAAAAATAAAATAAAATTTACTTCTTTTTTAGTGTAAGTAATTGTGACTGATCTCTCTACTGGTGTTAGCCATAAGGGGTGAAAATAGTTAGATTTATCTACAAACTAAAAGTGCATCCACAGCACAAAAAGGGCCCCTGCAAGTGAGTGAAGTTGATCAAATGATAAAAGTTCTATTGACACTAATGTTTATTTGGTATGGTTGTGAAGGTGAGCTTTCAGAGATATATATGATATATACATGCCCAAGAAAATCCATTTTCATTACAAAGTTGAGATTTTTCTTGGTGGTTCTACACTTCTACTTCTACTCAACTTTATCTATCTATATATATACAGATACAAAGTGTCTAAATTCATGGGGTTAGTAGAGAGCCTAGAATGGATGCAGAATGTGGGGAAGAAACAGTGCTGGAGAATAAGAGCAGCAATTAAGAAGACAGTAAGGAAAAGAAGCAAGCATCACTGCAAATTCCAGTATGATCCCTATAGCTATGCTCTCAATTTTGATGATGCTTCACACCAAGAAATCAGAGGGGAAGAAACAGGTTTTCAGAGAGTGAGATTTCAGAAATGTTCTGAAAGGATCATTTGGGTTTATGTTGTCTTGGTAGAATGAGTTCAGTTCTTGGTAAAGTATGGAAGGATAAGCTAAGGGTATCATCACTACGGGGGGTGGGGGTGGGTGGGGTTGGTTATGCAAGAATCATTCCTAAATTACTGTTACTGATTTTGTTATTTTTCAATGCATATGGAATGTTGAGTAGTTTCATATGGGCAGCTACTAGCCAGGGAATTTTTATGCATTTTTATTTGGCAAAATTGTCTATAACTTTCCTCTAATTTTGAAACTCAGCGTAAATTTCTCCTATACTTTAAAAATTACATAACTCCACCTTATACTTTAAACATTGTTGCATGAAATCTCTTGCCATCATCACACAAAATGTAAAAAGAAGTTTCATACAATATTTTTTAAAATATAAAAATCACTATGCAATTTTGAAAGCATTGGATGATTAATTTAGAGTTTCGAAATTACAAGAGAATTAAGGCTTTCGAATCACTATAGAACTTGCAAAAGGTCTAAATCCAGACAACCTTTAAGGCTATTATGAGCAGCTACTAACACGGGAATTATTACCCATTTTTATTTTGACCTAGAATATGAACATAATTCCACAATTGGGATCACTATAGAACTTGCAAAATGTCTAAAACCAGACAACAGTAGTTAAGGCAATTATAAGATCCTCTAAATCATCAATCATCTTAGCAGTAAGAATTTAGAGTACTGACCTTTGATCTGCATTTCATTCACTTTTTGCCTCTCAAACAAACAACAGGTTCTTCAGCAATCTTCTAAAGTGTGATTCGAGGAAAACTAACGTCGACAAAGAGGGTCTGCTGCTCCCACACCAGCAGCTTCAATAAATGTGGAATCACAGGATCTGTTCGAAATTATGAATATAATACTGATAAGTGAACAAGGGCTGGATCAACAATTTTTCTCATAACAGCATGAACTAACCATTTTTGTCGTCTCCTTGTGCAAGAATGGCTAAACTCAGCTCATAAGCAAGATTACGAACACGGGATGTGTCGAACAGTTCACTAACAGGAGAATCTTCTACGTCGTCGAAAGCTAACAGTGCCATAGTCTGCTCATACTCTTTCACAAGGTCTGCCTAAAGATCAAAATATTAACATTACAATAAATCTTATGCTCCCAAGGAAAGAAGAAGTTTCTATACATAGTTAATAATAAGATTCATATGTTAAGAGGTAGAAATGATATCATAACAAGGCCGGACAAGAATCGTTGTGCTACGCTGAAACTCACATTGTTCTCTACTAGAGGAACAAATTCTCTCACTGAAAGATCTATAGCCTCTTCTATGCTTCCATCACGCAAGTATTCGATAAAGTGTTGCTGATGGAACTTAAACAAAAGAAAGCGATTTTTGTCCATGAACTGCATACAGAACAGAGAAAAATGTGGTACATTAGGAAATACAATAAATTCAAGATCAGACATACTGTAACTATATTAAATCCAGAGTATAATTCGAAAAATTTAAGATAATCATCAGCAACAATGATGTGACAAAATGATTTGAAATGATCATACATCACTTTCACAATTGCGGGTCAGCTCAATAATAGCCCTTGTAAACCTGCGACTTTGAACACTGTGGCTTACTGAAACAGAAAGAGAGAAAATTGTAGCATCTACAGGCGCTATCGTCCATTAAGGATAACAAATTTGTGAAGTAATGCACAGATAAATAAATTGTTAAAATACCAGAGTACAATGTAATGATATATTCAAAAAGGATACGTTCAGTGTTGGATTCTCGTGCAAATGCTTCAGCAGCCTCTACACGACCCGTAGCAATCAGATATTTCATAACCGAGTCATTCATTTCATCAGTTGATACTCTGGTCTCTCTGAGTCGACGCTCCCAGTCTGGTGAACTTATCACTCTCTTAAGGAACATTAGTCCTCTAGTCGCCTGCAACCAAAAGATTTCGCAAATGCATAATTGCTGATAAAATTCGGATTACCAATGCTACAACGAGGATCACATCATCTCTGTCAAGAAATCGAAGTTATTCATCAATTAAATTAAACGAGTAGAGTAGACACCGAAATCTACAAATATCAACTAAATTAAACGAAAAGAGTACACACCAGCGCTAATATCATTCCAGGTAAATCCGCAATCATCAATCTCAAACATAATTGCATAACCACACCACGCACATGTTTCCTCTGAATCGAAGTAATACAAGAGCAGCACAGATTGAACGATAGGATTCGTATACAATAATTTATTATTTTATATATGAGAAAGTCAACAAAATACGGTTGGTTGAGGTTCCCTCCTATCAAAATTCGCGGTGTTTACGTACAAGAAGGCGGGACTGCATGCTTCGAATCAACAAGAGCTCGATCTAATGAAAATTCCGAACAGAAAGAAAATCGAAATTCAGCACTAACCATGGAATCGAAAAACAGTTACCAGTCGCCTTAGCTCTCGTCCTCTGAAATCGGTTTGCTCACTCCTGTAAGCTTTTAGGCGGGAATCACTGAAGCAGACACCTCAGGGCCGTTCTTATAATTATATACTCCCGTCCACTAATAACTAACTTTTTCATCTTTTGCAAATTAAGATATATGTATAAATATACTTCTTCCCAAGGACTATAATGTTAATTGGACTGGACTTGGACGAGTATTGACATTATACGGATAGTTGATAAAAAATATAGATTATTATTATTATTATTTTTTTTTATCCGAATTGATAATTATCAACTATCCGTATCTCTTTATCCATATTTGAGTGTATTCGCGTAAAAAGTAGTGACAATTATGTAATAAAAATGAAAAAGTAAGAATAATTTTACATGAAAATAAGAAATAATAAATAAGACTATTGTATTGGACGGATATAGTATAATATAATAAAAAGTAAATAATTCTATTTTATGCAGTAATGTAAAAACTAAAATAATAGATATTTTAGTATTTAATTTAAAGGTAATTTTATTAAAAAGAAAAAAATATAGTATAATTACATTGGACCAAAAGAGTATTATTTTCTAGTATGTCCCTAACAATTTATTAATTTATTTTTTTTATAGTAATTATAGTATCAAATCTAACCGTATAAATACCGTTTCAAAGCTCATTATATTTTATTATTTACCAAATTATATTCCTTCGAGACAATCCAATTAAATATATTTATTTTAAATACTTTGTCAATTTCATTTTAATTGACATATTTTGTTTGTGGCATGGTATCTAAAGTAGTAGAGTTATAATAGTGATTCATGATAGTCGCACTGTTCTCTTATCTATATATCTGTTTATTTTTTTCACGAAATTTTAGAAATATTAATATTATATTGGAGTGTGATATAAATAAAATAAAAAAACTAAAATAATTTTATTAGTATCGTGTCATACAAAAGTAATGATATTTGTATAATATAATATATTGTACATTGTAAGCATTTTTAATGTCAGTAGAAAATACAGTTATTAAAAGAAATGAATACTTTTTTACATAGACTCACCAAAATAGGAAAATGGATAGATGATTAAGGGACGAGGGAATATTAGTTTATTTAATTTTTATTTTTATTTGAGTAATGATATTGATATTTTTAAATTAAAAATTAATATATATAATAAAAAATTTAAAATATGTATTTTAAATATTTTATAATCTATATCTCAATAAAATATCTACTATAAATATCAATTTATAGAGAATAAAATTTTATATAATAAATTAAATAAAAATAATTTTATTTATTTATAATTAACCAATTTTATATAAATCAGTTTATGTTAATTAAAAATAAATAAAATTTTGTTTATATAAAATTTTATTTTATATACAATAATATCCCTATTATATATATATATATATTTTATTGAAATATAATATTAAAAAGATTTAAATACATATTCTAAATTTTTATATCGCTAACCAAATGCTCTATGTAAAGTAAAATAAGACCGATAAAATGAAAAAAAAAAATTAGTTAAAATGGGACGGAGCAAATACATTATAGTAATATTAATTTTATTTAAAATATTTAAAGGTAATATTTTAAATTTAAATTTGATTATACTCAAAACATATAAATTCAAAATTGAATAGAACGCAAATTACAAACATCCAATATTAAAATTAGAATGAAATGTCCTAAATCTCATGGTTGTTTTGTTCAAAGGATTAGATTTCATGATATTTGAATTTTAAAATCTCATAAAAATTATGTTTGATTAAAAAAATGAGTATGAATTTTAAAATAATAAAATTTAAAAAAGGACTCAAAATTCTACAAATAAATATATACATATTTTTTTTTTAATAAATACCAATGCTACTTTTAAATTTCATTTTTGAAATTTAAAAGAAATAATATTATATATTATAAATTATTTAGATAAAATAAAAATTAAATAATTTTAAATATTATATATTTAAATTATATATTTAACATAATAAATATTCTTCCATCTTACACACTGTATTACACAAATGTCATTACTTTTATATTACACAATAACATTTTCGTCATTGTCACTACAACCCATTATAACACTAATATTAAAAAATTACGTCCAAAAAATAAACAACAAACTTGCATCGAAACAAAAAAGATATAATAAATTTAATCGTATATATTTCTATATATATGATTAGATTTATTTTATTTTAAATTTATATAATTTTTATTGGATGTCTTAAATATAATTTCACCGAACATAAGCATAAGATATAAATTCAAAATCTTAAGTATAATAAATCTAATAATATATAAATCAATCCAAACAAAAAAAACAATGTACATAAACCAAAATAAACCGAACAGCCGTCACACTCAAATTTAGATCCCACGGTTTCCTTGTGGAATAAAAATTGGATGCGCTATTCTGTCTCTTCTCGTCGTTAGGGTTTACAACGCATCTCCTACCGCCGTCGTCGCCGTCGCCGCCGCCGTATCCGCGGCCTCACCGTCTTGTTCTCGATCGTCGGTAACTTTCTCTTTGCCTTTTTTCTATTTTCGAATTATCCCGTAGCTGTTTTCTTCTGCTTTGGTTTGCTATTTTGCACAATATCTGCTTCATCGATCCAACAGACGAGTTCGTTGCGTTTCAAAATTGCTGAAACTTTAATTTAGTTGTTTTTCTGTTTGTTTTTTAGAAGGCTGAATCTATTCACAATCGCTTTTTGAATTTGCCCCTTGAATCCCTAGTTACGGTCGGTATTTAGGAATTATAAAATTCTCTAATCTGGAGATGTAATTTGTCCTATATTTTATTGTGGCGACGTTGTCTGTTTCAATTTGGTTTACAAAGTCGTGAAAAATTTTCGTTTTTATTTTTTAGGCTAAGAAAAGAGAAGTATCTGAAGATGAACGATTATCAAGAGATGGAAAGGTTTGATATGGATAATGACTATGAATATGGTGAGTGGATTGGTGGTGAGTTTTATGGTAAGCTCAGGCAGAAACGTGCTCCCCAGACCAAAGATGATGTTCTTTATGGTGTGTTCGCCGAGGGCGACAGCGACTCGGACTCATATGGTGGGCTGGGCTCGAAGAAGAAGAGAAGAAAAGATGCTGGGAAGAAGATAATTGACTATACCAAGCCAGTCAGTTTTATTTCGACTGGTTCTGTTTTGCCAAATCGGGAGATCGATCATAAGTCCAATGAGGATGAAGCAGAAGATGAAGATACCTCCAAACCTGCTGGTTTAGGCGTTGGAGCTTCGGCGGGAATTGGATATGGGGCTACCTCATCCAATGCTGGTATCGAATCAAAATCTTTACCTGATGAAGATGAAAGTTTCTTGCCTTCTGCTTTTGGGAAGAAGATCGAGGAAGGTGCCAGATTGCGACGAGAAAGGGAAAAAGAGAAGTCCATACAGGCCAAAAAAAAGCCGTTTCAAGCTGCTGCTGAGAGAGATTCGAATCAAAATGGTGTTGGTGAGTTTGAGAAGCATACAAAAGGTATCGGAATGAAGTTGCTTGAAAAGATGGGCTACAAAGGAGGTGGCCTCGGGAAAAATCAGCAGGGTATTATGGCTCCTATTGAGGCAAAGATGCGCCCGAAAAACATGGGAATGGGTTTCAAAGACTTTAAAGAAGTTACTGTTGTTCCGCCATTGCAGGAATCAGTTGAGAAGTCCTTGCCCCTGCCAAGCTATGCTGTGAGCAGTCGCTCGAAAGAGAAGCTTTGGTCAAAGAAAGCTTCAAAGAAGAAGGCTTATGTGACAGCGGAAGAGTTGCTGGCTCAGAAGCAAGAACAAGGTTTTGAAGTTGTTCAGAAGGTATTCGACATGAGAGGACCACAGCCCCGGATACTGGTAAATTTAGAGAACTTGAATGCTGAAGAAAAAGCCAGAGAACAAGATGTTCCTATGCCGGAACTTCAGCACAATATTAAGTTGACAGTTGATGTGGCTGAGCTTGACATACAGAAGTTGGATAAGGAGTTGAGAAACGAGAGAGAGAAAGTGGTTGCTTTACAGGATGAAATGAAGAAGCTGCAAAATGTGGCCAACGAGCAGAAGTTGCAGCTCGAAAACATGAGAGAAGTAATGAATGTGCTTGACCAAATAGCCCAAAAAGACTCTTCAGGAACATTGACACTAGACTATCTTGCAGCATCATTCGGGGATTTGCAGACAAGATTTTATGACACATATACGTTGCGCAACTTATCGTGCATTGCGTGTTCATACGCCCTGCCATTATTCATAAGAATATTTCAGGGATGGGACCCTCTTCAGAATCCCACCCATGGAATGGAGTCTATATCCCAGTGGAAGAAGCTGTTACAAGAGAAAGAATCATTTAGTTTCTCCGATGCAGTCTCGCCATACGTGCAGCTGCTTATGGAAGTAGTGCTCCCGGCAGTGAGAATATCTGGCACCAACTCTTGGGAAGCTCGGGATTCTGAGCCCATGATTAGGTTTTTGGAAGATTGGAAAGACCTTTTGCCGTCCCCTGTCCTACAGACCATACTGACTAATATAGTTATGCCGAAAATAACAGCTGCTGTCGATTCTTGGGATCCTCGTAGAGAAAGAATTCCTATTCATCACTGGATTCATCCATGGCTACCATTGTTGGGAAACAAGTTAGAGCATTGCTACCACACTATTCGAACGAGATTAGCCAGTGTTCTTCATGCTTGGCAGCCTAATGACATGTCTGCACATTACATGTTGTCTCCATGGATGAAGGTTTTCGACGCAGCGAGCTGGGAGCTACTAATGGTAAGGTACATAATACCAAAACTGTTGGGGGTGATGCGCGAACTGCAGATAAATCCTGCCAATCAGAATCTCGACCAATTCAATTGGGTAATGGCATGGGCAAACGCTATTCCTACTCATCATATGCTGCAGTTAATGGATGTTTTCTTCGATAAGTGGCAAGAAGTCTTGTACCATTGGTTATGTTCGAAACCTAATTTTGAGGAAGTCACTAATTGGTACCTTGGCTGGAAAGAACTTCTCCCCCAGGAACTTCAGGCTAATGAGCATGTTCGATATAGGCTGAATGTTGGCCTCGACATGATGAACCAGGCTGTCGAAGGCTTGGAGGTGGCCCCCCCAGGGTTGAAAGAGAATATTAGTTACCTCAAGGCGCATGAACAAAGACAGTTTGAGAATCAGAAGAAAGCAGCCGCTCAAGCTCAGCAACGGGCCTCTCCTGGTATTGATAATGGAATTCAAGCGGAGAAACTCGGAAGTGCGGCCGAAATGAGCTTGAAAGAAGTTATTGAAATTCATGCGCAGCACAACGGTCTGCTGTTTCGGCCTAAACCTGGAAGAACACACGACGGGCATCAAATATACGGATTTGGAAATATTAGCATTATTATTGATTCTCTCAATCAAAAGGTGTTGGCACAAACGGAGGACAGATGGACTCTCGTATCCCTCGAACAGCTGCTGGAGTTGCATAATCTTTCTAGGATGAAGCGATGATGAGCAAATCTTGCGTCACGCGGATTAACAGGTTCCTATTTTCGACCTTTTTAGATGACCTGATTATGTCTTGCCTCTATTGTTATATGCTTATATGGTTGTTTTAACTTATGGAATTTCGATGGTAACTAGGTGTCGAATGATTTAATTAACTCCTTTGATTAGCTGCTGAGTTGTTAGTCCATCTAATTAGGCTGCATATATGGTAGTGAATTTTATGTGCTGACGTTACGATTACATTATGATAGATAATAGATAACGTGTAATTTATGTTAATATAATACATATATAGCACATGGGTAGTAATAGTCTACACAGCCATATAACAATAGTTTACACTAACATATGACAATAGTTTTACGCAACATATGATATGGTAATAGACAACACAAGTACAAAATACATAAACTATCAATATGCGACAATAGTCTACACAATAAGATGATATGATAGTATCCGACACATAGTTAACAATTTATGATAATAGACCATACAACCCATGAATTAAAAATACATGACAATAGTCTATACAATATATATAATATGATAGTAGAGATAACGCATAATTCATATTAATATTATAAAATATAGCATATGAACTAACAGACACATTGACAATTCCGCACAATACACTATAGATATGAACATGTTTTTTGAAATCATATGTTATATGTTATTTTTTTTTATTTGATTTGTTCCAATCAACACCGTAACCAGTCCCTTTATGCGCTAAAACATGAACGAATACCGCTTCGTGTCATTCGTTATGTTTCACCTAATGTGGGGTATAGAGTCATCAAAATGTATAAAATATGCGCTCGCTCCATCAATTCTTGATGGGATTGATGAGTTTTCTCTTCTTATTATTTCCTTGCAATGCAGATTTAGGTACCGATGGCTTCTCTCCCAGTAATTTTCACTGATGCTGATTTAGTGTAAGCACGACATTTCTCTCGATTATTTGGAAAGCTGCAATCATCATCATCATCGGGTTTTTGTTCATTATAATATCATTTACTGCAAGGTAATACGCCGTTGATCGATGTTAATGTACAGTACCTGAAGTGCAATGAACTTGCTAGCTATTAGGCAAAGCAATCGGGACTTTCCCAACAAGGAAAGCGTCGGCTGGGCGTTGGTACGAGCAGCAAGAAAGTGTAATGTTTATTGCCAATTCTAAGATAGTAAAAGTGCAATTAATTTTCCATTATATTTGTGTATCATATGAAAGTGTGTGTGTTGATGACATGAAACATGGCACAGTTTTGAAAGAATCTTTAGACCTCTTGTAAGAATTATCACAAAAATTCTCACCATAAAAATTTTTAATAGAGAAAAAATATAAGCATCATACTCCTTCACGTATTGAAAGTCTATTTAATTTATTATGTTAGGTATGTAGTATATGTAGTACAATTATTAAATTATGAAATGGTAATGTTGTTTTAAAAATAGACAAAAATAGAAAATAATAATATTTCAATGAGACGGAGAAGGAGAAGTATTATACGTCAATATAAGGGCGTGTTTGATTTGTGGTTGGAAGTTGGGCTGGATGTGAATTCAGTCAGCATTTTTCAATAAAGTAAATTTTCATAAATACTTTTTAAAAAAAGACAATAAATATATATTATACATTCATAAGTCAATAATTTAATATAAAATATCTTTTCTTTTTATATTACCAACAGTTATTCATATCAAACATAATAGTACAAATAATTATATAAAATATATCTTTGAATAATATATATATATATTTATAAAATCACATAAAATATTACTCATTAAAGTGACCACTTGTCTCATATAATCTATTCATTTTTTTTTAAAAATAATTATAATTTTAATAATATTTAAATTTTATAATTTACATTTTTTAATTTTTATTAAATTATCTACAATAATTGACACTAGAGAGACTAGATTATATTATTTACATTTTAAAAAAAAATTTGCAAAAATAAACAAAAATTTAATACAACATTTTAATAAAATAATATTATAAATAAATAATTCAAAAAATAAAAATAAAAATACGGTTAATATGTATAACATCATACAAAAAAAAAATAAATAAAAAAAAATAAAAATTAAGGGTGTGTTTATGCAATAATGCAACAGACCACTGCAAATATTGAATCAGTTTTTGCCAGTCATCTTCAGGAACTTTAATCAACGGCACCGGAAAATGGTTCAGAATCCTGAAGCGGATGAGCCAGAGTGTTCTCCCAGGCCGCCTTTCGCGGTTCAATTGCTACAATTCATTCTAATCATTTCGTGTTTCTTATGCGATTGATCGATTTTTGTTTTTTGTTACTTTAATTTCTTCGTACTGATTAATGCAAATGGAGCCTGGTTCGATTATCGAGTAATTGGTTGGAATATGCTTTATTCGTTGTCGAGTAAACTGATTAAGGATTCTCCTCTTTCATTTGGCTGTTTGTTTTTCGATTTATGCATCGAATCCATTGTCGCAGATCAAAATTAAGGCTGAGTTTTTTTTTTGTTGTTAAATAATCACACAGTACTGCCACTTGATATATAAACAAAGTTGTTTGCATATTTTTAATTAGCATAGATCTCGATGAGTGAGTTTGATGTCGAAATCAGAGTTGCTTTAACCCTTAGCATAATTGCTCAAATAGAATATTACGAGTATGCTTTCCTATGTAGTGGAGTCTTCTGCTTTTCTGCCATTCACATTATTGCTAACCAATCCTCCATCCATCCAATCTAAATTAATGAATATAATATTATATTGGCTAATTATTATATAAAATGAGGGCATTTTAGAAAGTATTTCACTTTGTTTTCGTCATATGTTTGTTGATCTTTATAGTGGTCTTAGTATTAATCTATATATCGAATAACAAATCAGCTAGTGGTTCTTCCATTGTTGTGCAAAACAAAATCATAGTACCTGCAGATTGCATTGCTTGTTTTGTATTTGGCTGTAGGAGTTCAGATTTCAGAATACCTTGAGGAGATGGCTGTTGCTGCTTATGCATCTTTGGTTTCTCTTACACATGTCCTTGACAACGTTCTTTGTCGCTCCCAGCTTCGGCGTCTTCATGTGGATGTAAGACAGGTCGAAACATTCCAGAGAAGTGTAAAATTTTTGTTGGAATTTGTTGAAGTTCATTCAGGAAGAGAAGGGCAGAGAATAGATAGTTTGTGGAGGCAAATATCTAAGATTGCGTTTGAAGCCGAGGAGATGTTTGACTTACATGTGGTGAATCAACTTCAGCTTCGATCTGAGGGAGTAGAAGTTGTTTCAAGGCCTTTCATCGTTCAACGAAGATATTGAGGGAGTGATCCAAAAGATTGACTCCATCAAGAAAGAATTGTTAGTGGAAGAAGAGGTATTGGTAGATGGTCAAACTGGAAAACAGCCCGCGCGTGGGCAAACTTCATCGACAAATGCATCCCATGGCAAGAAGAATATCGTGGGATTTGATGCACATGTGGTCGCGATTCTGGATGTTCTGACTAGAGATGAACCCATGCTCCAAATCATCCCTATTGTTGGGATGGGGGGGGATCGGTAAGACTACTTTAGCTAAAGCTGTTTTTGATAATCAATATATTGCCGATCACTTTGATAGACGTATTTGGCTTACAATATCGCAAGAGTACAATGTCCAGGACATCCTAGCTGGTCTTTTAAATGATGGGATAGTTAGACCACATGATGGAAATGTGGATAGGTTGGGGGAATCTTTGTACAAAGAATTATTTGGTAGACGATACTTGATTGTTATGGATGATGTGTGGACTGTACAAGCTTGGGATGATTTAAAGATGTTCTTTCCTGACAATGGTAATAGAAGTCGGGTTTTATTGACTTCTAGGCTCTCGCCTGTAGCTGTTTCTCTGGGCTGTCGTAATCCTTATTTGATGACATTTTTAGACGAGAATAAAAGTTGGAACTTATTTTGTCAGACAGTATTTGCGCAAGAAGATTGCCCGTTTCCAGAATTGGAGAAGTACGGAAGAAAGATTGTGGAAAGCTGTACAGGACTTCCCTTAGAAATCATTGTAATTGGCGGCCTACTTTCAAGATCCGACATGTCTAGAGAATATTGGGAATCCGTTGCTGAAAATGTAAGCTCCTTTGGTAATTCAGGATACAATGAACATTGCTTGAAGATATTATCTTTAAGTTATAACAACTTGCCACTTCATCTGAAACCCTGTTTCCTCTTTGTCGGCTCTTATCCTGAAGACCGTAAAATTGTTGTTACCGAACTAATTCACAGATGGATTGCTAATGGACTGTTAAAAACTGTGGGCGAGAAAAGTTTGGAGGACATTGCTATGGAAGTCATCAAAGATCTCATTGCAAGGAATCTAATTTTTATCCACAAACTGACAACCAGTGGCGAGGTAGACATGTGTGGTATTCATGATCTGTTACGAGATTTATGCCTTAAAGAATTTGACAAGGAAGGTTTTTTTCAATCCCCAAAGGTGCAAGACGCAAAATATGTGGGTAGAGAAGTGTGCTTTCTTTGTGATGGCGAACCCTCTTATGAAGGGGCGATACATTTACCGGGATTTGCCCTTGTCTACCCTTCGTTGTCATCACTAATTAATCCTCCGGCCATTTGTGGTGCTTGCAGAAAGATGTATTCGCATGTTACAAGGTCATGGTTGGTAGGTATAATGAATGGTGACTATGATCTATTACCATTTGTTCATCCTACTCAAGCGCGATATGTTTCTGTTCATTACATTTTTAATGTGAAGTCTGTATTGCCAACCTTGCAGTTGCTCTGGAATCTTCAGACCTTAAAAATTGTTGTGGTTTTGACGTCTTATCCGATAGTTTTGCCGGCTGAAATCTGGGAAATGCCGCAGCTTAGGCATTTTGAAATCACGTCGCTTCCGGCTACTCTGTCTGATCCTGTGGCGACTGGTGTCAAGGGTGAAGAGTTCGTTGTTCTCGAACAGCTGCAGACCTTTTCTGGAATAGAAAACTTCAAGTGCACAAAGGATGTCTTGGACAGAATTCCGAATATAAGGAGACTGGAAATCACCCACGGTTCTAAGATCGAATCTCCGGAACATTCTCTTGGTAATCTTATCCAACTCCAGAAACTTGAGTCGCTAAATGTTAAATTTGCTCGGGATAACATTGCATTCCCTAGTTCTCTTAAAAAGTTGTCTCTGAAGTCGTGCATGTTTAGAATTCCTTGGAGTGGTATGTCAGTAATTGGCTCGTTGCCGAATCTTGAGAAACTTGAATTGTGGGGCGCGACTGAAGGGTCGGAATGGAATCCGGTGGAGGGGGAGTTTCTCCGATTGAAAGAATTGATCATCGGTACATGTGAGCTGGTGCGATGGGGAGCTGATCAAAGCCACTTCCCTGTTCTTGAGCAGCTTGAACTTCAATATTTGAAGTCGTTGGAAGAAATTCCTTCGGGCATTGGTGATATCCCAACATTACGTACGATTAAATTGTTTTATTGCAGCAGATCTCTCGTCAATTCGGCCAATCTTGTATGGCAGGAACAACAGAGCGTGGATAATGAGACCCTTGAGATTCTCGTTGGAGACTTTTGGAGCTCTTGGTTAACCATCAGTGATTACTTGTCACGGGAAATCAGTGACAACGAATCTGACGATGACGATGAAGATGAAGAGATCGAACATGAAGACGAGTCAGAATGAGAGGTAACATCTGAGGAACCATTGTCTAATTCTTTTAAGCTATTTTAGTACTTGCAGTATTTTGTTCTCTCTTTTCTGCCTTCAAATTACTTATTTTTCAAGTCTGATTTTCTGAAAGGATTATTTGCATACTGTTTATTTTCTTGGGTGTTTTTCACCTCCTAAATTGTGTGTTTTTTTCAATGAATTTGGCAATTAATTGTATTTACTGCACTGGGGATATTTGGGAGCATGATTTTTTGTTGTTCATTTTTTTTGCTTTTCAACCACTGCATAATATGCCTATGTTTCTTTAAAGATTTTGATTTAGGTTTTGAAAATAATAAACTTGAATTAAAGTCGTAGTTGGTGATGTGAGGAAGAACTTAGGGTGTGTAGTCCAAATACTAAAATTTTTGAGAAAATTTAGGTAAAAGAAACATAATAATAGATATACACTTTTTGTATATAATATATATATATACATGAATTTGGTGATTTTTTTTTTTTAAAATAAAAACGTTATATATATATATATATTCTTTACACATGAAAGTTTTATGCTTTGTTTAGTCGTATTAATTTTTTTTAATGTTTTGCACTATTTCCGCTTCTTTAATCATATCAAATAGGAGTTTTCTTTTTTTTTTTTTTTTTTTTTCACATTAAAATTTTCAAAAATTTCATTTATGATGAATTAGCAAAAATAAATTTAAAATTTAATACTAACTCCGTTCCACATAATTTATCATTTTCTTTTTTTAAAAATATAATTATATATTTTAATCTTATTTTAAATTTTAATTAAACTATTTAGTTATTTTAATTTTAATAAATAATTATATTATATGAGACAGACGAGTGTAACATTTTCAAAAGATAATATTATAAATAAATAATGCAAAAACATATACATAAGCAAAACCTAATTTTAATCAATTAAATAACCCGAATCCAAAGTTGCTGAGAACAGAAAAAAAAAAAAACATAACTAAATAAAAACTAAACCTCAAACCGAATACGACTCCCGCCGCCGTCTGTCCTTCCGCCGGAGCGCCACCAGCGCCGCCACCACAGACAACGGCTGAAAAACTCAACTCAACACAAACAAAAAAAAAAACAAAAAAAAAGGCAATTAATCAATCGGTGAGATCAGTCAGCCAAACCAACCTCAAATCACTTGCCACTCTTCTTGGCGGCTGCCTTCGTCACCTTAGCTCCGGTGGGCTCCTTCTTCTCCACACTCTTAATAACTCCGACGGCCACCGTCTGCCGCATGTCCCTGACGGCGAACCTGCCGAGTGGCGGGTACTCGGAGAACGTCTCCACCACCATCGGCTTCGTCGGAACCATCTTAATGTACCCTGCATCACCATTCTTCAAGAACTTAGGCCCCTTCTCCAGCTCCTTCCCAGACCTCCGGTCGATCTTCGTCACCAGCTCCGCAAACTTCACAGCAATGTGGGACGTGTGGCAGTCGAGCACCGGCGCGTAGCCGTTCCCAATCTGCCCAGGGTGGTTCATGATGATCACTTGCGACGTAAAGTTCGCAGCCTCCTTGGCCGGATCATCCTTCGAGTTTGATGCAACATAGCCGCGCTTGAGATCCTTCACCGCGACGTTTTTCACGTTGAATCCGACGTTGTCGCCGGGGAGAGCTTCTTGGAGCGCCTCGTGGTGCATCTCCACGGATTTTACTTCGGTGGTTAGGCCGGTCGGGCCGAAGGTGACGACCATGCCGGGTTTTAGTGTCCCTGTTTCGACACGGCCGACAGGGACGGTGCCGATGCCGCCGATTTTGTAGACGTCTTGGAGGGGGAGGCGGAGGGGCTTGTCGGATGGCCTTTTCGGCTCTTGGATTTGGTCGAGAGCTTCAAGGAGCGTCGGGCCCTTGTACCAGTCGAGGTTTGTCGATCTTTCGATCATGTTGTCGCCTTCAAAGCCGGAGATTGGGACGAAGGGGATCTTTTCGGGGTTGTATCCGACCTTTTTGAGGTAGGAAGAGACTTCCTTCACAATTTCATCGTACCTTGCTTTGGAGTATTTTGGCGTGGTGGCGTCCATCTGCAAAATTGGATTGATTTGTGAGCAGAATTTATGAAAAATGAGAGATGACAATGGGCAGTGTATGGGTCGGGTATAGGGACCTATGATCCTACTCACATGTATAATAATGGACCCAAGACCTATTGTACTCGGATACTACCCTTAATCTACCCATTAGATCCGCTGGATCCGCTAAACTTGCAAAATTCAAAAAATTTTACACTTTGATTGGACCAAATTTACCTAATCTCATATGTATATTTCTAAATTCAAAACCCTAATGTACTAAGACACTGTCCGTGATGTATCCATCAGATCCGTTGGATATCCCCAAATTCAAAAAATTTAAAATTTATATACAATAAATATAAAATATTCACCAATATTTCTGCCACTACCACTAATAATAATAATAATAATATAATTATGATAATTATATCTCAACCATTTTCATATCATGGAATCACTAAAATGTATTTGTGTTTTGTTCATTCATTATCTAAAAATCAAAAGTACCCATTAACCACATTTTAAGTGGTTAATTGCCATACAAAATGACCGTAATAAAACCAATAAAAAATTTTAATTAATCGGGCATGGAAACGGGATCCAGGTCGGTCAGGGTCTATTAATAAACCCTGATCCGATCCGACCCAAAAAGATTTATTAAAGGCAATTCTGATTTAATATTCAAATAATTATAATTGAATTTGATTCCAAATAAATGGTAGGGTTTGAATTGAAAAATGACAAAAATTGAGTGAATTTAATTGATTAAAATTTAAAACTGACCTTGTTGCAGCAGCAGATCATTTGCTTGACGCCGAGGGTGAAAGCGAGCAGAGCATGTTCACGTGTCTGGCCGTCCTTGGAGATTCCGGCTTCGAAGCCGCCGGTGGTGGAGTCGATGATGAGGACGGCGCAGTCGGCCTGTGAGGTTCCGGTGATCATGTTTTTGATGAAGTCTCTGTGTCCGGGAGCGTCGATGACAGTGCAGTAGTATTTCGTGGTCTCGAACTTCCACAAGGCGATATCAATGGTGATTCCGCGCTCGCGCTCGGCTTTGAGCTTGTCGAGCACCCACGCATACTTGAATGATCTCTTGTTCATCTCTGCTGCCTCTTTCTCGAACCTTTCTATCACACGCTTGTCGATGCCGCCTAGCTTGTATATCAGGTGCCCTGTTGTTGTCGACTTTCCAGAGTCGACATGGCCAATGACCACAATGTTGATGTGACTCTTCTCTTTGCCCATTACAAAGTCCTAAATCTGCAGAATCACAATATAGTTAATACAAAAACTCTGTTTAGAATTTAGATATATAAATATGTATATGTAAAGCAACATTACATAAACACTAAGGAGAATGAAACTTCTTCGAATACAAAGTGGATTGAACATATTACATACATACATCGCAAAAATTGAATTTAAAAGCACCAGTGACGAACACGAAGAATAAAATCCATGAAATGTACTGTGAAACAAATCATCTTCACGCGGAAGAATCTAGAATGATCTTACTAATTTATAACAAAATTTTCAATCGATATGTGCAGTGAATTGAACGATCCAGCCGAAGATGCACACTACAAATCGCAAAATCATCCATTAACATAACCTAAAATTGCAAAAACACGAACTGAATACCGAACCAACAATGATCCGACTAGAAAACCTACAATCGGTGGTGAATTTCAGCTTTAAACTCCTACAACATCGCCAGTTTCATCCGATTTACAAACGATTACGAACAAACACATTAAAAACACATCTCAAATCAACTGTATATTTCAATAATCCTAAATCATTTTCCGATCATCACAGCATCAAATCAAACCAACAAACACATACCTAAATTAAATAACATCAAATAAATAACAAACAGAGAAAAACAAAGCAAATCGAACCTTCCAAACGTAAAAATATCGAGAAATCAGATAGCAAAGCCGCCGCAGAGAGCAAGAGAAGCCGTAGAACAGAGGGAGGGCAACAGCCGTGCTTCTACTCTTATATAGACGATGAGCCATGCAGTCAGTGGTAGGGCTTTCCTGGTTACACTCAATTTACGAAAATACCCTCGAATAATTTCTAGAGCAATCCAATGACTCTATTATTTTCTTTTATTTATTTATAAGATATGCACTAAATTTATAATTTTTCTAAATAATTATTAATTTTATGGCTTATAATTAATTGCATAATATTAAATTTAATAAGATTCATAATTTTTAATACTAAATAAAATTCATCTTTTCCTTATAATAATGTTAGTTTGTTTTTCTCATTCTATAAATTTTAATTATTTTTTTTTCTTTACATTTAAATAATATATTTGGATTAATTTAAAATAATTTAAATTATATTTATTTATTTATTCTAAACATATATTAGTGTTTACCTTTTCACTACAACAAATTAAAGCAGATTAATTGCATTCGTCGACTTAATCTACACAATTTGTTAGCGATAAATTCATATTCAATTTATTGAATAAAAAGATAAATGTACATGTTCAAAAATACCCTTAATCTATAATACTCCATCCGTCCGAAACACCATGCAATTTTTCATTTTTTGTTTATCCAAAACTCACTGCAATATTTTTAAATTTAGAAATAATTAATACTCCATTCGTCCAGCTAGCTAGAAAGTATACATGTTTCTATTTTGGGACGTCCAATTACAAAGTAAACATTTCATTAAATACCTTACTTTTTTCCACAAATACCCCTAATTTACATCACATCATTACTTTTACACCAAAAAGCAAGGGCAAAAATGTCATTACACTACTTTTAACTACTCACTATACTTAAAATACTATTATTTCTTAAATACCGCGCCAAAAGTAATTGTATACTTTTCTTGTGGACGGAGGGAGTAATATTTATATGTGTATATTAATATACACTTCACTTTATCCCATCACATCACTCAAATAAAAAAAAAAATAATCATTTTTCTCTCCAATCACATCACTTAATATACAAATTATCTCAAATTACTATACTTAATACTCTCCACCTAAATTCTCGTGCCAAACACAAATGTTGCACAGTGTTTGGGATGGAGGGGATAGATAAAATGGTCAAACGGTCATTGAGCAAAAATATAGATTAAATTTATAATATTGTTAATTTTAATTTATCCTCGAACATTAATTATTTTAAGTAAAAAAATAATTAAAATAATAATCATGTCACTAAAGGCATCCTAAAGTATAAGAGTTTGTTTGGTTCGTATTTGAATTTAAATTAAATTTAAATAATATTTTAATGTGATATTTATGTTTTATTAAAAAAGAGATAAAATAGCATAAATCCACGTGTGATTGATTTATAAAAATGACATTAAAATCTCCTATTATTTTAAAATTTCGTCAGAGGGATTAATTAATAGTGAATTCATAATTATGAAAATTTCCAATTATCTTAGTAGTTAGAATGAGTGTAGAATAATCATTGTTAACTATAGTTTTATTTTATTTATTAATAATTTCAAAAACACATTTATACTACTACCTTCGTCCCACATTTAGGAGAGGTGTCATTAGTAGATAATTAAGAATGTATCACTTAAAATAATTATTATATAATATAAATAATTATAAATTAAAATTAAGATAACTAATTAGTTTAATTAAAATTTAAAAAAAAATTAAAAAGTTTAAAATGAGATTAAAGTGTGTAGTCATTTTTCAAAAAATGAAAGTGACATAGTATGTAGGATGGACAAAAACGACAACGTGTACATGGTATGTGGGAAGGAGGGAATATTATTTACAATAATTTATACTATTTTCTTTTAAAAAAATATTATATTAAAATATTACTATAAAAAATTTAAATCAACATAATATTTCAAATCACAACCAAAATCGGAGACGATCTAGCCTGTTCTCGGTCTCCAATAATAATAAATAGAACTTTAACTTGAATTCACCCTTTTTTTTTTTTTTAAAAAAAAAACGACATTGTAAAAGGAGCTTTTTTTTAGAGGTAGATGCACGGACCTCGTTGTAAATGGGGCATATTGATATTTCAAAAGAAAGTTTTTGTCAACTATGGCTATTTTCTTTCAATACTAATTTTCAATTGTAATTTTTAGAAAATATGGTAAATTGTTTTTTAGTTCCGTAGTATTTGATCTTTTTATTATTTTAGAATTTTAAGTGGATTATGTTTGAAAATAGTTTGGTAAGTAAATTTTTTTTTGTTAAAATGGTCATCCGGTGCCGGATTCACCACGCTGGCACCATGCTGCTGACGTGATGCTGATGCGGCTGACATGTCATCGCCACGTAGATGCAGCGTCAACAACACATGGATTTTTTCTTTTTTTCTTTTTATTTTACAAAATATCTTGATAAACTATTTTTTTAGTCTCGTATATGACCCCCTTATCATTTTTAGAACTTTAAATGAACTTGGTCTGAAAATAGTCCTGCAAGTAAAATTTTTTTTGCTAAAATGGTCATCCAACGTGACATCTACGTGGTGATTATATGTTAGCTGTGTCAGCGCAACGTTAACAACAGCGGGCTAACATGACGAGTTTGACACTAAAGGACCATTGCATCAAATTTTTTTTACTTACAAGACTATTTTCAGATAGAAAGAGGGTCAAATACGGGACTAAAAAATAATTTACCCTAAAAATAATAATCCATCTGTCCGCCTCTAAGGGCTACATTTACATATTGCGTCGTTGTAGTTAACATTAACAATATTTTTATATTTGTGTAAATTTTTTTGTACAAAATATCGTTATATTAGTATTATAAGACATTAATAGAAGTTTTTGCCATTTTCTTTGATTTGTATTACATTTTGATATAATAACTAATATTCAAAGATCAATATGTAAACAAGAAGTGCGACTTTTAGACCCGGACGGAGGTAGTAATAAACAATAAAAGAAAAACTTTTTACAAAAGTAAAAAAGAACTTCAAATACTCGTTATGAAAAATCAAACATTCAAAGTAAAATAATTATATTTTATACTTTTGACACAATTTTTATACCACACACTAAAAATCAATTCATCTAAAAACGCTGCATGAATTAATGTTGTCATTACACTTCGTGAATGGAACGTGTTTGTTGTGAAAAATGTCTCTCGTGCGGAATCCTGTCAAAAAAAATAATATATGTATACTTTTTTAGAAAATATATTTTCAATAATATCTTTTGTAATTTTAGCAAGATTGTGTTATAATCATAATGGTACTTGTCTTTGGGGATGATTTCTCTTGTGTCTTGTGGAATCCTGACATAATATATATACTCCCTCACATTTTTTTTTTTACTTCATTGTATTTAACATTAAAAATATTTTTATATTTGTATAATTTTTTTTTTTACAAATGTCTTTCTATTAGAATTATAAGACATAAAATAAATAAAAGTATTTTTGCAATTTTTTCTTAATTTGCACTACGTTTTGATATAAAAATTAATATTTAAAGACCAACACACAAAAAGTAAATAAGATCTTTAGAATCGAACGAATGTAGCACATATATTTAAAATTCCGTTGTTATCAAACTTGTTGATTCTTCTGAGTTGGATTGTAATTGTACATTCGCAGAGTTTCTTATGAGATTTTTGCTCTTGGAATTTGTATGATGTGTAGAAATCTGTTTTGCTTTTGTATTTGTATTGTAGAGTCCATATATCGATTTGATTAGACTGGATGTTTTTAACAATGATGCATTCTCCATCATATGAACTTCAAGAGTTCAGAAGAATATCCATGGCCCATAAAATTTTGTGACAAATAGGCTAGCGTTGGTGCTAAAAAGATCAAAAGATTCTTTTATGATTTCTGAAAGAATTTCAAGGACCAGACAATCACCAGATTGAAAATGAGTTGATGTCTACTGTTCTATCAAAATAGAGTAGCTAAGTGGTCCTATAATGGATGGTCTGATGGTGTAGGCGTGGACTCATGACCGTGAGATCATTATTTCAAATTCCAAATCCTTCAGGTCTCACCTGCTATATATGGTTCGCCTAGTGTGACTTGCCTTGTCAGATCTAATTTGTAGAGTATTAGATTTGACCGGAATTTACCTAGAGCGGACTCGATGAGTATCGGTTGCAGATTCCCACAATATCAAAAAACAAAATTAAAAAAAAAATAGAAGATCTAAGTGTGGTTTTTAAATATCTTTCTCTCAACGATTGGAAATTCGGATCCTTTCTTATACTATTATATTTTTATTTGCCCCATCAAAGTAGGGGGTGGCAATTCGGGCCGGCCTGACCCGATTCTAAACTGTCCTGTGGTAGAAGTGATGAATTGAAATCAACAACCAAACATATACAAGCCAAGCCAAGCCAAGAACTTTACCTTTAAACTATATTTTTTAATATTTGTTTTTATTTCAAAAATTAATATATTAATGAATTTATTAAAATTTAAATATTAATATTAAAAATCGGGTTGAGCCAGGCACGGCTCGACCTTCGTGAGCCCAGACGGCCCGGTTCATTAGCATGCTGGGCCAGACACGACCCCAAAATTTTCAGGTCTATTTTGAAGGCCCATGTACAGTTTTTTCGTGTCTTGTTCGAACCGAATTTTTGGGTTGTACTTATTTTTGCCACCTTTACCTCGAGGCTACTTTCATAGTTCATTCATATTTGGATAAATTAGGAAATTTTGAAACAATTTAAATGGGCTTGGATTTTTAAAGACCACATAAATGATAAAAACTTATTAAAATGCCTCGTAATTAATGTACTTTTCATAGATAATTATCAAGTTTCCGGTGAGGTTTTGGCGACGCTTCAACTTGGAGTGTTGTTGCTGTTGTTTTTTTGGGTTTTTGGTGGTTTTCCCTTGTGTGCATTTGTTTTGTGTGTTGTTTCCAAAATAGATCGGTTTAGAAAACCATGATTTGCTCGTCATGGATTTTTGGTTCTGTTTTGGGAAAGATAGTTAGTTATTCAGCCGTGTTATAATTT